TAGTCCATCAAACGGCTCTTGTCGGCCTTGGCTGCGGTCAACATGAGAAGGTTCTGCAAGCTGGCGTTGTCACTGAATGGCGAAGGCTCCAGAATAATCTTTTCGAGCAGCTCAATCAGCTCACCAGGAAGGTCAGCCTCGAGGAATGACTTGACGGCCACAGAGACTTTGTCGGGCTCAGTGGACTCGGGAACGGCGGTGGCAATGACCTGGTCAACAAGGGAGCGACGGTTCTCATTGTTCTCGCTAAGAACGAAGGTCCAGATCTCGGGGTCGGCACGCTCAACGAGGTAGCGGGCCTGGGCGCGGAACATTGAGTTCTCATTGGTGATGCTGATGAGCTCCAGGTCGTTCTGACCCTTTCGGTAGGCAATGTAGGCCAGGTTGGGGTCACGCTTCTCGCAGTACTTTCCAACAGTCAGAGTGTCGTACATGTCGTTCTCCTTCAGGAACTTCTCAGGGTCGTTGTTGCTGTCAATGTAGATCTTCGCAAGAGCATTGTAGACGGCCTGCTGTTGGTTACCGGTAGCGAGGGTAGCCTCGAGGAAGGGCAGGAGAAGCTTAAGGCGGTTGCGGGTTTCGACCTCAGAGACAAGCTCGTCAATAGGGATGACGGAGGGGTCGACGGTGGAAAGCAGGTTCTTGATGATGCTCTCATCGCAGTCAACATCAAGCAAGCCACCAACAACAGCAGGGGCACGCGATGGGTTGACACGCTGCACATAGACCTCAATAGACTTGAACTGCTGGTTTTGGTACAGGTAGAGAACCAAGTCGTGGATGAAGTTGTAACGGTCGCAGACGATGATCAGAGGCAGCTGCTCGGTCAGGTGGGCCTCCTTTAGGAAGTTCTTCACCTTCTCGGGGTTGTAGAAGTTGCTCTCACGGCAAATACGCTCGACTTCAGTGACCTGGTTCATAGTAGTGGCAGCTTCAATGTACTTGAAGTGCACCTCGGGGTCCTCACTCAGGTTGACAATGCTTCCCAGGTAGTAGTAGAGACCCTCAGCCGTGCGGTACTTCTCCAGAAGGTCAATCAGACGGTTAGAGCCAAGAAGGTCAGAGAACTTGGTGGCAAGCTGGACGACAGACTGGAGGTTCTGGCGAATGTTCGACTCAAGCATGGTGTCCATGCAGTCCAAGCTCTGCTCGACGGAAAGGCGACCGAAGTAGCTCATGAGCCACTCGGGGCTGAGCTTATCAGTACGGACAATGTTGCGCTTAATCACAGAGGGTTCGTCAGAGTTCTCAAGAGCACGCTGAATGAGGCCAGCATTCTCGCAAAGCTGGGCAATACGAGGACGATCGAAGTGTGTGAAGATCTCGTTTCCGAGAATGGCATCAGCGACCTGGGGAGCGTTGACAAGGTTCATCTCCAAGAGACGGGTTTGCAAATGGCCGTGCTCGGGCTTGTTGTCCTTGAGAGCATCCAGAAGGAATGAGGTAGCTTGCTGGATCATGTTCTGGGAGAGGAACACATCCACAACCCGGTCAAGATCAACCAGAGCGCCGCTCTCCTCGTTAGCAAGCTGGGTAGCGAACTCAGCACCCTTCTCGGGGTTGACACGGACAATGTGCTGGAGGAGCTGTGTGTAATCTGGCTGGTAACCGACTTGCTTTGAGTATGCAAGGATCTTGTCAAACTGGCCAGTCTCGGCAAATCCAGCAACAACCTTGTTGGGAACATTGGCCTGAAGGTAGACGTTCAAAGCAAGATTCATGTCGTAAGGGCGGATGATATCACCAAGCTCTTCCGAGCCCTCGAGCTTCTTCTCCTGCATCCACTTCTCGAGCAAGTGCTTGCGGTTCTGCTGAAGAACAGGACGGACAAGTTCCACACTTTCGTACTTGTTGAGCGAGCCCTTATCAAGAAGCATACCGAAGTACTGCAGAATGACTGACATCTGGCCAGTCTGAGGAGCGTTCTTGAATCGGTTGATGGTCTCGGTAGTACGCAGGAATCCACGGGGGGAGTTGGCGGCAACCTTGGCGGCCTCGGGGAAGTTACCCTGGTTCATAAGGTTGTCGAACTGCTGCTGGTAGAGGTGGTCCGCACCAGGAAGGCCGGCCTTCGAGGCAAGTTTGACAGCAAGGCCAGACATAGCAGGGTTCTCCATCAGATACTGGATGATGTTGGTCTCATCGACACTGACCGACAGGACCTGACCCTTGCGGTTCACACCAACCAGACCGGCACCCTCGGAATCCTGCGCTGTGGTGAAAATAGTCTCGCTGGAGATACGGTTCATGAAGATGCAAGTACCGGTCTCGAGATCGTAAAGGTGGATAAAGCCATACTTGGTTACAAGGTAGACCACATCGTACTTGCTGGACACCTGCATAGCAACAGGGAAATCATTAACCGCCTCTTGGGGGAAGTAGACCTCAACAGCCTTCTTCTGGAATCGGGGGTTAGGTTCTTGGTGGTCGATTTCGGCGATCTGCAGCTTAGCGCCAGTCTGAGTGCGAACGGCAAAGGTGAAGAGGCTGTGTGGTAGAGGGGAGCCTTCAACGTTGATGTTGGCGAAAGAAGCGGCGTGACCTTCGATAAACTGAGAAATCCCACGCTCCTTCGAGTAGAGTTGCATTGATCCAACGACACGGCCTTGTTGCTGGCTAATACCAACCACTACCATCCACTTCTCCTCGGCATTGACACGGTAGTTGATGATTTGACAACCCTGAAATATTCACAATTAGCATTCCGAGATTGACTGCATCCAGGAGGATCACATACGCTCAGGTTAGGGAGTCGGTCGAACATCTTCACAGGGTTCTGTTGTGTGGAGTCATAGACATCCCAGTGGTAGACTGCGGTGTCCGTGACTAGACCCAAGGACTTCTCGCTGAACCATTTCCAGTAAACAATATCTTCGTTCATGACCGCTGACTTGAGCTTTTGCTTCACACCAAGGTCGAAGATCTGGATTGTTCGGCCCTGTGCCTTCAGGGCGATGATGTTCTTGTTCCAGTGCATGATCGCACTGTCCGCGTTGATGGGACGGCGGAGGACTTCATTGTTGTTCTTGAGGTCGATGATGATGACTTGGGGCTTATCGTCTGTATCAAGTTTCTGGCGTACACACACGTAGTGATCGGACTCTAGTGTCTAGAAGAAGCAGCCAGATTAGTCAAATAGTCCCGCATTCATTGGGTAAACATTGGGCAACTTACGCAGGATGTGAAGCCAATTGATTCCGGCTGTAGTAAACAAAGTCAGTAGGCTATCCAGAACCCCTAGAGAGGTTATAATGCGCGGCCGAAGCATCCGTGAAGCAGCGGAAGCTCGTCGCGACACATCACCGGGATCATCGTATACATACCGCAATGCCAACTGCGGTCAACTGTGAAAGAAAGCTTCGGTCAGTCTCAGGATTTCAAGCGCAACAGGAGGGAGATGAGGGGCAATCATTTACATTGACCAGTTCTGTAAACTTGATGGGGAGAGGCGCCATATTTACGTTGGCCGCTGTACGACCAGTTCCCGACAAAACGCCACGCAAAAGCAGAGGAATTGAGAGATGATGAAAAGAAGTGACGGAAAGTGAAAGTGATGAGAAGGAGAAGGAAAGGAGAATGAAGATGTCAGGAAGAGAGGGAGGGGGGGTTGATTGCGATGGGCAGCGGAAGTGACCTCAGGAGGCCGCCGTCGTTGCTGAGGTGTCGCTTATGAGCGGTCACGTGACGCAGGGGCTTGGGGGTTGATTTGTTCCAGAGCAGAGGATTCAGACAAGTGAGAGATAGGACAGAAAAAAGAAAAGTGAGATGACTGTAAAGATTGTTTGAAGCTTGCAGGGTGTTTCAAATGGCAAAGTTGGACTGAGTTAGGCAACGTTAGGGCGATCTATAGCTGACCCGTTGAAGCCCACGAGGTGGTTTGGTTGTTTACACGTAGGTGGCTATCTCAGCACCCACTTCATTCCATAATTTTACAACATATTATTTCATTTGGCACAAGCTTTGCTGATTTATGGGAAACTACTGGATAATGAGAATGATCAAAATCAAGCGTTTGAAGTGTTAGTCAAAGCCGGAAGTGACCTTAATATTACCAACATTCCAAACCAGACTACAAAGGCTCTCACCTGCATTGGAGATGTACACTGTACAGGACAGTGTACGGTAGCGATATGTACCCCATAGCTGCACCTGAGAAGACCCCTTAACACCCGGTCCACAATAGTGGACCAATGGCCTGTCAACCTACAGCGCCTCATCTCCCAGGCCCCAGGACGTCATCTGGCACTATACACCACTCCAACATGACCTAACATACCATACCATACATACCTTGTACCGGTATACTAAGCCTTGGACTAGCACTCACCCTTCAACAGTGTGGCCATCAACCCCCCACTTCCCCAACAAAGATAAGTATTGTCCAATATAACCGACTGCCAACAGCCCGCTAGAGCCCCGAAGGAAGTCCTCCCGGGCTCTAAGCCCCAAATTCAACTTTGATCCCGAGCCGGAGCCACTGAAGTGCATATCGGCCCATCTTGGACTCAAGGTTTTCGGCGCAGCTGAGCAATGGCCGCGCGCACAGCGCCATCCGTCCTTGTTGGAGCTTGTCTTTGCCAGTTTAGCCAAGCCCGGAAGGATCTCTAGACAAAACCATCCCCACGCCAAGCCAGCCTTAAAGCGTATTGTGCGGCATGTCTCTCGTATGGCAGTCTGGCATTGGAGGGCACGGAGGTCTATGCTGCTTGGCATCTGCTTGGCTGGTCAGCGGAGCGGTATGTCCCCGCGTGGTCACTCGGAACAACCTGGGGTGCACCTGGGGTGCAGCGGTATTTATTGACCTCCACGAGGAAAATGCGGGATGAAGTTGCGGGGGTGGGTCGTGATGGTCTGGTATAAAACGGGGGATCTAGACGTGTGATTTGAATGGAATATGCCACAGAGATTCCGGGAGAATTACAGGTTTCTTATCGAATTCCCTGAACTTTTCTACGGACACCCTGTTGTCAATCAGACACCTCTATTTATTCTTCGCCGCAATGGCATCTTCCAATGAATTGGCCGATCCTATCCCGAGTGGCATGTTCGCACAGGCATGCCAGTCCTTCAAAGATCTCTTTATCTGGAAGCAGCGTGTTGAGGTAACCAATGAATACGGCGAGTCTCACACAGAATGGCAATCTCCAGAGCCAATCCAGAATCCCATCAGTCTGATGATGCAGCTGTCGGCACGAGACTGGTTGTTCTTTCTTGTTGGACTTGCTGCTTGGACGGCCGATGCATTCGATTTCCACGCTCTCTCTATCCAAACTGTCAAGCTGTCTGACTATTACGAAAGATCCAAGACAGATGTAACCACTGCCATCACCTTAACTCTTCTTCTAAGAAGTGTGGGCGCTGCTGGCTTTGGATTGGCTGGTGATAGATATGGTCGTAAGTGGCCAATGGTGGTCAACATGATTATCTTGGGTCTTTTGCAGATTGCTACTATCTATAGCCATACCTTCCAGCAGTTCTTGGCTGTGAGAAGTCTTTTTGGTCTTTTCATGGGCGGTGTGTATGGAAACGCTATTGCTATGGCGCTGGAGCATTGTCCGTAAGTGGAAAAACTGTCATAAATCTTTTCCTGTCCCTGTCGTCATATGATATGCATGGTTTACCCAAGTTACCCAAAAATGGGCAAAAGCATATGCAACAGAATATCAAAAGGAGGGCCACGGTATCCTCACAATTAGGGTTTCGTGACACCAACTGACATTTTCAATCTTAGTGTCAACGCAAGAGGTCTCATGTCCGGTATTCTCCAACAGGGCTATTCAATGGGCTATGTGTTCGCAGCTTGTGCCAACCTCGGTGTTGGTGGTTCAACCGAGAGCTGGAAGACAGTATTCTGGATTGCAGGTTAGTCCCCAGCCATACACAAAAAGGCTGGATATCACTAACGCTTCCCAGCTGGTCTTTCAATTGGAATTGGTCTTCTTCGTATCTGCTTCCCTGAATCAAAGCAATTCCTTGAAGCCAAAAAGGCTGGCAAGCGGACAATGTCCGCGGGCGAGTTCTGGAAAGAAACAAGAACCATGCTGGCGAAGGAGTGGCGCATGTGCGTCTACTGTGTCATTTTGATGACTTGGGTATGTACCCACCAATACTTTTCTTGATGGATAATATCTTACCAGTCCCTGTATAGTTCAACTTCTATTCGCATACCTCACAAGACTCCTATACAACTTTCATGCGCACTTCCAAGGAACTCGACAACTCAGCCGCCTCCCGGGCCTCCATTCTAATGAAAACCGGCGCCTGTGTAGGTGGAACCATCATTGGTTATCTGTCACAATTCTTCGGTCGTCGTCGCGCAATCATCGTCGCTGCACTAGTTTCTGGCGTCCTTATTCCAGCATGGATCCTCCCCCAAGGCGAGAGAAACCTTAGCGTGACAGGGTTCTTCATGCAGTTCTTCATTCAGGGAGCTTGGGGTGTGATCCCAATCCACCTGAATGAGCTTTCACCTCCCGCTTTCCGGTCCTCATTCCCCGGTCTCACATACCAGATTGGAAACATGATTTCCTCGCCATCAGCGCAGATCGTAAATGCTATTTCTGAGTCGACTTGGGTGACTAGTCCTTCGGGTCATCGGGTTCCGGCATATGGGCCTGTGATGGGGGTGGCTACTGCCATTATTGCGCTTGGTATTGCACTGACTACTTCTGTTGGGCCTGAGAAGCGCGGTCGTCGCTTTGAGTTTGTCACGGCTGCTGTTGATGAGTCTGCAAATGCTAAGAGTATGGATTTGGAGGCTGCTGATCAGGATCATAAGTCCCACGATGAGATGATTGAGATGGCTGATCAGAAGAAGTGAGCTACTTTGAAGGGTTATTGGTGGTTGTGGTTATCGCTTTTAACCGGGGTGATTCTTTGTGCTGGTCATTTTAGTCGTTCGATCATGGATATAAGTGTTTAACCCTCATGCCAAATATATTGGACTGCAAATTTTACCTTCATGCTGTAGTTGTCCGAATTCCATGTTAAGATCCGAAAGTGACGACCTTGGGAGCCCTTCCAAATAAATACCACGGCGATTTACTATTGATGTGATTTTTTATCAATCTTTTGTACAAGCGGTTGGCATTTCATGGCTTAACTTCGGGAAATGATGGTACCAAGACGGAATCAATATACAACATCGAGAGGGTTGCTGAACAGATATATATATATCGCACTCAATCTCTGCCGCTAACCAAAGTTCAATGGATGGTAAGAGCAGTGAAATATTGAATATCAAGGTGAATTTGCATAAGAAGCTATGACTAAGACTGACTGTTGTATTGTTCATCGCTCACCTTGCAGCACAAGCGCCGTGGAACATGCATCATCCTTCGAAGTGATTTAAGCTCTGAACAGCCGTGATGAAGTAAATATAGAATGGTCCCACTTCGGAATCAATGGACCTGTCTAGCCATGGTATGGATCAGACCAGATCATCATTAGCCTCGATGGACACGTTGATTCGACTGGGGCAACGAGCCTGGCTGGAGCAGGTCGTGCCACGGCCGAAGCCTTATGACGGGCTATTCCATGCTTGGGCTTGATGGATCAGAATGCATGGTCGTCAAGCAAAAACCAGTGCTCTACGGATTACGACAATTTACATCTACGTGGACTTACATAGCCTAAGCGGATAGGGACAGAAAGATAGGCCAGGTACTCAATCCACAGCGAGTAACCTCGAGGGAAGAGACCAACTCTTTGATAAAGCCGGGGAGGCGATGTCAAGCGAGTCTTGGTCAGGCACTTGGTATCGGTCGAGTGCCCGACCAAGTGCCCGCCAACCTTTTCATCAATGGTTATGCGGTAAACATCACCTGTTGTGAAGCCTCATTGTGAAAAGGGAAAAGCAGCAGTAAAATGTGAATAATTCATTCATGCCCCTAACACGCCTATCCTAGTTGCCGTGATAGGAAATCAAGACCATGCCTGTGCAGAGAACAAGAAGCTCTGTCGAGCCTCGCCGAAGTTGTTCCGAGGCGATTTTTTGTTTTCTCAATGGCGAGTGAGCCTTTTCGTTTATGGTTGAGTGCTTTATACAACGCATATCAACCTTCTCCGCCCATCATCGTCGTTAAATCCTTTACCGGACAATGCCGTCGAAGCGGTTCTTGAACTATTTTCGAGAATGATTAGCAAGAAGACAAGTCGAGTCTTGGAAGATGGACTAACCCATTTGATGGTCTCGTTCTCGTTGATGCGGTGGTTGACACCGATCTTAGCCTGGCAGCGGCGACGCTTGGCAACACGGGCACCGGGGCGGCCCCTAAAATTCTTGTCAGTTGACATTTCATAGGAATATTGTGCACCTCTGAGGGCTATCACTTCGGGCAACTCACATGCAGACGAAGAAGTCCATTCCGTAGATACCGATACCGGGGTCGTACTTGATACCGAGATCGATGTGCTCGGAGATACCGAATCCGAAGTTACCGGTCTCGGAGAAGTTGCGCTTGCGGAGCTCGTACTCCTTGACCTTGAGGCCACGCTCGAGGATCTCCTCGGCCTTGGCGCCACGGACGGTAACGTGGACGGAGATCTTTTCGTTACGACGGATACCGAAGGTACGGACGGTGTAACGGGCCTTGGAGTAGACGGGGGTCTGACCGGACAGCTGCTCAAGCACCTTGGCGGCACGGGTGAGACGATCACCAGACTCGCCGACGGAGATGTTGAGAACGAGCTTCGACAAGCGAAGCTCCTTCATGGGGTTGGATGCCTGGGCCTCGGACGACTGCATTTCGTTAGAATGATTTTGATTCGAATTTTCGCGAAGTTGGCGTTTTTGGAGAATGAGAGAGATTTCGAAGTGATTTGTAGGATGTAATTGTGTGTGATTGTGTATTAAATGGACTTACCATGTTGGCGGTTGATGGGCGTGAAGTAGTTGTCGACTAAAGGAATGGATCGATCACGAGAAAAGTGAAAGTGGTTTGTGTGGGCTCAATTTCAGCACGTGATGAGAGAGCCCTGAGTCTGCCTAATCGGGACAAGTGGGGCATGGCCATTGAGTCCTCAGGCATCCATAAAGATGGTGCTGACTCAATGCTTACTAACCAAATATCAAGAACTGCCACCCGACAGAGCTTAAGCTTGACAACGACGAAGAACTCGCGCCGTCGCTCAATTCCCCCACAGTAGAGAGTCTCGCTCTATCTACTGTTTCCTATTTTTTGATCTTCCAAGTCGCACACGTGCGCGCTTCCCAGCCACCATGGCCGCAAACAAGATGGTAAGTTCCACGTCCCTATCCGCACCTCAACCCGTGTCAATGGCTATCGCTAACTGCTTTCTTCTAGGCAAACCTCGTGAGTTTACTTGGGCTATAGCCTGTTGCGCTTGAGAATGCCTAACATTTCATATAGATCAACTACCGGATGAGGGTGACCCTCAATGACGGTCGCCAGATGACCGGTCAGATGCTTGCATTTGATAAGGTACATGATCTTGCTCAGCAATCCATATATCTCAGCTAATCTTACCTCTCCATAGCACATGAACCTTGTTCTCGCCGACACAGAAGAATTCCGTCGTACTAAGAAGAAGTCGAAGCCCGCTGCCGCCCCCGGAAGCGCCCCGCAGATCGAAGCAGAAGAGAAGCGAACCCTCGGTCTGACTATCGTGCGCGGCACTCAAGTCGTCTCATGCTCCGTTGACGGTCCTCCCCCCGCCGACCCATCAGCCCGTCTCGGCGCCGCTGGGCCTGGCGCCGCTGCTACACTCGCCGCAGGCCCTGGTATCAGCAAGCCAGCTGGCCGCGGCCTGCCCGTCGGACTCGGCGGTCCAGCTGCTGGTGTCGGGGGACCTCCTCCTCCCGGTGGCTTTGGCTTCCCCCCTGCTGGTTTCCCCGGTGCCCCACCTCCAGGCTTCGCTCCTGGACGTGGTGGTCCTCCTGGTGGTCCTCGTAAATTATTCCAGTTACCCTATTGATAAAACCACATGCTGACTATGTACGATCTAGCCGGCTTTGCTCCCCCTCCCGGATTTGCTCCCCAAGGCGGACCCCGTAAGTTTCTACACAGCAGCCTCTTTCCCATGCGCAGCGCTAACATTGGAATTAGCTGCCGGTTTCCAACCTCCCCCTGGCTTCCAGCCTCCTGGACAGGGACGTGGGTACCCTCCTCCTGGATTTGGCAGGTAAATGGACTTGTGTACAGAGACATATTCTACGCTTGACATCATCGGCGATCTGATTTCAACTGGCAAGAAACAAGCACCACTCAGCGCTGAAAAGAAACCACTGTCGACGCTTCCAGTGGATAAATGATATGCGTACCGGCTAGATCAACCCACATTTTATTGGGCAAGGCGTTGTGGCGCATGGACGGAGGTCGTGTCAAGGGCCGGGGACAAAAAGACCAAAATCCTCATGAAATTTGCATTAGGTTAAAAATTAATGCTAGCTTACTTTAACACGGCTCTCCTTTTCCAACTCTCTAAGTTGACTTGCGTATTACTGTTTTCATATATATAAAATTTAAATGCCGATGTGTATATCTCCCGGTGACAAGCTTGTAAATGCGGCGAACGCATCTGGTTAGTATAGTCCCAAATACAATCCAGATTGTAATGCCAGTCACATTGATTAATTACGACTCACGCCAAACCCTCCAATTTCTCATCGAAAGAAATACTCGCTCTATCTCTAAATCCCAATCGACGTAGTAGTGACTCACGTGACAGCCGCCGAACGCCGGGCCCTCGAGTTAATTCCGCAACCTCCATATACCGACCTCACCTCCTCGACCCCCAATCCCGCAGGAACTTTCCCAGTAACTTCAAAATGGCTGCTTTCATCAAGGCAATCAACGCCAAGATCCGCTCCAACTCGGTGCTGGACTATGTCTGCTCAACTCGTACGTATCGATGCCAAGTTTCCCGAAGCTCTTCCCGCACCGAGATCGGCCAACGAGACCGCACGAGAACATAAGCATTGGAAGCGACGTCGAGGGTCGAAGGAATGAGCCTTCGCCGGAACGGCGCGCTTGGATGGAAACCACCCGTCGAGAACTTACGCGGATTGCTGACTGTCAATGGCGCCTCTTAGACTTCTGGGGCCCTGTCTCCAACTTCGGTATTCCCATCGCCGCTGTGATGGACACGCAGAAGGATGCTGAGATGTATGTTTTGGATCCATGACACCAGGGAGATTTGAACTCTCGTTTATTGCTCTGTGTGTCTGTTTCGGGACGATTGTACTGATAGCTTCACTTATAGCATCTCCGGCCCCATGACCGGTGCTCTTGTCGTCTACGCCGCTACCTTCATGCGCTACTCCCTCGCTGTCACACCTGCCAACTACCTGCTCTTCGCTTGCCACCTGACCAACTTCGGTGCCCAGTCTACCCAGGCATACCGTTATCTCAACTACTGGAAGTACGTTACCGTCCAAGATAAGACCGTCCGGCTTTGTTTAGCGCCCATAATCCCCGGAATTATATGCTTACATATTGTTCTCTCTACAGCTTCGGTGGCCGGGAAAAGCAGCTCGCTGAGAAGGCTGCCGCTAAGGGTGCTGCCGCTCCCGAGGTCGGTGCTTAAATAGTCCGATAAGATTATATTGGGTGTACTTTTCGTTCTTGTTGGGGCTCTCATAGGCATCATCTCTCGTTCTGCAGCGTTGTATGTCCGCATGTGGTCCGATGGTCTTGTCTGAGCCTGAAAATCTGGGGTTTCAGGCAATGCTAATAGATGAGGCATATAAAGAGGACTTGCGGTTTTGAGGAAGATTCTTATCTATCGACACTAAATGCTTTGCAGCTGTGGTGTTCCGGTAGCCATTGTACATAGGCTCTTTGCACTTGAATCATATTTCAATTTGGAATGTCTCGATTTTTTGAATGTATTGAAGACAAATGCCTGGTTAGTCTAAGTAGTTCATTTGCTGACCTTGGCGAAAAAAGACAAGGAGAAAGATCAAATACATATTCGGTAGATATGATTCCAAAAACCGGGATGGTATGTGTACAGAAGCACCACTCGACCTACAGTCGCCTGATGTAGTGATACTTTGGTCAAGATTGTGAACACGCAGCTTCGTCCAAGCGTCGAAGCACCAGAAAAACCCCATATGCCACAATTTAGGGTTGTATAGAAAGCAAGAGAAATGCAACAAGATCAAAGGGCCATTTCGCCACGCTCTACAACAGTCAAAGAAATAATCAAGATCTTAATGAGAGTCACAGTATCCCGGGCTCTGAGGAACCTCAGGACCGAGCCAGTTCCCGATGGTCAGGGAGGTCGTGTAGACGCAACAGATGGCACCGAAGACTGCGAGGGCAACGTCGGCGATGGCTTGACGTTTGGAGTGAGCACAAGCACGCAGGTGCAGAAGGGGCTAAGACATGGTAAGTAGGTGATTGAGAAATCTGCATAGAGAAGAACATACCGGGTAAACATAGATCAATGGAACACAAGCGAAGCTTCCGACCAGCGAAACGAACTTGTCAAGATCATCGGCACCGCACCAGGCGACAACAGAACAGATCATAACAAGGAAGAAACGGAAGCCGTTCTTCTTCCACTTGATGTATGGGTTGTACTTGCCACTACGGGTGAACAACTCGTTCTCCATGATACGGATCGCGGGGAAAAGCTGCAGCGGAGTGCTCAACAAAATGGCGAGAGAGTAGAGGAACTGGACCACGTTGACAAACTTGTCATCCTGGGGAAGGTTCAGAAGGATGACAGTCTTGGTGGTGGATCCGTATGCCGCGTAACTTAGGGCACCGGCAGACAGGAAAATGATGGTGATAACAACCATGACACCAGCAAGCACACCAGGGAAGCGGTGAGGTTGCTTCATCGACTCTTGAATGGGAATGATGAGACCTATGCCTTCGTAGGTGAAAATGGCGGTACCGATGAACATGGACCATGTAGTCGGGTTAAAGGAAATGACATCGGAGATACCACCCTGGTTGACCAACGTGGTGACATCGTAGTAGTAGATATATAGCAATCCCAGGAGGATAAACACATCCGCAATGAGCGCGGTGAATCCGAGCTTGCTGATATCCCGAACCAAAGACAAAGGCAGGAAGATGATAAGCTGCAGAAGCACCATATACTTGATGTCAATGAAGGTAGCACACTTGCTCACAGCAAGTACAAATGCCTGCAGATTCTGCGAAACAAAGACGATGTACGCTGACACGAAGCCCAGCTGACTAAGGACAATTGACCCAAGAATGATTCGTCGCATGTGCTTGCCGTACAGAATACCACCGATGTCACCGAAAGAACCATCGATCTTCATGCGGGTGTTGACGAGAAGGATGAAGGCGTAGTAGCTCAAAATCGACACAGCTAGTAAAACCATGCTACTGAAGAGCATACCACCATTTAAGAAGGCACGGGGCAGGAACAAAATACCGGTACCCACGAACGACTTGAGCAGTAACATCACAGCACCTGTTGTCGTAGTATTGCCAACCGGTGAACGCTGCTTGTGCTTTCTCTTCTTCCGACCTGGTGTTTCTGGAGCCAATAGTGCCGCATCTTCACCAGACTCTCTACCTTCCTCTGGCTCATCCCAAGCATCGGATGAAAAGTATTCATCAGGCCCAAGGACCTCGTCATCTTCCTCCAGCTCCTCTCCAGCGAAGTGACCATAAAGGGTCAAGAATTCCAAGAAGCTTGTGGTAGGTAGCTGGGGAGGGCCAATATCCCCCTGGGCACTTCCACGGTGAGGGCTACCAGCAGCTCTCCGAAGATAGTCTCTACGGAAGCCTCCTGGAACACGAATTGTGTCGATATCCTCCGTCTCATGCTCTGGCCTTGGTCGGCTGACGCTGAAACTCTTGCTGCGCATGAATCGACCTGCAGCTTCTGCCTCAGCATCCTCTGCCCACCGATACACCTGTCGTGTAATATCACCACCCTGTAGTTGTAAACTTGAGAAGTGCTCGTCTCCTATGCTGGCCGCAATATCTGACTGGCCATCTCCCTGATCAGTCACCAGATGTCTTTTGATAACCTCAGGATCTTCATACGGTGCCACTCCAGGGCCGGGTGACTGGCGTCCGTTCTTCGTATCAAAAGATCCGTACTGTGAGGCGACCGGCCGGGGATCTAGATGCAACGCTGGAGACCCAGTGTTTCGCGACGGAGTTCCAAACCTCGGCGGTGAGCGACCCAGGCTCTCTTGAAGCTGAGACGCAATCATAGATTGTCCAGGACCGGGAAGTGAAGCTGTATGAGCGAATGATTTCGAGAAGTCCTGCTCATTGTTGGTTGCGATAGGTCGACCGGCTGGAATCCCTTGCCGAGAAGACAAAGAAGTTCCAAACGACGGGGAGGGTACCGGGGACGCAAGTCGTGCAATGGAAGCCTGTCTAGTACCACTCTCAGGCCCGGGGGACCTCGAGCGTACCGAGGAGGCTATTGGCACAGATCGAGCTGGAGTTAGGGACGAGCCCTCTCCGTTATCTGTCATTATAAATGTGGTCTCAGGGTGAGCCCCAGGGATATTTTAAAAACGAAGAATGGACATGAACAATCTTTAGACCGACAATGTTCCAGGAGACGATTTCAGAATGTGAAACAGCCAGATGCAACTGAGGAGTGGTCTGAGACGCTAAGCGGCGAGGATCCAAGCTGACAGTGTTTGCACTGTTTGCTTTGCGTCATCCATTGGTTGTTATCGGACCTGCGAGATGATGTAGGTGGGTGGTTGGTTTCTTCATGTGTTTGAATTTCTACTTCTTCTCTTGTTTCTTTTTGTACATTCGAGTATCGGCCTTATGTCCATATAGACGTTGCATTTTGCTATGACGCCTGAACGAGCCGGAACATCCTCCGACTCCTTGTCTCGCAGACGACCCAACTTCTCCACGCGCAGTGCTACAGAAGATACCTCGCGGCTAGCTCCAGGCGACTCGAGCCAGGCTCCCGCCGATGAACGCACTCGGTTATTACAATGGCCACCGACTCGATGGGCCCGTCCGTATGAGCCAGTGAATTCGTCAGAACCCGCGGAGGATCAGCGCCATTCATCACCCACCGACTATGTTAGAGGAATTTCGAAATGGTGGCATAATAGAGGAGAGAATTCTGAGAACACAGATAGCAGAGAGACTGCTTCCTCGCAAATGGGACCTCCAGGTCCTCTGCGCGACTCTAGCGTCGATAGGAAGGACAAGGGACATCGGTCTCGATCGGTAGACGAACCCAAGAAGCTTGGAACCTTCTCTGGCGTATTTGTTCCGACAACTTTGAATGTGCTGAGCATTCTCATGTTCCTTAGATTCGGGTTTATTCTAGGACAAGCTGGTGTACTGGGTATCCTAGGTGAGTAGACTTCCGTAGATGATTTGGCCTATGCTAATCAATTGAAGGTCTGCTACTTGTCTCGTACACAATCAACCTTGTGACAACAATGTCTCTGTCCGCAATCGCAACAAATGGAACTGTTCGAGGAGGCGGTGCATACTACCTGATCTCTCGCTCCCTGGGTCCTGAGTTTGGTGGCTCAATCGGCATCGTATTCTACCTGGGCTACGTCTTTAACACTGGAATGAACGCTGTCGGTCTAGTGGATTGCTTTACCCAGAACTTCGGCACAGAGTCCGGCGATTGGGCCAATTTCCTCGAAGAAGGATTCTGGTGGCAGTACCTCTGGGGTACCGTTATCCTTGTGTTTTGCACTGGTATCTGTTTGGCAGGAAGTTCCATTTTCGCCAGAGCGAGTAATGGGCTTCTTATCATACTACTTGTGGCGACCTTCAGCATTCCACTTTCCGCTCTTTTCATGAAGCCTTTCTCTTCTCCTCATCTTGGCGTTGAGTTCACAGGACTTCGTTTAAAGACTTTGATGGGAAATCTTAAACCACATCTTACCAAGGGGGCCGCAGGAAGTCAACTGAAAGGACGTGAGAATTTCCAAGATCTCTTTGGTATTCTCTTCCCTGCCACAGGAGGCATTTTCGCGTGAGTGGGAGAGCACACCCCCAATCGTAGCTTACTGACCGGTAGTAGTGGTGCAAGTATGTCTGGCGACTTGAAGAATCCAAGCAAAGCTATCCCTAAGGGTACGCTTGCCGGGCTGGCATTGACATTTGTCACATATGGGCTTGTTATTCTTGCAATGGCAGCGTCTGTCACCCGAGAGTCATTCTATAACAACGTGAATGTGATTCAAGTTGTGAGTTATAATTTGCATAAAGATGATCGCATGATCTAATTGAATTCAGGTCAATGCCTCCGACGTGGTCATCCTTCTTGGAGAATTCGCAACCAGCTTTTTCTCCGCCCTGATGGGTGTGATTGGGTCTGCGAAACTCCTTCAGGCTATCGCAAGAGACAGCCTCCTACCTGGGATTGGCATATTTGGCCAGGGAACTCGCAAAAACGACGAGCCAGTCTATGCAATTATAGTGACATTTGTATTCGCCCAAGTCACAATGCTTTTCGACATTAATCGCATCGCATCCTTTGTCACTATGACTTACCTGATGACATTCCTTGTGATGAATCTTGCTTGTTTCCTGTTGAAAATTGGCTCTGCGCCCAATTTCCGTCCTTCTTTCCATTACTTCAATTGGCAGACTGCAGCGGCCGGAACGTTGGTCAGTGGTGTCAGCATGTTCTTTGTGGATGGACTCTATGCTTCGGGATGTGTTAGCATATTGGTGATGCTGTTCCTGCTAATTCATTATAGCTCGCCACCAAAACCCTGGGGCGATGTCAGCCAGAGCCTGATCTACCACCAAGTGCGCAAATACCTGCTCCGTCTTCGCCAGGAGCATGTCAAGTTCTGGCGTCCTCAAATCTTGTTGTTTGTCAGTGATCTCGACAGACAATACAAGATGGTCTCTTTTTGCAATTCGTTAAAAAAAGGAGCTTTGTTTGTGTTAGCTCATGTTCTTGTGACAGATGACTTTTCTGCAGCCGTCCCTGAAGCGCGCCGTCAACATACGGCCTGGACAAAGTTCGTTGAATATTCCAAGATCAAAGCCTTTGTGAATATTTCTATTTCTCCAGCAGCAGAATGGGGAATGCGGAACATTGTCTTGAACTCAGGGTTGGGAGGCATGCGCCCGAATATTGTCGTGATCGACCAATTCCGACAAGACCAGTCGCTCGTTGAAACTTTCTCGAACACCGGTCGAAGAGATTCCAAGACAAGGCGTTCCTCATCCCAGGGCCCTGGAACAGACGAGCCTCAGAATCGACCAAAAAGCCCGCCGATGAGTGGTCAGAGTTACGTCACAATACTTGAGGATCTTCTTTTCAAGCTACGAATCAATGTTGCTGTAGCAAAAGGATTCGAAGATCTAGAGCTACCCGACGCACACGGTCGTCACACGAAGAAATATATCGACTTGTGGCCGATTCAAATGTCGGCCGAGCTCGGGGCTGACAACGAAAGCAAACAAAACGTGCTCACGACTAATTTCGACACATACACTCTTATCCTTCAGCTGGGCTGTATTTTGAACACTGTGCCCTCATGGAAAAAGACCTACAAAATCCGAGTGGCAGTGTTTGTGGAGTATGAGACCGACGTGGAAGATGAAAGAGCACGAGTTGAGGCTCTTCTTGAGAAACTACGGATTGAGGCTGAAGTCTTGGTATTCTGGCTTGCTTGCGGTGACCTCCAGGCTTACCGGATCATTGTAAACGGCGATATTTCATCAGCCACAGCCGATTCCCAAGAGAAGGTTCGATCCACTTTGCAAGGAGAAGAATGGTGGCAGGGAATCTCGCGAGCTCGCGCTCAAGACCAGGGTCAGATTATTGATACGGGAAGCAACAGCCTGCCACAGGACAGAGCTTACAGCTGGCAAGGTCCATCGAGTCAAGACAGTGGATCCACAAATCTGCGCCGGCGAGTATCTGGCCTGAGACGATTGATCCAGTCCACTCGCCGCAGACGGTCTATTTCAAGTTTCCGAGCTCTAGGTGGAGTGAACCTTGGTATGCAAACACATCGATTGTTGGATTCCTTTGTCGACTACGATAGTTCGGACGGCTCAAGCTCAAGCTCGGACAGTGAAATGGAAGGTTACACTAGCGAACCCGAGATCAATGATGGGGATATAGCCACCCCTGAGCCTGGAGCTGGTCCCTCGCGGCTTCTTAGTCGGTCCAAGACTGATGACGGCAGTCCTAGTTCGGCTTCTCCCAATACACAGATACCTACACCTCGCGTTGAAGATACCCCAACCAGCCTCCCGGTGCCATCGATCATTGCAACGGAAGATGACGCCTCGCCGAAGAGTAAAACTCCCGTGCGACGGCCTCCCATGAGCCGCTCTGCATCTAGCAATCGGTTCAGCTCCTCTCCAATCCCAGAAGCCAAGGTCAACACGGAAGCCGAAGAGGACAATGGGCCATCCATTATGTTCGCCGCTCAAAATTCCCCTCCCAGATCCAACAAACTTGATTCAATCTACGCCCGCCGACCGTCTGCCACGCCACCCACTATCCGCAGCCACAACAGTGCATCTGGATACCCCAGCACAGCCTCACACCCATTGTCCTTCAACGACCTACCCAGCCGAGCCCAGCATTTGATTTTAAATGAGTTGATGGTCCAGCATAGTGGCGACACAGCCGTTATTTTCACGACCCTGCCGTCTCCCGTGGAGGGCACCTCACTAAGCGAAGAGGACAGTGCGTCGTACCTGAGTGACTTGGAGGTGCTGTGGCAAGACTTGCCGCCTTGTCTTTTGGTACACAGCAACAGCATGACCGTGACGATGAACCTGTGATGACTTGACGACCTTTGCAAATTAGACCAAGTTGTGCTGTTGTATCGTACATAAGCGCCTAGATTTTGTGTGATTTTTCGGGACTGGTGCAGATGGTGACTACTGTACTGTATGTGCCCCCTTGCATTACTCTGACCGATACAAATACATATCCTATTTTTATTTCATGCGCATAAAGGCACCATCCATTGTAAACTATCTGGGTTGAAGTTTGTCGTTGCCTGTGTTTACTGTAGAGTCGATCATTCCGGCGCTACTGCACGCCACAAAATCTCTGCACTCTCAGCTTCTAGAAAGCCCCAAGAGGAGTATATCCAGTAAATAATGCAAATAGCCGACTAAGAACCCCAAATCCAGCCATTAGGAACGCGAGGAATAGCTGCACACATAAGCGATCTATACACTAATTAAACGTCTGACCAATTGCGATTGCAGCTGTTCTGATTGGGTGCGTCGCGTTCCCTCGTATACTCAGTAGTATCGAGAACTCCCCCGACTTTACTCCAGATAAGTCCAGGGTCTCTCCATTGCTTGTTTTCTGACTTGGACATTCCGTTGACTATGTTGAGCGTTGTTCACGTTGAATGTTTGCCCCTTTAATTTTCAAAGTTCTAATCGAATCTTCCGCATCGCCGCATCGCCGCATCACCATCTCCATCTCCACCTCCTTGTTCCCCCCCTCACATTCTAGCCCGCCATGACCGAAAGCCCTATTCGTCGATTGAACGGCATGAAAGCTTCAGCTCTCCCCCAGCGTCGCTCTGTCGCCCACTTTCTCCCTGACAACCCCGTGAACGGTGTAGCGGTGCCTATTCCTCCCAGGGGCGAGAATGGCTTGGATGACAGCTCCGACAGTGCCTCTTCCACAGAATCGCAAATGAATGACATGGAGGAACCCAAACGGCCAGTCATGTCTCGCAAGGCTTCATCGCCTATGGCGCCCACATTCATGGTGTCTGCCCCAGGCAAGGTCATCGTGTTTGGAGAACACGCTGTGGTCCATGGCAAGGCTGCCATGGCAGCAGCAATTTCCCTCCGCTCCTATCTCCTCGTCACAACCCTTTCCAAATCGCAGCGCACAATCACTTTGAACTTCCGCGATCTAGGTCTCAATCACACCTGGGACATTGACACTTTACCCTGGGACAAGTTCCACGACCCCTCAAAAAAGAAGTTCTACTATAGTCTCGTCACGGACCTCGACCCCGAACTGGTCGAATCGCTCGAGCCACATCTCCAGGGCGTCTCCAAGGGCCACCCAGATCGCAAAACCCACATCCGCTCCGCCTCCGCCTTCCTCTACCTCTTCCTCTCCCTAGGCTCCCCCCAAAGCCCAGGCGCCATCTACACCCTCCGATCCACCATCCCAATTGGAGCCGGCCTAGGCAGTAGCGCCAGTGTTTGCGTCTGTCTCAGTTCCGCACTCCTTCTCCAGATCCGTACCCTCGCCGGCCCCCACCCAGACCAACCGCCCGAAGAAGCAGAGACCCAGATCGAGCGTATCAACCGCTGGGCTTTCGTCGGAGAGCTTTGCATTCATGGCAACCCCAGTGGGGTGGACAACACGGTGGCCGCAGGCGGCAAGGCCGTGATCTTCCGTCGCGACGATTACACGAAGCCCCCGACTGTTACGCCGCTCCCCACATTCCCCGAGCTGCCCCTCCTACTTGTTGACACCCGGCAAGCGCGTTCCACGAAGACAGAAGTCGACAAGGTCGGCAACTTGAAATCAGCCCACCCTATCGTGACGGAGTCTATCCTCGACTCTATCGATCAGGTGACCTGCTCGGCGCAACGCTTGATCCAGGACCCCAACTTCGAGGGTATCTCCGAAAAGACACTCGCCCACTTTGGTACCTTGATTCGCATCAACCATGGCTTCCTTGTCTCTCTTGGGGTCTCTCACCCACGCCTCGAGCGGATTCGTGAACTCGTGGATTATGCCGACATTGGCTGGACGAAGTTGACCGGTGCAGGCGGAGGTGGATGTGCCATTACACTCCTCCGTCCAGACGCCAAGCCCGAAGTCAGAGAAGAACTCGAAGACAGCTTCGTCAATGAAGGCTTTGACAAGTACGAAGTCACTCTGGGTGGTGACGGTGTAGGTGTTCTCTACCCCGCCGTCCTGCGCAACGGCACAGACGAAGAGGGCGGCGAAGAGATTGATCAGCAGAAATTCGAAGAAGCTGTTGGTGTCGACGGCATCAAACGTCTCGTCGGTGTTGGCGAGGGATGGAAATACTGGCAGCGGGCTACTACTTACTAAATCGCCTTGGCCAAGACTTGACTTGCATATCCCTCCGCATGTGATTGTCCGAGTCCCGCAAACCTCTGCCAACGATTCAGCTTGATTCGATCTGCTGGTTTTGACTTGGATCTTGGACTTCTTACTCTGCTCTACCCTAACCTACCCCTACTCCTTCTTGTCCCATTCTTTGTACACATTATCGACCATATGCATTATACTCCACCTTTTTCATCCTTGATATTCTCCTTGGAACTCTGTTGTGAATGTCCCCTTGGCCATGACCTCACCTCTATCTGCATCCTCATTTCTATTCTATTCTCCTTCTCCTTCTGCTCGTGCCTCTTTTCAACGCTACTCACATCCTTTAACTTTCGGGCTTTCAGGTCTCTCTTTGCATAATATGATTTCCCAGTTAATAGACTTGCCCTTAGAGGGTTGTTCTACCCACTGGATGATTGGAATTTAGGAGTATGGATTCAATCAATTGATTTTAATATTACCACTTCTATTCCTTGTAGGATAAGCACCATATCCCACCGCTTCTCGTCGTTCGCTTAGAATAAACCACAGCGAAGTATATTCCACAAGAGAATCAACCATAACCATCAGCCATCAACCGTACCAACATACCAACATACCAAACACAAGCATCAAGAACCGAATCCCACCCGACAGCACATCCATATCTTTTCCCACACCAACAAATCAAACAAGAGCAAAAAGGGTATCCAAAATCTATCAAAAAGAAAAAAAAACAAAACTAATCCATATACATCCCCATCCACCAAGAAACCCACCATCAAACATTCCTCCAAGTTGCCCAAGTCACCCCATCGTAGTCTCCCACCGATGATCCAACATAACATCCACCCAAAAAACATCATCCCGACCCTCATCCATGCGCCTCCAGACCTCCGTGACAAGCTTCAGACAAACACGAATAGGCTTCGGCGGGAGCAGATGCATGAAATGATTCAATCGGCCCAGGATGAACTGTCTCGTGCGCGAGACTTCAATTGCCTCCATTGATATAGTTGGGTGATGGGTTCCGCCATTGGGATTGGAATTGGACTTGTTATCGGTGGAATGCTCAGTCCCATCTTGCTCGTTGTCATTGTCCTGCTCGGATGCTTGGAGGGGTAGATGCGGCAGACGTAGTTCCGAGCATGAGGCGACTAGCAGGAAGGGCTGGAGACAGCGGGTTCGGGATTCCAGGGGAATGGTCTTTAGACGCGAGAGGGTTGTTGTGGCGAATTCGGTTAGCCAGGTGTTGTAGAGGGCTTCGCGGTCTGGTGGGTCCTGGGTTGGGGTTTGGGTTGGATTTGGGATTGGAGTTGTGGTTTGGTGTATCGTTGATGGGGTAGGGGTAGGGGTGGTGGTGGGATCTGCGGAATTGGGGCCTTGATTTGGTGTCTCGGGACTTTGGGTTGCAAAGGCTGAGAGGTTCATGCTGTCTAGATCGACGGGGAAGAATGGATCTCTTGAGGTTGATGTTGTGCTTCCTGGGCAGTGGAATGTGGTGGAGGCTGATGTTTGTGGAAGACGGTTGTATAGCAGGTCTGGGAAGACGCGGTAGAGCTGCATTAGGCCAGTGCATCTGTAGACTTCGGCCATGGTGAGGAGGTGCCAGACTGGGGTGTCGTCGTCGCCGGGACTGACTATTTCGGCTTCGGATGGGTGGGCTAGGGCTAAGAGGCGCTCTTCAAGTTCGAAGGATTTCTCAATTGCTGATTGTGCGCGAGTGATGTCCTCTTGAGAGGTGTATCTTCTTGATCGAATGCGTTTTCGCTCTCGGCGGATCAGTTGGCCAACTTCGTGCACGGTGAATTGTGTTTCGCGTGCAATGCCGGTCCAGGGATGTGGGACTCGTTGGAGAACGAGAGACTCACTTGATGATGAGGAGTGGGAGGTTTGTGATAGGATCATTGTGTCGTTGTCTGTGACGAACGACAGAAGCATTTCCCAATATATCAGAGCTTCTTCGAAGAACCGATAATTATTACTGTCGTTTTTGTTGAAGCTGAAATCTTGGCTGTGCGAGGTTGATGATATAGTGTTGAGCTGCTTACGGAGCGTATTGAAGAATGATATACCTAGATCAGTTGGATCATGCCAGCTAGCTGTCTGTCCGAGCATGAGGAGCGCCAGTAACGACTTATCGTCCATTACTTCTTCACGGTTAATGATCTCAACAGCCTCGTTTCGCATCTTTCGGCCCATTGGACCAAACTGAGGGAAGTCGTTGACCAGAGTTGCGGCCGCCATGCTTTGCATTGTTCGACACATTGCCAGAGAGGAACCCCAAAGACGAGAAACCGTAGTTCGGAAGGGGTTCATTTGACTGTCGTAACTTGAGAACAATGCCGCCACCTCTTTAAAATAGTATTCGATAAGAGTCCATGAGGGGTTGTTCAATGAACGAGACATTGTCATCAAATTACGAGGCGCAGACCGTTGAGATATAGGGGGATAGCTGCGGACAATAGTCGCAGGAGAAAAGTCTCGCAATGCAATATCACCCTGCTCCTCAGGTGCGGGAGTCGGTCCAATAAGTGACATGAAATGCGAAAGATCAGCCCCAACGTCTCTAGACTGGCCGAAGTCCTGAGCAAAGTCTCTCGATTGCGGAAAAGACGGTGATGCTGCCGTCATTGGTGATAGATCTGTCAATTCGGGTAAGCCCCCACCGGGAAGATCCCAAAGGTTATCGCAGAGCGAATTTGACTCGTCCAAGTCGAAGCTCCCTGATTCCAAGTGGTGATGCTCAAAGGTCGACTCATCTTGCGCCACCACAGGCGGCTGATTTGGCGCAGTCGACCTGACCTCGGTCTCGGAAGTCGATGCGGCAGGACTCTCAGTGATCCATCGTAAAGACTTTAGATATCCAGGGCATCGGACTCCTAAACGTGTGCACCGGGAACACTCTGGTTGAAGTTCGTCACATTTGACTCGTTTACTCTTGCATCTCCCACAGCCATTGCGCGATTTCTTGACTCGCCGCATAGCTGAAAGAAGATGGAGATATCAAAAGTGCCAGGCAGACATGACCAAGATGCGGAGTATAAGTGTGAGGAGAAGTGTGCGGGGAGGTTTTGGGATCTTTTGCCCTCTTTGGGATAACCTTATCTGACATAATACACATTGGCCTCTAGCCCTAACATCTTGGACGTCATATGCATAGATAACACTTGGAACACAGTATAAACTAAACATCATTCACAGCTAACCATTAAACCCTTCAGGTTCCAAGGACCATGGAGCCATGAGGTTGAAATAACTAACTAACTATACATGATGACTCAGCTTCTCGCAAGATCTCGGGACTCGGCCTTTCAAGATTGGCGGCTTGGTAACCAACTTACCAGGTTTACTCCCGAACTATGTTACTTATGACAAGCAGCAGGGTAAGTGACCGCATTTCAAATTTCTGCGTCATGGCTCTTATTCGACAGGCAATCACAAGAAGACTCGTTCAAACTGCGAGATTCAATCCCTTGAAGCTAGTGGTGGTCCCAGCAACTGGTCTGAGACCATCCCAAAGCGGCCGGGAGCGAGCAATTGAGAAGATACCATTTCACCACACATTCTACCAACCTAGCTTGACCCGCAAATTTCACTCCTCGCCCATTGTCATGGCAAACCCGTCGGAGCTGAAGCAAACTCTCACGCCAGCTCTCCTCGATGAGGTCCATGCCTTATGGTTCGACCATCTGGAAAGCAAGGATGCTCTCGTCCTACCAAAGATGAGTGATATGGGCCGCTGGTTTAAACAAGACTCTGAATTTGACAAGCTCTGCGTGTAAGTACTCAACATCTGACCCTTGAAATATATCAAAACTAACGAGACAAAGCGCAAATTTCCGCCCAGCTTTGGAAACAATTGTGAACTCTGGAGCCTCCGACTCGGATATCATCGCTGCGGTGAATCCAGCTTCGCCAATGGATTGGATTAACATGATCCTTTTGTTAGACCAGATGCCTCGCAATTGCTTCCGAGGAGACGAATCAAGATTGGTCTTTCAAACTTTTGATCGTGAGTGTTGACTACCCAGCCCTCGTCTCAATCCTAAATATAGTACTGTGACTGATTAAGGCACAGCTCTGGCCGAGAAAATTGCCCTCAAGGCACTCAAAGCGAACATTCCGACTCAGTCATCTTACTTCCGCTATCGATTAGCTTATCGAACTTGGTTTCATCTACCCCTCATGCACTCTGAAGATCTGGCTGTTCACGAGAAAGCTGTTCAAGTGCATGCGGATACAGCCAAGGATATGGAGGAGTTTGTTGCCAGGGACACTTTGACACTCTCCGAGGAAGAGAAAGAATGTCATGACATTCTAATCAACCAAGTGGATCATCTGAGAAATTTCTTGAAGGTCAATGATGAGTTTGAGAAAAAGCACAAGGTCATTATTGACCAGTTTGGACGGTACCCGCATAGAAATCAGGCGCTCGGAAGGATTTCCACCCCGGAAGAAATTCAATACTTGGAAAATGGTGGTGAGACTTTCTCGTGAATGCAGAAGTTTTTAGTGTACATTAGTTGAGCTATAAATTATATTTGAGTCTCATTGAATAAGATTAGGTCCTGAAGAGTATGCGAGACTCACTCGACGCGCAAACCGGTGTGGTGCTCATGTTGAGATCAGAATACGCAGATCCTGATACGAATGACCTTGAGGTCCGCGTCTCGGGTGAGCTGATCTATTTAGCAACCAAAGAGTCTGGACTGTTCAGATTCACCCTAGGGAGCCATAAAGTGATCGTGGTTGTAGCTAGAAAACCAGGGATTCAAAGCAAATAAGGAACCGGACGATATGCGGAACAGAAGACTAGGATCGATTTGATTGAGTTCTCGTTAATGATTGTGTCGGCAGTTGATTTCGATGATAATGAAAGATGCACTGTTTTGCCCAACTTGCCATCCATTCTCATTCTCAATCCTCTTTCTTCACTTCTGTCTTCTTCTATTTCTCCTCCATCTGACTGCCCCAGGTGCAACATGCCACCACTGTACGATGCTGATCCAGTTTCGAATGATACATCTGACCTGAGTCTCTCTCCTGCTGAAGATTACTGCGAGTTTGATTTTTCCAGTGATCATGGCGACGCCCCCATTTCTGGGCTTGCGCCAATGAATACCAACGCGGACCAGGACGACACAGCCCTGGGTTTGTTACAATATGCAAGACCCAGTATCTTTTGCCTAGCTAATCAGGAATGCCAATAGAAAGCAAAGATCAAGTCCAGAGTCTGATCAATCCTGATGGCTCAGATATGCGCCGCATGTCGGACAACATCGACAGAGACTTGATCACCATCCCCCAGCACACGAGCTCCGATGGCAACGCACCCACCCCTGAGATACCGCGTCGATCTGGTCGTTTGAAGAGCAAGCATGTTACAACTCCAAACCCGCGAAATTACAAACCCATTAAGTTGAAACCTTCGAAGCCTTCGTCAAAGAAGCAAAAACCAGCTGCTTCTCCTGCCAATGACGAGAGCGTTCAGCCCGTTATCCTCCGTTTGGCATCAATTCCCGAACCTTCACAACTCACCGATAAGCTGTTTGACTCGTCTGTAGAGGAGCTCTGGCGAGTCCACGGTGAGCTCTGTTACGAAAGGGCCATCCTCGAGCGTCGTATTTGGGCATTAGGAGAAGATATCAATAAGCTGGCTGAGGTTATTTCCCATCGGGAAAAGAGAGCTCCTACTCCTGTTCGTGGCTCCAAATGGGGTGTCTAAGTCTTTTTTTCGCTTGCTGATTCTTAAATTACTGTTGTTCTCTTTGTAAGCTAATTCTTGACTGATACCGATATTGTACCTTGTTTGTGAATTTCTCAATTATGTTGATGATTCATAGCATGTTGTATCTCGACTCATTTAAGCAAGTCTTTTGCAAGGCTTTGAATCACAAAATACCTGCTATAGCATTCCCAGAGGAATGCTCTCAGCTTTGGAAATTAGTAATGCCTGAGAGATGAGGCATCGATTTAGACGGTTGACCCCGCCAAACCCTAAAGCCGGGACCACAGGGTGCAGCAGTGTCACTCTTAATACGCTCCGTGGCGCAGGAACAAGACTAAATTAAAAAGTCAAAAGTAAAATGATTACATCAATGCCCTTGGATCTTGAGATGGAATATGAGTGCTTGGGTAAATATCACCACTCGATATGAGGAGAAGAGTATCCGACGTCATGACTTCTCCAATTTTCCGCAGTGCCCATCCACAAAGGAGATTAGGAAGAACATTGAGCACCATAGATAATTGCATATGGTGTGATATTGACAATCAATTGGCTTCCCAAACGACCCAGAGTTTATTCATCGGCAACGATTTGCATTCGTTTACCTGTTCAGGGTCAATGATGCTTGCTGTGGAGAACGAAATGTCAGGTCAGGGCAAACTACGAATCACATTCCATAGACGATCAAAGATGCCCCATATGCAACAGGGGCAGTGCCTCCGAAATAAAGCTTGATGTCCCCAGGTTAGGTCTTCGTCGGTTCTTTTCGCCTTTTCACTTTTGCACTTTTTTGTGGCTTTGACGTATAGTTCTGACTTGCTATGAAGTCGGAGACGGTGACTTATGCCAGTCTTGGTGCGGCAACATGCATCGCCTTGATTACATGTCTTGCTGGTGCCCTGGCTCAAGGGAACAATAGCACGAGTGAACCGGTTGTCCTTACTGTCGCAGGTGAGGGCGGGAATAAGTCTAGTCCACTGCTCTATGGAATTATGTTCGAAGTAAGCTTCTTGTTCTTATGCTGTGGGGAGGGTTCTTCCGCTGATATTTCATTCTCTTTTCCTTCTTACTAGGAAATGGATCATAGCGGCGATGGTGGTATACACTCACAGCTTTTGCAAAACAACGGCTTTCAAGGGACCTCTCTTGGACTTACAAGCTATGCACCATTGGGAAATGTGACTATCTCCCAAGATGGCTCGAAACCTGTCAGCGACGCCATCACGTCCTCACTCGAGGTTGCAGTGCCTGACGGTGTCACGGACTATGTCGGTTTTGCAAATCTGGGCTATAAAGGAATTACTGTTCTGAAGGCTACCTACAAGACGACCTTTTGGATGAGAGGGAAGTACTCGGGAAAAATAAATATCCAACTCGTTGGATCGAATAGCTCTATCGTTTATGCCGATCACAACGTATCTGTGAAGAGTACAGACTCGAAGTTTACAGAGGTTGAAACATCCCTCAATACTACCCACTCTCCTGATGGAGAAAATGAGTGGCGCCTGACTTTTGATGGCTCGAAAGTGGGTGGTAGTTCACTTAACTTTGGGTATATTCAGCTTTATCCGCCGACATTCAAAGACAGAGATAATGGTCTGCGAGACGATGTGGCTTCGTTTCTGGATGAGGTCAATCCAGCATTTCTTCGATTCCCAGGTGGAAACAACATCGAAGGGTTGGAAGTTGATAATCGATGGAAGTGGAATACCACAATCGGACCCGTGGTCGATCGTCCAGGGAGAGAAAGTGATTGGTTTTATCCCAACACAGACGCGCTTGGACTAGACGAATATCTCTGGTGGTGTGAAGACATGTAAGTCGATATTTTTCCATTCTGAGCCCTTTGGAGGACGGGAAGGAAGATTCAGCTCTGACAGCTCTTCATTACACAGGAACATGGCACCGCTGTTAGCCGTCTGGGCAGGAAAGTCATACGGGGATATCATATCGGGCTCCGACCTCGAACCCTTTGTGGACGATATCATGAATGAGATGGAATACCTCTTCGGAGACTCGTCCACTCATTACGGCAAGATGCGGATCCAGAACGGCCGGAAGGATGCTTGGAAAGTTGAGTATATCGAAATCGGAAACGAAGACGACCTCACTGGTGGCTGTGACACCTACCCGGATCGGTTCAACCAGATCTACAAAGCCATCCACGACAAGTATCCAGATGTCAAATTCGTTGCATCCAACGGAGACTTCTCCTGCCTCCCATCACCCCTTCCAAAGGATGTTATCATTGATCTGCATCTGTACCGGAAGCCGGACGACTTTGTCAAATTGTTCAACCAATTTGATAACCAGCCGCGGGATCAGCCTGTGATGATTGGCGAATATGGAGCTCGGAACACGTCAAGTGCCGAGGGAGTGTACTGGCCGTATATGCAAGGAAGCTGCAGCGAGGCTGTGTATATGATGGGGATGGAGCGCAACAGTGACATTGTGAAGATGGCAGCCTATGCTCCATTGCTCGAGCACTTTGACTACATATCCTGGTCGGTAAGAAAACTCGGGGTATTGAACCATTGGGCTCCTTGCTTGAATATCTGCTAATCACGAGCGATTCATAGCCAACCTTGTACGGCTTTAATGCGACCCCTGGCAGCATTACTCCGTCCACTTCCTATTTTGTTCAGAAGCTTTTCGCTTCCAACAAGGGTGACACTGTTGTCCCTGTCGATTCAACGGCGGACTTCGGGCCTGTTTACTGGGTTGCTTCTAGGACGGGTTCAAAAACATATCTGAAGCTTGCAAATTATGGAGAAGATCAGCAAACTGTCCAAGTCAGTATTCCAGGTGCGAAGACTGGAAAGCTGGAAATGCTTTCTAGTCCTCAGTATCATGGCAACACACCTTTTAATGTGCAAGCTCAGACTGTCACAACGAGTGTGTTCAATCCATCGGGCAATTATTCAGTCAGTATGGATCCCTGGGCAGTTGCAGTTCTGTCAGTGTCATGATAGATAATGTACATATTGTAATGATCAATCAATTTATTTTCTTACGACAGCGGTGCTGCACGATGGACGCTACAAACTGTAATTTAACTCTTCTATGTACGTTTCGGGGCCGAAGAGATAATAAAATCGACGATCATCTACATGTTAGGCTAAGAACGATCTACGGCGATAAGAACTGTAGTTAACGGATGCACTGTTGCAAGGCATCAACTTCTGGGATTGTAAAGATACGAATAGACAAACTTTCGAGCAACAGAAATACTAGCAATAGCAACTTTCGAACCTAAGGACTACTTCGTTTCACGATAACCATGACCACGACCATGTAGTAGATTCTCTCTCTCTCTCTCAACACAACCATCGATGAACTTCTGGGGCAGGCTAGCCAGCCGTGAATCCACATTGCTTTCAGAGAAAATCAGACCCGCCTTTTCCAGGTACTTTCCCTGAAAAATCTCCCATAGCTCCTGGTATAAAACATGTTCCATAAGCGGCAAAGGATAATACGGGTCATTCTCGAAAAAAGCCATGACAAGATGTGAGACAACCCCCTCTGGATTGTCCAAGGCAGCCTCTGTATCCCAGATATGACATAGATTAAAGTCAAGTGTCCACAGGCGCATTGTTCGCTGCTTGAAGTTGACTTTTATCAAGGACTCAATATCTGTGAATGGCTTCATGGCGGCTAACCGCTGTGGAGTTAACTCAGGTCCAATCGAAATGGAAATACCCTGTGAGTAGGTTGTGTCGCCTTCGCTCCCGAGGACAAACTCAATATCGTAGCCATCCACCTGCGCGGACCAATGAATAACTGCCAGAGCTTCACCCATTGCACTCGCAAAGTATTTGACGGGAAGATTCGGCTCGACCATTTGGTCTAGATGAAGATTGAAGTTGCGTAAGGTGAAGTTTGCGGACAGGGTATTGACGAGGCGGCGCCGACCCAAGTAAACACGAGCTAGACAATCACGATTCTTGTCATTCGAGGCCGCAAGTGCACGAGATAGGGCTGGACAGTATTTATCAATCAGAGCTTGCCGTGCAACTTTTGGTATTGGGAGAATTCGCTGGCTGATCAAAACCATAGCTGGGAGCGGAACTGATTCATGAACAGTGGGGAGAAAAGGAATATTCTCCTGCCACCATTCGTGGTTGTCTTTTGGAACGAAAGAGAAGAGTTGAGGAACACGACATTTGATGTTCTTGTTCTGTTCCAGGTCAAAAGCTCGTCGCACACTAAAATGCGCCTTGAAGTCATTCCACAAAGTGTCTTCATATGATGGCTTGGCGAGTTTCAGCACGTAGTTTCGTCCAGGTCGCTCAAAAACAAGACCGCACTGCCCGAATCCAATCACACGATAGCCAACTGAAGCGGGACCTTGTTGACTTCGCTGGAACTGAGGAAAGGAAGAGGTTGTTCTGGTAAGTGAGTCTGGAGAGAGAACTCCGCGAAGAACATTATCTGCGGATAGAGAGTCATCTAGACTCAGTTGTTGGACCACAGCGTCATTTTGTGCCCGGTCCAGGAGTGCAGAGAGTTGGTTGGTTAGTTTAATATTATCACACAAAGAAGAGCCGAGCGAGACCGTTGAATCCTTATTAGAGTTATGGGCAGAAATTCGCAGGTGATTCATGTTGGAAGTCGAGAGGGGTCTTTTAAAGTGAGAGGAAAAGAAGGTGCTCGACATAACTGAAGTTGTCCCACAACCTTATCAGGAGTATATCATCAGGCAGCAGACATTGACCTACACTCAACATGACCAGGACGTACGTAACTGTGACGATGCAGTCTTTACGATGAATATAAGACATTCAACTAGCAAGGGTCTTGATAAGGCCTTAAAAAGTACTACAGTGCCAGTGGTATACCGGCGCACAACTCAGTAGGCAATGACCTCTTTTAGATGTGCAATATGGAGGTAGTCACTGAGCAACCAGTAAGCAGCAAATCGTAAGCTCTGAGCAGCCAGAGAGTGCTCAGAGAGCCTAGAATAGGGAAGCCCTAGTAGAAGAACAATGCTATACTGACATAACGTACAAGTTTTAATTACTCAAACAATTAATTGATGGATGAAGTGTCACTTTTAAAGTAAAACTGAAATTGTGACACCTACGGTAAGCAAACACGGAAATACCTTTTCAAAAGAACTCCGATAAAATTGAACTTTGCCTAGAAAGACTTCTCTGACAACGTCACCAGATTCACCCTCACTAGACAATTCAAGAATAGACCAAGCTTTAATCTAAAAGCGAAACAGGAACCTCAACGAACTTGTCCCGGAAGAAGTCTCCAAATCCCTTCCCAAACCCATCCAACCGACTAGAGCTACTGACACCCCTACCAAGAATGCCATAGATAACAAAATGCACAGCCCGTATGTGCGGGAACTCAACTCTCTCAATCAAAAACGACTCATCCCAATCCTCGTCTTGAGCAAGCATTCCCCGTACCCGCTCGCGGCTCATATATGACCGCAACCAAGACCAGTGCTTCTCTTCAGTGACGAAAAGACCGAAATTGAGGTTGGCCCCTTTATCGCCGGATCGTGCCAGGACAATATCCCCCAGTCTGATTGATCTTGAAGGCGAGTTAAGTAGGGCTTGTTCTTCGCTGGTGGGGATGTGATCATAACTTTGACGGGGTGGAAGATCTTCATATGCTGGTGGATGACCTGTTGGGAATGAATTAATAGAATCTGACCCGCCAATAAAATTGATTTCTTCATTGAGATCTTCTTGCTTTATAATTGCTGGATAGTAAGCCAGCACTGGGCGTGGAATCGCTGTGCGCATGTCGAGGGATGAGTGAAAGCCTGTATCGTGTCTGTTAGTAAATGGTCTTTTTATGGAGACTGTTTCATACCCGAGAAATGCTTCAATGAGATATCTTTCAGGGACCCTAGTACAGCAAGGACGGCTTCTGGGGTAGCTGCAGCGATGAAAATACGGAGGTAAGTTGTGCTGCTTCGCTGGGATACTGGGTTGGACGCAGGAACGCCAATTCTGATTGCTTGTCAGCCTTTATTTCCAAGCATTGACGAGCTTTGTTCTTGCCTTTGAAATTCAAGTGTATCAATATGATCAATGGCCTTCTGGTCGATGAAATGTCGAATCTGTCTTTCAACCAGGTTCCACTTGGCATCAGTAGAATACCCCGTAGCGTTGAGGAGTACCTGAGCCTCGAAGCCTCCTTGGTAGAAAACAGCCAACTTGGTCGTTGGAGGAGGCGCGTGTCCTCGAATTCCTCGAACACTCACCCTTTGACCATCAGCAACCGTCATCGAATGGTGAAAGCAGAGGGGTATACCTGTTTTCTCCAATCTGCTCGACAACTATGTCATCCAACGTAGCACTAACATCACTATTCAAGTAAATGTTCCCTTGAAGCTCATACAAAAACTGGCACCGCAGGGTGTCACAATCTATGAGTCCACCAGTTCCAAGATGCTTAGAAATAACACAAGTACCATCAGAATCGATCTCCGCAATCGGGAACCCAGGGTGAATAAAAGTGTCAACTGGATACCGGTCAAAGCCAGAGAAATTACCACCGGTCACATAGGCAGAGCATTCAATCAAATGCCCAGCAACCAAAGCCCCAGCCAGACGATCATAGTCTGTCTCTGACCATGAATGCCAGAACCACGCGGCTGCAATAACCGGACTAGCATCTGAGACCCGGCCACAGATTACAATATCAGCTCCTCGACGGAGACCATCCACAATGCCCCGAGCGCCGAGGTATGCGTGCGCCGAGACCATTGGGACGGGGTCGTCGGCCTTCGTAAAGGCATAAGTGAGAGTGCCTGGCTTGACGGACTCATTCCCTGAATCAAGATGCTTTAGCTCTTCGGGCGTTCGGGGCATGTGAGGGCCAAGTTTGGGATAGAGGTCGTCTCCAGACAGATAGGCGACATTCAGAGCGTGACCTTTTTGGCGGCACTGAATGTGCGAAAGATGTTAGAGACCATTGCAATATAAGAACATGCATCTTACCAATTCGTCTACTTTCAGTGCTAGACCCTTGGGGTTGAGAGCGCCACCATTGATCACCACTTTGATGCCTTTGTCAGCGATCACGTCGATGGTTTGTTTGATTCCTTCCCAAGCGGTTTCCTCATATCCTGCATGCTCGCCGCGTCGGAAGGCTTGTGCATTGTTTGCCAGGTTGACCTCTTCATAAGGGATACAGTCAGCCTTATTTCCCATTACTTATAGGAAACACATACCAGCGAGATAGTCACCCGTGATGAAGTCGATATCTCCGAGGGTTGCTTGGCGATACATCTCATAGGCAGGGTCGCCTTCAGGACAGTCAGTACAGACTGTGTAATCAGGAGACTCAACTCATACCATGATATCCAGAGCAATTAGCAACCCTGACAGGCCGTCCACCGGTGTTCATAGGCGACATTGTAAGCTATAGTTCTTATCACGTTATCTGTTATCGATAAAGAGCCAACGAGCCAAAAATTGTATAAAAAATGTGCATTCGTTTCCACTTCAATTTTCACTACAGATTAGCGAACGCATACATTTCTTATACCATCTAATACAAACGAATGACGTTGTTCGACACCCCTCTCTCAACTCGGCCCGGACGATCGTATCCGAGGTAAATCCAGGAACACGTCGATGTCAACTTTCCAGTAAGTAAAGTCCCGCGGCCCGTGGAATTATAACGAGCCAGCATCCGATGTTCTCCACATATCGACCCACGAATGTATTAGTTCTGTCCTTAAGTGGCCATTTCAAACCCTAATTCAGATCCACGGCGTTCTTGTTCACAGATCCCCCGAGGCGCTTCTGTCAAAGCCGTGGGATCGACCGGGAAGGTCTCCATCTTTGATTCAGGGGACGTTCCTGACCACTCCAATCAACCTTGTCCGTCCGGATATTCGGCTTGGTGCTGGCCGCCCTGTGGGGAATCTCGATTTGATTGTCGCCAGTCTTGCGTATGCTTTAGGTCGGAGCCTTTTCTTCCAAATCCAAGTAATGGGACAGCAAGGCAGACAATATGCTCTAGGAAAGAATTGTAGGGAAGTAGGGAAGTAGATGGGTCTCTCAGGTGTTCTGGCAAGCTTTAACGGCATCTAAGCATACAGAGGAAAGAACGAGTGAGAAAGATCTACATATAGCGTCCCAAAAGGGGCTAGGTCATACAATGAAAGAGGCAGAGGGCCCTCGTAGAGGGAAGTCCCTATAAATACGGCCCGTCACCCCCAGACCGTTGATATGTGCCTGTCATTACTTATTTTGATATTTATTGTTCCCATATAATCTATAAACATGCACGAGACCATCTCCGGCGCCGAGGTCTACGGACCAGGGACGTACATCGACAAAACCGTCCTTCCCGTACCAGAAGACACCCAACGAATCTTCAAATTCCTCGCATCAAAGACACCCGGGTTCACAAAAGACTCCGCGATATGGGATACGGTCAAGTTCGAAGGGCGGCCGGACCCAATGGTCCCCGGACCGATGAAATCCCCCGCGGTGGTAGCAGCACTGCACGCCATGTGCGGAGTCGTTGGAAACGAGCTCCTGGAACTGCGAGACGGAAAGGCTGCAAAGGAGGCAAGTGTCACCGTGAACACGGATCACGCCGGAATCTGGCTTGCCTCAACATTCACCGTGCACGTGAAGGGATCGGATCTGTCGACTCTTGCACGGGCCGGAACGTTGTCTAAGATCTTTACCCGGGACTTCGATCGGGGTTTCGGCGTTGGTCCGTTGTCTGGTCGGGCGACTGCTTTGTATCCGACCAAAGACCCGAAAGTGTGGTATCAATTGCATGGATCGTTGGATGCGAGCAAGACGCTCCAGTCTATGGGCATTGATATGGATGTTCCCCTGAAAAATGTCGATGAGGGGTACGAGTATCTCAAGAGCCATGTGCGAAAGTGGAGTGCGGATGAGCTTGAGATGCATAACGTGAGGCATGGGTTGTGTGGTAGTATTTGCTACTCGCCCGATGCATGGAGAAAGACCGAGATGGGAAGGCGACTTGCCGAACACCCTCTTGTGAATTGTAAACATGAGTTTTACGCGAAGGAAACACCTCCGGTTCCTCTGCGCCAACTCTCTGACCGGCGTCCCCTGGCTGGGATCAGGGTTTTGGAGATGGTACGCATCATTGCTGGTCCCACTGTTGGAACTACATTGGCATCATTCGGCGCAGATGTCATCCGGATCAACTGCAGCAAGCTCGCGGATCTGAATGTAAGTTGGAACTCGTCACCTTTTTGAGACAACGCTGACTATAGTTAGGTCCTTCAACTGGCTCTGAACGCCGGAAAGCGCACCATTGACCTGGATATCGGAAAAGAGGAAGATATGGCCCGTCTTCTGGAGCTCGTTGGCGAAGCAGATATCTTCGTACAAGGCTTCCGGTATGGATCACTCGACCGTAAGGGGCTTGGCCTGAAAGATATGCTCGACATGGCAGCAAAGAGAAACAAGGGTCTTGTATACGTCGATGAAAACTGCTATGGACCCAGCGGGCCCTTCGCCGAGAGACCCGGATGGCAGCAAATCGGAGACGCCGCGTCCGGTGCGTCGTACGTTATGGGGCGGGCATTGGGCTTTGATGAAGGAACAAGCGTTCTACCACCACTGCCAATCTCCGACATGGCAACTGGCATTATCGGTGCCCTAGGAGCGATGCTGGGCATTCGTGACCGAGCACGGAAGGGCGGGTCTTATCATGTGATAAGTTCGCTTGTGGCAGCAGACACGATTCTGCTGGACAAGGAGATTGGCCTCTACCCTGTGGAGGTCGTGCAGAAGACGTTCGATGAGTTCAAGTTTGTGCGCTCTTCGCCTGCCCAATTCGTCACCGAAATTATGATTCAAGTGATCGATGGATGGAAGAACGTTTTCCCCGAGTATTTGACCCCTGACTCCTCATTCATGATGAGATTTGAGGACAGCCCCTGGGGACAAATGGATCTTTTGAGGCCTGTTGCCAGATTGGATGACAAGGAAGCAAGTCCCATGTGGACAAGCCCCCCTGTTCCAAATTGCCATCATGATGCCAGTATCACATGGGCATAATCCCTCAGAATCATTTTGTATGTTGAAGCCAAGCATTTAAAGCGCTGGGGAGAAATAAAAAATTGAAGGCCATATTATATGGATCAAAACTCACAATTCCCCGGAATTTCCAGTCAGATCAAATAAGCTAAAATCGTAAGAAGGAGGCGCACCTGCCAGCATATCTTGCCAATTCCAAGCAATCGGAGTAGCCATGGACAATGGCCCTGTGGTATACAAAGCCTGGTCCGGATGTAGATGATTTGGCTGAGCAAAGTTGCCATCCATCCGAGCCTGCTCGGAAAGATTGAAGCCCGGTGTAAAGGGCCGCTGGGGCAGATTGGGATTCTGCGACCATCTTTGCCCCTGAGTTTGCGGTGGCTGGCTTGTCCCCCTGCGCTCGGTTGGGGGATTTCTGGCACGATGAATCGCTCTTCTCGCCGAGTTTTCCCAATCAGTACACATGGCCAGGACATAATCCATATACGTGTCTTGTTCTTGCGATGCCACCCTTGCCAAAAATGCGACGACTCCATTGATTCTTGAGATATCAGTTTTGGCATCGGGGCGAGACGGGTTGGCTATTATCTGAGAGAACAATGCGACTAGAGCTGCAGCAGGGAAATAAACGATGCCCCTGTTTGATTTGTTAGTAGACGTACCTTTTAGATCGTTTGGAATATCGATACATACCATTCAAAGGATTGACCAAAGCCACTTTGTACATGACCAATTAGATCAATCGCAGCTCGTGCTGCCTCCAGTGATTGTTCTACTGAGTTTTCGCGATCAATCGGTAACCCAGGAGCGCTTGGTCTTTCATTTGGCGTATTAGACCATCTTCGTGGAATCAAAAAGACTCGGTGAATATTGAGGTAGCAACAATGATAGGCAAAATGAAGCCGTAAGATATGCGGTAGAAATGGATGGTGGCAGCCGGCAAAGTTTCGTTGTGGCCGAACTATCATTGGAAGACTTTGTTTCCAAGCCTCGATCTCTTCAAAGCACTCTCTCACATCCTTCATCAGCTCCTCACGCGTCTTTTTGAAGCCCTCGGTGCTGTACAATGTGTCGCAAGCTTTGCGTTGAATAATAGCGAGTCGAGCGAGGGCCGAGAAGAAGTTGATCTTCGTCCCCCTGATCTCCATCATACCTAACCCATCATGTGGGTCTTCCGAGGGGAGCATAGTGCTGAAGTCGCGGGTATCCTGAGATCCAGGACGACCAGTCCGCTGACAAACATCGGCGTCTAGAATAAACGCTATCCAGAAGACCCTTTTTCGTTCTTCTACCTGGGGCTCTGGAAGACCAAGGGAGTTGGATTTGTGTAACCCAATAGAATGCGACAGGCGCACAGCAGAAGCAGCAAACATGAACAAAGGTTGGGGGTTCGGTGTCCCTTGGAAGTAGAGTGCTAGGCCGAGTAGCCCTTGAACCGCGAGAAGATCACAAGTCCGCATGAAAAGCTCCGTAACCACATTCATGGCATTCCTGACGTGGCCAAGGGACTTTTGCCAGTCATCGCTGCTGCCCCCTGAACTCTCGGCTCTTTGTTTGTATGCAAAAGCGAGGACAACATTTAACGCAGCCCACCATGAGGATCCCTCGTTAGGATTCCACGAGAAGTGCCTATTGACTTGGACCATAAAGCTTTCCGGTCCGAATAGCGGCACAGCCTTGTTGAAGCTCTCGAAATACTCGTCAACCAGCGCTAATGTCTCCGCTTTGGAGGGAAGTGGCAGTGAGCACCTGCTTTGATAGTCATCTTGGAGGGCTTTGGGAAACCAGTCGGCAAGCCTCCATCGGCTTCCGTTTCTCTGGACGGCATGGCGCCACATATTGTTACCCTTTGTGTTCTCAAGCCAGCCTGCACCCTCAGGAGAAGCAATGGAGAAATGAGAGGATGCGCCTAGATGTAGTCGGTAGAATCAGCAGTCGCTCGTGTCACCTCTGAGAAACTACAGTCGGTGAGCCTGTACTTACCAAAGAAACGCATTGCGCCTTTCGGGGTTTTGAGGGTATATGACCCTTCGTCACGATCACCTCCATTGGTCTCGACTTCGTGAGTTACTTGACTAGTATCATCTCTTGGAGACGGTATCTCCGAATCAGATTCATCCGAATGCTGACCATGCTCGGGGTCTGCATCTGAGTCACTCTGCACTCGGCGCCTCTTCGAGGCACGGGCTTCATTTAATTCTTCTTGCAATGAGCGAATACGCTCTTCCATTTCATGCAGATATTCATCGCTGCCAATCCAGATTAGCCTCTGATCGTCAATTAATATCGGATAGCTTACCGGTTGGGCTTTTTCTTGTGTCGCACGGCGTCTTCGTACTTGCAGGGCAGTTCAAATGTCCTGCAGGGGGTACAGGCCGGTCTAGTGCCATCACATTTGACCTTCTTTCGTCTGCAGACACTGCATGCCTTTGCAGAGTAAGTGTCCAATCACATTCGTTTGACGGGGTATAGGGGGGGATAATCGACGCATACCTTGGCAAGGCGTACAGCATTGTCGGCGTTCCCATCCATGATACCGAATTCCTGATTGTTCTCACCCCAGCTCAGGGTTTTCTCTCGCACCTCTGATCACAAAAATCTATCCGGCGCTCAAAACCATTGTCGCTTCTTTTCCAGAACCGCGTTACATCGAAACGTCGGGTTTTCCCGCCGCCTCCGAGTTGCAGGCTTTCAGGCACCAAGGCAGTACATGAGCCTGCTGAGTCATGCTAGTTGCCTCAGGCAGAAAGACGAAGTATACCCAAGTTCATCGATGTCCACGGGAACACGGTAATACGGGCATTTCTTGTTTTCGGGCCAAGTTTACAGAGTTCATAGTAGCCCTCGTATTGTGTAAGTGAGAGTTCAAAAATGTGTACTCCCCGTGGGCATCCATCGGGGAGCTCCCAACGTGCAACGCCCGAAGTGGCGTAGAACGTACACCTTGGCATTCTAGAAGACCCCGAACCGTCCGGAAATATTGTGGTCTATATACTGCTATACCAGAGTGATGCGGAGGAGTCATTACGCGTGATCACTTGGATCCAAACCTAAAGAGTCCATGGGTGTTTCACAAGATATCCTTAATGACGGTAGATCTAACCTAGGTGCTAGAGAAGACAGCAAACATGAGCGAAGCCTGTGATACCAACTTTTTGGCCAAGACGAGAGCTGTCGAAACCGATTATCACCCGGCAATTTAGCCATGTTTGTGTTTCCTCCCCTGACATTCAGCCGACGCGGTCTCGACAGAGTTGACCAGGTCCCAGACCTCACGACTTTTGGCCTGTTCTAGAATGCTCACCGATATTCCTCATCATCTAGTCAATAGCAACAAGATTGGGCCTGGTGTGATATTGATGCAGCATGTAATGTCACGCTGTATAACACTTGTTCCTACGTAGCAAATAGTCGCAACCCAATACCAAGTCTATTTTGATATCCAATCCCTATTTTCTGTTTTATAGCAGACCCAGCTTAGCTAATTTCGTTGCACAATCTGTGATTAGGAACGCATATGTCTCAGTTGTTTGTTTGCACAACGCTAGCTATGCCCACGATGAATGGCGTAGTTCGGGCCATCGTGACACTATGGTAAACGTCAAAGGCTAGGTTTCCCTGATCAGAGTTACGCCCTGATAGTCATGTTCATGGACGATGTAACCGTAAAACAGATGGATTGTACTCGGTCTCACCGAGACAGTGTCGACAACGAAGACCAAGACAGAGGGCCATGGGGTTGATTTCCTTGGATCTATTGGCCTACTTTGAGCTCTTGTGATGCTGCTGTTCATATTGTTTCAAAACCACCAAAGTCAGAAGAAAGCCACGGTAGCAGTAAGAGCAATCGAATGCAATTTGCAGCAGAAGTAGATGTGATCAATGGTCTGATTTGTAGGCACCGTACTTCTCAAGTGGTATGCAGATGTTTGACAAGACAAAGCCTCATCCCAAAGGCATATAGCTCCTTCTATAACAATCCAAAGAGTTCAGGTATAAATTGATAGACGAATCCTCCCTGCAAGCGGTTTTCAATCAGCGACAAAGCCTAGTTTCCATTCCCACAGCCCCGCAAGCTCATCAAACCAAGTCCAAAATGGTCAACATCAAAAGTATCGCATGCCTCTTGGGAGTCTTCTCCCTCGGCAGCTCTGCTGTGGTAGAAACCGCCAAGGTGGGCTTGGATGCAGCCGCTTGGAAGCTGACAGAATTCTGTGAGAAATAGCAAAGAATACATAGGGCCTCCTGATCCAGACTGACGCAGTAACAGGCATCGACTATTATACCGTCAGTTCTGGCGACACTTGCTGGGACATCATATCACGCAACCAAAACAAATTCACCATGAGACAGCTCCTATGCTGGAACACCGATATTAATCCCTGGTGCTCCAACCTCATTCCTGGACGGCAGGTTTGCATTGGAGTTGATCTTCCGGGCCCGGTTTGCTAAACTTCGGGTTGATCTTATCATTATGGAAGATTTGAAACCGAGGAAGAATACCCGGGGATATCATCAAGTCATTGGATTTCACAAATTGTTTGGCAGATGTAATAATTGATGGGTAGCCAATATTTCTGCGTCCTGTTATCACGGTAGCTCTTTTTTCAAATCAAGCCCCGGGCAATGATCTTAATGAAACTAATTGTGCAATTGTAATATTGAACTGCCTTTAGAAAGCTTTTATACACTGTTTTGCTTCCACGCCTTGTGCAAGAACTCGCGCATCTTGATTGGCTTGATCTCGGGGAATTGGGCGTTGAGTCGGTTCCCCGGCAGTTGGAACACGTTGTTTATAGTAAGTCTGCTCACTAATGCGGTGGTCTCCTTGAGCTCGTCCGTGGAATAGTCCACTCCTTCTGGCTGCACAGGAACCGTGACATCTCCAGACTTGATCTTGTCTACGTTGTCGTACGTGACACTAAATTTCTTGCCTGTTTTGGAAGACTGTCAACAACACCCAAGTCTAAAATTGAGGAATTCCCTTACCTGTAAATTCCTCGGCCATGCTCAGAACCTGGTTGTAGGTAATTTTATCCCCAACAATGATACTGAACTCAGGCCATTCCTTGAGATCAAGTGCCTTGACCAGATAAGCAGCCATGTCATATGTATAAGTCATACATATCACATTATTACCATCTCCTGGAATAGCCGCCGTCGCAGTGGATATATCGATCCCAAAGCTGAATGGGTGCAAATGAGTTTGTACATGTGGCATTCCCCAGTAGTCCATGAAAAAGCCAGGGATCACCCTGGTATATTCCAGGCTGCTGGTCTTGAGACTAGTTGCCGCATCAAGCCACCACTGAATACTAGGATCAATGTCAAGCAAACTGGTATCGCAAATCAGCATGTTTAGTGTACAGCGGACGTTGGAAACATACTTGGCCGTTTGGATAAATGAGTATTCGCTTGGGACAAATCTCTTCGTTGTTTTTGACTTGTCCGCCGCTTCGATCAAGTTCAACTGGGACTGACTCGTCTCGTCCGAAACCAAGCCAATCGCAGAAATGATGGTATGGATGTTGTGTTGCTCAAGCGCCTGAGTCATTGAGTGGACATCATTGTAGTCAAGCTGCACAGCCTGAACCTTCTGCAGATCCTGGTCCTGTCTCACCTGAGGAGTTACAATATCAGCAATTGATCAAGTAGAGTTGGATGAAGAGATATACGCGAGACAACACGACCACGTCGAATTTCGATTCTTCGAGTAATTTTTCGACAATGGTTTTCCCTACTCCACCACTACCACCAGCCACAGCAATAACAGGCATGATGATGGTGCACACTCAACGCGAATGGTCTACACTTCGAGCACAAGGGGTTGTAAAGCTGAAGTTTGCATAGCGGAGGATTCCCCCGCGATACCGCCCCACTCTTAGATTTTCGACAGCTTACGTCTTCCACAGCGTAGCCTTCAAGGTCTGGATTATTCAGAGATCTGCAGTCTGTTATCAGCTTGATGCATCACAACCAGACCCCAATCAAATCTTTCAAAATGGACACCGATCAGTCGGGGTTTCGGGCTTCAGACGTCGGCGACTCAATTGACGATGACTAATATCACCCAAAAAGCATATAAATCTCCCGCTTTGACGGCCAAAATAGCTTCATATCTCTTCAACGTCTATCTCTACCTCCACTATTAAGATCTTCACTATTCACAATGTGCATGAAAGCTACTTGCTCATCTTGCCGTAAGTCTCAGCTGATCATTATGAGAAACGTCAGCTAAATGGCCATAGACAAGGTCACCTGGTGGGGCTGTGGTAGCCACATTCCTTCCGTCATGGACTCCATTCCTACCAGTGACTGGTGTGCCTGCACTCCCCAGGTTGAGAAGGATGGAAAGAAATATCCTCCCAAGGCTGCCAAGGCCGGTTGACTATCTGGATGTGAGATTTTCTAGGAGTTTTTGTTGAGCGTGGTGGGGCGATGTTGCGTGTTTTTGATACGAAGAAAACATATGAAGAAACTCTGTTTCGAATTGTGTGAATGTCCGGCTTGGATGCAGCAATAGATATGCAGTTATATGCACCGAGGTATCCCTGTCGGTGGGGCTGTTCTATTTCAGCCGCTTGCTCGAGCTGAGGCTGACCGAGCTTATGCTAGGACAGCTTTGGAGGCTTGCATCAGTGATGAATTTGCCTTGTTGAAACCTAAAAAAGCTATACTATGACTTTTGAAACACCAGAGCTTGAGTTCTTCTCTTTCGGTCAGTTTCTTAGATTTGTATCATCTTCAAAGACCAATTGGAGGTGAAAGAACTCAGTTGCTGTACCATTGCTAGGCCAGATTCATTCAGGCACTTGTTCGTCGTATTTCTCGGGAAATGTGAGCATGTCTATGCGTGGAACACGCCTAAGAAAAAGAAATGCCATTGCTGCGTTGTCAGAAACCGGTGAAATTTATAGAACTAGTCTGATCTGGTGGTGCTTTATGAAGCTTTTCCTAATCTGGCTAGGACGTTAGCACTAAAGCTGTATTTATCTCAGGGCTTAGTCGCATAAGCAGCTTGCAGGAAGTATGTGCACCCCTAGAACGGAATGATACTAGCTCATGATCTCTCTTGGCATGCTTCTACCCTAACCTTTCTCGGCAAAAATGATGATCCTCTTCATTTCATATCATAAAGCAAATTGTTGTTGCCACCAGCTCAAAAGTCCTTCTGCCGCGTACGTACCAAGCATGATCTTTCAATCCCACAAATTCGCGACAAACTTAAATACAGTTTTGGTTCCATCTTACGCTAAAACACTGCTTTGTTTGTTTTCACAAAACATCGACCAATCCGTTGTCATTGAATGTATCGTATCATCTTTAATTCTTGGCTTTCTGGCTATACTCTTCATCAGTCACAGCATCATGCCAAACAGTACTCCCAACTCCAATGACAAAGTGCGTCATAATACTAGAATCATCTGCTCCATGCCAGTGGGTAGTTCCAGCCGAAGCCCAAACAACATCACCAGTTTTCAAGCGCTGTGGAACACCTCCTTTATCGCAGATCCAGCCACTACCGGCGACAACCTTGATCATCTGGCCTTTCTCGTGCGTATGCCAATGTGTTCGGGCACAAGGTGTGAATGTGACATTTGCAATCGATGCGTCAGTGCCCATGTGGATAGGGTCCAAGAAGACGTCGCCGCTAAATGTTTCGGTGGGCTTTACGCATTTGGCGTTGGGGTTGAAGCCATTTTCGATGACTATCGAGCTTGGCATGGTTGCAGGTTTAGATTTGGCTTTTAATTGGTGAGTTTGTGCGTATGGAAAGAATTGAGCGGCGCGAATAGGGAGTATATACCTCGGGATATCCTTCAATGGTTGAATCTGACAGGAAGTATGAACTAGTGTGTGGGCGGTTCACTTTATATAGTGTTGTCCAAAGAATTCCCAGAATAATTGATATGATCTACTTGACCTTCAATTTTTACTCTACTGAGGGTCAGCAGCTATCCCCGTGGGCCCTTAACTCCGAATTGCTTACATCGGCTCTATCCGTCCATACCAATGAGGAGTTGGATTGATTTAAGCCGACTAAATTTTCCTGTCATCTTATGAAGTGAGTACGTTAGGTTCCGGTTCTACTCAATCAAATTTGGCTTAAATTTTTATTTATTGTGGCTGGTATCCGTAGTATCCGACTTTCCCCCCAGTTAGGCAATAAGACACGCAATCGATATCGCAGGTTGCTCTCAAGGATATGCAAGTCTCATTTATGTATTAAAGAGATAAGTGTAAAGTTGCGAATATATCGGTATATTGTCTACAAGACACCCAGAGGTTGATTTCAGACAAGTTGAAGCTGCAGCAGCAAGACGTCTCGCGGGGAGGTCCTTGTCTGTGGTACAATCCACTGTCACAGTGCCCTTTAATTCATGTTGAGGCGATACAAAATATATGAATATACCGAGGCACTTAGAAAGGGTCCAAAATAGGTGAGATGAGAGACGCAAAAATAGCAAGGACGTTGATATATAAATTAAAGCAGATCTACATCCAGACAAATCTTTGCAAGAAATTCACATAAAAATGTTCAAAAACTCAGAAACTTAAAAACAATAAGACAGAACACTCCGAACAACTCGTTTGCCGAATACTCGCATATTTTGAAAAACCCGTAGTCCAGTGACATGAGCTAGTACAGTCTTCATGCATAGCCTCAAAGCATCACGAGAAAGTACGAGTGAAATTCCAATCTGGAAGAGACTGAACAAGCTCCTGTTTCTGATCAGCGAGAGTAACATGAGTGCCCATAGGGCTAGTGCCAGTGAACAGAACAAATCGCATCCAAGGTCCTGTAAGTCTGGCTTGATTATTGGGGTTCGGGTCCACCGTAGAAAGCACCTTCATGTACGGACACATAACGTCTCCGAGAGGATCTCTAATGGTGACTTCAATTTCCACAACTCTTCTTCTGACGATACCGTTTGCAGTCGACATATCCAGGAAGCCGACTGTAGGAGGTTCAATACCAGACAAGAAAACCATCCAGTCCACGTCCACTTGAGCAATGGACATGACGGACGCGCCGGTGTCATACAGGAGATCGGTTGAGTAGCGTAGACAGTTGTCGCCTGCGCCAGCTGATCGCAAGTCTGTGAGGACCTAATGGGGGAAGAAAATGGATATTAGAAGAATGATAATAATAAAAAGTCAAGAATTTTTGTGGATTTCATACTGAATGTATAGGGTACGCTTTGTGCTGGTTGTATATGGCATATTTCATCTGCGGCATAGGTGTTGCTCCAAAGAACTAGAAAAAACAGTGTCAAAAAGCATACTACACAATTGGTCCAGGTAATACTTACCCCTTCAACCCAAAACTCCCGATGTGATCCATACTGCGCAGTAATTGCTTCGTGTCGTGTGTGGTCCCACGGCTCCGGTGCACCAACTTGCTCTCCCTTAGACCAGTAGCTCATCATGCCCCTGACGAACATTATTTCCTTGTTTTTGTAGGCATTGATAATAGCCCTAACATTTGCGAGCTGGCCATCCTCGTCTCCGTTTTCAGTGAAGAAGTCTTCCATGCCCTTCAAGGAGTGCAGTCGTTGAACCGTCTCCCAGTCAATGCCATCAGGCCACGCAGCAATCATATCGTCGCGCTGCTTCCGTTTTTCGAGGTACATGTCAAGCCTCTGTTGGAACATGTGAGGGAAGATGTTGTCGTCAATTCTCTCGTGGCATCGTTCAATCTGCGCATCGATCTCCTCCTCAAACAGATCCAATTCGTTGGGGCTCCACCCTTCTGGTAGCTCTGCAGGGTCTGTAAGAGGCTCATCTCCGTGATGAGTCCATCTCGGATTCTTTTTGCCTCGCGTTGGTCTGACGACGTCTGCCCCGTTGGCATACGCAGATAGGACGCTGTAATCAACGAATTTGGCGTAATCCTTCTTGTCCGCTGGCCAGCGCGGGTTCGTGGCGCTCTCCAGATTCATGGGCTCCTCTGGGGTAAGAGACCTGGACCTTGCAGGCTCTTTGCCTTTCTTGGGAGGAGTAGTCTTCCCTGCCATTTCGGTAGACTTTTTGGAAGAAGCTTTGGAGGAGACTTTGGAGGCTTTCGAGGCTTTGGAGGTAGCTTTAGAAGAAGTGGCTTTTTCAGCCGCAGGCTTCGTCACTTTAGAAGAGTCCCTGCTAGCAGAGCTTGGAGTCTGTTTAACGATAGCTTTACGCGTACGTTTAGGGGCCATCTTGAGGAAAGAAACTTGATGTTAGTGATCTTCTGCCAAATTGCAATTGAAGTCCAGTATGAAATGAGATCGAGTATGATATGAGATTCTATCGGGATATTTGTACTGACCCATGTTGGGAATCGATGCCCAGAGAGACAAAGGAAAGCAGACAGTTGATTTATCGAGCAATAACTCAAGCGGTTGAAGTGTCTGTCGATGTTTTGAAACAAAGATGATTTCAGGGAATGCTATTTTTGGCATTGAATAGCTGGAGGGGACAAAGAGATGTTGTTTGGGGGGGGTATATCACAGGGGTTAGAGATGTCAGGATGGAGCTACTGATCAAGCTGCGAAACAAAGACGCAAATAAGCAATTGCTACTTCGTCTAGCCCTACTTTAGCCTCTTCTTCTGTTGTCCAGCTTTGAGTGATTTGAGCTCTGTTGCTTGAAGTTCAGTGGGCTCATCATGTAGAGCATAAGATAGCTTATGGTCAAGTTTTGTAGATAATCATCCAAGGATGAGCTAAAGTCGAGATTGGGTTCCCCAGTGATCATTCGTAAGTATCTTATGAACTGTCTTTGATTGACACATGTGTCTTTGAAACCTCAGTGAACAGGGATCGGAGACTGGTGATCAAAGAGTCGAGTAACGTGTACGTTTTATTAGACCAACCTTCTATTTTACAAAGAAAGCGTGCAGAAGGTGCTGTTGCTTCTGGAAAGCTCTTCCGTACAACAAAGAGGCTCACACATCTCCAGTCTGAATTTCACACCGAAAGAACGGAGACTCGTGACAGGATTTCATAGCCCTGAAACTGTTGAATTTCCACATTATTTACTCGACAGTGGAAAACGGAGCTGATACCAAGTTCAGGCGTGTCTACTATATGCACTTCCTAAACAGAAAGATGCCTACAAATCACTATAGTATAGAGATAAATCTATTCCATAAGCCGTCAAATTCTAACCAATATGCACCTTGATTCTTTCTTGATCATTTCATACGTGAATATCATAGAGATCAATCACAAAAGTAAAAAAACGCAGAAAGACGGGCAATTTTTCCGACCTAAAAACAAGGAACGGTCGTACTGACACAAGGGGATGGGATGGACAAGGGAGAAAAATGAGAAAACCGTGAAGAGTGTTGAGAAAAAGGAGGAAGAAAGAACATGCCATTACATCAGAAAATCTAAGCCTTGATCGCTGCGCCCAATGCACCACCACCGAACTGCTGGCCGCCGGGTCTCCGGTCTCCCTGGGGGATACGGGCACCGCCACGACCACCGCCACGGCCACCACCGCGGCCACCGCGGCCACCACGGGCGCCAGGGCCGTGCTCGCGCTGGAAGGCGTTGGCCATACCCTGTGTGCGCTGCTCGAGGGTCTTTTCGTTGGACTCGAGGAGGTTCATGGACTTGTCGGCCAGGGTGACGATCTGGGACTGGAGGCGAGAGAGCTCGACGCCCTTGCGGAAGATGATAGCGTCGTTGACCTGGTCGAGGGCAGCGGCAAGCTCCTCGTGGGAGATCATGCGGGAGATCACGGAGACGATCTTCTTGCTGCTCAGCTCGAACATGTCCGCTAGAGAGGTGATGGAGAGGCTGTCGTAGAAGGGAGCGTATGTGAAGAGGTAGGTGCGGAGACCCTCCTCCTGGGCCTGCTCGGAGAGCATAGCCTTGACCTTCTCGGGCTGGGGCATGAGATCCCAGATCTTGATGGCGGCAAGAGACTCGGCAGATTTCTTCCATTCGCCAGCGGCAAGAAGCTTAGCCGATTGGATCACACCGTCACGAGTGTTCTCGGGGGGACCAGTGAACACCTGGCGCTCGTTGTAGTCCAACATGCGGCGGAAGGTCTTGGAGATCATGCGGCGGCGCAGCTCGGGGGAGGACGAGGTCTGGGCCATGAGGGGAACCTCGAGGAACATGCTGGAGGTGAGGTAGATACACTCGAGCAACTCAAGGTTGATGTGCATGTGGAAGGGCAGCTGGCGGGCCTTCTCGGCCTTCTCAACTTCGGGGCTCAAGCTGGCGAAACGCTGCAGGATAAGACCCTGGGCGAGCAGCTCCTTTTGGCGACCGCTACCGCAGATCTCACCAAGAGTGTTCTGGGCCTCGTAGATGAGACCGGCACGGAAGGCACAGAGACCAATCTGAACAAGTGTGCGGTTGAACAAGATCTGGCTGGCAATGTCCATGGAGGAAACGGACTCTGTAAGGTGAGACATGAGCATCAAATCACGGGACTTGTAGTATTGGTCGTGGAGGGCGAGGAAGTAGATCTGGCAAAGCATGGCACGGGCACGGGGAATGCCATCGCTGTTCTGGAACATGTAGTTGCAGATGGCAGCAACGAGGCTCTGAATGTCGCCGGACTTGGAGCCAGCAGTAACGACAGAGTTGATCTTGGTGGGAACGGCCTTGTCCTTGGCGTCTTCGAGAATGGAGACAACCTGGGCAGGCTTGAAGTAGATGTGCTCCAACCGTCTGATAACAACTCTGTTCATGCTCTCCTTTCCGTTCTTGTCGGCCTCACCGAGGCTCTCAACATACAGTTGTGAGCGAACAAGGTTGTTGTACAGGGTCTGCTCGTCGCTCAGGCGCTCGATATACTCAGCGGTGTGGGGGTCGATCTGCTGGAGAGAGCGGGTGAGCTCGTCGTCGAGGCGCTCGATGAAAGAAACAATAGAACCGGGAATGGCGAAAATCTCGCCCTCCTCAACGGTGGGCTGCTTCTCATCATCCTCCCACTCATCGGCATTCTCGCTGATGATGTAGCTGCGGTTGTCCTCCAACGCACTCAGAAGAGTCGAGTACTCCTCATCGGCGGCCTTCCATTGCTCGGGGCTCATGTAGTTGGCGCTGGATGTGCTGGTGAGATCGAAACGTGTGGAGATCAGGGTCATAAGGGTGCGGATACGCTGGTAGGGGGTAGTAGCCACTTCAAGGAGCTTGGTCATGGTCTTAATTTGGTCGGCACGGTCGGTGTTCTTCTTTCCGCGGGACTCGACGATGACGCGGAGGTGCTTGAGGATGCTCTCCGGGGTGTACTGGAGGGTCTTGCCTCCACGTCCGACGGTAGCGAAACCATCGTCCTCAGCACCGGCAGCGGCGGCAGCGGCGAAGTTCTCAATACGCTCAACCTTGGTGGGCTTGGGAGCAGGGGCGGGAGCGGGCTTCTCCTCGACGTCGCTGGCCATGAACGCATCCTTGTCGGCGCGGTACTTCTCGACCAGGGAAGCGTACTCCTTGTTGTTCTTCTTGATCTTCTGCTTGACAGCGTTGAAACCCTTGCTGTTGCTGGCGTTCATCTTCTTGTTGGAGGCCTTCTGCTTGGTGATGGTCTCATTGGTGAAGTCTTCGAGCTCGGCAACGGCCTGGATGTAGATCTTGGGGGTAGGACCGGTGACCTTGAGGATCTGACGGTTAAGGTTGTCGAACTCTGTAAATCATAGACTGTCAGTCGATGCCGTTCTCCAACCGGATATTTTTTCGCCTGCGCGGAATTTTCCAAGACCCAAAACCACAAAATGTTTCGAATCTCCAGGATATGGTGTCACTCACCAGTGGCAATAACAGCCCAGTCGTTAATCTTTTCGGCATTGTCGATCAACTTGATGGTGTTCTCAAGTCCCTCCAGACGCTTGTCCTTGGCAGACTTGACAACCGTAACCTTCTCCTCCTCCTCGCTATCCTCACTGCCGGAAGAGTCGTGCAAGAAAGCCTTAGCTCCCTTGCTGCTCTCCTTGCCTTCGCCTTCGCTGTCGCTGTCGGAACCAGATTCGGATTCGGATTCGGAGTTGTCATCAGAGGATTCCTCCTCAGAGCCGGACTGGTAAACCTCCTCCTCCTCATCAGACGAGCTGTCGCTGTCGCTGCCGGAGCCGTAGAAGAAACGCGACGCCATGATTGCGGTTTTCGGTTTCGGTAATAGGAAATGGCGATCCGAAGTGGAAAGTGAGGTCGTCGCCGTCTGAAAGTTGAGTTGGTTCCCGCAGCGAGCCACACACGAAATTTAAGCGAGGGGTTGACTAAACCCGATTAGGACTAGCCTGACTCAGAACAAAGCGACTATCAACTTCTCCAGTTCTCCATGTTCTTGTGTTTGTCTTCATGATAGGGGATTTGATCGACGTGTATGGGGGTTTAAAGACTATTGACCTACAACTATACTGTACTCGAACTCGCCCAATCCTCCTAGTCCTTATGTTAACAGCCCGACAATGTATATCGGACCGCGCCAACAGTCAACAGTACGGAGTATAACGTTTTATATAATAAACTTGACTTGATCATGGCTATGCTTCCATTGCTCATAACTGAGTTCTACTATTGTATACAAAACAACAAGAACTGTACCTCAAACTGAACCAAACACAGGATACTGTGCTTGGTAGGCTTAGAGAAAAGCCATGCTAACAGAAAAAAATGGCAGACAAAATGAGCCAACCCGCCCAAGAAAATCCAGATTTAGAAAAAGAAGCAACAAATTTACGAGGTGGTAAGGCAAAAAAAAAAGGGAGCAGAGAAAATCGTTCTTTCAAGCTCCAGGCTATGCCGAGAAGAGAAAACACACGATGCATCATGGATAAGACAGGTGTTCAGATAAACCGAGAAACCACTGCCTAACGACAAAGCAAAGAAAAAAAAAAGGAAAAATCAGAAAGCTGCACAACATAACTGAAATCGTAACACAGTGAGAAACGCAATGAAATAAGGGGGGCTGGTAATGCGGATGACCTCTTGGCCTGGACCACTGATGGGCACTGGACTCGCGAGGGCGAGCGTGCAGAGCGATCGAGCGCTAGCAAGCAATGCAAAATGCAGATCGTGTATCAGAGGTCGGAGATCATTTGTAACCCGCGTCCACCCACTGCCCCTGAGAGGCTTTTTTGTGACTCGTGCGCCTACAAGAACCTGCCGGGTAAGGGAAGGCAGGTTGACTGGCGAGGTGAGAAGCGGGTCAGTAGAGCGAGCAAGCTTTACGGACACAGTGCGCTGAAGAGTCATAGCGCGGGTTCATGCTAAAGAGAAAGTATCGATAGATTAGTATCGACGGGCCTGCTCGCGGCTCATGTCAGACATGGGACGTGAAAGGCACCGTCTGCTCGGATGCTCTAGTGCCACTGGTTTTGACCCATGTATCCTTCGCTCAACACACCGTCCTCGAGTGTGCGGATGAAGTCGCGGTTACGTTGGTTGCCACCGCCGCTGGCTGCTGCGCGACTACCGCGCCGTCTTTGGTTGGCATTTGCGTCCACGTATCCATCGGGGGGAGGGGGATAATATGCGGGACTGGGCTGGAGGCGGATTGGTGCGTTGGGGTCGAGATGGCTCGCCACCCGCTGAATTGTAGTTGGAATACCCTGAGGGTCCATGGTTGATGCTCGTTGGCGACCAGCGCGTGTAGTTGCCTGTGCGTAGAGACTCTGAGGGGGAACCTGACCTGGACCAGGGCCTGGCATCATTCCCATTTGGTGGCCATAGCCAGGCGGCTGCTGGGTGGGGTATGGAGGTGGTGCACCCTGCTGGTACATGCCGTTGTACATGGGTGGAGGCTGAGTCTGAGGAGGCGTGTGGAATTGGTTCATCTGCATGGAGTAGGAATTCTGCGCATGCGCTGCCTGAGCCGCTCTCTGTTTGCTGGTAGCCTCGGCACGCTGTTGTTGTTCAACTCCAGGAGCGGGCTTGCTGGCAGTTGAGTACTTGAGATTCATCGGTGGCATGAAAGGACCGGTGAACTTTTGCTGAGTGATGAATGGGTGTAATTTGGCTTGCTGAGGTGACCACCGCTCGAGGGGGTTAATCGAGAGAAGTCCGCGTACGAAATCAATAAATGCGACCCGGTTGTTGAGTTCTGTCAAGGTTAGTATGATGTCAAACTCGGGCTAAATCTGATCCTACCTCGCTCAACCTCTGCTTGCTTCATGTTCTTTCGAGGCATTGGGTAGCTGCGAATGATCTCCTCTAGCGTTGAAGCAGAGAAATACTTCTTGCTGGGTTGTTCCTTCGTGTTATGTTCCCTTGAGTATTGCTCCAAGCTCTTGAGACGGTATGTCTTCCTGCCGAACTCATCCTGAGTCTTTTCGAAGAACTCGCCTGATTGTTTGCCCATCTCAAGCATCCAAGTGGGTGGGATTCCCAGCATCTCGACGATTCGACAGACCTGGTTGTATTCTGATGAGCCTGGGAAAAGGGGCAGACCCAGGAAAAGTTCCACCACGATACATCCGAGGGACCACATGTCAATAGCAGATGAGTATGGCAGGCCAAGCAACACCTCTGGGGAACGGTAGAATCGTGACTGAATGTAGGTGTAGACCGTTTGTCGCTCATCACACGCTGAACCGAAATCAATGACTTTGATAATGGGACTTTCAAGATTTTTGAGCAAAATGTTTTCCGGCTTCAAGTCACAATGAATAAGATGCGCCTTGTTCAACAGACTCAGCGCGTTCAACAGTTGCTGAGCAAACACGCGAACCAGAGTTGTACTCAACCCGCGGAACTGATTTTGTTTGATGAGCTCGTACAGGTTGACACTGAGCAGTTCAAATGCGAGACACAAATGTTGTCGGTGAATAAACGTATCTTTAAGACGAAGGAGGTGGTGGTCATCGTTCTTGTCGTACTTGCTGTTGAGCTGCAAAGAGTAAGCTAACATTCACAAGGCCTATGCATACGAAGGGGGCTTACCAGGTCTAAGACGGAGACTTCCATCATACTCTGATTGAAGTAGGCAGTCTTGTTCTTGATGACTTTGACTGCCACCACTTCTCCCGTCTTGAGATTCTGGCATTTCACGACCTGACCAAAGGTACCCTGACCTAGCACATCGAGGATGAGGTATCGGTTCCTGGAGGCGAAGAAGCTAGTTAGCTTGGATATCGACTAGACAAGAGCATGTATACGCGTACTTGTGGCCTGCTTCCTCACTGCCGAGGATATCGTTGACGTAAAGGATGTAATCGCTATCCTCATTATCATACCCGTCGTTCTTGACACCTTTGCTCGGCTTGGTCAATACTCGACGCGGGTTCCGGGAAGACTCATAATTAAATCCTGGGTTACATATGCGATACGTGGCCGGAAGGTGGGTTGTCAACGATTGAAGCGGCTGAGCGGGCTGGTTAGGTATGACGATAACCCGAGCGGGGAATATTCAGGACTCACGGAGATGAATCCACCTTCAGGATTAGCACGTCGAAATGCGGGTTGTACATTCATACGTGGGTGCAGTTCCTGTACAGACTGGATCTTTTGGAACTTCGGGACTGGACCGCGACCGGGAACCAGAGGAGGCTGAGATGGCAGCGAGCCAGATTGCGGAGATCGCGAATCTCCAAATCCAGGACTCATGTGGGAGGAGGCCGAGGTTGGGTAGTATTGATCAGGGCTGAGGTCACCGGCTTGGAGGGGTGGCAGTCGAGGGGCGCGATTCGCTATCGAAGAAGTTAGTGAAGCTGTCAAAGCTGACCTGCACCGCTGGTTAGTACTTACTTGGCGATTGGTATCCCTGTGGCGGAGATGCGTACTCAGGTCGCGCAGGCGACCGTCGAGAAGAGCTCTGGGGGCCGGACGGGAATCCATATGAGGTCTGGGCTTTACCAGGACTAGTGGGATATGACATCGGCGGCGACAAGACATTCATCGGAGAATATCTGCGAGCAGCTGACGAGGCCGATGTTTCCTCTGCCTGATTCAAAAATTGCGAAGAGGCGCGATTGTGGTTTGGCCTCGAAGGGTACTTTGCTCGGTTGTACGGGTCGGCGTCCTCCATGGTGGTATCCGCATCGGTGACATAATCCCGTCGGGGGGTGGCGGCAGGCGATGAAGCCATCGAGACAGTCTTAGAGTTGGTGCCTGTTGAAGGAGGCTTTGAGGTAGTGCCAGGAGTTTGGAAGGACTCGTAGGTGTATCCGACGGGGGGCTGTGATTGTGGCTGACCGTATTTGGAGGCTAGTTGCTGAGGATGAGACGCCAGCGCAGCGTTAAACTGCGCAGGGTGACCCACGAGAGGATCCTGGTACGGCTGCCAACCAGGTTCCATCGTGTATGTTTGGCGAACGAATGGCGAGACTCGAGCTCACCGTTTCGCGCACTGCGATCGGGGATCGTGGGTTGCGGGGACGGGCACTATGAATGCGGTAGGTGAATTTTAACGCAATCCCAGGGAGTAGCAGAGAGGAATTGGAATCAGAGTGGAATCATGCGGCACTGCATTATCCAGAGAATTGTTGATGAAGTCAAGTTCGAAGGGGGAGGGGGGGGAGGAGTGGGAGGGCGGTCGCAAGTTGGTTGCGACGCAGAAGACGTAGGCGGCTTAAGGCTTCAGGTAAGTCTGGAGACAGTTTTTTGGCACCCGAGAATGACGACAATTCAACAAGAATAGTAATGACACACTTCACACACAGAAGATACAACACATACAATAAAGAGGGGAAGGGAAGAAGTGTGGAGGTTGGCGAACTTTGCCTACACCCGCCATGGATCTACGAAATGCAACCATTTGTAAGTTTTGTCTATCGCTAATAGAATTCTATAATAGCTCTAGTTCAAACTCAAGGCACCCCTCGAGTTACTACTTGGATTGTGGTCTCCTTGGCGACGTGACTTTGGACATTTGCATACCCAACTCTGCCTAATGAGTGTAATTTGTCCAACTTGGCTATATATAGTCGGTGTTATAGATCATATTCGATCGAGGCTCTATACTGGCTATGGCTTTGATTTATTGTTCTTTACTTTATCACTTTGTAAATTGGTAGTTGTTATAGCAACTAGAGGGTAAAGTTAGAACTATGTCATGTCTCAAGCCGATCAACACAACTACATAACAATGAACTGTCAGATCTATCTCAAACCCTTTGATGGAAGAAATGAATACCTTTATATTTCGATATGTATCTAATCTGTATGTTTGACGTCGCAATATTGGATACCAGCTACTCGGAGCATTTGAAAATGAGAAGAGGCCCAAGTATGGAGAAAACAATGCGTAAAGACCATATTCTCGCTGCGAGACCTTTTGTTTAGACTGGCTGATGGTATGCTATATTATGACCCTTCCCTAAGGACCACCGGATTACCGGATTGTTATCTCTCTTTGCCTCACATAACTACTGCAGCAGCGAAGAAATTACCGTCGAACCTTACAATTTCAATCCACGATGAAGTGGAATCAGATTTACTGCATCTTGCTCTAAGAGTCATATTTCATTTGCCCAGGGGCAACGTAGTGTGGACAGCTCCTTGATAGATTTACTATGAGCCGTTAGTTCAGTGCAGGGAGCTAGTTTATCAAATGAATAACTATAACATCTTCCAGCCCATGGTCTTATCGATTCTTCAACCGCCCTGCAGTAACAAGGTTCAAGTTGAGGGCTAGACCCCGATTACCTCATTGATGACTCATGAGTCAAGTGAGCGGTATGTGAGGCGGTGATTCATTCTGCCACGCTGTGATAAAGATTGTTCCCGAACAGGACTTGATTGCTGCCTTTGCCTGATGTATTTGCTCTATTAAGCGGCCATGATGCACTCACTTCCATATACACTGATTTAGTCTCTCCTTTGTCTTTAATCCATACAATCTTTTCACAAACTTAATTTGCCATGTCTTCTTCTGAGGAGGCGAGTCGCCTCCAAGACCTCCAGGCCGATGTCCGCAACCAAGATGACCTCGAAAGAGACATCACTCGGCAGGTATGAGCTAATCATCGACTTGTACTTACTTGAGACTCACCGAATTCTCAGGCGGATAAGGCACTTGCAGAGAAGGCGGAAGAGAATGACATCAAGCGACTCGAGAAAGTCCTGGTAGAAAGAGAGTATGTGAAGCAAACTTCTTACATCCAAAATCACAACTAATTATATCAGACGTATTGATAGCCAGATCCGACGAGCACACCAGCGCCTTACCCAACACGTCGGAACTGCCACTCGCCATCGCGTGGAGAATGAGTTGAAGGGATTGGAGGTGCGCAAGGCCGGCCTGATCAACGATTTGAAGGAGATCCAACAACGGATTGATGACAGGCGCCAGTCGCAAGAAAATGCGACAGAGGCCCATGGATCTGGGAGGCTGGCGAACGAGTCACGTCGTGACTACCTACTGCGAACCGGAAAGATTACCCCCTTTGCGTTGATGAATGCGGGATCCAGAGATGGACCACTTGCCAACCTCGAGGATGCGCTTGTCGACACCGAGGACCAATACAATGAGGAACAGGAGCGTGAACAGGCTAAGCATGAGCCCGCTGCATCCCATCGTGACCTTGCACGCCCTGATTTCGACTTTGAAGAGAGCAGCAGCAAGCGCCGAAAGGTCGCCCGGACCAGATCTCCAGGAGCGGACTCATCCGCAAGCTATGTGGCCTCGGATGGTGCTGAGGATGCGTCAGCAGACGAAGAGTTCATGCCTGATACTTTACCTGAAGCAAAGCCAAGTCGTAAGCGCAAGCAACCCAAAGGTAACAGTGAACTGGAAGATCTTAGTGGAGTGGACGATGGCAATGAGGAAGTCTACCAGGTTCGTGTTCAAGAATGGATCAGTCGGCGTAGCTCCGCTCGACAGAATACCGTGACTCACTCCATCGAGAATGAGCTGGATGAGGAGGATGAATGGCTCAAGCCGCATCCCACTGAACCAGCCATGGAGCTTGACAACGGCCTGCGCGTGCCCGGAGATATCAGCCGCTATCTTTTCCCATACCAGAAGACTGGTGTTCAGTGGCTATGGGAGTTGCACCAGCAAAGCGTGGGTGGTATTATCGGTGACGAGATGGGCCTCGGAAAGACCATCCAGGCGATTGCCTACCTTGCGTCACTGCATCATAGCAACAAGTTCACAAAGCCGGCGATCATTGTTTGCCCAGCAACCCTCATGAAGCAATGGGTCAATGAATTTCACCGCTGGTGGCCAGCTTTCCGGGTGTCTATTCTTCATTCATCGGGAAGCGGCATGATGAATCTTGGCAAAGAGAACAGCCAGGAAAGCGCACTCACATCCGAAATGATGGGAAGTCGCAGCTCGGGTCGTCTATCTGCTGGCCAAAAGGCCGCTAAGAAGATCATCCAACGAGTTACCCAAGAAGGCCACGTCTTGGTGACTACATACTCGGGTCTGCAGTCGTATGCTGATGCCCTCGTCGACGTTGAATGGGGATGTGCCATCCTTGATGAAGGCCACAAAATTCGCAACCCAGACGCCGGCATCACCTTCAGTTGCAAGGAATTACGTACTCCCCACCGAATCATTCTCTCCGGAACACCAATGCAGAACAGTTTGGTAGACCTGTGGTCCTTGTTCGATTTCGTTTTCCCAATGCGCCTGGGAAATCTTGTCACCTTCAAGAACCAGTTTGAGAACCCTATCCGCCAGGGAGGATATGCCTCCGCATCTAACCTCCAAGTCCAGACTGCTGCTAAATGTGCAGAGACCTTAAAAGACGCCATCAGTCCATATTTGCTCCAGCGTTTCAAGGCTGATGTAACATCTGATCTACCACAGAAAAGTGAGCAGGTCATCTTTTGCAAATTGACCGCTCTTCAACGAACCATATACAAGAGATTCCTTGGCTCAGATGAAATGAGATCTATCTATACCGGCAAACGAAACTCATTGTTCGGCATTGATATTCTACGCAAGATCTGCAACCACCCTGACCTGGCAGATCACGCATTGCGGTCTCGCGAGGCAGACTATGGTACTCTAGAGCAGTCTGGCAAGATGCTAGTCTTGAAGGGATTGCTCGAGGTCTGGAGAGATACCGGCCACAAAACCCTGCTATTCACACAGGGACGTCTGATGCTGGACATCATCGAGAAATTCCTGAATGGTTTGGGTGGTTTCCAATACCGTCGAATGGACGGCACTACACCGATCAAGGAGCGCCAGTCTCTGGTCGACACCTTCAACAAGGATCCTGAAATCCACGTTTTCCTGCTTACCACCCGAGTGGGCGGGATCGGAGTGAACTTGACAGGTGCTGACCGTGTCATTATCTTTGATCCCGATTGGAACCCATCGACTGACCTGCAAGCGCGCGAGCGTGCATGGCGTCTTGGCCAAAAACGTGATGTAACTATCTTCCGCTTGATGACAAAAGGCACAATTGAAGAAAAGATCTATCACCGCCAAATCTTCAAGCAGTTTTTGACCAACAAGATTACGCGTGATCCTCACCAGCGTGAGGGTTTCCAGCTGAGTGATCTTTATGACCTGTTTTCCCTGACAGATGAGAACGACAAGGAACTGGAGACAACCCAGCTCTTCAAGAATGCCGAAGTCAAATACCAGGAAGAGACCGAAGACCCTCGCGACAAGAAAAACCGCGGACGCAACCGTGAACCCGTCCCAAAGACCGAAGATGAAGAACTCCAGGTTGACGGGGTGGCCAAGATCGAAGAATTCAAAAATACCGCTGAAGAAGAGAAAAATTCCAAATCCTCCGAAGACCGAATCATGCACGGTATCTTCGCCCGCTCCGGCGTTCACTCCGCCCTAGAGCACGATCAAATCGTAAACGGGCGTCGAGTCCTTCGAGCCGACCCCAAAATGATCGAAGCCGAAGCCCGCCGCGTAGCCAACGAAGCAGCCGAAGGCCTCCGGCAAGCCGAACAACAAGCTCGCAACATCCCCATCGGCCTTCCCACATGGACTGGTCAATTTGGCATTGCCGGCCGCTCCGATCCCACCACCAGTGGCAGCTCTGCTCGCTCTAACCGTGGTGGCCCATCATCTGCCAGCCTGTTGGCTCACCTGAACCCGGCAGCCGCGTCACGAACAAGTGGTCGTGGCAACGATGCCCGTGCTGGTCCTTCTTCTGCACGCATGCCTCGCGGCAAGGACTTCCTTCCTCTAATCAGGGATTACCTTGCTTCTCGTCGCGGTCCGACGTTCTCTCACACTATTGTTGAGCATTTTAATCATTATTGTAATACCCCAGAACGAGTCGCGGAATTCCAGGAATCGCTGAAGACGGTTGCGACGCTTGACCGTGTGGGTGGGAGAGGTCGCTGGAATCTGAAGCCTGAATTTGCTCGCAATGCTAGCAGTCAGAGCCAGAGGCGCTGAATTGAAAGACTAGATCGTTTGTCGGTGCTATATGGTTTTCAAAAATAGGTTCTTTCGTTGGAATATTGGGGGGAGATGTGTAAGATAGCAAGTTTATGATATGACGAACAATGCAGATACCCTGGTTCATTTCACACCTGGCAAACACACTTAATGCTGACAGGAACATATTGGCCCTAACGTTAATTAATCGAAGCTAAGAATCTTCCTTGCCCACCGGGCGTTGCTTAAATGCGCCCCCGTGGACCCCTAATATGAATGGCCACATTGTTTCATACACCTCAACTCGGAGCATATCCCTCAAACATGTAACATGAGAGATTTTTTTTTCACATGAAATAAGCACACAATGCTTCACAGCGAATCTCTTGGTATGATGTCTTCAGGTAATCGGACATATGATATCATCGGGGTATCCCACCAAGAAAGGGGTATTTACACAGTGGATCATGCTATTTTTTGCGACAGGGGAACCACATCTCCAAGCGAGGTGGGAATTAGGCAGGAGAGTGCAAATGTTGCATCCACAAATTCAGGGGAAGCTCCACTGACAAGAAACCGAAGTGTAAGCTATCGAGCTGCAACAGCGTCCAGAATACAATATCCTACAAGGGGAAGATGAGCAGGACTCCCAACATGGCGCAGAGACTATACAACTACAGTACGCCCACAGCCCTGATCACATCGCCTGAAACACCGCCACGTTATGATCATCTTCGGGTAGACATACAGTACAGTACTGTACACCCTCTTGCACATCCTGTCTCAGGTATTTCCTAGCGAATGGACAGTGGATGAGATCTGCACTCTATCGCGACCCTGACTGGCGCGGAGGTCCCAGCTAATGCAGGAACCCACACATTTGTACTTCCAAGATGTCGATTATAATCACTATGTGGGGGTCGTTTCCTTCATTTACCCCATACCAGCCTCTAACGCCGTGGATCAGCCTTGTCCGGCTGGGTAGTGTCGGTCCTGGCGGTCAGTTTGGGACGGGGTTGAAGTGATGGATGGAGGGGGGCTGTGTGTCTGCTCCTTGCTGATACGCATGTGCGTGAAACAGATGTGAATCAAATCAGGGCGAGAGGGTTTGAAGTGACGGTGAGTGGTGGTTTACTCTACTGTGCACACGATCACCGAGATGGATGGTCTATAGATCAAGGCGGGTGACAAGTGAAGTTATACCGGGATCACACGGCAGACAACTAACTTCTATTTTGATCCAAGGATCTCAATCCGGATCGGCAATCATTGTAGACGGTTGAACTCCACCGTGGACCAGTTCATGCGTTCATCGCCGGTGCCAAAGCATCCTCCGTTTACTGTAGGGTATAAAAGGGACGCCACAATCCCGTTGTATAAGCCTCTTCTACTCAAACCCATTCGCTCGATCTCTTTTATTTCTCCATTCTCTACATTCCTACCCTATTCACTCCTTATCAAAACCCAATCTCATCAAAATGAAGTTCCTCGCCACCATCGCTCTCCTAGCCTCCGCCGTGGCCGCCGCCCCAACCGAGAAGCTCTTCAACCTGAAGACCTCCGGCGCCGCCAACAGTACCCACAACGACCTCTACCTCTCCGTCGGCCGTGGCATCATCAACGACCCCCTCAACAACGAGGCCCTCTTCGCCGGCGCCCCAGCCAAGCGCGCCGCCACCTTCTACGTGAACAACGGCACCGTCCGCTGGGACAGCGGCGATGCCTCTACCCCCTGGGCTCTGGACCTGATCAAGGTCGACGGTATGCACGAACACAAGCATTTCCCAATTCAAAGGTTTCAAAATCTAATCCACCGCCACACAGGTGCTCGCAAGGAGCGCGCCCAGGTCAGCGTCGACCCCACCACCGGATCGAAGGGTTTCACTATCGGTCCTAAGGGCTTGCAGGGCCCTGCCAGCAGCTGGGGCGGATGGTTGTGTATGTGTCACCCCAATTCCAAGGTTCATACCTCATGATGATGAAAATCGGAGCTAACTGGTTTGCGTATAGGGTGCCCCGTTGACGCCGCAGCCGGCCAGTTCTATCCCAACTTGCACTTCCTCAACAAGAATGTTCCCCTGCCTGCTGTGCCTGCGGGATGTGACAAGATTAACTTGGAGGTCGTACCTAAGTCCTCTGCTTAGGTGCAGTATCCTGAGTACCGGTATGGTGTGGTGGTGCGTTGGTTCGGTTCTTGGCTTGGTTGATTGCATCTGTGATGCTTGCTTACCCTTTTCATGTTACTTACTTCCGTTACCTGTGGACCATGTATTTGGAAATACTGTCGTTGGATTTGAAATCCTGTCTATCTTCTATTGCCTATTGTCTATTGTCTATATCCCGAGGCGTATGAGCTGGTCTTTATTGCCATAATTGATGATTTTTCTAGATTTGTTGGTTTCTGTCTGTAATATGTGTATGCCGGTTTTAGTTTATAGATGTGGATAAGTTAGTGAATGAGATGTATGTCCATGGTTCACTACAAATGCCTCAGCCATGTTTCTACAGTAGCCCTCAATTTGTCCCGATGTTGAAAGCTCATGGTCCGTCAGCTCTTGAGTGGGTTCGTTTCTTCACTTCTTAGTCCTCGTTGGATCGCCACCCCCGCGTCAGGCGAATTTGCTTTCTCGGGAGGGCCGAAGGGGTGGCATTTTCATTTGGTACCTAGGTTGGATAGTCTTGGTGGGGTTGTCTGCTAGAATATGGTTGGCTGATAGGGCATAGAGCCTTTCGTTCAAGGTTCCGTTCCTATGTTTACTTGGATGGAGCTCCAGAATAGGTGGTCATGCTTAAGAATGATCCTTGTTTTCGTACATTGGAATTATTTGGGTGGTGTCATTACCTTGGAACTCTATGACATGTGTCATGGAGTTGAGTCAAATATGTTGCCACTGATGAAATGTTGGTCAGTCTTTTAATCTACTTCTCTTTTTTTACCTTGGCCCCGGCCATTTTCGTGTCATTCACTTTCATTGTGAGCCTCCTGAGATTTGATCTTTATTAATCAAGGGGGTTAGAGGTTAAGGGCATGATAGGACTTCGAGACTTAGAGTGCATTTATGAACCGTGTCGTTTGGCGTAAGTACCTCAGCGGTTAGATCAGTACAGTATATGCGAAAATAGCAAAGAAACAGAAAAGAAAAACAAACAAAAGAACACGCAAAAGCAACATGAGAAAAGGAAGCAAGACAAAATAATTGTTCCAGCGATGTTGACGTCTCTAAAACATAACAAAAGACCCAAGGACACTCTCGACGACATTCATAAACATCTGAGAACTCTGCATGGTCGTTCCTCAAAAAGCGATTTAACAATCTGGCAATATTACAATCTTTACCTCCGAGAATACTCAGTACCTTACACCCACTGGTGGGGCGTGCAACTGGGGCTTGGGTCTCGTACTAGATGGTTGAGAATAACCAGGTTGAGGCATGCCATGCTGACTGGGGCTCATCGATGATCGAAGTAAGAGAACCTGTTGCTTCATTGCTAGCAGCTCCTCTAAATAGAAAAAGTGATGGTGTCAGATCTTCCCTTTCTCTTTGTCAACCAATCAAGGTGCCACTCACCATCCTTGCGTTTGAGTTCCCGGTCTTTTTCATTTATGAGAGCAGTCACGCATTTCTCTATAGCGCGAACTAGATCTCTTTCTGTTGGTCGGGCATCTTCTATATCATTGAAGGATATTAGAGGTGCTAACTTTCTTCCCATCGATACGGTAGTGCTCACGTCTGCTCTTCTCGATCTGTAAACCCTTTCCAGTCAGGCTCTCAATTGTGACTTGTAGACTTTCCAATGCCGGGCGTGTGCTTTCCGTTGTCCCAATTGGAGGTTGAGAAAGCACTTTTGCCATATTTCGAGAAGCTATTTCGGTCATTGCCAGTTAATAGCTGCTGGTTGATTAGAGGACGACGTAGATTTGACTCACCCAAATGAACTTGGTAGTCCTTCGATTTATTTGCCTCTCGCAGAAGATTTGAGCATTGTTCATTGATCAGGTCTAGGCCTTTCACAAGTCCCTCGCCGTAGTAATCACCGAATGCCGCTGCCTTTGCGATCCGCGCGACTGGGACAGAAAACTTTAGCTTGCTTGCCTGAAAAGAAAAACGGATACCTACTCTGGGCACTCATAAAGAACGCAATTCCTCGCTCAATTGTATCAAGAACAACGACAGTCAGATTGAGCGATGCGTTCAGGATATTGGTATCTCCTGGGAATAGTTGTAGGAATATTTCGATGTCCGCAAAACAGGGTGTGAGGTTTCCTAGTCCTTGTAGAGCCTGTTGGCGAACCACAGAAGACATCTTGGCGGCCTTATGGAAGAATCAAATCCATTAGCAAGCCTCCACGACCGATCAAATCCCAATTAGGGATATGCTTACATCCAGGAGAATGACAACAGCCTGGAGAACGGGGCTTAAAATCGGGTCCTGGAGGGGGAGGACAATTTGGGTGGCAGTTCTCGCAACAGCAGCAGCAGGAGCAATACTATCAGCCACGTTCCGCAGATGAAAACGCAGGTCTCCAAGAGTACCTCCCCGGCTCTGATAATGAGCTCGAGCCTTCTCTAGTACCTGATAGATACTTTGCCAGTCCTGCTTATTTCGAATATCGTATTCTGCGGGTGGTGGTTTGGACTGTGGATGACTCGATCTGAACTTGTTCATAGCGTCGGGGAATATGCGTTTCCAAAACTCCATAGTCTCAACATTTGTAAACTGTGGACGGGAAGGAAGACTATATTTGTCACCAGAAGTCAGAGTGGATGACCCTGGCGCCTTCTTTGGTGCATGATGGCCTGAAGAAACCGCCATAGGCCGATCATTTGAATTGCGCTGGTCCTTTTCAGGAGTACGGCGGGAGGTGAACTTTTCAAACATTCTCGATATTCCAGTTCTCAATCAATGGTGAAGTGAGAACCAAGTAGGTGAGAAATCCTTGCTACTTATATTCGACAACCGGCACCGCGGCCACGTTTGCCAGCGCTAATAATTTTGGATCTAATATCTCTCCGTTTAGCGCTTTCTCAGCCGCAGAACTCATGAAGACCTATGAGGATCATAATGGCAGTGATATGGTGCAGTAGTGTCGTTTGCAATAACCGCCAAACTTATTGTTAGCATATGCTTGAGGCGACCAATCACGGGATTTCGATTCTACATCCGCCGAACCCTGGCGCTTATATGTAGATCATATAGCCCTTCAGCGGGCTAGCCATGCATGCCATTCTGTTCAATCACTTCTTAGCTTATTTCAATGAGGCTAACTTTCGAGATCTAGAACTGATGTAGTCGGCGATCAGAGTCAGAAAGAGCCAGGTCGAAGTTTCGAATTCCAAGACCAGCTCATTGCATATACTAGGCGTTTCAGGATTTTTTTTCCGGTATAGATTATATAGTATCTAGTGATATATTTCGCACAAAAGTCTTAAGGTCTTAAGAAGGATGTATAAAGCAGGTGACAATTGGCTGCCATGACACCTTTCAATTTGAACATTTAAAGCGAGCGCTGACTGTTCGACTATTCTATGACTGGGGTATTAATTAGTATTGAAAGTGAGGTATCTAGCTCTATATATAACTAGTAGGCAATGAGGCGGAGGCCGCGGGGCTCAGAAAATGGAGTCGGAGGGACACGAAGCAGGCTCCTTTTACCACTACAATCACCACAGGCAGGATTGATTGAAGAGTATACTGTCCACTGAAGAGCTACATTTCAAAAATGGCACTGCCTTCGATTCTTATGTGTAGCGTTAAGAGATCCTTCAAGAACTACGGACTGATTCAAGGGCATTTAGAAAGGGCCAGCGCTAATATTGCAGCATCAACGATCATGTTCCTCTCCTTGGTGCTTTTCATGATATAGAGTCCCACGAAGCATAGGATTATGCAGAGATACTCTTGATGGTCGGATTGGAGGTTATTTCCTCATCGATAGTGGCCTCAAACTTCGGAGCTCAGAGAGCGTGTAGTCTGGAGATGAGAGAGGCTACTAGTATACCTGCATCTGTTAGATTATGTCTCTCTCGCGGATACTTGACGAGGTACTTTGTATATTGCTCCTATCTGTATCAGATCTATATCCTCAGTCTGAACATTTGGGCTTGCTAGTAGCTGAAGTCAATAGGAATTTGGTTTCATCTCTGTGAGCAGTTGTCGAGAAATCTCTCCATTAGCGACCAGGTGGTTGAAGCATATATGTGAAGTAATTTATTGCAAACTCAAAGTGATTCACCAGGCCGGGAAATAAACATTCCTAAATCCCTTTGATTTACACTGCGACGTAACTTATACAGACTCTGGCAAGGAACGACTACTCTCAATACGAGTCAGATAATTGCCTAGATTTTGCTACATAGCAAAAAAATTACAACGTCAGAAAATCTCTGACCATTTAGATTATTCAGAATTAAAAGGTGAGGGATGATCCTACGCGTTGTTTGTAAATGTGAAACCTAAAAAATAATATCCGCGGAATGATAAGTTCACCCTCATTGTTTACATTGAGGATGTCGGGTAGTGAGAAGTTTAGGCGTGCAACTCAACCCAACATCGCTTACCACCGAACACTGAGCACTCTCAGCTAAAGATTCATAGAGAATTCAACATGTGAAAGACAAATCAGCAGGTAAAGAATGCATCTTCATAGTGTGGCGACTATTAATAGCCGATGTCTCACCTATTTGGGCTTAGCCCCGCAGTCGTCTTTCTCTTCCAGTTGATCTTCTTCATATCCTTCCTATCCTTCGCATCCTGGACTCTGTACAGACACTCGTTTATCGTCAATATTGTATACTCACGGTCGTTGCCCGTATTGAACCCTTCCTCCCCCACGAATCTCCAGATTTCGGTGATCTGCACGGTGTTCAGGGTCCAGACTGCTGGCCAAGGGATTAGGGTCTTTTGCACTCCACGTTGTTTTGATCGACCGGCAACAGAGTTCAGGCGAGAAAGAAACTGATTTTGCTGTTTCTCACATATTTGGAACCCTTCGGACGAGTCACACTAGGTTGTGCAAGGGGTGTGATCAATCCAGCTCACTTCCGGCCCAGGGGACAATATTCCCGATCGCTTGATCTTCAACCTCCCAATTACCTCACTTTTGGCTCTTCATCTTCAATATGCGGGCTTTCTTCTTGACTGTGCTCTGCACTGTTCTCTTGTTGGGGACACTGTCCTCGGCCTGGCCATGGAGCCAAAATGGCATAAACTCCCTAGATAAACGACAAGGTGCGGCAGAACCACCCGATGCTATTGTGGTCAACACTAATCTCCTTTGCAGATACCACTGATACCGCAAGCGATTCCACGACCACGAATGCAAAGACCTCTGAAACCACGGCCAATACCAATACCGCGTCTGAGACCTCGTCCTCGTCCGATACCACGACTGGCACAAACACCGATACAAAGACCGCGACCGATTCAGAAACAACCGGCACCAACACTGGCACCAACACTGGCACCACCAAAACAAAGACCAAGACCACCTCTACCTCCTCCATCTCCATTGATCCGGCTGCCGCTGCTGGAGGCGTGTCCATGATCACCCCGAACGCCTTGTCCACGAGCTATTACAAGATCGGTCAGGATGTCACATTCGTATGGAACTATACTTCGCTCTCGGTCACCCCATCTGCAGTCAATGTCGTTGCTTCTTGCAGCATGAACAAGCAGGAATATACGTTGACCTCCAACATGAGTGTGAAGGCCACTGGAAGCGTGATCTGGGACACCGGAAAATACCAGTCTTCAGCCACCATTCCGTTGCTCACCGCGACCTATACTCTCTTTGTCTATGACTCCAGCAAGGAAATTGATGACACCGCCTCTGCTGGACATCTGGGTTCGCAGATCGGGTATTCCTTCGGAATGTATACCCCGCAAGCTTACACCCCGCTCAATGGTCAGTTTCCCTCCCAACAGCTGAGATGCAAGCAAACACTGACTTTTCTAGAATTCCACTGTGCCACCTGCAGCGGTGCCATGTCCGAGACCACTCGCCAGGCCCTCAAATTCACCTTTGGAATGGCTCTCATTACCTTCGCTTCCTTCACTTGGTTTGCTGGGAGTGCCGGCGTATTGTCCTGAGAAACAAAACACATCACACTGACTTTCTTATGAACATATTTTCGATGATGGGCGTTGCATTCTCCGAAGCGATCTGGGTTTTAATGCAAGAAGATGGCGTTGCGCAAAGTTGATATTGGATGTGACTTTTTTTTCTTTCCCCCTATCTATTTCTTTATAATAAGCGTTGTTGAGCAATTGGTATCTTTAATTCATTGTACTTTCGGATTCACACATGAATATACATCTTACTTCTCAGATACTGCATACAAACGCTGTTGAAATGCTTTCTTTTATGCAGAAGATGGTTGTCACATCAACCGCCTATGAGATCACCAAATTATGGTTGACACAGAATAATCAAAGCTTAGACATTTGTATCAAAGGATCTACTCTGATAGTTATTGTAGTATTCCACCAAACAAAGAAACACCTCAACCCTCCCATCCCATTGTTAAAACCCAGGTGTTTCACAACTCTGGCGAACAAAATCTTTCACACAACTACAGCAACCCAATCTCAAATTCCAAACAAAGATATCTGCACTGTCTTACATCTGATGCGATTCTTCAAACAAAGAAAAACACACCCGACAGTTTGCCATCTATTATTGCAATGCAGAATCAGACTCAGTCCCAAAAGAAAGGCAATCATAAGAAAGAAAAGAACCAACAGGCCGACAATATATGATGAGATACAACAATAAGCATCTCGTTCTATAGAAGTAGTCCACCTACCTCTATCGTCAAACCCATATCCCATACCCGTATCCCTACCCATCCAATGCCCAAAAAAGGAAAGCCAACCTCCCCCCAACTAGGCTGGATCTGGCCCAAAGACCCTCGCCCAGGAAACCCCAAGAAATGGCCCAAACACTGGCGCTTCCTTGACGTCCTCCAAGGCAAAGGGCCGGACATATACGTCGGCACAATCAAGGATCCAAAATCCAAATCCGAATCCAACCATAACAACCAACACGAGAATGAGAACGAGACCATGGACCCTCACACCCACAGCCAAACTTATTCCCATTCCCATTCCCAATCAAAAACATCCCCCAGCAGGGAAGAATGGACCCGCTGGAACATCGACCCCAAAAACGAAGAAGGAGAAGCTGCAAACTACAGTCTCCTCCCCTGGGTCAAGCGCAAACCAGGCGAGCGATACGATTTCCGCACGAGGACGTATGCCGTCCCGAATCGGGCGACGTGGAGCCGGGTTGAGTTTTGTGATGGGCCTGAAAAGGGGAAGTGGTATGAGCGGCGTGAAGTCCATCGCGTTCCGAGGCGGTATTGGGATCCGAATGGGGAGATTTATCCTGCTGAGAATTGGCATGATAATATTTATGGGGCTCATGATGATTAGATTTGGGGGTATATGAGTTGTGGGATTGTTGGAGGGATTGTTGAAGGGGTTGTTTTCTTGGGTTTGGGGCTGGATTTAGATATTGTGCTTGGGCTTGTTAGATTGTTGTTAGGTAGATTCGGGTTGGAGCAAAATTGATTCGATAGATTTAGATCTTCTTTGTGTCAATATGGAACATAATATGGTCTAGATGCAGCCTGCGTGTAGTGCGTCAAATGTGTAAATGCGTGGTCCTTCGGTAGATTGTTGGTATGGCTGGGGTCGACGGAGAGTTGGGAGTTGAGCGCCAGTGTTGGTCAGGCGATTGCATTTGACACAGGGTGTCTGCTTTATATCCGCATAAGAAGAGATCATATCCTAAAAATGAAGTCAGCACGGCTTCTTTCCTCGATCTAAGCATCAAACATACCAATAAGAACGCAAGATCCCATTTCCGAGGACGCGAGCCCAAGCAGTCCAAAATGGCAATCTCCATTTTTGTCGGCGCCCGACTTGCAACCTTGCTGGAGACCTCCCATTCTGAGATGGGAACCTCAGGTCCGGGAATGCCCTGAATCTGGAACACAATGCCTGCCCGGACAAGTGCCACAGCCAAAGAAGTCTCATCCTGGCCTTTGATAACCCGCACGCCGGGTACATCCCTCTGAACGAAACGCTCCAACACAGCCTGCCATTCTCCCTTAGTAAAGAAAGCTTTCGCACGCTCAGCATCTTCTTCCTCTTGCTTCTGATCATCTTCTTTCGTCTTCTCCTTCTTTGATAACTCCTCCAGAAGCACATCGTAGTCCGTCTCCCACTTCCCCGAAGGTTGCAGAAGTTGACCATTCGACTCAATGATGCGCGATTCAACATGCGCCCATACAGGCTGCAGCGTTGGATCCCGCCAAAGCGATTGAAATTTCTGAACATCAGCAACGCGCGCACGCGCAGCCTCGGTCAAGTTCTCGCGGAATATCTGCGGCGTCTCAGCCACTGCATTGTCTGCGGTGACTTTCTCTGGATTTGAGATTGGGACCAAAGGTTCCAAAAGACCCTGAGGCATAAATTCACGTAGTTCATGGATCTTCTTTTGTCAGATTGTGGATCGTGATTCGTACAAGATGTCGAATAAGGGCTTACCTTGCGTTCTAGCTCTTGTAGCTTTGCTAGTGACGACACTAGCTGGATTTCTGAATCCAGACGTAGGGAATTGTCATTTTCAGTACTGACCATTGTCCCTTGGGTGGTGTTTTGGTTTGTGGTGCTCATTGCTGAGGTCGTTGATATCCCGTGTTGGCGAGAGGGCCTCTGGGATAGTTCACGATAACGCTGACAGGGGCAGAGTCCAATCTGACGCTCACTTTGTGTCTTTTTATATATGAATAGAGCGCTTTGTCTATTGACTTAGGACGGAGTGTGATGGGGAATAATGGTGCGTGTGATGACTCTTTCGTCAATGGTCAGATCACTCAGCCGGTATTAGAACTGATTATTCCAGTTTATGTCGGTTATCAAGAGCTAGTCCAAAGAGTGGTATATGATATGCTCCGATTCGATCTAAGAATATTTGATGCTCCGAGTCAAGGGAAGAAAGGATGCCAGAGTCAAGGCGGGATGCGCGGACCAATCAATGCGCCTCCAGCCACGGTGCGCCACAGTGGGCTGTGTTATTATGTAATCTGTCTTATAGATCCACGAGTCAAGTGAACTTGCTATTTTTTGAACTTGCTTCATTCACTTTTTGTACTGTCTGTTGGGTGTAGTGCTTGGTGGAGCGTCTCAGGAAGGGCTGACTACATGTCTTCGGTCCGAGCACAGTTCTCTGTCTCCAATCCTTGTTTTTAGGTCTTACTTCAACTGAGTCAACCTTGGAAGCACCTTCATCTATAGCCACGCTGCTTTGGAGGTCAATTGTTCCCAAAGTTTCATAGTAAAACTTCAGCTTTGGACTAATCTACATGGTTTAGATCTCTTTGTCGAGCAATCAATTATGGACCGTTGAACTTAACAAAACAGGTCTATTGTTCTCTCCCTTTGTACATGAGACTTCCAAGCAGAGGTGTTTAATTAATAATAGGATATAAAAGGCGTTATGCGCCACACTATATGCTTATATTCTCACCAAGACAATTCAGCTCACAGCTTCTGAGCTATTTACAAGCCTCAAATACTTAGGACATCTAATCGTTCACAGAATAACCCAACCATACTGCAACTCGATTTCACCATGGGCAGAGCTCGTCAAGCACGCGAAAAATCTGGTTCTGCCATATCTGTCAGTTCTCGGAACCGAAGTTGGTCTACGAGGGCGAAGAACCGTAGAGCTGTGCTAATCGCCGATCGACCTTGCCAACGCTGCTTCCTCCACAAGGAGAAGAATCCAGGCCATATCTGTCTTCGGCGACCAAATCGCAAAGCTTGCCTGCACTGCCGCGGTGTGCACAAAAAGTGCATTGAGGTATGAGTATAAGCAATATATGAACATAGTCACATTCTAACATATCATGACATAGATCCCGCATAAGATCAAGCCCGCCGTTGATGATGCTCTTAAGTTGAAAGGACTGGAACTTACTGAAGAAGTTCGAGCCATTCACCAAAGAATCAAGGATCATGTCAGGAGTGTGAAGGTAGCAAGGAAGCGGGCATCCAAGAGACTGAAGAATGCTAATTCAGGTGTCAAAGAGTTGGAGGGAGTTTTTCAAAGATCGCTGAGGATCGCTCACCAATAGGTGCGCGATGGGGTGATGTGTTCATTCGGATCTGGGGCGGTATATAGATGTTTGATATTTGGATTTTAGAAATAGAAGATTGCAGACGAGACATTCAGCGTCGTTTAGTTTGAGTTTGGGCTAAACATGCTAAGATCAGCCACCAAGCATCGTAAGCCGTACAACATCACAGGGAAGCAAGTACAAGCATCAATACATCAAGCCAATGACGAGAATGATACAGAGCAGTGGTTCCAACTGCCTAAAACAAGGATATTTCCTAAACAGTCAGCCGGAATAGCATTGTTCCATCGCTGCCCCCAAACAGGAAGTCGGGAGCGCCAGGGTGTCGGCTCTTGCCGAGCGGCGTCACTCGGCACTTGAAATGCGTGGATGGCTTGCCTCATTCAGTCGCAGGTGGAGAAAAGTGTCAGAGTCCAACCGCAAACACTCCCTACTCCGCGTAAATGGCTCAACTCCAGATTCCCCAGATCCCATCCAGGGCCCGCTGCAGAGCCCACAGCCGCACTCCATTGGACGGCCCGTTCATCGCTCTAATCTCAAAATGCGGGTGGGATCGTCGGGGTGCAGGCTTCATGCGTAGTGCTGCCAGCATGGTAGGCATATAAACATGGCCTGTAAGCCCCGGGTTTTGTGGCTTTAGTTGAGTCTTCGTTTGAAGTATAATCTCAATTACAATCTCTGCAATTATGCGATCCTGGTATGGAAGGGGTCGGTCCCTGCAGGTGGCTGTCACGGCTTGCTGTCTGGTGGCTTTCATCTTGTTCGGTTATGATCAGGGTGTGTTTAGTGGCATTGTCGGCAACGACGATTGGAGGAAACAGTTCAACTACCCCAATGACTCGGAAGAAGGAATCATTGTCAGTTGTTACAACCTGGGTTGTCTCCTGGGATGTTTGGGTAAGTCAGCCTACGCACTGTTACACCTTTGAGATACTGTGACTGACGTGGGCAGTCAATTTCTTCATCGGCGAGACGCTTGGTCGCCGCAGGACTATCTGGGTCGCTATGGGCGTGGTCATCGTCGGTGCAGTCCTGCAGACCACGGCTTTCACGGTGCCGCATTTGATCATTGGAAGACTGGTGACTGGTGCGGGCACCGGTCTGAAAACGAGTACTGTCCCTATGTACCAAGCTGGTAAGCAAGACGCCCAGACCCTGAGATACTCAGGATTGCACTAACCATTTTGAACGCATGTAGAGATGTGTGAAGGCAAGACTCGAGGACGGCTCATCTCTTCTGAGGTTCTTTTCACGGCCGTGGGAATCGTCGTCGCATACTGGTTTGACTTTGGCATGTCGTTCGTGGGCGGTCCCATCGCCTGGCGTCTCCCGATTGCGATGCAAATCGTATTTGCTATCTTTGTAATTGGTCTGGTATTCGGTTTGCCCGAATCCCCTCGCTGGCTTATGAATCATGGCCAAGAGCAAGAGGCAATGGAAGTCCTCTGTGCTGTTTATGACAAAGAGCCAGATGATGAGTTCATCGTCAATGAGCGCAGGGGAATCCTGTCTGCCATCGAAATGGAAGATGCAGTCAACAAGCAGTCGATCTGGAAGATTTTCCGCAACGATGAAGTCAAGACTGGTCAGCGTGTGCTTCTCGCGTGGGGCATTCAGCTCATGAACCAGGTTGGAGGAATCAACCTTGTTGTCTACTTCGTGCCCAGTACGTTTTACCATTCTATTCAACATGAACCCACAATATTGACCTCTCCCAGCTGTTCTCAAGAGAAACGTCGGTCTATCGAGTCAGCTCTCTCAGATTCTCGGCGGTTGCATCCAAATCATGTTCATGCTCGGCTCCCTGCTCCCGGCCTTCAAGCTTGACAGCATGGGACGCCGCAAAACAATGATGATCGGCTCCTTTGGACTGGGAGTCTGCATGATGATGGTAGCAGCCCTTCTATCTCAAGTCCACCAACCAAACGGAACAAACTACGCCTCCGCCTCCGTCGCCTTCTTCTTTCTCTATATGCTTATCCACGGCATGTCCATCAACTCCGTGCCGTGGGTGTACGTCCCCGAGATTCTTCCCCTTGAAGCGCGAACAAAGGGTACCGCTATTGGCGTCAGCTCGAACTGGTTGTGGAATTTCACGGTTGTCATGATAACGCCGGTCATAATTAACCGTATTCAGTGGAAGGCATACCTGATCTTCATGGTTACGAATTTCCTTTTCATTCCCATCATCTACTTCTTCTATCCCGAGACCAGCAATCTCCGTCTGGAAGATATTGACTTGATCTTTTCACGGGGTGGGAACCCCGTTGATCAGGCAAGGAAAATGGCGCATGAGATTAAGCTCTATGGAGATATTCAGGCTGAGCAGGATGAGAAGGCTGCCAGTAGTGTTGGTGTGGAGCGTGTTTGATTCTTTTTCTTGGAGGTTTGTCGCCTTTTTCCCCCTGTATATACGATTTAGACCATGAATTCGATGATTTCTTTTCTTTAATCGGGCCTTGTCTAGACTGATTGTTCTGTAAAGCCCAACGACAGTCTCGTATCTCTTCTGTATCTCCTAGTATTAGCTCACTAGAGTCCATCCTCCCGTTACTTGGAGCACCCGCCTTGGCAGATGCGGCTCAAAGGACGTCGAGCCTTGGCATCATCTAGACGGTAGCTACAATGGTAAGCTTGCGATTTTCTGATGGCACATGAAATGGAGATGTGGGATAGCTGCTTGGAATGGCTTTGCCTGTCAATATGGTTGAAGTCGAATGCTGCTTCAAGGTCACTTCGCTCAAGATTTGAAGACTAGCTGTTGCGTTGGAGTTTCCATGGCCGGTTAAGCTGTATCTGTAGTAATGAGCATGGTAATATGGCTAGACATGCTTTTAGTGGCGTAGGCTGGAAGGAAGGGCTGGTAAGTGCAGTTTTACTAGGCTCAGATTGTGATTCATGGAAATGTACACATCCACAGGGGTGACTTATAATGGCTGGATGACCACCACTTGGGTCCTCCAGCCAAATTTTTTGGCCCATCATCAACGGGCTCTCCTCGGAGCCCCGTTGGATCTACGCAGTTGCCAATTGTTTACAATAATTTTCTCAACTGGGGTATACTGAGGCTGAAATAAGAAGCTCTAAATCAAGTTGCCGGTTGAGAAACGCCGTGAAGTATCCGCTGGCCGTGACGGTTCGTGAAGGCATTGTGTGCTCCAGTCTTTGTTGGCACATGTTCCTGTCGTTCTTGCCTGTTCACTGTCCCAGAACAGTAACTGGTAGGGTTCAAATTGGACAATAACCCTGGGGGTTAGCCCTTTCCCAGGCCAATCTGGGGTATTTTCCCCCGGGGGTATAAATACCCCCGTCTTCTCCCCCAGACCTTCTTCTCTTCTCTTTCTCCCCTCTCTTCTCTTTCTCTTCCCAACAATCTTTCTTCTTCTCTTCATCCATCTCCCCTTCCACCTCCACGGCTACCTCCACGGCTACCTCCACGGCTACCTCTACTGCCACTTCCATCTACATCCTTCTTTGATGTCCCTTCATGTCCATGTCTATCATGCATGACCTTCAAGCTTGATACCTTGCTTGCTCTACCACATGACAACATCATCATGGTACATGACCTCACTGTCCCTCACCCCCATCCATGATACATGCTGACCTTCATCCAGTCATACATCATTGATGTTCATCTTCATTCATGTCCATGTCTACCATGCATGACCTTCGAGCATGACACCTTACTTGCTCTACCACAGCACAACATCACAACATACTTGAACATCATCACGGTACATGACCTCACTGTCCCTCAACCCCTATCCATGATACATGCTTACCCTCATCCAGTCATACATCATTGATGTTCATCTTTATTCATGTCCATGTCTACCATGCATGACCTTCGAGCATGACACCTTCCTTGCTCGACCACAACACAACATCATCACATCATATCATCACAACATGCTTGAACCTCATCATGGTACATGATCTCACTGTCCCTTGGCCTCACTCATGATAAATGCTGACTACTTATGGTTGGTTCTTCAGGTTGAAGGCACGCACGAAGGAAGGAGGGGAAGATCTTGTTTGTTCAGAAGCCTTGAATATGCGGTGATCTACCGTGATTTAAGGTGGAAGGCATGCAACACATCTACAATCTCATCAACAGAGAACAACGGGAAGGAAAGGAAATGAAAACAAGAAGCTGTTCAGGTGGGATGGAGGATTTGGGTGGTTTTGTTCTGTTCTGTGGGCTTGTCTTGTGACTTTGAATATGCGGTGATCTACCGTGATTTAAAGCTGCGGGCAAGTTACATGACTTTTGTACTGACGTTCTCGAAGGAAGGAGGGGAAGATCTTGTTTGTTCGGAAGCCTTGAATATGCGGTGATCTACCGTGATTTAAGGTGGAAGGCATGCACTCTACTTCCACTGCATTATCCAGGAGCTGGTGTTGTTTGTCTTGAGGCTTTGATTATTCGGTGATCTACCGCGACTTAAAGCTGATGGGCACCAACATCTGGATCAAGTTTTGTTTTGATGGGTTCTCTTGTCTTGAGGCTTTGATTATTCGGTGATCTACCGCGACTTAAAGCTGTCAGCAAGGTTCCTTGAGATCAAAGTTGTCCCCTGGAGAAGCAGAGCTCTTCTTGCATGGAGGCTTTGAGTACTGGGTGATCTATCCCGACTTAAAGCTGAAGTGTAAGACCCTTGTGAGTTGCTGATGGTACCCAGTCATTCATGGAAGATGCATTACTGTCCTTGCCTGGAGGCTTTGAGTACTCGGTGATCTACCCTGACTTAAAGCTGAGAGGAAATCCTCTATTCTTCCATCCATCACACTCAGACATTGACCTCCTCTTTCCATGCAAGATGGAAGAAAAAGAAAAAAGAAACAAGCGAGGAGAAACCATTGTCTACATCAACCATCTATTCACCCATTGATGCACTCATTCATACAACAAAAACAACAGAAAGTGTGTGCAAGTTTTCCGGTCATTCATCAAGACTGAAGACAAGATGGACGCAGCTTCTGCATTGAAGAACGTGGTTCATCCAGGGATATTCAAACCTTGGGGGATTTTTATGTTGCTCAGTATCTTTTGTCTTTCCCCATTTAGTTGAATCAATGTCCTTCATTGCAACCTTGAAGTCTCAGTAATGTTGACATAGACTAACTTAAGTTAACTAACTATCTTTTGAAAAACAAGATGAGTCAGTAACCTTGATCTGCCAAGGTTCAGTCCCCACTTTTTGCAGAGCCGCACAGGAGGGGGGGGTGGAATAAAATGCAGAATAATTACTGTCAGCATCCAACTTTTTAACAGCGTACAACCATGACTTCGATCCCAGAAGACTTCCTCAGGGACCCATGTCCAAATTCCATTCTCCATCAAATTGACTTTGAGCACACAAACCCAGCCATCATCGCATACAAAAACAGCTTCGCCGCAGTAATCGACAATTTTATGACAGAGACTGAATGCAAAGAGCTACTCAATCTAGCAGAGCAATCAACAACAACAGACCTCCCAGACTCAACCCAGTCACCCCCTAAATGGGAACGAGCCATGATAAACGCCGGCAACGGGAAAGAAGTCATGTCAGTGGACTCTCGCAAAAGCGGCCGCGTGATATTCGACTCTCCCGAAATAGCCCAGAGAATACTAAACCGACTGATGCCATTCCTAAAAGAATGTGAAATCGACCAAGTCAAGAATAAACCCTCCGTCACGGGCCTCGGGCCTGCGAAGCGGGGCGAGGTATACAACGTCACTCGACTCAACGAACGGTTGAGATTCCTGCGGTATGAGGGCGGTGATTACTTCCGGCCTCATTGGGATGGGTGCTATATTACGCCGGATGGAAAAGAGAAATCTCTTTACACGATCCACTTGTACTTGAATGGAGAGGGGGAGCAGGATATGGACGAGTTACAGCCGTATATTACCGAGGCGGAAAAGAAGTATTATTTGTTTGCGGAGGATGGGGAAGTCGATCTTCGGGAGGTTGGCGCTGAGCAGGTTGAAGTTGGGGATGGGGATGGAGATGGAGATGTGGGCTTCATGTCTGCTGGTGAGTCCCTTGCGAAGGCTGATACGCTTCTTGGGGGTGCGACTTCGTTTACGGATGGCTATAAGGCGAGGGATTGTGTGCGGGTTTTTCCTAAGACGGGGTCTGTTCTGATTTTCCAGCAGAGGAATCTCATGCATTGTGGAGATGATGTGTTTAGGGGGGTGAAGTATACGATGAGGTCGGATGTTATGTATTCCTCCTAGATATGATCTATGCTTTCTTTCAGTCTAGTTTCCAGTCCTTCTGAATTCTCATTTCACTATACCAGTCCTTAACGTATTTCAGGCCGGCATGAGGACCATAGATGTCTGTATCCCACTGAGGAAGGGGAGCCTCCAGCCCGGTCTCCTGCAGACATGTCCCCCGGAGCTCTTCGAGGCTGCCACCACGGTCATAGATGGAAGCTGCTTTCACTTGAGCACGCTCTTCTCTCATTAGGCTCCGCAGAGCCGCAGTCCCGGCTTCATTAACTGTGAAATTCTCATTCACAGAAACACCATATCCACGACGAGCTCCATCAATGGTGACAAGCTTCCGATGTACTTCAAGGGCAACCTTGTCAGCAGGACGAGTCAATGGATCCCCAAGACCACCTCCACCCCAAGTAATCCATTCAAGCAGATCGCCTGGGTCAACACGAATGTGATCACATTTCGAAGGCAAGATCTCCGGAGCAGCATCGGCAGACTGAGAATGGCGATACAATATCTTGCGCGATCTCTGTCCAGGTTTTCCGCCCTTCAATCCCCAGGGCTTCGTGAACCACCGATCATCGTGCAGACTGAATTCCCCACGAGCAAGGAACCGGTACAAAGTGCGCTGTGCATTTCCGCCCCGATAGAACCCCGGACCTCCGCTATCAGCAACGCTCTCATTTGCCTCGATGCGCAGCGGGTAATTCAACTCGATACTTTCAGTGGGAATGGACTTGATAGCGGGGAAAAGACAGTGGCAATCAGGTCCATCGCCAGCCTGGCGAGCAGGTACACCTCCAAATCCGATTTGATAAAGCTGATACCATTCTCCATCGGGCTTAAACCCGGAGTAGAAGAAATGCGGTGAATCACTGAAGCCAGCAGCAGCCTGGTAGGAGTCCTGTTTCTGGCCGATCAGTGCCTGCACAATATCCAACGTCCGACCTAGGAAATGGGTACGGCAAGAAATTGGCGCAGGACGCATAGGTCTCAAGACGCTGCCTTGGGGGATATGCACGTCGATCAAATCGTGGAAACCATCGTTGATGACTGTGCCGGGAGCTGCAGCGGCAATAAGGTAATATCCAATGAACATCTTGAACATTGTTTCGGAGAGATAGAAGTTGATACTATGCTGACTTTGAGGCGAAGTTCCACTCCAGTCAAAGCTCAACCGATTGTCCTCGGTCTTCTTCATGGAACAGGTCAGAGCCCATGGCCCAACTCCGTGGCCGTCATCATCGACGAAATCGGTAAACTTGCTTTCCATGTCGTCAAACTGTCGCTCGATGATCTTCGCGAACCCGTTGCGGTTGCGGGTTAGCAACTCTGCGCACGCTGCTAGGTAGACCTCGCTTCCGAAACGCGTTGCTAGCTCGCGCGTTCGTGTGGCTGCCATTGAGCATGACGCTACGATGGCTGTCAGGTCGGATCGATACCATGCTGGCTGGCGCGAGTTTCGGCAGAGCAGATCTACTAGATCGGAGTTCATGACACCACGTGCGTACAGCTTGATGCAGGGGATCTGGACGCCGTCATCGAAGACAGAGGTTGCATTAATTGACATGCTTCCCGGGACGATGCCTCCGACATCTGTCAAATGACCGAATTGAGATGCCCATCCAATGAGCTGATGATCGTGGAATATGGGTAGGAAGGCAATGACATCGTTCAGATGGCTGATGGCACCCTGTACTTGGTATGTGTCATTGGTGATGAAGACGTCTCCTTCTTCGATCGTGCCGCTCCATACTTCCAGGAATTGGGTAATGAAGCTTCCGAATTGGCCTACCAACATTTTACCCTTGCAGTCAGTAATGACGTTGAATTCATCTTGTTGTTCTCGGATTGCAGGTGACATGCTGCATCGTAGCATCATCTGGTCCATTTCACTGCGGATGGATGCCAGAGTTGATGCAATCAATGTTGGAACCAGGGGAGTGCTTTCAACGAGCTTCTTGGCCGATTCGGCTGTGTGTTCTGTGGAAACTTTGGATTTTTTGTCCAGTGGATTGATCAGGATATTCCCTATCTTGTCAATCTCACCGTAATATCCTGGCAAGATGAGTGTGTTGCTGTCCATCTCGGAAATGATACATGGCCCCGTCAGTTGGACTCCCTCTTTGGTGACTTTCTGACGGTCCCATAGGGTTGCCAATTGCGCTTTGCCTTGCACGATAACTGTCTGCTCTCCAATCTTTGCATCCGGGGAAGGACTTTTGGTTGTAGCTTTCTCAATTTCAGGAATAGCAATGCTTGGAGAAGCATCTTCCAGCACAACTCCAAGTCGCATTAATTCCAGCTCAAAGTCAGGCAAGCAGTAAGTAAACATTTGTTGATGCTGTTGATCAAACTTTTGACGCAATATACCATGCCATTTTTTTGTGTCGGCACTTAAATCTTCAGACGTGAGGTCAACGGTAATGGTCAAAGCCTGTCCTTTATAGCGAAGGTCGGCCTGATATTCAGCCTTCCAGGTGATAGGCCATTTCTCTCCAGACGATCTCCGCAGAGTCTCATTGCCCATTTGCTCCAGAGTATCATACTGCTCTCGAGCCTCCGCAATATCTGTCCCAGAGACTAGTCGAATAAAGGTCGCAGACTGCTCATGTCTAAGCTTGGTTGTCACATCACCCTGTGCACACAAGATACCTGGCGACGGTGGGATAATAACAGGCCAAGCTCCGAGAAGTTGGCCAACAGCATTGGCATGAAGAGGGCCAGCGCCGCCAAAGGCAACGAGCGCGAACTCGCGAGGGTCATAACCTTGTTCAACAGAGACAAGACGCAGAGCTCCATACATAGTCTCATTGATCATCGTGATGATATCCTCTGCTGTCTGAACAACGGGCAGCTTCATTTGCGTCGCAATCTCTTCAACGGCTGCTGTGGCTGCTTGCACATCAAGCGCAAAGTCACCGCCCAATAAGGTCTTGGGAAGATATCCCAGAACGAGGTTTGCGTCTGTGACTGTTGCTTGTCTTCCGCCTTTTCCATAGCATGCAGGACCCGGCGTCGCACCAGCACTTTCCGGGCCAACTCGCATTGTCTCGGTGAGCTCCATATAGGTTGTGATAGAGCCACCTCCCGCGCCAACGGTCTTGATATCGACAGCCGGCGCACGAACAGAAAGACTCCCCACGACAGTCTCACGTCGGAGCTGAGGCTGAGCATTGTAGATCAGCGCACAGTCAGTGGAAGTGCCTCCCATATCTAGCGTAATGAGGTTCTTGTATGGTGTACTCTGAGCCACAACATCTGCAACTCCCCTAACACCCCCCGCAGGCCCAGACATCAAAATATTCACAGGCAGCTCCGAAGCAAGAGTCAAACTGGTCAAGCCCCCATCACTCTTCAGAACCCGGATCGTCTGACTCTCGGCCGCAAGCGCCTCAGACAAGTTCTGCAGATAATTCTGCACAACCGGCTTCACAAGCGTGTTTGTACAAGTCGTCACTGTCCGCTCGTATTCACCAACCTCGCGCAAGACATCCGCCGAACAAATAACCGCAATATCAGACCCAAGCTCTTCACGCACAACCTCCTTAACGATCCTTTCATGCGCATCATTACTATGCGAATTGAGCAAAGAAACAGCCACCGCCTCCGGCTTCAGCAACACCAATTCCCTCAACCCGACCCTCAAATCCTCGATATCAACCGCCATAACCGTCTCACCCTGCACCGACATCCGCTCTTTACACTGCACAACCCTCTCAAGCGGAACAATCGGCTCAGGCGGTGTCCAATGTAGCCAGGCACCCAGTCCACCGGGAATCTGAGACCGGCGCAAAGCAAGGATATCCTTGTGTCCCGCGGTGACGACAAGCGCCGTGCGGGCGCCCTTCCCTTCCAGAACAGCATTTGTAGCGGTCGTCGTGCCGTGATGGATAAATTGGAACGCGCCCGACCAGTCGAAGTCGCTCTTTAGTATTTCGCGCGCTTTCGCTATGCCGTTTTGGATGCCTATGCTTTGGTCCGGCGTTGTTGTGGGCACTTTGGCTCGTACTGTTTTGCCGTGGGGGGTGAAGACGTAGACGTCTGTGAATGTTCCTCCGACGTCTACGCCTAGCTGGTAGCCCTGTTCGAGGGTGGCTTCGGGCATGGTGTTAGGGTTGGTTGTTTGCGCTGGGGAGTGGTCTCGGATTGTCTGTCTTGGGGGGCCGGTGTCGTTCATATTTATTTGAATAGGAGTTTATCAGAACCCCCTCCTTGGTCCACTCATCGCTACGTCTTGCAGGAACTAATAGAGGGCCAGTTGTCGAATATTGGGGTAAGTATGCCGCTCATTGCCTTCTTTGGTGTGCATGGGGCGCTAGATTGCCAATGAGCTTGCTTTGGCAGGGCTTATCTGCAGCTAGCGGAGAATATCAGCCTAGGGTGGAGGGGTTTTTATTTGGGGCTTAACTATAGGTTGGGATGAATGTTGCTCAGTACAAGAAGGTCCATAGACTCCATACTGTATGGGTAGGTGGATAGTGCGGAAGTGGGATTATTTGTGATAGCTCACATAGCTCAATTTTGCGATTTGTAGATAGTTCTTCTTTAACCTGAGCTAGAATTTGAAGTGACTTGTTGTCACCTTCTATTTTTTTTCGCCTCCATTGCCTACACGTCGTAAGCAATGGGGGCAACATTGAATCTAGTGCCAAGACATGGATATATAGTCACTCCCACAAGCAGCGAATAGAAGCATATACTTATTGTGAGAAAGACCGTTCATGTGGCCAATTTTGACAGTGAGTAATCAAAATGAGCATATCCTAAGCCAATATCTAGTCCGAGGCTATACTTCGGCCTCGAGTTTCCTCCGAGAATGAGTCAGCAGAACGCGCGAGGCCGAGCTTACTTATCGGCTTATCGGTGTCGTCATCTGGATACTTAAGAGCACCGATCGACCTTTGAGCCACATCCAAGTCTACTGAACTCACCATCACCATGCCATCCACCAACAACATCGCCTTCACAGCTCCAATCAACCCACCAGGACAATCTCCCGTCCTGACAGTGGACCAAATCTGGAATGGCCTACTCCTCAAAATCCGCAGCGCAGAGACATTCGTCCCAGCAGCGATCCAATCTACAAAGGTCGTCAGTGAATCCTTCGACGACAATGGCAACACTGTAGTTGTCCGTGACGTTCTTTTCCGCGAGTCTCAGAAGACTGTCCAGGAAACTGTCACCGCGTTTGAAATTAGCCGTGTCGAGTTTGTGCAGCCTGAAGGGAGCAAGATCAATAATATTATCAGTCAAGGGGCTGATGGGGAGCTCTATATGACTTACACGTTCGAATGGAGACATCCCGGTGTTTCCAAGGAGGAACTAGCTGCTTTTGCTGAGAAGGAGAGGAAGATGAGCCAGATGGCTGTTGAGGGCACTATCAAGGTGCTGAGACAGTTGGCCGAGGAGAAGAAGCTTTAATTGGGCCATGAGACTTGGTCCTAGCATGTTACCATGATTTGATGTTTCTAATTCAAGCTCATGCTCAGGTGCATTTGACACTCTTCAAGTACCAGTCAATGAAGGGATGAACCCGCAATATATCAAATTTCATCACCAGCTCTTTTCTAGTTCTGCATACTACATTCAAGCCTGGGGAACCAACACCTTGCCCTCGGAGACACTCACAGCAGTTCCAGTCAGAATAACCTTCTCAATCTTCTTCTCCGCATCAAGAGAAACCCCAACACCAATATCACTCCTCCGTCCCATCTCAACACCCTGCACAACATGATAATCCAGATTCTGTCCAGGCTTTCCCTCCGTAAGACTCAAATAAGCAGCCAATCCACTAGCAGAGCTCCCAGTAGCAGGATCCTCCAAATTGCCCAACATCATTCTCGCCCTGACAACCTCCTTCCCAAGAACATCATCCCAGACCCCTCTAACAATGAAATACACACAAACCAGCCCAACCTGCCACCCCTCATCAAGATACCGAGTAGAAGAAACAAACTCGCCCCCAGTTGCAGGCGTAACAGCAGCCAAAGCCTCCAAAGTCTCCAACTCAATAAACAACTGACTCATCCCCTTGACAACAGAAAACAAGGGGAACGTCACATCATCCTTGGGGAAGAACGGCGCCAGAGTAGGATGCAAGCGCAATAGTTCCTGGACAGGGAACCGGGCACTGTGGATGTGCGTATTATGCGCAATCTGCGCAGCGACATACTTGCTCGCGGCATCCTGGACAGAGATGGGAATGTTGCCGGATTTGGTGGTTAGAGTGGTGACGCCGGGTCCATCGGCTGGGTTGGGCGAGTGGGTGAGGAACCAGGATGCGGCGCCGATGGTCGGGTGGCCTGCGAAGGGAATCTCGCAGTCTGTCGTGAAGATGTCGATGGTTCTTGTCGTGCTTTCGGTCACGGGGTGCACGAAGATGCTTTCTGAGAGGTTGAATTCGGATGCTAGGATTTGTTTTTGGCGTTGGTTCAAGGCTTGGGCTGGGTCTTCCGGGAGGAAGACTACGGCCAGTGGGTTGCCCTTGTATGGGGAGGATGTGAAGACATCTAGCGTGACGAAGTTGAGGTGTGTCATGATGGATTCAATCGTGAGTGATGTTCAAGATAGAAGTGAAGCAAATTGAAGTTGGGGGAAAGCGGCATCTTATACTCTCTCCACTTTGCGGGTTGACTCACACTCTGGAGCATCCCGAGGTCATTGATCATCCTTCAGCTCCGATCTTGTCCTCCAGGTTAGCCATTTCTCGGTCATTATTCCTTCAATCGCAGGTAATATTCCAATCACATCGATAATGCCCGGTCGAGTGCCAGGACTATAAGAACGACGATATTGCCACGCACTGGGGACATGTACCCACATCCAGGTAACTTGTATAGAAAGTCAACACTCTCCTCTTCACTCCGCCATGGCCTCAAACCATGGGAAAGACTCCTGGAAGGTCGAGAGCGGGTTCAACTGCGGTTTTGCGTTCCGTATAATTGGCACGACTGGTTTCAAGAAATAAAAGGATCGATGCCTCGGCTAGCCGGATTGGAGCTTGTATCTACTTTATGGAATGACCTGTCACTCGTTCCCGCGGATATTGCATGGTCAACATGAATTTCTATGACTTATTCTATCAGTCAATTCCACAGGTGATCATATTCTAGGTGTAAAATTGATGCCATTGCAGTGTCATTTTGCTGTGAGAGTTTTGGCATTGAGGGCGGCTGATAGTATGATTTATAGCGAGGAAGTAAAATGGAGGATAGATGTTGATGTGAGGGACAAGCTCGTGTTTTATACTGTACCTGCACGGTCCGTGAGCACAGTATCTACAGATTGCCAAGAGGGCCGTAATGTCCCTGCAAGTATGAAACTTGAGTCGTAAAGTAATTTCATTCATCCTAGATATCCGATGCTTTACAGTTCATATGCCAAACGCCTCATCTAGTCATAAAAGGTCGCGAAGATATATGACAGTGATCATTCTGAATCACTCTCAATCACGAACCCTCCTCGCATCCGTCTTCGAGAAGCAGCTACAGGCGCATCCTCGTCATCGCCATCATTCTCAGGTGCTGCAGGTTCGGGTTTGCTCCGACGATCACGCAGGAAGGCCAGGTCATCATCGAATTCAAGATCGTCTTCGCCAGATGTGAGAGGGGTTTCTTCATCATCTCCAGCACCGTGGCTAGTAGAGACTTCCTGCGGAGAGTGCGACGATTGAGCATCAAGCTCCGCCATGAGGATGTCGCCATCGGCGTCGGCATCACTATCCGCATCGCTTCCAGCAGATCCAGAATCGCGGCGCTGTCGCTTAGTCTTAGCGGACGTAGAGTCGCCCGTGTCGCTTCGCTTGCGTCCGGTGGCTTTCTTGCCCTTGCCTTTGCTCTTGCTTGATGTGTCCGTGGCACCAGTGCGGATGGCATGCTTGACGGCAGCATCGTGCTTCTTTCGTCGTTCTTCTTCCAGACGGAAGAATTCCTTGTCTGCTTCCTCGTCGCTCTCTTCATCGCTGGCATGAATGAAGAGATCACTCTTGATCTTTGCCTGACGAGAAAGCGCGTTGGAAAGACGTGCATCACGCCGCGCCTGCAAAGTTTCATCGTCCACTTCAGTGGTCTCTGTATCTTTGGACTTCTTCTTGCGCTTTTTCTTTAATTGATCCAAGGCATTGGCTTTCGACCGCGGGTTTGGTGGAAATAGCATTCCATCCGGAATCACATCTTCGCCTTCCGAGTCGGATCCGAACTGAACATCGAGCGTGCCTTGGACCGTGGCCCGGGGACCTCCTGGTTTCTTCTGGGTAAGATGCTTGCGAGGATCATCATCACCATCTCCGGAGAATGGTATTTTGAGGGCCTCTTGGATTTCCGAAATTGTCTCATGCAGGGTCTTGGATCCCTGAGATGCCGGGATAACCCAAGCGGCACCAACCACGTCTTCGACACCGAGTCGCTCGAAACCAACGAGCTTCATCAGCAGACGCAGCTTGGCGTTTGAGAACATGGCACTTTTACAGGCTTCGTCCTTACTCTTAACAGCTATAATCCAGTTAGTTTCGCTTAAGAGTCGGTGTTGCAGAGAACGTACTAATCAGTGGGTTGGGAACGCTGTCAGCCTCGGGAGACTCAGCCTGCCGAATCTCATCCTGGGCTTCCCATGCTTCTCTTTCAGAGGCTCCCGAGCTCAAGACATGAATAATCCAGTTCACAAGATCTGCTCTACCGTCAAGAACGAGGGCTCCAACCACAATCTTTAGCTCGGCTTCCTTGGTAGTCGCCTCCGGTGATGTGATGATGAGGTCCGCTGGCGCTCGCTTAGATCGGTACGATGTCTGCTTCTCGTGTCCAAACTCAAGGTAGTAGACCGTTGAGTTGATCTTGCTGAATAACATTTCAGTAATTAAGGCTGGACGCTGGTCCAGCTTCTTGATCATTCGTCGAATGACTTGCCGCACCAGTTCTTCCCATTCTTTGCAAACAGATTTGCTTGAGTCCATGGGTCCTGGGCCCTTGATCATTCGGTAGAACAAACTGATGATATCAACACGGAACAGCAGAGTGGTCATCTCCTGCTTAAATGCAATGCGGTAGAAGTAGCGGTGGGCACGCTTGAGTTGCTCCGGGTTAAGTTCTTTGTAGAAACCAGTGAATGCAACAAACGTGTCAACGCAACTCTGGTTGCAAAATTTGGCCGCGAACCGCTTGAAGTCAAAGCTACGCTCTTTGGTGACCTGAGCGACGTCTACCTCGTCTTCGGCTTCAGAATCGTGTTCCTCGTCATCATCTCCTCCATCTTCATTGCCTTTTTCGGCTTTCTTCTGTTTGTGCTTAGCCTTTCGGCGGGATCGAATCTGCATATCGGCGTTATCTTTGGAGTAACGCTCCAGCATTCGCAAGAAGACATGAGCCAATTCAGTGCATGCATCCAGGTAGCCGAAGCCTTGGTCTTTGTATCCCCGTAGAATTGCCAGAATCCTGTCATGTGTGGTTTCTTCGTAGAAGATTCGATTCTGGATATTCTCGGCAATTTCTTGGTCTTCCTCGAGTGGTGACACGGCCATTTCCTGCACGGTCAACAGGACCTGTGTGAAGCAACGCATTTGAGCGTTAAGGTCCTGCCACTCCTTGTTGTCCAAGCTGTTCTGCATGGCACGATTCAAGGAGATGAAGGTCTCTTGATTTAGAACTCCTGCGACCAAACCATAGCTATCCGGCTCAATATCCTTGGTTCTTCCTCCACTTTGGGCTGCGCGCTGACGGGACTGCCAGGCTCTCCTCGCACGCTCTGCCTCGAGGAACCACCCAACGGTATAGAAGAACTGACGGGTATTAATATCCAGTACTCGCTCAGCTTCGCGTTCAATGGCTTTCCGCACATGGGTGAAGAGCGGGTTGAATCCGGAATCCAAGAACTCCTCAACAAAAGTCCGTAGGTTCTTAGTTGCTTCCGAGTTCAAATGAGCCGGCATGTTGAAGTTGCTGTTTTGGACCGCATCGTCTTGCTTGCGCCGAGGCTTGGGCTTGTCCCACTTTTTGCTTTGGTCCATCTTGTGAAGAGTAGTCTGGTCATCCCGCAAAACGTCTTGCCCAGAGACGGTAGATACCTTCGCATCATCTCGCTTGACCCAGATCATTGTACCAAATCGACCATGGCGTGTCGGGGCGTTCTTTGCGTACTCTCGTCGTACCGAGTTCTCCTTTTTCAGGAGATCGCTGAGCTCGTCGGTTCGCTTGGCCTTTCTCTGATCATCATCCATGAACAATTTCTCGACATTGACACCTTTCACAATGTGGAAAATGATCTCCATCAAGATGATGTCCTGAAGGTTGAAGTCATCGCCAACATTCGAGCACATAGTCAAGAGAAGAGCAAATGCATCCTGGTCATGGAAAGCATTGATTGTCGCAGATCTCGATGTTTCCTCCTCTTCGCCTTCTGCAGCAAGCCGGGTGTTCGGGGAAATGATCGCAATGTTTCGCAGGAAGTATAACATCAATTTGAGAATTCCTTCGTCTCGGGTTTCGCGTTCGGATCGAGCAGTCACCATGCTAGGGAGAGCGATTCGGATCACAGCACGAAGGAGATTCGATCCTCCATATTTGAGAATACCTCGCTTGTACTGGACTTGGGTTTGTTGGATGTAGGGGGTATGGCGATGGTGGTTGACCGTCATCTGGCTGTGGAACTCTATCGGCCATGTCAATGGGACAAGAAGCTCCAGACACGCCAGAGAGATTCTAGTCATATGTTTGTTCTTCTGTCCTGTAGTCCACCAGAGCGCGATTATCGGAAGGAGATCTCCATTGATCAAGTTGGCCTCTCCTAGGCATCTCGCTACGTCCATGCGATTGTTCTTCTCGTCGTACAATTTCAACCACCGTTTGATATCGCGCAAACAGGCCAGGGCGTCGTCTCCGAGCACATATCGATCAGCATCTTCACCGTTGAAACCTCCAAGCTAAATTTAGCAGCATCAGCAATTAACCCATGAAACACCAAAAACAAGCACTCACAGCTGTGACCAGGCCATAAACATAGCCTCGCACATCGGGGTCAACGACCTGCACGTCGTGGCCTAGAGGGACAACCTCTTCATCCATGGTGGGCTGGTATCGATTTGCTTCCCAAAGCGTCGAAATGGGAACGCGTCGACGCGTGCTCGGCATCGGCGATTCGGAGAAACTGGATGCCGCCAGAGTGCCGAAGATAACCGATGCTCTTACCGCCAGAGATTGTGGCCAACTCTCCTAATCTTTTGGCAGAATCAGTATGGCTGTAGATCTTGATTTCATTGTGAAACGCGTATAGAGAAAATTTGAGTTGAATTATTACTCTTTGGGTGTTTCTTAGGATCTTGTTAATTCAGTCATGAATGAGGCCTTCTGTAGGTCCAACATAAGATCTTTAAGTGGACAGCTGACTTAAAACGCAATGGCCGCTGTCGCCCGCTGCTGAATGACGTCGGAAGCACGTGAAGTCATCGCAGTATACCCATTACTTCTTCGCACTCGCCTGTTCACGCTCACTTCGTCTTTATACATACCCTGCAGCATTTACACACAGTCATGCTTTTCTCGACACTTCGTTACGTCGCACAAAGAAGCCCTGCGGTGGCCCGCAACTTTAGCTCCACCTCCGCAGCTCATGCAGCCGAGGTCAAGTCACTTGGTGTGATTGGTGCCGGCCAGATGGTGAGGATGATATATTTCAGGGCCTGAATATGGACCTAACTTAATTCTAGGGTCTTGGAATTGCCCTTGTTGCCGCACAGAAGGCACAGGTCCCTGTGACCCTCGTCGATAGCTCTCAGGCTTCATTGGACAAGGGTCTCAAGTTTGCCGGTACGTTGAACTCCACCAGTCGCTATGATCACCAGATTTCCTAACACCGCAATGGACACCAGACAAATTACTTGAAAAGGATGTTGCCAAGCAACGCATCACCCGTGAGGCCGCAGATGCAGCCCGTGGACTTTTGATCCCCACTCTCAAGATGGACGACCTCTCCTCCGTCGACTTCGTTATTGAGGCAGTCCCTGAGATTGTTGATTTGAAGACCAAGATTTTCAGCAATTTGGCTCAAATTGCCCCAAAGCATGCCATCCTCGCTACAAACACCTCCTCGATTTCCATCACCAAGATTGCTGCTGCGACGAGTACGGATCCCACCGATCTGCAGGCTTCCTCTCGAGTGATCTCCACTCATTTCATGAACCCTGTCCCAATTCAGAAGGGTGTTGAGATCATTCGTGGTCTGCAGACCTCACAGGAAACAATGGATACAGCTATTGCCTTTGTCCAGCGCATGGGCAAGGTCGCCTCTGTGTCTGCCGACTCACCTGGCTTCTTGGCCAACCGTATTCTCATGCCCTACATCAATGAGGCAATTATTTGCCTCGAGACTGGTGTCGGTGGCCGGGAAGATATTGACAACATCATGAAGACCGGCACTAATGTCCCTATGGGTCCATTGACCCTGGCCGACTTCATTGGCCTGGACACCTGTCTCTCAATCATGAATGTCCTGCACCAGGAGACTGGTGACAGTAAATATAGATCCGCTGGTCTTTTGCGTCGGATGGTGGATGCCGGCTGGCTAGGCAAGAAGAGTGGAAAGGGATTCTACGACTATTAAATGTCGTTGTGAAAGGAGGAGAATCAAATTCAAGCATGATACCCCTCCTGTGACTTGTTCTCATAGAATTGAAAATACAAAGTTGTTCTGCCCTAGAAACTTGTCGATTCCCTAACACTACTATTACTACTATTAATTCTCCTCCGTCCACTCCATACTCTCCATCGCAGCAACAATTATATGGGCATCGAGATCATCATCAGTTCCAATCACATTTTCCTGCCCAACACGAGTATCAGAACAATTGCAAGTCCGCCAGCGACCACCACAAAGGTAACTGAGTTAGCCATGGTCAGCATACAGCCACAAGATCTTCCCCAATCCGCTCCTATACGATAATACGGAGCATGAACATACCAAAACTCCGTCCTACACCTGCAGACAATATGAGAACACCCCTGTTCAATCTCGACTATGGCATGACACCCAAAACACCGCTGCCAATTCTCACTCTTCGCCAAATCCAACACTGACCGAAGATCAGGGTCATACGAACAGTCCCCGGGATCATGCATGAGATCCCGACAATCCAAGCAGATCTTTGCCTTGCAAAAAGGACAAATCGTATGGTTCAAGCGGTTGATTCGATGCTTAGGGTTGATCCATCGTGCACAATTCGGTTTTGGGCAGTATAAGCGTTCGGAGGGTGGGGTTGCGTACTCTTCCAATTGGGATATATAGCGTTTTCGGTTGCGAGAGCCTAGTGCTGTGATGATTGCTTTTTGGGAGATCTCTTGTCCACAGCATTTCACCGGAAATAGCACCTGGTCATCTAGGGCTGTCAATGCCATTTTTCGGAGGCATTTTCTGCAGAATATATGTAGACATGGAGCTGTGAGGGTTTCGGCGGCTGGGAATGTCTGGTCGCAGCATGCGCATCTGAGCATTGTTAGTATTGGGGGGTTTGGGGGTCCTTTGCCGCATAGTAACCTTTGATCTTCTTGGGTAATGCTCTGTATTCTCTTGAGGAATCTGCCCACGCAGCTTGGAAACATTAGGACCACTGTGGATTTGATAGATCTGACAAGTGGAATAGATTTTCGATGACAACTGTTCCTTTCTGGGGCTTCGAAAGGTGGCAATCTGTGAAAAGCAACAGTCAAGGTTGTGAAGTAGGGCTGGAACAGCTTCTTTAAAGAGAGCGCAGATCAGAATGGCCTCATCTCTCATGCTAGGCCTTTGTCATCATTGCTCAAGCTAACCAAGGATATGCAAACATTGTTTCTTTCTGTTATTTTAATTTTGCTGGGAAAGCTCTCATAAGTGCTAGATGATGAGTACTGCACTAGAGTCCTGTCGATTTTGACACGTATAAAGACGGCTCTATATAAGATCATCTGGTAATTCAAGACTTGGCTTCCTCTGGGTTGACTCAATCTTTCGTACGAAGTAGACATTCCTTCTCTGGCCAAGAAAGCGGACGTTGATATAGATCCATGGGACAACAAACCCTTTTATAGCGAAGTTTGACAAGTTTGGCATAGCCAGCCTTGACCAAGACGAGAGCGACAAATTTCTTCGTCATGCGAACGACGATATGTTCAGTCATTTAAAAGTATACTATGTTTTGTGTTGAATTTTTTTGCAATCATATTGGCCAAATACCAACATTGAAAATAGGGTATCACTAATGCTACAGATGATAAGTTATCGATTTTGGCCGCCGTAAACTCCCTCCCAAATCTTCCGCTGCAATTGATATTTTATACAAGGCCGGCGAACCGCCGGCCAGCCCATCCAGATCCATGTTCTTGGTATTCTTGACGAGTAATAGCCACTCTGCCGAGCTCCTCTCTGTTCGTCGCGAATCTGCAGGCTCCAAGCCATGTTGAGTGGACGGGGCTAGCAAAATAAGTTAGTTTTTGGTGCAATATTGTAAGAGGGATGGTAACTCACTCAGTAGCCCGGCGCACTCTCACCACACATTCGGCAGATGCGATTTGTCGCAATTCTGTTTCACTGCAAAATTTTGATCGTTAATCGAGTCAAGCGGAGTTAGGATTTCTGAGACCTACAGTCTTTCCATGAAGCCTGGAATCAAGGCATTCCCGCCAACAACTATCACATTCGCCAGGAATGCAGAGTGTAGGCCGGTAGGAAGAGCTGACAAACTTTGTAAAATTATTTCGGGAATGCCAGCTGACTTCATTCCGATATCGCTCGGGGTGAACAGGATTTCTGGTACAGCAAAACGCTCGTTGCCCAGTACAAGTACATCCTCCGACAGCACTTCAGTGCTGAGACCAGAGAGAGCACCTTTCTTCTTCTTGACCTGCATAAGAGGATCATGCGGTCTGCTGAAGCCCTTCCTGTTTGCGTTCGGGTCAGGAAGTACATAGTCCAACACAATTCCATCTTCAGTACTGGCCTGGCGTTTCCGCCCTGCTTTCCATGTTTGCTCCAAGTCACCAGAGAAGTTATTGCTTACATAGCAGACTGCCTCTTTGACTTCGTTCATGATGTATGATTCATCCACCATGTTATATTGGCGCATTGATACGATCTCCTTGAGGTAGTTTGTCAAGTGCTTGCCTCCAATGTCAAGTCTTCGCACTCCACGTTGCAGAGCTTGACCTTTGTAGACCGGAGTCACTGTCGTGTGCGAATAACCCGAATCTACGACCAATAAGCAGTCTGCGGGAAGAGGAGTTGAGTCGGGTGTTGTAGTCAGAGGGTCGCCGAAGAGAGAATGAATTTCGTTCCAAGCATTGAGGGTTGGGCCTGATGAGTTCCAAGTTAGCACAAGAGCTCAAACACTCTCAGATGACTAAATCATCTTACCTATGCACCTGACATATCCCCCAAATCCCCATTCCTCCATAATCATCTCGTCCGAGTGCCGTTGTAGAATGGGCAGCGCATTCGGCGCTTCAGTAAGCACAAGCGTAGTATTCTCCGGATCGGCGATATGAGTGTTCTTATTCCTGCCTGTGGTCTTCTCATCGAAGAACGACTGGTCCCAGATCTCTCTCTCCGCTTCCCAGTTCGAGACGTATCCCTTCTCCAGCGGGCGCCGGAACATGGCCTCATTCCAATCGGTCACTGTTGACAGCTGAGAGCCGATGACAATTTTATTATCGCGCGTCTTGACGAGAGTGTTCGGGATTGAGGTACACGTGGAGACGCTTTCCTCGGGCGAAAGATCAGAGGCGTAGCCCGCTTTGATCATGTATGCGCCATTGTCGATGACAAAAGTCTTGTCGGGTAAATGCCGTGACGCCTCCACCGACTTGGCCGGCGTCGCAGGCGTCTTTGGAGCAGCACGAGCTCTGGATGTCCCCATGACTGCGAGTTGTTTGTCCAAGAGCTTGGGACTGCGCGAAGCTCGGATGAGTGCAATGATGAGGTGTTTGTCTTGTTTGATCCTAGACATCCGCTTAGGTAATCTTATACTCTGAGCTCCCCAGGAGTAGCTCTGCTCAGTTCAATGTCTTAACATGATCTGTGCTGTAATTTCAATGAATATCTTGTCATATTCTATTTGTAATAAATATATTGTATTATGACTCATGTGGTGTGGTTATATGCCTCGGAAGTCGGTTTTATACCAGGTTGCTTGCGCGTGAGCGTGAAGCCCAACTGTGAGATTCTGTGTAGTTAATCTGCTGTATCTAAGATAGCAAATAATCTGAGCGTCTTTTCTTTGCTTTTTTGTATCAACTTAATAAAAGTGAGTGAAGACTTGGGCAGCAAAAAATGCTGTACAGTAGTAGCGGAGAGCGTAACACTATGATTATTCGACCATTATCAAGTGAACGCAATTCAAAATCACACTACATGAGGAGAAAGTAAATCCAACAAAGACTACTTAACTATGATGTATGGATTGACTATGTACCAACAACAATATACAAACAGAAACACAGGTGACCCCACAGAGCCCTAATCAGCCCCGCGGCCAAGGTTATCAAACCCAACCCAAAATTTTCCCCCGACAAACCCCTCCAAAGAAAGCCACCAGTGGCAGGTCCACGACACTTGACAATGTCACAACTATCTAGCGTGCTCAGCACCACCCTCAGCCTCATCGGACAATTACAAACAGCACTCACGACCCAACCGACCGCAGCAGCAGCCGAAACCGCCGCGCAAGACACGGAGGCCTTGCCCCTCCTGACAGCCTCGTCGATCACGCTCAAAGCTCAAGTCACAAAGCTCTCGCTGCTTGCTATCACCTCTCCATTCACACACTCCGCTATCTGTACCGTGCTCCGGGACTTGAATAAGTCCGTCCTGCCGTCGATCGTTACCGCTGCCCTCCTCGTTACGCCGGCGCAACACACCAAGGCCTTCAACTCGGAGGTTCTTGTTCTGGTCAAGACCACACTTACAGAACTTCTTAGCCTTGTTTCAGAAGTTAAGCGTGTTGGGGAGAAGAAGGATCAGGAGAAGAAGGATAATGGGAAAGAAAACGATCTGAGCAAGGCGGAGAAGGATGTCGTTACACTTGCTACAGGTCGCGTCTGGGATGCCTGCGACACCGTGACAGATGTCGCAAACAAGGGCGTTATTGGATTCGTCATGCGCCGCGTTGAGCAATGGAGAGATCTTGTTCGCGACGCGGTTCAAGAAATCGAAGACTGGGATCCCGAAGAAGATGGAGATGAGTTCTTCGATGAGCTTCTTAGTGACGATGGAAAGGATGACAAGGCTGACGAGGATTCCGATGACGATGATAACGACGACGAAGAAATCGCTGCCATGCAGGAACACAAAAAGTCCACTATCCGTTTCCTCAAGCCTATTGCTCAGGTCTACCCTGCTATCATCAACAACCGTCTCAAGAACGCCGGAAGTGTGCCCTTGTCTGCGCCGTCTGGTGTTGAGAAGTTGGAGTCGTTGATGCGGAACCTACAAGCTATCCCAGACCACGTCGATGAGATGGCTGGTGCGTTATACGAGGCCGACTTCGAGAAGTCGGAGCAGTACTTGCAAAAGACGAGGAAGTGTGCTACGAAAGCAGTGGACTTGGTCATGTCACCTTGGGCTGCCACAGCTGCTCCCGGCGATGCACAGGCAGACAAGTTCACCACGTGGTCAAAGACATGGCTTAAGGTTATTGAAGAAGTTAGCAAGCCAGTTGATGAGAACTGAATGAGAGTTCTGTCACGGAATAGTGCAGAATCCGATGATGAGATGAACAAATGCCCGAGAAAAGCATAAATAGAAATGTATATGTACATAGAACAAATGATGAATTTTCATTATACACGTCAGTCGAAGTAATGGCCTGAGTGGTGCTTCTTCTTATAGCTCCTCCTCACTGGCTTCATCTTTTTCCCATTCAGGGAGCTCACTCAGTGGAACACGGTCTCGCAAAAACTCCAAGACTGAATCTGTGCCCTTGGCAACTACCTGCCATCTAGGTACTCGGAACTTGTTGCCAGCTACCTCAAAGCGTCTCAAGGACGATCCGTTGCCCCAGTTCTTAGGGGAGCGCTCAGCACCTAGTAAGCCGATCTTCGGAGGAAGGGAATCAATGTCGTTGTTGCTGACATCTAAAACCTGCAGCCCCTGCACTGCTTCGAACGTCAAGGAATCAAGCTGGTTATCAGATGCAATGAATGTTTTCAGCTCTGGGTAGGTCTGTCGAATTTGAGGCAATGGCCCTTTCAGGCGGTTATGGGAGATGTCCAAGAAATTCAAAGACGGGGCGATGAGGTTGGCCAACAAAGGCTCCAGAGAAGTCAATCTGGTCGCGTTCAAGTTCAAAGATTGTAGCTTGGGCAACTCAAGCGGAGAGGACAAAAATTCAATGCCGAACGGATTATTCGAGATATCAAGTTCAACAAGACCTTCAGCAAGCATTGCAAGTGCCGCTGCGGGGAAGCAGGGTATCTCGTTGTGTTGCAAGCAGAGGCAGCGAATATCCTGGGAGGGAAGCATCTCCAGCTGGTCAACCTTGAGGTCGGTCATCTCTGAATAAGATCGATCAAGAGTCCCGCCGGATTTGAGCTGCCAATTGGCATCGAGCGCAGGGGTTTCTGGTGCCAGAGTGAATTGAGTGGCTACTGAGCCCTCGTCATCTGTGTCCTGGGCATCTGGCTCGCAGCGACTTCGCATGTCACGTTTGATGTCTTCGGTGTCCATGGTCAGGTACCTTCGTTCACGGAAAGGATTGTTGGCGACGCGGAAAGATGTGAGGCTCTCCATGTAGCCCATCTTTTCATCCAAACGTGAAAGATCGTTTCCGGTGAAATCAGCCTTCTTGATATTCTTAAGCTCCACAAATCCTTGAGGGAGCTCTGAGATCTTGTTCTGCTCCGCAGATAGCGTTAAAAATGACTGCCATGTAGACATGCAGGGGAGATGCGTGATGCGGTTGACACCAATCAATAGAGTATGTATGTTAGGTAGATCAAGCGTGTCATTCGCCGCAAAAACCGTGACAACATTGTTGGAAATGTTCAGGGACTGCAAATTCTCGAAACGGGTCACTGAGGCTGGAATGAGAGTACCTTCCAGCTTGTTCTTTTGCGCATTGATGACCTTTAGGGGAAGTTTACTTAGCAACTCGAATGGCAAAGAGGTCAGCTTGTTCTCGCTGACATCCAATGTCCTCAGAGAGCTTAGTCCAACCAAGGCCTCGGAGAGGCTGGTGAGGTTGTTTCCGTGGATATCTAAAGAATCCAATTGGTGAAGACCAGCAAAGACTGTCGCCAATTCTCCCTCAAGCTTGTTATTTGCCAACTTCAGATCTGTCAGAGAAGGTAATTCGGTAAGAATCCCAATATTATCCATGTTTAACATGTTGTTTGATAGATTGAGAATGCGTAGATTTTGCATGCGGCGAAGACCCATTGGAAGTGACTTCAGTATATTTCCATGAAGATCCAATGTCTCAAGTCCACCAAATTGAAGACCCCGGTCATCACTGTCTGGATCAAAGTCTTCAGGGTTGATGTCTGGGAATACATCATCTGAAATATGTTCTAGCTCATTGTCCGCAGCGATAAACTTGACGAGATCGACATTTTCGAACCAGTTTGCTGAGTTTTCGGGGTCGTAGTCGTACATTGTCAGCACTTCTTTCGGAATTTCTGTCAAAGACATTGCCGCAATGTTCAGTTGGCCGGTTGAGCGTCCTGTCTGAACTCTTCTTTTCATAACCAATCGGTTGTCGCCCTGAGGCAGCTGGTTGAACGGGTCCTCATCATCAGCGACTCCCCATGAGTCGGCTGGTGGAGGAGCCTGTGATATTTCTTGTGGGGGTGTTTCCTTCTTTTCTCCAGCTGCCATTGCTTTACGTGCAGCCTTCGCCTTTGCAATTGTTTCACGCAGCGTGTTGGATGATTTCGAGGCTTTTCTGGCTTCATATTCTGCCTGCTGTTTTGGAGATAGCTCATCCTGCACATTGGAGGCAGCAGACACATATCTTGACCCCATTGAGGGCGATCGCAAAGAAGACGGTTGCTCTGACTGAGGGTTTCGTGTTTTCTTCACTTGAAGTGGTTTTTGAGGGGGTCCCATGTTGGTTTGAGTTGGCTTTGCGGTAATCTTGCTGGGTGAGGGCCGAACAAGCGAGGGTTTTGTTTTATCCTTGTTCCCGATAGATAGTTGAGATACCTTTTTCTTAAGTGGTGACTTTACATCGGAGTAGGTCTCGTCACCCGGTGCGAGACTTTGTCTACTCGATGGTGCCTTCAGTCTCGATGGGCTTTTAGCTTCTTCTGATCCACGCACTGGGGACAGGGAAGCAATGGACATGGCAGGCTTCGAGGGAAGTCGCAATTGTGACACGGGCTGGGTGTGCATCTCACTGGTACTTGGCGCACCCGACGAAGCTCTCGATGGCGATCTTGAGTAATTGGACATAATGGACGGAGCCCGAGATGGTGAGCGTATTGGGCTGGCGCCATTGAAAAAGCTGGACTGTCGTCTTGCTGATGCCGGGGATGGTGGAATTTGTGATAGCGTTTCCAGTGTCCGCTCAGACAAAGACGGACGTACTTCACGTCGACCACGGTCTTCTTGCGTTGATGTGGTTGATGCAGTGTCATTGTCGCCCGTACTCGGTGTCATTTCCTCCGGCGTTTCAATGTCATCTGCCCCGCCTTGCGTTTCATCTTGTAGTTGTGGAGCTGGAATAGTTTCGGTTCGAGGTTGGGGCGGGGATGAATAGCGTGCGGCTGGTTTCTTCACAAGGGTGTCATATGAGGGTCTCCGTAGCCGTCTTTCATCTAAACCGGGGTCGGCTCGTAGTCTATCTCGGGAGGGGGAAGGCTTGATCGATTTGGATGCAGTGGCCGAGGGTAACGGCAGCCTTGAAGTCAGTCGAGGAATTCCACTTGCAGGCCGTGGAATACCGCTGGGAGGGCGTGCTGTGGTCTTGTGTTGTCCTTCCATTTTGGTTGACGTATTGTTGGTTTGTTGATCAGGGTAAAAGCCGCAAGTTGATGAGATCCGCTCATGCCCGAGCGGGACAAGGAAGGTGAGAGCTGAGACCAAGTGGATCGGTAAGTCTGCGCTTAGCTTGATACAAAGAATGAAGATCTTAAAAACGTGTCGGAGGAAGTGGATTGTTTACATTTCAAGATCCCGCGATAGCAGCCTCAGGCACCATTTTCCGATCTGTCAGCGATCTATATAGAACGGGCCCTGCAGCGAAGCACATGGCTCATATATTATTTATTATTTCTACGAGTCAGAGTTGTATTTTGCAGCTTCATTTATTCGGTTCTTTCTTCCTATTCTTCACCTGGATTTTTTGCTCACACATATTTCGACAAAAAAAGAGCCTGGCAGGACTATACCAGTTGTCTCAATGTTTCTGATCCCTACTATATACGTATCACATTTCGCTTGTCAATCTCTTTGTATTGTCTCTATCTTTAATCAAGAATTATGATTTACCTATATGTCTTCCTACGTCTTGCTCTAAGACAAGCCTATCTGTCTAGGCTTTCAACTCTCCTTGCGCGAATCTGAGCGATGTCGCCTCTGCAACGGGCCTGAGTCACAAGGAGTTCTTCGGGAAGCATATTCAATTGTAACAAGCCCAATCCTAACCTTGTATTACCGATCAGTCTTCGGGGAATGCGAATATAAGAGTATTCTTGGTAACAGTTGTGTGCTCCTCGTGAGACCGTGGCTATCATCAAATCCAAAATATATTCTCGCAACCAAACTAGTCCCTTGTATTGAATGTGGGTATTCTTTGTACTCCAAGACATACCCTTTTGCTCAATGTTTATCAAGTGAAACGCATTGCTTGCTTTGATTTAGAAGGTCGCTTTATGTAGAACGAAAATACACAAAAATAAGCCGCTATTTAAGAGCTAGGATAGCTATGCATCTCTAAAGAAAATGGAAATAGAGGATTCGAGAGCTGGCCTTCAAACCTAGCAAACTGACAATCCCGGGAGACTTTACAATGTCACGTGGTTTCTCCAGCTAGTCCCTGTATCAAAATGGCTGTTAATTTATTGACGCTTATACATTCAGAGTTCATGATTACTCTATAAAATTATGCATGAATCAAGGCTGCTTGATATAGCCACCTTAGTAGAAGAGACGGCTGGATTGATATATATTTCGGCATTGGATGATTCTTGTGTGGCACGTATAGAAGTTATTGTTTCGTGAGCACTATGTGTAGTCGCTTAGCAAATCTAGAATAGCAGCTTAAATACTGACACGAGGACTCAAACGGAATACCAGGATCAGCTGTGTCGAACCATTGTATGTGTGATTCACAGTGATCAGGAAATACACAATTGTCTAATGCCTGGATCAAGAAATAGATACCAAAATGTACGGTGAACTCTCAACCAAAAATTGTATATAACAGACATAGATATAAGCTTAGAAGCTGTATAGAATCAAGATGATATCACATCGGTTGCCCACTCAACCCCCCAGCGCTTGGCCGGTTGCGGGTGTTTACTTGCCCTTAGCGTCCCGTGATCGCCAGTCTAACCCAAACAGTATTAGTAATACCAGATCCATGGCTCTGATTGGTTGACATTCTTAGATAATTGGCCGGGGCTGGGACAGGGGCTAACCTAAAGCAGGCACCTTCAGACTCCCCGTTCCCAGCCTCCCAGCCCCCCTCAATACTGCGAGCTGGAGTAACCTCTTCCTCTTAAGCTCCCTTATTCTAAGATTCTCCCTTCTTTCACCTACTTGTCATTGTTCTCCAATCCTCATTCTTGTGGCCCCTTACGCTCCCCATCTCGGTACTTTCGGATTTTGGTTCCTTAGGCAACATACCTGGTCTGAGCATCTGTGTGATTGACACTATTGAGGCTTGACTACCAAGTCTTTGGTATGTATTGGCTCTGTGATTCTTCCTTTTTGATAGATGCTGATAAGGATAACAGCGTGAGGATCTGAGGATCCATTCCCCGCTTAACTCTGATCTTATCAATTTATCACCATCACTCCACATTCATCATGTCTCAACCCAACTCACAAAGCACTCTGGGTGCACCGGTTGAGATTGTACCTTCAACTCCAGTCCATCGGGCCACTTTGTCACCTTCGCCAGATCTTACCGGCATGGCTAAGCGCTCATCATCCCAGTCGGATAAGAAGTTCTTGTCGCCCCCGCCTTTGTCGTCATCAGACATGACTCCTCCACCCTCAACTCAGATTCCTGGCGCCCCGCTTCGATCTCGCTCCCATTCTCGCTCTTTGAGTCCTTCGTTAGTCACACCAGCTGACCTGGACAAGTCTTTGTGCGATGCCTATGGTGCTTCTGAGAACTTGCCTACCACAGAGGAGATTGACAATGCCAGCGAAACTCAATTGCGCATCATTGCCAAGGACCTTCTAGCGGTCGCCCAAGAATCGCGTATGTCTGCACTACACTTCAAGCTGCAGAACAGCCTGGTTTCGTTTGCAAGCAATGAGGCGGTCAAGCGCGCTGGGGTTGAGCACCAACTTGCCAAACGCGAAGTTGAAATCCTGCAGAGTGCCGAATACCGCGGTCGCTCGCACCCTGTGGAGCTTGTTACACCTAGACCTTCCCAGCCTACCGTGACCGCTGACTACCTCGCCGCCCTGCAGCGGTCGCAGGAACTAGAGAAGCTGAACGCTATCTTGGACAGCAGACTTCGGAAGGCAAAGCGTGCGATTGAAGATGCCACGGCTGAATCCTTGGAACTCAGAGATAAGAATGAGATGCTAAGGAGACGTATCGGAGACAACCGCAAGCACTTCTCTCAGATTTTCAACTACGGCACCATGTCACCGACTATGCAGAATGAGCTTCACAGCATTTGCAATGGCGAACACACCGATGGTCTTGCTGCCCTTCTCTACGCCGACAAAATCACCAACCAAACAAATAATTACGGCAGCCACTCTGTCACCTCTGTCCCTGTTACCCCCAACCACCCCAAGAGCCAATACCTATCGCCCAGAGGACCTTCAAGAGATGATCACTATGACAGCGATAGTACTGTCTCGCTCTCTGCCTCTGAAGCTGCTGAAGATGGACATGACTCCCCACACCTTCACATACGCTCTACTGTCCCCAAGAGCAGCACTTTGCTTCAGACCAAGCTGTTTGGTCAAATTAAGAAGCCCAACATGGAGCAATCTCGCCCCAGCAAGCGCAAGGCAGGCTCCGAGGTGACTGGACCCACTTCTAAGAAGTCCAGGACTGGCGACGGTATTGGCTTGGGCATCAACGCCTAAGTCCATATCCTATGGCTGCTCGCGATAGCGTGTTGCCGATTTTGATATGATTCATGACCTAGCGCTGCTTTGCTTGTTACGACTTTGAGAGAGACTCACGATTCATGAAGACATGCCGTATACGGTGTTCTTAACCTAGCGACTGGGATTTGTTTTTTTATATTGAGAGGCCGTGCGACAAATCCATGGCCCTCAATTGGCGTTATCAAGTTGAATTTTATTTTGGGTTATTGATGCCTGTCTATTCTGTACCTGGCCTTGGCCGGCGGGGAAAGGAATGAAGACATTGCATGAAGTCATATGGCTCTTGCATCTATAGATGGCAAATGGAATGGTATGACCATGTACGATACAGGACTAGGGTCTTTCGGGCCAAATCACGAATTACAAACATTAAATTGAACCGGAAGTTTTTTTGTAGAGTTACATTCAAATCAGATTTTTATTATAGCCTCATGTTATGTTCGACCGATTGAACATATCGAAATACAAAAATCACCAATTAAAATCCCAAGTCGGTAACTCTGGCAGATTACCGAATCGGGTAAGGTTAGGGCTCGCTAAGCGAGGCGGTGAGCCAGTCAGCGGGCGGCCACACGAAAAATGGGAACTTCATTTTCTGCCGTGAAGGGAGATTCGACCAGCAACCCTCGACGACCACCACCCGGCTCGATCCCCATCCGTCAACATGGTGCGTTACCCTCCTCTGCTTGGAAGTTACAATGAAGGAATCGACCTGTGCGATTAATTGGAATCCGCGAATCGAAATACGGGCTGGAATCTCGAAAGAACGTTGACTGACCGATTGTGTGTGGGATATATAGGCGATCAAGCACAACAACCAAATCCAGAAGAACCGTGAGTGATCCCGCCTTGTGTCTAGCTGTGTGATCGCTTTGCAACGACCGACATGGCTTCAGAATTGAAGGAATGGTGTGATTAACATTTTGATTAGACTTCCACAAGGACTGGCAGCGTCGTGTCCGTGTGCACTTCGACCAGGTACGACTACCCAAACCCCCGACAAGAAGATTTTTCTCCCGAACGATATCGCAAACCGTCTCGCATCGAGGAAAAAATTTTCAGCGCAGGAATGAACTTGGTTGACTAACATGAATTATAGCCCGGCCGGAAGCACCGTAGACGTGAGGCCCGCATCGCTAAGGCGGCTGCTGTTGCTCCCCGTCCGGTTGACAAGCTGCGTCCCGTTGTCCGATGCCCCACCGTCAAGTACAACCGCCGTGTCCGTGCCGGTCGTGGTTTCACCCTCGCTGAGCTCAAGGTAAATTGGAAACCCGCCATCTCGAAAAGGATCAGGAATTGGATGAAAAGAACCAAGCATGCTAACCGGTGATTTTTTTTCGACCTACAGGAGGCTGGCATTCCCAAGAAGCTTGCCCGCACCGTTGGTATCTCCGTCGACCACCGCCGTACCAACTACTCCAAGGAGTCCCTGACTGCCAATGTCGCCCGCCTTGCTGACTACAAGGCTCGCCTGATCCTCTTCCCCCGCAAGAGCGGTCAGTTCAAGAAGCTCGACTCCTCCGCTGAGGACGTCAAGGCCGTCAAGGAGACCGTCGCCAAGGGCGAGCGTGAGGGTATCGCCACCCGCGTCGAGGCCACCTTCCCCATCACCAACCCCACCCCCGCCGAGGCCGTCACCGAGGTCAAGCGTGACTCCCTCCCCAAGGGTGACGAGGCTGCCTACCGCCGTCTCCGTGAGGCTCGCGCCGAGGCCCGCTACCGCGGCATGCGCGAGAAGCGTGCCAAGGTCAAGGCTGATGACGAGGCTGCCGCCAAGAAATAAATGTGTTAATTCCCTGCTCGTGCTGATGATGATGATCGGGTCGGTTTTCGAATCGGGGATTAGTGTACCTGTGGCATGGCGTGGCGCCTCTTCCTTGATTCCCTCTCTCCCTCCCTCACTTTTTACTCCTTTTTGTCTCTAAAAGAACTCGGAAGATCTCTCGAAATTCAAAACCGCCCCAATTTTCTTCAATCTCACATAGTATGCCTTGTATAACTCTTTTTCTTAGTGGTTCGTGGTTGTGACGCTGTGTGGCTTCTATGGACATAGACGACTAGTGTATGCTATCTTTTTAGTTTCGTAGTCATGTGGAGGACGAGTCGACAGAGCAGTCGGGAATAGGTTCATGGTGTCTTCGCCTTCATCATGTCCAAAGTGCATGTACATACATCTATGAATACACACAAGTATCAGCAATCATCCACTAGTGGAATTACATTAAAATCTTAAATATGCTAGGGTATCTCCAAACAACTACGCTAAATGATGACTTCAACTTGGCCATCGCTAACAATCAACGGGGTATCAAATCTCCCCAAACAGCGTACCAAGAGCACCCTCAGTAGCTCTCAATACAGGATCCACGCCACTCGAGGCTGAATCGCCACCCTCCCGGAGTAACGCATGGAACAGCTTCTTTGTCTCATGGTCAATTTTTCGATCCGCGCCTGTTGACGAGACACTGATCTCTGGCCGAAGCTGAGGTTCCCCAGTCCATTCATCCAGAACCAAAGTAATGGACAATAGCACACGAGGACCCAAGCCTGGCGATTTGGATTTGATGGTCATTGTACTTCGATGCAGGTGAGGAACCAGCCGGCGTAAGTCCGATATTGTGAGAGCCCCGTTCTCAGTTCCGGGCATTGGTTCCTTGTTACCTCGCAGAGCCCTGGGGCCGTATTTGTGGTCAATGTGTGCCCAAAGGTGGGCTCGTGTGACTGAGCATTCCCAGTATCGGTTGATGCCCCAGCATAGAGTTGGTACGTCCAACTTCAAGAGAGGGTTCTCTAGACGTGTGTCAATCCATTGACGGAGAGCTTCGGGTGTTTTTCTTTTCTTGCTGTCACTGCCGGTTGGAACAGACACGGACACCACGGTTTGGGTTTCTGGGCTTGTCTCGTAGACTACTGTTGCGTTGTAGATACTTGATGGGAATGGAGACGGGGCGGAGAAGGTCAGAGAGTGTGTTTCTGATGGCCCTTCTCTATGTGATGATCGAGTTGTGCGGGATTTGAGAGCCAGTGGTGCAAAGACTGTCAAATATGGCAGTTCCTTGGAGGATTCTTGTAAGGCGAATGGATTGGTTGGTAGGGGCGATGCCTGACGTTTGGGTTGAGGTATGTTCGAGGAAAATGGCAGTAGAGTAGCAAGGATGGAAGATATTGGCTTTGGGGCTACTTGAGGAGCCGGTAGGCTCTCAAGGTTTGCTTCTTCCGCTGTAAGTAATGACCTGAAATGAATTAGCAGCTTTCAAGTCAATTTGATCATGTCAACTCACAGTAGTCTATCCAGTCCTCTGTCGCCTTTCAGGCCATCGTCAGACTCAATCTTTTTGGCCCATCTCTCTAGTTCTTCAACTTCATCTTTAAGCCGTTGCAGTTCCGCAGCACTTCTCTTGCGCGACTTGACTTTTTCTTGCGCAGCCATAGACAATTCCGAATTGAAACTAGTCTCTGTCTCTGTAGGAGTGATAGATCGATATTTGACTGCTTTCAACGGGCTTTCGCCCAATGGCTGAGTGTCTCGTCGTCTCATCCGTTTCTCCTGTCGCAAACTGGGACTGCTGCTCATCCTCCCTCTAGGTCGATCTGGGGCCTTCTCCAGTCCGAGTTGAGTTGGGGTTGGAGGAAGATCTGGTTCGAGCATATCCTCGCCCATAATTGGGCCTTCATCTCCCAAGTCCGCATCTGCTTCTTGTGTAGCCTCGCCTAATTCCATTGCCAATTGACCTTCCGGTGTACTTGAGTCGGGAGCAGTTGACCGAGGAATTGGAGACCCAAACATAAAATCTCCAGGGAGGATCTTTTTCAGACTTCTGCGGGGTGGCTTCGAGAATGCCTGGATGCCACTCGGGCGCCTGTTGGGGGATCCTGTCGGCGCATCGGGTGCTCGGGGTTGGGTGAGAGGACTCGCTGAAGCATTCAGCGAAGGTCGGAGGGCTTTGCGGTCCCGGAGTCCAAATTTTCGAGCATCAGTCTGTTCGTCCACTTTGCTGGAAGCTCGTCGTGTGGGGGATCTGCTGAGCGCGCGCTCTAACACATCCGGTTGCGATCGCGCAAGACTGGCTCTTGTTGGGGATTGGAAGGAGGGTCGTCGTGGTGGTCGGAACACATTTTGACCTAGCTCTGGTGGCACAGCAATTCCTGTAGATTCGCTAGTTTTTCGTCGTTTGGCGGGGGAATCCATTGTCGCGTGGGGGTGTTCGGTCTCATCTGCAGCGCGCAGATGAAGATAAACAACGATGTTTGCAGCAGATGCAAACACTATGACCTAATGTCCCCTCTACATTTCCACTTCCGAGTGTCTTCACCTCCTCCAACTCACCATGGAGTGTCTCTCGGCAGGCATTCGGCACTCATTTAGGAGGTCCAGCTCTCGATCCCTTTTTTTCTCTCTTGCATCGCATTCTTTGTTTGCCTCACAGACCCAATATGTTCTTGTTCCAACCTCCCGGCGCATGAAGTCCCACCAGTCCAAGGACAAGTCCGATGCGCAAAATACTCCAGTCTCCGTGGAGGAGACTGCCGAGCCTACTCAGGCACATCCACTGACGGGATATTACTCATTAATCCTGAAATCACCCTCACCCTACGGTGGTCGTGCGACCACATCGCGACCGACACCGACTCCGTATCGCCCCGAAGACAAACCGGCACCGGCAACCACTGTCGAACCGCAAACTCCCCAAGAAAAAATGGCGATTGTTTTTGGTACTCGTCTTGCAGGTCCAGGTCGGTCCTCGCGCTACAATCCTGGCGAAGCGCCGCCGGAGTCGACTTGGAAAACGGTCAATGGTGTTCCTATCCCTCCTCAGCCCGAGGAACCAGATAATTGCTGCATGAGTGGCTGTGTACACTGCGTCTGGGATGACTTCCGAGATGAGATGGAAGATTGGGCATCTAGGATTACAATGGCTAAGGCCAAGGGCGGTCCAGAGAAGGGGACAGAAGACATGCGTGCAGCACCCAGAGCTGAAGTTCGTTCGGCTAGTGGAAGCATGGACGATGACGGTGGTGGCAGTGATACAAATTGGTCCATGCCGAAGCAAGAAGACGATCTATTTTCCAACATCCCGGTTGGTATCCGCGAATTCATGAAGACGGAGAAAAAGTTGCGGGTGAAGCATCAAAAGGAGGCAGCGATATGAACTGCCATGATCGCTCTGTTTGCTGAGATTTATACCCTGTCTTACACTGTGCTTTACCACATTGGAGCAATTGGAGGAAGTATATTTGGGGCGGAAGAGCTATAGATGGTATATAGATAGACTTGTACATAGGACCTACCCATGATGCTACGAATATATTGCCGCTCCCAATCAATTATATTATTGTCAGAAACCTCTCAGTCCAAAGACCAAATTCCCACTATGAACGTAGATGTTGGGCACTTTTGATTGTTGATGCTGAATCCTGCGGAGTGCCAAGACCGAATCTGCGGCGCCGCGGAAGTGTCATTTTTTTTGTTTTGTCTGTCAACCTTGCCATCCCCCTTTTCCAACCCAAGCAAAGACGTTCCTATCTTTCGGGGGCATCGCAAATCTACACTCAGGTCTTTCTGGTTTCTCCCACGCTTTTCCGAGGCTTCGAAGCCATCGATTATCTCTGCGCGATGTGCGTTTACCCGTGAAATTTCGATCATACATGATGGGCATTGCAACAGGAGCTAGTCTCTATATTCGCAATGCAAATCAGGCACGCCACTCGGTTTCAAATGGAGGATACATCGGTAACTCCTGTCTGGGGTCAAGCCAATTGAGACTTCGGCGATTCTCGACCCGACAAATACACACGGTCTCCCAACCTTCCGCCGTTTCTCGAATCTCGCTCAAGTCAAGAGTGCCGGCATCATTCGCTACTGGCAATCACTCTGCGCTCGAAATATACCGAAAAACAGTCCATGCTCGCTCGTTGACGAACACTCTTCTCACACGCGACCTTTCTGGGTCAGGATCTGAAGCCACTGCAGTCGCGGTCGAAGGGCCCTCGGAAAATGGAGAATTGACAATACCCGCCACGACTGGAGAAAATAAGTCGGATAGAGCGAGCCATCCTGAGGATGGGAATATCGCTGAGTTTGAGGACCTTGCATTCCTCAACAAAGTTAGACTAAGTAAATGGCTGGATGATGTGGTTTTTGACTTTGGATGTGATTCTGAAGGGGAGGATATCTGTAAATGTCAATGTTCTTTGTCTGGCAAACAATTTCAGGGTGTTGCGCATGGTTCTACCAAGGTATGTAAAGCTAATCTTGGTCCATTGATATCAATATTCATGGCTAATTCTCAAGAAACACAGGCCGAAGCAGCGAAAAAGGCGAAACTTCTCATGGTGCAATCTATGAAAGACGAAGGTGTTTGGCAACAGCTGCTGCTCAGAACAGAGCAAGAAGCCAATGAGGAAAAGCCTGCAGAAGAGAACGAGCCATTCCTGACAAGGCGTATTACGGGGCCTGCCATCCGAGATGACATGTACTTTGCACTCAGCGATGCAAGAGAAGCATTAGAGTCAGCTCATCTCAAGGTAACGAAAAAGGTACCCTTCTACCTCAGAAAACCTACTACGACCAATTTACCGTTATCGACCAAAATTCGTGGCACGTCTTTCACCAATGAACAACGACAAAAATTCGAGCATCGACTGCGCCGTTCCAGACAAGCAGCGCAAGACTCCAAGGATCCGCGGTTCCAGAGCATTAAAAGGATCAGAAAGGGCTTACCTGTTAGCTCACAACCTTACGCGCAGTCCGTGGTTGAACTCATCAGAAAAAACGCCTTTAGCATTATCGTTGCAGAGACTGGATCTGGAAAGTCAACCCAGATTCCTCAGATCCTTCTTGATACCGCGATAGACAACTCTGTTGGCGCGGATTGTCAAGTATTATGTGTTCAGCCACGGCGAATTGCGGCAAAGAGCTTGGCAACTCGGGTTGCCGCAGAAAGACTTGAGAAAGTTGGTGAAACTGTGGGTTATATTCTGCGAGACGATGCCGTGCTGCCATCTCCGGGAGGAAATATCACCTACTGCACCTCAGGAGTTTTGTTGAAAATGTTGAGGGGTGGGCTTCAGGTCCTAGGACAGTACAGCCATATCATCCTTGACGAAGTTCACGTCCGTGACGCGGCACTTGATCTGATATTGATGCTCATCAAGATCCGCATTGAACAACTAAAGAGTGCTGGCGCTCGAGTGCCAACAGTCGCTGTCATGAGCGCAACGGTCGATGTGAATCTCTTTTCTTCCTATTTCTCTACCAAGGCACCGGATGGAACACTTGTGCCTGCTCCTCATATTCAAATTCCTGGACGCACCTTCGATGTGAAGAAGCATTATCTTCAAGAAGTGCTTGAGGATATCACCCATAATTTATCTCCAGAGGCTATATCTGGGCTTATTCAGGTTCCTGATACAAAGCTATTTCTGGAGGACCATTTCAAAGCCTTTGGGGAACTCAATAAAGATGCAGCGGATGAACCTGAACGTATTTTACCGTCGGTTTCGTCTCTTGATGGGCGAACAGTACCTTCTGGGTTGATTTCTGCGGCTGTTCTCTCGGTACTTTCATCGACTCAGACGGGGTCTATTCTTGTCTTTGTTCCCGGTATCCAAAACATATTTGATGTGGAAAGGCACATCACAAATCATGGTGTTGGGCTAGGGTTGAACTTCCATGACAGCAATCAGCTCAGAATAGTGAAGCTTCATGCACAGTTGCCAGAGGAACAGGTCGAGTTGCGTCGTGATATGCCTCGCGGTTGTCGAAGGGTCATCATTGCAACTGACATCGCTGAGGCATCTCTCACCATACCAGATGTGCGATACGTTGTCGACTCTGGTAAGGTGAATCAGACTGGGTTTTCTGGCCTCACGGCAACTGAATCAGTAGCACCGTGCTGGATCAGTCAGCACGCTGCATTCCAACGCGCAGGACGTGCCGGAAGAGTTCAGGCTGGAGATTACTATTTCCTTGGTCTTCAAAAGCGGTTCGATTCCCTTCCAACGTCTAGAGCAACAGATATCAGACGGATGGACATAAAATCATTATGCTTGCAAGTCAAACGATCAACTCCTGGAATTCCAGGGACCATCTCAGAGTTACTCGATCGACTGCTTGAACCACCAGAGAAATCAGAGGTGGATTTGGCAGTAGCAGCTTTGAAGGATTTGAAAGCGCTGGATGAAAACGAAGAACTCACCCCCCTTGGTCGCTATCTAGAGGATCTCAATATTCACCCGAGCTATGCCAAAATGGTCATTTTGGGCACGGTCTTCGACTGTTTGGACCCTATGGTTATCTTTGCGGCACTCGAGAAGAACATGAATATATTTTTGCGAAGTCCTGACCCTGACTTGAAGTTGAAGGTCAAAGAATCGCGCCAGGCTTTCGGCAAGGGAACAAATAATCCTCGCTACGAAGTCCTCGAAGCATTCCGAGCCATTCGAGAGGTGGACCATAAAAAAGGTTCTCGAGAAGCTGCCCGGTTTGCCAACGACCGATATATCAACTTTAGGCAGTTCAAAAGTGCCTTGCGAGATACCGAGCGAATCACACAGACGCTGGATCGTTTCCGAATGACAGATGCGAAGACCTTGAGTGAGAAGAATGCAAGCGGGAGACTTGGCGACGACTCGATCAACCAGAATTCGGAGAACCTCCCCCTCTTAACAGCCTTGTTGACGCATTGTCTCTCCCCTAATTTGGCCGTAAAAGGCCTTGGCCGGTTACAATTTATGACCAAGCACAAACGGATAAGCTTCGTACTGCCCAAAGAAAAACGAGAAGCCTTCAGGAAGCGACAGGTTATGTCTATTTACAACTACTTATGGTCAGTGCCACATAAGGCTTCATGCATGAGAGATCGGTTCAACGTCCGTCCCTTGACGACAGCCCTTTTTGGAACTCGATTAGAGCGGACAGGCAAAGACGAACTTCTCATGAACGACTGGGCATTCTTGAAACCACAAACTGAAATGAAGGCCGATGAAATCCTTGATAACATCGTCCAGCTACACAAAGTCTTCAATGAGGTTAGCATCAACCCACTTCATATTCATGATTTACAAGCTGACTTTCGCTTTAGGTTCTTGAGACTGTCTTTGTTACCATGGGTCGCAGAAAGTCGAGATCTGTCCAAATTCAAGCTATCTTGAACAATCTGCGCAAACAGCTTGTGCAATCAATGATCACGATCATTGAGTTGGATGTTGAACAGCGTCGTCATAGAGCTCCTACCAAATGGAAGGACGAGGGCATCTTCATTGAGGACCGAGAAGATGAGGAGTGGGAGGACGATACTGAGGCTTCCGAGGTGGATCCCAGCATTGATTCCAGCACGGAGTCTAGCATGGACAGGGAAGACATATAGAGAGCATGTACAATACCACCTAACTTATACACCATTTTGTATTATATTTTAATGTCTGCCATGTTCTTGGCCGTTCGGTTACCTCAGCACATTCACATTGCATTAACACTGGATTAACACTGCATCAGCATCGCCTGAAAAGGACATATGTCATCTTTGCAGATCATCCGAGAGCATCCTGTACAGCAGGCCAGATTGTGCAGCATAGGCTGAAAGGAGTTTGCTCCAGGACTCGAACCCAAAATTATGCAAATTCATAAATCAAGGAGATGCCGGATTGCCATCAAAGAACCCCCCGGCCTATCATAAGATCGTGATTCACCGCATAATCAGACTTGCCAAACAATTCTGGCACCGCATGTACTAGCTTGGAACACTAGTGTGTCTCATGAGAAAAGGTACCTATTTGACGCTATGTGCCGCTCTGCCTTGGGAAATCAGACGGTCACTGTTCGAGGCTTGCCCTAAGATGACAAGCCATAAGCATTCGGTTCATTTAAGCTTAAAAGAATCAAAGTGTACCATGAGCCACCACAAGTTCTGGGATACTTCTACAAAGCCTCTGGGGCGCTTTTTCTGAGTATTCTTTGAACAGCTATTTTAGGGCCAACCCGGGTTGACCTCCTGGTTCTCAGGCCGCCCAAAGACCTGTTATGACGGGGATTAAGACCTTGCATGATGCGGGGATCCGATAGATCTTCAAAGACTTGCGACAGTGCACAATCATTGAGGCATAATTTTAATGCCTTGGATGCAAGTCACACAAGTTCAAAAATGACAGGGCACGAGGTAACGTATAAATAGTCCAGACTGAAGAGGGGGGGGGGGGGATCTATTAGTATTTTCAACTTCAACTTAAGCAATGGCTCTTCTTGGCCTTTCAGGGTTTGCAAGCCCTACAGCCCCTTTCTATCTGACTCTATCAGTGTGCGGGCTGAGTTTGGCATTGGTAAGTATAATCTTGTTCTTTGGCCTCTATGACGAGATGTCACCTAACTCAAGATGCTCATATTAGATCGCCCTCTACTACATCGGCCACATCATATACAATGTCTACTTCCACCCCCTTTCCAAATACCCAGGTCCAAAGTCCATGGCCGCCACACGTTTACCCTACATGCGGATGATCCTGTACGGCACTTCCCCACAAGAGATCAAGAGATTGCATCAACAGTACGGCGAAGTAGTCCGTATCGCCCCCGACGAGCTTTCCTTCACGAATGGAGATGCCTGGAAGGCCATTTACGGGACTCGTGTGGGTCACGGTCAGAAGTCTAAAGACTTTCGATTCTATGCACCCACCGTCAATGGAGCTGCGAGTATCATTGTCTCCGGCGATGCAGACCACTCTCGCTTTCGTCGCCTGCTGTCACACGCTTTCTCGGATAACTCCTTGCGCCAACAAGAGCCCATCATCAAAGGCTATGTTGACCTTCTGATGCAACGTCTGCGTGAGAACATCGCATGTGGGAAAACGGCTGTTGACATGGTTGCTTGGTACAACTTTACGACATTCGATATCATCGGGGATCTGGCTTTTGGCGAGTCCTTTGACTGTCTGAAGAATTCCACATACCACCAATGGATCTCTATCCTCTTCGGCAATATCAAAATGAGCTCTTATGCGAATGTCGCGCGGCGTCTTCCTGGATGGAAGCACATTCTTGCATTGATCACTCCAAAGCATGTCTTGTCTCAAAAAGAAGCACACAGTGCATTGACCACGGAGAAAGTCAAAAATCGACTAGGAAAAACTAACGAGAGACCGGATTTCTTCGCCAATATCTTGAAGAACAACAATACCGAGAAGGGCTTCAGCGTCCCGGAAATGGTCACCAATGGCAGTACCTTGATCATTGCCGGCTCGGAGACTACTGCGACTTTGCTTTCCGGGGTGACATATCTGTTGCTGAAAAACCCCCGCGTGCTTGCAAAACTTCAGGATGAGATTAGGTCTGCGTTTACAAGCGAGGCAGAGATCACTCTTGAGAGCTGCAATAAGCTGGAGTACTGCCTTGCCACGCTCACTGAGGCTATGCGAGTATATCCTCCTGTTTCAGTTGGACTTCCACGTATCGTCGATGCTCAGGGCGATATGATAGCCGGGAATTGGGTCCCAGGAGGTGTAAGTCTAAAGAATTCTTTAAAATATAACCCCATCATTAACATCATTGACAGACCATCGTTTCCATCCCTCATTTGGCCGCGAGTCATTCGCCTATTAATTATACGGATCCCGAGCAGTTTATGCCAGAACGTCATCTTGGTGATATTCGCTATGAGAGCGACAGCAAGCTCGCTATGCAGCCATTTAGCTTCGGTCCAAGAAACTGTATCGGACGAAAGTAAGCTGCTCCCCTGCATATCCTTTCTCTTTTCACTTCACTTCAGCATTTTTTTTCTCGGCTTTTTTGCTCTTTAGCTAAATCTGATATCTTTTCTAGCCTTGCATATGTTGAAATGCGCATCATTCTCGCTCGTATGATCTTCAACTTTGACATGGAGCTGGAGCAATCAGAACATGATTGGCTGGATCAGAAATGCTTCGTGCTTTGGGATAAGACTTCTCTTATGGTGAAGTTGACTCTTAGAGCTTAATATAATGACAGCAAAATACTTGCATAGTCATGAGATTTTATATTGAGTTATAGCATGGGGAATGGCGACGTTAGCATCAAATTAGTATGAGCGATAAGCGAACAATACACGATGGTAAATTCAGACTTTCATAATGAACTAAAGCACCAATATCACACAAATAACCAAAGTAACTTACCACACAAGTCAACAATTGCATAAATGTCATGCATGCAAGTTAATCCATCAGTTATACAGTAGATCAGCGATAACCCTCACCGCCCCCATGATCCCGGCAAAAAAAGATTCACCGCAGATCATCTCAGAACAATAAGTGAACGAAACATACCACCCCAACCCCTCAAGAGCCAAAAATGTCGCTCTCAAAAAGCGAGTCGGACATCATCCTTAACCGAGCCAATGTCGCCCTATCCCGAAGCCAAAGGCTCGTAGCCTCCTGGCTCCCGCAAGAATCCACCGACGAACTAGCAACTACCAAAACGGAGGAAGAACTACAACGAGAAGAAGACGAGATTTTCACTGCTGTGCCCGAGACGTAAGTCCAAGCACGAAACCACCACCCAGCCATGGTCACCTTGTACTAAAAATAGAGAAAATACAGACTCGGCGTCGGCGCCCCCTCCCCCAAAAAGCAGCCGACGGAAGCTGGAACCGCACCGAGCTGGACTCGAATGATAAATTGCGCAAACAGCTTCTCGGCAAGAATTATGATCGTGTTATGAAGGCTAAGGCGGCGCAGAAGGCTGCTGTGGCTGGTTCGACGACTACGGCTGGATCTGTTTCTGCGGCTGGGAATAATGCTGGTGCTGGTGCTGTCGAGGAGGATGATGAGGATGACGATGAGGACGGGCGGTCTGCGATGATCGGCAGGAAGAAGAATATGAGAGGTCCCGGGGCTGGTGCTGGCGTTGGTCCTGCGCGGAAGAAGAAGAAGAAGGGTGGGAATGTTGTTGAGGATGTTTTTGCGAGTCCTGTTGTTGGTGCTGGTGCTGATACTGGCACTGATACGCAGGATTCAACGCAGACTGCGACTGCTGAGGAAGAGAATGTGCCTTCAGAACCTACGCCTGCGCCTGCGCGCTCAAAGGGGAGGAAGAAGGCGACGAGTTATCTGGATGAACTTCTAGCTGAGCGTGCGAAGAAGAGAAAGAAGAGATGAATTGCCTCTGCATTAGATTGACTCGGTGTCAAGCGCTCTCTGTGCAAATAGGCCGGAGATGGTGATCTGCTATGAAGAGCACTATCCAGTTTGCCCTGGCTTCCACCACCTCTCACGGCTCTAACTCAGTCTATCTTCTCTGGACAAAAATCATCTACGCCCATGACAGCTCATCTGTCACTAAAGATAGACATATAAGATACCCAAATTCAAAGTTAGATTCAAATAAAGCCGCAAGTCCAAAATCATCCAACTGGTATAACCTAACTGCGTATATTAAATACAATATAGATCCAATCTTTTGCTCTAAACACCTCAAAATATTCTGGTTGTTTTTTTTTGTGTTGCTCCGCCCATCCCCCCAAGGGTATATATGAGATGCTGTATGAACGAAGAAGCGAATCCGTCGTCCTTGTGGCAAGGTGCTGGGATTGGCGTGACCCCGGGAATTAAATAAACGGGACGAGTAAAAGGGAAATCAGGAAAGGAAAAGGGACATCTACAGGTGCAATTAAAAAAACAATGGCCAGACATTCGGGGACTCTCCGTGGCTCCAGACTAGTCAGAGATGCAAAGGGAGTCCTAAGCCTCACTCTCGTCAGTGATACATATGCAGTTCAGAGGGGACAGGTGAGAGAGATTTGAGAAAGAATCGAGAGAGAAGCGAGAATGAACCTGAAAGAAAGAAGTGAAAAGAGCTAGGTCTGCTCCGGGGATATAGACCTTGTTTAATAATGATATCTTGGATATAGAAGCTTGGTGTGGGTATTTTTCCTTAATGTAGTGTAGGGTTTATTCCAATCGTTTCCTCTTGCGGTCGTCGACCATTGCCTGCTGGTCCTCGTCGGGTCTTTCAGCGGTATCAGCCGGGTTGAGCAGTGAGTGGACATTGCTAGCCATGCTAGAGCGGCGTGTTGCAGGTAGGGAGGACCCATGGGGGAACCTTGTGTTTCCGAGCGTCCAGCCGTTATCAACACCGAGCAGGGATGGGGATGGTTCGGCTGTTGGTGGAGTGGCGTGGCGGGATTGTTCTTGAAGGCGACGCGGAGCACCCATTTCGTATTGGGCGAGAACATCCCGGACTTGCTGGTCACTCCCTCCGTGTGGTGATGGGGGCCAGGGTCCACTTGGAGGATTTCCAGGAGGGTAGGGAGAAGCACCTGCTGAGGGGGGCCAGCCGTGCTGACGTATATCCGCAGAGGTATGGCGGCGAGCTAAGCTAGGTCCTGGGGATGTGGATACTGAGAGAGGGTGAGGCTGAGGTTGTTGCGGCGGTGCGATTGGAGGTTGTGGCCGAGCGTATGTTGATGCGGAGGTAGGTCCACCAATTGAACCATAGCGGCGAGGGGATACTGAGAGATGTGGAGGAACAGGTGGACGGATCATGCTGTTGGGTCTAGGGTTGTGGTCCATCATGGACTGGCGACGAGAGTCGTCCTGGGGTATTTGGCGCGGAGACAATGGTGGACCGGTTTCGGCCATGTTGGCAAAGTAGGGTTGCCGAGGGGGCATGAGGCCCTCGTGGGGAGTCTCGAGGGCGCGAACGGTTTCAAGGTGCTTCTCGACTTCTCGTTGCATGTTCGAAACATCCCGATACAATGGGCTTTCCCTGTCGGGCACAACGGCTTGAAGGAACCGTGAAATAGAATGCGTCCACTATAATCAGATTAGCAAACATACCACCCTGCGCAAGTGCTAGCAAACATACATGATAGCACTTCGTCAAGCTTTCGGTCATAGCCTGGCATCTCGAATTCAGCGCCATATTGCCCTCCTCCGCCCGGGACAGACGAGCATGCATATCGAATAAGGTGTGCTCGAGGTTCATGAATCTAGCTTCGGTGGCATCTGGGACGGGTTCGGCAGGTGTACCTGGTTGCGAAACAGCAGCCTTGTGTCCGGGAAACGAGTCGCGATGGATCAGGGCGTGTCTCGAAGCTCGGCGCTTGATCTCCCGTAGACCAGCTAGGTCGCCTCTCTTGAAATTCCCATTGCCGTGCTTGAACTCCCATAGCGCAGAGTCAGGAGATCCGGTGTGGAAAACATCGCTCACTATCGGGAAAAAGAAGAACTATCAGTGATCGCGCAATAGGAGACTGTCGCATGCGGAAAACGTACCCTTGTGAAACCCGTACATATTCAACTGCCGAACAAAGGAGGAGATATTGGTGTGCTTGAAGTAGGATCTGCGACTGTCAGCGAAAAGCCAGCGAAATCCAGCACCGGCGAGAGGAGTTACTCACGCGAGGACTTTCGAGAATTCTGATGTTGGCGACATGACGAAGCTGTCGTTTGTATTCGACCACGAGATGAGATGCTGGATGCTGGGGTCTTCTAACATGCTGTTCGGAGGGTTAGCGACATCGCCGGATCAAGCGCAAGGCCAACAACGTACTTGTACAGCTTGTGAATGAAGGCAGTCTGGACGACTTTCGGCTGCTGAGCTGCAGCTGCCGCGCCGATGGCCGGGTTTGAAGGGTTTAAAGAATTGCCATCGCCATTGTTCATGACGCGGTCGTCAGGACTGCCATGCGCGCCCGCTGGCGAAGGAGGGGTGATCTCCATGGCGCCTGAGTGCTGACCGGACGACGACAGCACAGGGATATTTCGTGTCCTGCCGTCCGGGACCCCGGCAAAAGTAATTCGGGAAGAGGGATCGGCGAGGCGACTCATATCGAAGGGATGAACGGATGCACCGGGGGGCGATGCTCGTGCCGAAGGAACGTGGGAGGTGGATTATCCCGAGATCAACATCCAATAGTCTCTGTCATGGCGCCTAAACGTGAAATATCCCAAAGTCGAGGTTTTGGCCTCGAGGTGTCAAGAAGAGGAAGATGAAGATGAGGCTGCGGGGAACAAGTGAAAATGCGTGACAATCGGATCTGCAGAACGGAAGACGCCAGGTGGAGAAAAGGGGTGATTACTATACTTGCTTGATATTCAGGAGAGATTGATGCACGATTGCACTATTGCATTATTGCATTATTGTGTCTATGGTTTGAATTGTTCCATTGGACTGGAGACTTTATCCAGGAATTACTCTGAACTAGGTCCCTTCTAGTTGGAAGTTATATAAGCCAAGGTATGGAATCCCAGGTTAGCCCTAGACGCTGGGATCAACCACGAGAAATAATACAGCTCCAGAGACCTTGGGTGCTAGAAACCTGTCACTAGACCTTGCTGGGATCTGGCTGATCTTCTCAAAGACGCGAGAAAATCCGCTGAGCTGCATGAAAGCGCACCGGAAGGCTCCCAATCCTCATCGAAGGACCAGACCCGAATCTGATCGGCAGAAGCGTATAAGAAAAACCCATCGCCGGCCCATATGCCGTTCAAAGTGCGTCGTCCACTCAAAATAGACAGCCGTTGTCCGAGGTAAACTTGATATGACAGAGTCTCAGAGGGGCTGGGGTCAATCAACCGTTTATACCCAATGGCAGCACAATTGGATCGGTCGACTTCGAGCAAAGCACAGAATGCCAACCCTTGGTCAAACCACGCAATATCCATAAAGTTGAAATGTTCTCGTCTGGCTAGTATGGCATGCACAGCAACTTGGTCGTCGTCCGTGATTGAAAGATAGAGACAAGGGTGGAGTATTTCTTCATAAGGGTATAGTCTCAAGGAAATTTGGCCTTGCGATACTTGGACAGTCTCCTTTAGTTCGGGCAGTTGGTATCTGTTATCTTGGAAAGGAAGCTCTTCGTAACGGGAGAATGTGTTGGCAAACGACCCCTCATCGATGGTGTACCTGTCGACTCGCAGGTGATAGTCTGTTCCGTTCATGAAAGGGTTGAAGTGTTTCTTGTCACGGATACAAGTAACAGATAATGTGACCTGATCTTCACTGTTATGTAGAGATATTGAGCAGATGAGTCCCTCGACTGCAAATGTCCGAGCAATGAAATTGGCGAAGCAGAAATGGATGATGTTGTCATCATAGCTCACCATCACCTTGACTCCGTGTACCAGGAAGTGATGGAAATGCAAGGAAGTAAGTCGAAAAGATTTGTGAATTCCGGTCTCAATCTCCCAGACATGGCAAAACCTAATTGAATGATTAGAGTGGCTTCTCCAGGTATATTTGAGTATTTTCAAGCTGAGCACATACCCTCGCATGGATATCGCCGCGATCAGTGTATCAGATACACGGATAGCACGTAGGCGTTCCCTGTTTTCCGTAGTAAAGTGACTTTGTTCACCGGTGTTCAGATGTACGAGGCAAATGGAGGTTTCGTCGGATTTCAAGTCGATCCAGGCAAACATGCCGTGTGCGTAGGACATTTGTTCCTTATCTTTATTCGCAATTGGAGAAGTAGATATTGAGGCCATAGTGACGGGGCGCTCTTGTTCAGCTCTAACTCGTCTTTTAATCATTTTCATGAGGTGTTCGTCGGACACATTATCCAAGACATGGTGTCCGGGGGCAGTTGCATTCGAATACGCGATACGCAGTAATGCCGGGGAAGATAATTGTTGGTTCCATAATTTGCATACCTTCATATTGTTAGTCATGAGCATCCATATATCAATAGACATACTCTTCGTAGGGCGAATAAGTCACTCAATCCCAAGTCTTTTGCAACAATGTCTCGGAGTTCTGGGGGCAGTGAGCCCCAGATATCTTTTTGAAACTTGAGAGGATCTAAGTGATCCTTCGCGGCTCTTAGCTCGTTAATAGTCAAGTTCTGAAGGATTGCGGTGATCCTTCGTTCAGTCAGTGACTAGATATAGTCGTAAACCTGGTGCAACATACGCTTGTCGCCGATCCGAATGGCCGAGATCTTTGAAGTCAGCCAAAATAGATTTGGTATTTGGATTTAACTCCATAGCCGTGGCTTATAAGGTTGTGATATTGACGGCGAGGCGAAGTTGAAGGTAGAGAGAGAAGGTCGGTCCTTGGGTGGGGTTTGTAGGTACCGACAAAGTAAGTCGATATGGAGAAATCGACTAACCATAGACCAAACATAACTGTAAATTGAGTAAGGTAGATATATTCATATGAAGAGATCTTAAAGTAATTCATAGTTTATTCAGAGGGGAACTGATAAATATAGGAAAGTGGCAGTGTGTGGAAAGAGGAAACCGATTTTAAGGGAAGCAATCCCAAGGCAATTAGTTCCCTATAAGTTACGCTGAGAGCCAGCAAACATAAGGTCTTAAGTAATCCTTGCCCTTTTCCAAGGGTTTCACATATTGCACCTGAAGCGCGATCTACTGTAAACATACTTTGCACAGCTCCATACATATCATACGATAGAAAGACTACAGAAGAATCAAAACCAAAACTCACACAACCCATCCGATTAGGAACTGATATAGGTCATAGAAACACTCAAGAATACAGTGACAAAAGAAAATAAATGACACAGGAACCAAGCAGCAAGGGCATCAAGATGTCTCTAAGATGAGCAGAGCAGCAGTTCGATTTGGTTTCGCGACGAAAGAGCCTCGCATTAATGCCACCCCATCTACTCTAAAATGCAAACAAGAAGATTCCAAGGAGAGTTCCTTAGATTCCAAGGGTGAACTCGACACCGACGTCGATCTCACGGGCCATCTTGACGACCTTGGAAAACTGGACGGACTTCTCGGCGGCGTTCTGGAGGTCCTCAATGGAGAAGATCTTCAGGCCGGACTCGTTGATCAGCTTGTGGGCCTGCTCCATGTTGGTACCCTGAAGACGGGCGATGATGGGGGTGCGGAGACCCATCTCCTGGACGACGTTGATCAAACCCTGAGCGATGGCGTCGCAACGGACGATACCACCGAAGATGTTGACGAAGACGGCGGAGACCTTGGGGTCGCTGGTGATCAGCTCGAAAGCGCTCTTGATGGCCTGGGGGGTGGCACCACCGCCGACATCGAGGAAGTTAGCGGGGGAACCGCCGTTGAGCTTGATGATATCCATGGTGGCCATGGCGAGACCGGCACCGTTGACTGGTACGTGTTAGAAAAGAGAGCTCTAGCTGATGAACGAATACTTACCGAGACAGCCGATGTCACCATCGAGCTTGATGAAGTTGAGACCGTGCTCAGCGGCCTTGACCTCGTCGGCATCCTCCTGGGAAACGTCGCGCCACGAGAAGGCCTCCTTCTGACGGAACTCGGCGTTGTCATCGAATCCGAGCTTGGCGTCCATGGCGAGGACCTGGTGGTCGGAGGTCTCAGACAGGGGGTTGATCTCAAGCTGGGTAGCATCGCGCTCCATGAAGCACTTGTAGAGGTTCTGGATAGTGGTCTTGGCCTCCTCGATGCACTGCTCAGAGAAGCCGAGGTCGGTAGCGATGGTGCGGGCGATCTCGTCGGTGACACCAACGTGGATGTCAATGGGGGTGGTCATGATGGCATCGGGGCTCTCCTTGGCGACAGCCTCGATATCCATACCACCCTGAGAGGAGGAAACGATGACGGGGCCACGGGTAGTACGGTCCAGGAGGACAGCAAGGTAAAATTCGCGGCGGGCGAACTTGCGCTCACAAATGTAGACCGAGTTACAGATACGGCCGGCGGCGCCGGTCTGCTTGGTGACGAGCTTGTGGCCGATCATCTGGCCGGCGAACATCTTAGCCTCGGTAGGACTGGGAAAGTATCTATTAGTTTCGCTGCGTCCGTTGTCTTCGATTCTTGAAACTCACGAGTAGATCACGCGGACACCACCCTTAAGACCGTTGTCGAAGGAACCCTTACCACGGCCACCAGCGAGAACCTGGGCCTTGATGACGAGGTCATCACCACCTGAAAATTATGTTCAGCAGGCGCGTTCGTAGAGAGGAGCTTGAATAGTATTTACCGATGGACTTGGCGATAGCCTCAGCCTCTTCAGCGTTGTTGGCGACTTCACCCTTGGGAACACCGACACCGTACTAGATAGATCCTTTATCAGCGGGCTTGATTTTTTAAGGAACGACCGAAGGGGGGAAGACGCGATCCACCTACCGACTTGAGGAGACGGGCGGACAGGTATTCGTGGATGGAGAGGTTACGCTTCTGAACAGCGAGTCTGCTCTGGACGGCAGGCGCCTATGCAAAGTCAGTATATCCGTTCTAACCAAATCAACATGAAGCCGGGCGCGGCCCGATTCACTCGGCAAGAACTCACCGTCGCAGCTCTGTAAGCGGCCGCAATGGGTCTACTGCGGGCGAAGTTGAACATGATGGTTAAAAAGGAGAGGAGAGGAGAGGAGAGATGATATCAAGGTAACCCGAGATTGAGTAGGGGAGAACAGCTTTCTTTTTCTCGGGATGACATTGCGTCGCGGTAAAACCGGGTGTCGCAGCCAACCACAGTCCGGCTCTTGCTGAGTCATCGGGTCAACGCGAATATCACGGAACCCTGGCTGCTCAACTCGGTACTTGAGCAGTCTCGGGCTTTTTTTTTATATCCGTTCAAGGCTTGATTTGCGCTATTTGTACATGGTGTTGGGATGACTATTCTATCCTGGCTCTTCCTTCACTTGGGTGTGCCCTTGTTGATCTTCCACAGTTTGAACATTTTAGTCATAGCCCGACCAAATAGTCCCGTCCATGCCCAGCCTCCCGAAAGGAGCCAAATGACCCAGCTGGCATGTCCCTCCCAAATCCAGGTCTTCCGGCCTTGAGCCCAGGGCAACCAGCGCCAGGGAGCAGATCCATAGAGCACTTGGGTCACCACGCTGCGCGCATAGGCAGCATGCGGCATGGCATTTTTCTGGCTATGCTTCACCCGTTGCTCATACTCGGCTTCAATCGGGGTATAGATGGAGTTCGGCTTTAGTGTACGGTCAATGCGTGCAATTCGAGACTGAACACCACCGGTCACCACAGTTGTAACATGAACGCTATTCGCCTCGATTAGAAAGGACTCATGGGGGCTCGGGACTGCATGTACGAACCCGAATGGAGCCAGCTCCACGCGAAGCGTGTCACTGAACGAATGCAGTGCTGCTTTGGATGCATTGTAGATGGATCCAAATACGTATGGCATGATCTAGGAGTGTTAGTAGGCTATCATACACCCTTGTCATGCCGTTGTCATGTAGTTCAATACTTACTCCGGCGATAGAGCCAACTTGGACAATAGTGCCCTTTGCCTTGATTAGTAACGGCAGGAAGGTCTGGCACATGGTGATGACAGCGAAGAGGTTGGTCTCGAATACCGAGCGAACCTCAGGAAGCTCTACTTCCATAGCCGGCACGGTATAGTCTACGGCAATTAGTATATCCTCAACGTCGAAGCTTGGTTTACGTACTCCGACCACTGGTTGATGTTAGCCACAAGTGCTGCAATCGCGGTCGAGAAGATTTAACTCACGCATTGTTTACCAGATAGTCAAGGCCCTTGTCGCCGAGTCTCTTCTCGACATCTGCAAAGCATGCCTTAACACTCTCCGAGTCATCAACCGTCAAGCTCAGGGTTTCGATGCCGAGCTCGGCTAGATCAGAAATGGAGCTAGCATCACGAGCTGTGGCTAGGACACGCAGTCCATTGCGATGAAATTCACGCGCAAAAGAGTTCCCGATGCCGCCAGGGGAACATCTGAAGTAGATATCAGAGGCAGTCGTTCGATTCTGGCGCAAGTCACTTACCCTGTGATCAGCACCGATCTGCGGCTATCTGTGACTCCGGACATGTCTGAAGCGATAGAAGTATCTGACGAGTAACTGAATTGATTGTAGGACAAGAATGAATAGTATTAAAGCTATCTAGTAGACCGGTTGGTAGACAAGTGGCTCCATTCGAGGTGGAGACCGAACCAAAGTTGCCTCGGCTCTCCTCCAATTCACTTAGCCCTAGCCCTCGTTTCCTATTCGGGATTTATACTCTTAAATGTGGCTTGAAGAACAATCGACGGTAGCTTGATGGAATAAAGTCAGCACGCTAATTTTGAAAGGGTGATCTTCCCGTAGATCTGCCTTTGCAGGGCTTGTTACCCGTTCTTGTCCCGTTGCAGTTCGATTCTATGTTATCTTCCACATTGCTCTATAAAAGCGCAATCTCAATATGATTGGCAGTCGGAGATTCATTACCTAGCCTTCTTTTCAATGCTTTTACTTAATTCATGCTATTCGAGTACATGTCTCGAACCGCGCATTGGCACTTTTCCAGAAATTAAGAAATGTCTGACCTGTAGCAATACGTATCCCGATTCCATCTTCTCGCTTTTCCATGATCATGAGTTCGATCCTAAAAGCAAGACAAGTATCAATGCCATCCCAATTATCAAGCGAAAGCCAAACAGCCTTGAGGAATACGACAATCATCCGGATTGACTGATTCTTGGCTTCTAGACTCTTCTGAATCGTCATGTCCGTGCAATACACCTGTTTATTCGTAATCGGTAGATTATCTCGAGTCCGCCAGACCATCGTGGCCAATAGCGTCACTAAAAGGTGATTTAAGGAACACCATTCTTGATATTGACCTTCACTTGTCTCTTCCGTGTTCTGCTGATACGAAGAAGATCAAGCAATACTTCCGAGAACGGATCTTCTTTCCAAGCTTCTGTTACAGCAAGAGCAGTCAATTCGTCCAATGCCGTTATTTCTCTTCCAGTTGGCCTGTGCATTGAACGCAGTGTGGAGAAGTCAGACGAAGAATCATTTCTTCTCAACGGGTGCGATGGCTCTTCTCACGTTAGGAAGAGCTCTATTTAGAATCCCCAGTCACGATGATGGTTTTATAAGATATTCAAGCCAACTGCTCTACTAGACCAAATCGGCGTGGGCGCTGCTCATGCGGTGTTGAATCTACATCGGCTGCTCACATTGCTATTCAATGCGACGAGAATCTGGTATCTCGGCCGGTATGAGTTGAGGGACCTCAGCAAAAGGGGGAAGAAGTCCATGCCACCTTCACGCAGGTCCCGTAGATCCCTTCATGGCATACCGCAACCCCGTTATGTTAGATCGTCAAGGTTGTCACTTGGTACCCTTTTCTCTGTAATGTAGATCTTCTTCTGATTTTCGTCGTATGCATATCAAACTGCAGTATGCACATCCATGATGTAAATGTCTGTAGCACTTTGTCCGGGCCGACGCAAGGCACCCGGAGTCAGGAACCGATCTACAGTATTGGATGAAAATCCGGGCCTCGAATCGAGCAATGATATAGTATAACTTAATGTTCTAGATCATGAAGAATAAAGATATAAATGTTAACATACTGCAGTATCAACCAAGATAAAATATCGGAGACGATAAGCTCCAAGCCGTGCCGACACCCGGAAGTGGGCGAATGACGTTGCATGGATAACTTCCAGGTTGAAATCACTTAGCGTCCCCTCATGACGCCCATTTAATATTTCTTTGTGTTTGCCCAGTCCCGCTAGGACATCAGGTTAACGGCTATTGGATCGCCCTGTAGTCAGCCAGGATCCATCCTGAGCCTTCTACAGTACTGTACATGCACTGTACAGGATTCTTGCGTCGGGTCCCACATTAATGCGTGTCGATCAGTCTGCTCAGGCACTTCGATCGGCCACTATTTATTAAGACTGTCCGGGACCGTGGTTTCCTCTAGCTTCTCGAATCTTTTCGCCTTACAGCCCTGTGGAAAGTGTACCCCGGATTCCGCTATCATTCATGGTCTACCCGATCTAGATCAGGAACACTAGATCAGTGACCCCAGACAAGAAGGTGGCGAGACCCGCCACGCTTCCCCTTCAATTTGCCTCTGGTGATCAGTCTACGTCGGAATCATGGAAGACTACCTGAGTGTCCCCAGACATATGAGAAGTCCCGGGGATGACGGCTTTCGAACCCCCACCATAGAAGACGCCGAGCGGGCTCTCTCCGACATTGGTGAAAGTCCCGGTAGCCGCGTGCGAGAGGCCCATTCGACAGCTCTGCAGGAAGTCCTGCATAGAGCGACGTCTCGGGCAGCCGAGAAATCAAAAGCCGAGGGCAACAAAGAAGCCACTGCCTTTTTCGAGCATGATGGACTAGGAATCGCGGTCAAGAAGAAAAAGCCGCCGAGTCGACTTGGATGGAAGAAACGCATTCGCCATGTTACCTGGGCATACTTTACTCTGACGATGGCCACGGGTGGTTTGGCCAATGTCTTCTACCAAGGTATGTTAATCTATACCTCACGACTGAATCCCGCCATGTTCGCATGACCTAACAATACCAGTCCCATTCCGCTTCAAAGGACTCGACACGATCGGAGTCGTTGTTTTCCTAATTAATATCGCCCTCTACCTCGTTATTTGGGGACTGCTCCTCCTCCGCTTCTACTGTTTCCCCTATACATTGAGAGCGTCCCTGATGCACCCCACGGAATCTCTCTTCGTCCCAGCATCAATAGTCTCCTTCGGCACAATCCTCATCAACATATCCCAATACGGCCCCGAGCACGCAGGCCCGTGGCTGATGCGCGCCGTCGAGGTCTTATTCTGGATTGACGCTACTCTCGCCGTCATGTTCTCCGCTGGCATCTACTTACTCTTATGGTCAACACAAACCTTCACCATTGCCCAGATGACGCCTATTTGGATTTTCCCGGCTTACCCCATGTTGATTATTGGTCCGCATGCTGGTGTATTGAGCTCCAAGTTGGATCCCGCGGCTGCGCTGCAGGTCATCATTGGTGGTACTACTATCCAGGGTGTGGGATTCTTGGTCTCGTTGATGGTTTATTCGGCTTTCATCTATCGGTTGATGACGCAGAAGCTGCCGAGAGAGAATCTTCGTCCCGGCATGTTTGTTTCCGTTGGTCCCAGTGGGTTTACCGTTGCCGGGATCGTCAATATGGCATCTTCGGCGAAGAGGGCGTTCCCTGCTGATTTCATGGGAAATGGTGCTCTTGCTGCGGATGTTATGAAAGTCGTGGTGAATTTTTCGTCTCTATGGCTATGGGGGTATGTACTGTTTATTTCTTCTCCGTTTTTCTTCCTCGGGTGACTTTATACTGACTAGTCATGTTTAGATTGGCTATCTTCTTCTTCATCATTGCCAGTGCTGGTCACTGGTCTACCATCGGACACAAACGCTTGGACTTTTCCATGACCTGGTTCTCGTTCATTTTCCCAAATACTGCTTTAATCACGGCCACCTTTGCTATTGGTGATGCATTCTCCTGCAAGGCTATCAACATTGTTGGATGCGTGGCCATTTTGCCCCTTTTGCTGATGTACTTCTTCGTGTGCTACATGATGGTTCGGGCTATCGTTATGAAACAAATCATGTGGCCTCAGAAGGGTGAGGATCGGGACGAGGGTGGTTTCGAAATCCTTCAAATCAAGTCTGTTGCGGATCCAGATGGAGATACTAGTGAGGAGAGTCCTGCATGAGCATAGCTTGGTGTTCTATTTGTTTTTCTGTTCGCTTTGTTCCATTCCCCCAAAATTCGTGAATATTGAGTTGCTTGCAAGGCTATACCCTAGTTTACATAGCGTGATATATATTTGTTGCATTAAGAACGAAGAATTTCCGAGTTTCCCGAGCTTGTGTTCTGGTTATCTTTAATTTTTCTGGTTGAAACTAAGAGGAACTGCATGATTATCAACATATTATTGCTTTTATTTCGATGCTGAATAGATAAAAGCCTAATATTCGACGCATTTGTAGTTTCATTACAATGATTATAGATTAGGAACTTCAGCCTGGATTATATAAACAGCTCTGGTAGTTCAGTGGTAGAATACTACTCTTCCAAAGTAGTGGCGGGGGTTCGATTCCCTCCCAGTGCATTTCTTTTTCTTTCCTTTTTTTTATTCAACTATTTTGGAGATCTCTTTTCTCTTGGTTTTTCTTCAACACAGGCGATTATCGTAATCATTCAACATCAATGGTGAATAGAATGCCGCTATAGTACTCCCGGACTTTCCCCCTGATACCCATAAAATCACATGTGTTTAGAAGGTAATATTATAAGCTAAGCTCTGGCGTGTATACGACACAGAGAAATCGAGACAATAGAACATAGGTTATATTTTGTAAGATTTGTGCCCCAGCGGCTCAACTTGAATACGATGAATGCGAAGGTAAGGGGTTCGTATACTGCCAATTTAAATTACATGATCATAAAAGTGCCAGCAACCCAGGGAGCTATTCACAACAGACTAATAACTCGACCACCCACAGCCTAGACTAACAAACACCCAATCTCTAAACACGAGCTTGAATCTTCTGCTTCAGCAGCTCCTTCAGAGCGTCAGCATCTGCCGCAAATTTAGAGATACTCTCGCGCAATTTCTCCACAGCCATTGCTTGCTCATTCAAATCAAAGCGGAAGAGTGCCTCATTGCCAAGATAGCTGCGCTTTGGTATATCCAGCTTAGCGGCAGCAAGCGAGTCAAGCTTCTGCGGCACGGCAGCAGTGGAGTTATAGAGATCCTCAAGGAGGCTAGGCGAAATAGTCAAATAGTCGCATCCAGCGAGCTCGATAATCTCCTCGACGTTGCGGAATGAAGCACCCATGACAATTGTCTTGTAGCCATGCTTTTTGTAGTAGTTGAAGATTTCCTGGACAGACTTGACACCGGGATCCTCGGCGGCAGTGTAATCTCGCTTGTGGGCGGCTTTGTACCAATCTAGGATACGGCCCACGAACGGGGAGATTAGGAAGGCGCCAGCTTCGGCGGCGGCTATGGCTTGGACAAGTGAAAACATGAGTGTTAGGTTGCAGTTGATGCCGTGTTTGGATTGGAGGATGCGGACGGCTTGTATGCCTTCCCAGGTTGAGGCGACCTTGATTAAGATGCGATCTTTGGGAATGCCGACCTCCTCGTAGAGCTATGTTTTGTTGTGTTAGTTCACTGTTTGGTCTTCGATGGATAGTTGATCTTCTAGATGTTAGCATACCTTGATAATATGCAGGGCCTTATTGACGGAGGCTTCGGTATCGAAGGAAAATCGAGCGTCGACTTCCGTAGAGACCTTGCCTGGGATTATATTGAGGATCTCTCTGCCAAATTCAACAAGTAGACGATCTAGAGTGGAATCAACTTGATCGTCTAGTGATTTGCCTGATTTCTTTCCGTACTCGACGGCAGAGTCAATCAGTTTTGCATATTCAGGCTTTTTTGAAGCTGCAAGTATCAAAGAGGGGTTTGTTGTGGCATCCTGCGGTTGGTACTTTTCGATGGCTATCATATCGTGTAAGTATTGAAGCTTTGAACGTGATGGCAGGACAGGGGAGAACGGAAGAATGAAGATGGCTTGGACACATACTAGCAAAATCACCTAGAGACAGTTGATCAGCTTACTTCAAGAATGTATTATAGGTTCTTTAATTTACCGGAGTCACAGACTACAACAGAGCCAGTAGCCTTGAGCTGTTGGAGGGCAGATGTCATTGTCGAGAAGTGAGTCTTGCAATAAGTAATAGTTAATTCTTTTTCGAGAGAATTCAAAGGTCTTGGAAATTAGTTGACTGCAGATGATATAAAAAGGCATGAGCAGTAAGACAAAACCTGATGGCAGAGGCAATTAGCAGGATATCGTGTAATGATGCGTCACCAATGGTCTGTCATAGTTGCGTGGCAATCTTGTGGAGGTTGAGGTCAATTGGGGCGATCTGTCGCCACTTATGAATATGTGCGGAGTACTCGAGGCCTACCACTTCCTCGACCGCGGCTCAAGGATATCAGTAAGCGAATTGGATTTGGACGTCTATGCTGCCTTTCATTAGACACGGCACCTTTACAAGTAGCTAACTAATTAACTTCTACCACGACCAGCGTTACCAGACACTGTTCTCGAGCGGTGTATTAAATTTCGAGAGTTATTGAGGATCACTGATATTTGCATTTAACAACGGCATGGCATTTGTTTTATAGTGTTTGTCTGCCAAATTCATCCAGTCCTCATTGCGACTACGCCACGCCCCAAGCCTGCCGCTCTTTGGAAAAAATTATTGACAGGATAGGTGTACTGCACTGTACAAGTAGTCTTGAAACCCAAATTGAACAAACATATAAACGGCGCTCGTTAGAGACACAATATCCCTGCCATTGTCTTCTGACAAGTCCTTGCTTGGTGAGACAATGAAAACCAGGGAATCTAGCTAAGCTTCTAACAGCAACCAGGGCTATTTGATATAACATTAGATCTAATACTTCAAAAAAAGTCCCGCCTTACAGTTGGGCGTAATTATCAGATGAACAAACGGTCTGTGGTTTGCACACTGCTCCTATTTCATGCTTGTGGACCCTAGATTAGATGCCTTCAAGCTTTTCTGAGTCTCTGGACTAATTTCCTTCACCAGGTGCACTCGACTTTGTTGGACTTTAGTTTCTCACGAAGATTCTAGTCTCCAAAGAACCGCTTATGCATACAAGACGTATGTTCGTAGCTATCATCGAAAGAGTCTGAATTCATGAATATTTGAATATTAATATTCCGATGTCCTACTTGTTATAGACTAGCGTATCCTGGCATTCAAGTCGGAGAAATACTGCGTGCGACCGTGTCAATGTGAAGTACATATAACCTTGATCTATAGGTTATAGTATTCAAAGACCGAATGACATCTACTTTCAAAAGAAGAAACAAACTGAATTCGTATCACATTCTAGATAGCACCAGGTAGCAAGAATGATAATAAAAAAAATATTCCAACTGGTGTATATAATAAAAGCGAGATGCAAAAAGAAATGGACTCGCCGGGAATTGAACCCGGGACCTCTCGCACTCTACAGGTCAAAGTGAATTGAACATGCGAAGCGAGCATCATACCCCTAGACCACAAGCCCTGTTTGATGGAATGTTGAGCTTCGGGTTGATTCTTGAAGTTGATGAATATAATCTGAATTCGAAATTGCGGTTAGTTTTACTTCGTTTACAACGATGGTTTTGTCCCATTTGAATTGAATTATACTTCTCATGGGATCAGATAATTATCTCCTTTGTTGAACAAGGCTAAATATTCAATGGGTTTGGGTTTATAAACAGCTTGATGGGCGAGCTAGCTCTTGCTCGCGCTAGATATATATAACTTATCTAGTCTTGCAACATAGATGTAGAATATTCTCTACATCTCTTTCCCTCAAGGGGTACTGATTACCACGGCAAATTACAAATAAAAGGGGAAAAATAACAATAAATAAACGTGCATTGGTAACTAGTCGTACATGCGGGTATCATGAAATAAAAGGTCAAAAGGTCAAATGGCCGAATTGGCTCCCCCCTCAACTCTCCATGTGGTCCGACCGATTCGTCCCATCCCCGCGAAGCGAGGGCGGCGCAGGCCCCCTCAGGACCAAACGTGTGAGAGGGGGAGTAGGTGTCCCGGGCTCCTCTCGCTTTAGAGGAAGGTGCTCAGTGGGCACAGGAGGCACCTCGGGCACGGTAGCCTTGGCAGTTCTTGGGGTTTTGGGACGACCCGATTGCCGGCGAGAAGTGGTACCCTTGGACTTGGGAGTGGACGGCTGACGCGCAGGAGGCGTAGAAGGCAAAGGGGGAGTTGAAGTTTTGGAAGCTCGTGAGCGGAGGCGAGTTGCCGTTAGGAGGTCGTCCGACGGGGTTATGTCTCCTAGATTTCCAGTCTTTCGACGTGAGATGCGAGGCCTTGGAAGCTCTGCTGCGGTGTAGCTTGTTGTGCGGATGTCGGATGGAATGATGAGTTTTGAGAGCTCGTGGGTTGCCACGGAACAGCTGACACGAGGCAAATCATCACCACCAGATTTCTGATCTGAACCAGAGGCCGCAAGTTTATTTGAAGATGCAACAGTGGGACTCAAGAATCCTCGCGGTTTAGCCGGGCCGGCTATAATGCTCTCCAAATCTTTCATACTGGCAGAAGACCACCACTTCGGGTCATAAGAATAAGCAGCACCAGGCCCACTGTCATCATTCAAGCCAGCCAGGTGGGCGAGAACACCAGTGTACAGAGCACGTTGACTGTATCCCCCCTCCAGAACGCTGATAATACGACCATTCACGCCAAGGTCCTTCTCCTGTGCCAAGCGAACAATGTCGGCGGTAAACCTGGCATAGAATTCGGTGGGCACTTTTTTGGACTTGCGGTTCAAAGTTTCGTTCTCCCACTGACTGGCATCGAAACCAGCTGAGATGAAAATCGCACCATTGGGTGGACGGCCTCCGGAGTCCTTTACAACCTGCTTTGAGAATCGACGCAAGAAAGAGCGGGTCTTGGTAATCAACATCGAGTATTTACTTTCGTACAATTCCCAAAACTCTGATTCCTCCTTCCAATCGTCCAAGTGGACATTCCAGATGGACCTGTCGGCCGTTTCAATGCAAGTGCTTGCACCGGTAGTCTTCGCAAGGTTGCCATCTTCGCAAGGGAAGGATTCAATATCATGAAGACTGAGATAGCTGATGGGTGTTGCTTCGTATGGCGAAAGAGGCGGAGGTCCTCTTCTTTTGCTGTCATTTGCTGCTGACCTTTTCGATCTGTGCTCCTGCTGCCGGGTGCAGTGGTTCCAGACAATGTCCTGAGAGCCATCCCCGTGGTGAAGGTCGAAATCGATTATCGCAGCATGGGTGAGTCCGTAATTCTTGACTGCATGAGAGATTCCGACATGAACATTGTTGATCCAGCAAAATCCAGAGGGCCAGTCTGAGGTACAGTGATGACCAGGGGGTCTAATGCAGACGAAAGCTCGCTCCACTGGACCAGGTCCAAGGACGGCATCGACCCCATCGCAGACTCCACCCAGTGCACCTTGAATTGCGTTCAGGGACTCCGGGCCGAGGTAAAGATCACCAGCGTGTAGTTCGTCACCCTTTGGGACAACCTTCTCATTTTGAACGGTGTAAGATCGGGCAAGTTCGTCGCCAGCCATGGCAAGTTTGGACTCGGCACGGTTGCAAATGTCCTTGAACTCAGACATCCACGAGAAACCGTGCACTTCTGTAACGCTTGGACTTTGAATGGACAACTTGCGATCTGTCTTGCGGATATTAAACGGCACAGAAAGGGTAGCGACGTCAATTTTTGGACTGGGGGCATATCGTCCCCCCTCATATCGTTGACCGAGGCGAACATATGCCGCCGCGATACCAAGAGCACTGGAGCGAAGCCGCTCCGGTCTTTCCATGATAGTTTGTAAGTACGATTCTGGCCATCCGAGGCGAGAAAAAAGGTGTCCATAACATGCATCATGGACCAGTGCGACTGTTTTGGTGGTGATGTCAGTGGATTGGTGCAAGGCCCATTCTTTTGCAAACATATCTGCCGCAATAGACGAAGCCGTTGGAGCTGATGGCTCCATGTTAGGATCAAAGGTAAGCGCCTGTGGGAGCATGTTGGGTGGTGAGGTGGTCACAGGTGACGCCGCAAGGTTGACTGAACTGCGGCGAGGGGTATGCGGAGCCGGCGATGAGGTCTTGAAAGGCTGTGAGACTGTGCGCAAAGAAGCAGCCGACTTGCGCTTTTGTAAAGCAGGAACAGCTATAGGCTTGCGATATTGTTCTTGAGGAGGAACAGCATCAGTACGAACAAAGCCTGCGCCTGTAGTTTGCGAAGGTTGGGGTCGTTGCTCGAGCGAGACATCGTGGGCAGATAAGACAGGCGAAGTTGGCAACGGGGTGGTGATGGCTGTCGAGAGAGTCATGCGATTCAGGCCATCTATCAATTCACAATGGGATTCTATTGAGGCTCCATTGTTGACCCCATCTCCGAATGGAGGCGGGTCCTTGGGCGGGTCCATTCTGAGACGCGCCAACGGCAGATCTCAGTCCCTGCAGGTATGGTCAAGGTGTACGATGGTAGATATTAGAAATAAAGCAAGACGGGCGATACGCGAGACGATACGCTTGATCGAAGGAGGCGGTTGAAGAAAGGAAGAAAGGGAGTGGGGGAGATTCACATGTTTTGGTTCAGATGCGGCAGGAGGTCAGCCGATCGCCGAACTACATTCTTCAACGGCTGAGAGTTTAGATGTCTTACAGGGTTATGTGGTATCTGTGTGTACTATGTAGGCTATAAGAATGTTCTTGCTACCAGGATCAGTACGATATCAGTACAGAAATAAAAACAAAACATCAGTTCGAAGCCCAGGAAGAAGACCAGTACGACAATGCGTACAATATCAATAGATCTGATCAGAAAGACAATAAGGAATATATTCAGTCCATCTACTATCACCTATTTTTATTGGCCCAGTTTAACAATAGTCCCAATAGCAACAACAGTACCACCAACTTCAAGATCAAGGAATCGGAAATAAAGAATGAGAATCCCATCCCAGAAGGACATTAAACTACCGTTCCATTTTGTCTAAAGAACACCTGGTAAAATAATCAACAAAAAGAAGATAAAAATGAGATCAAAAAACAGATCAAATCAAAGCCTCATATAAATCATCACTCCGAAAAAGCGCCATACCCTCCAGGCCTTGAAACCCCATTATCCAGAACCCAACAAAGAAACCACCAAACACCAAAGCTAGAAGAATATGCAAAGAAGAACAGACGACCTTATTACTCAGCTCCATGCTCAATGAGATCGCAGTCCCCGCCATTGATACCACTGGAACCAGCGTCGTCCAAAAGAAGTCTTCTCATTTATAGAGTCCTGGGACTGGCGCCGTGTCTTGTTCTCCTCCTTGCGTGTCTGTTTCTCAGACTTGAAGCCCTTTGTAGCATGGCTATTGCAGAAACAGTGCATATGGACTGTTTCAATGCTCACACCTGGACAGCTGTTGCGTCTGTGGCCGGAGCATACGCTTTGGCCGGCGTCCTCTTCGCACTGGCACCAGTCGTAGAATGTGAAGTATTGGCGACACATTGTGAATGTTTTGTATTGGGTTTAGCTGTTCCTTTTGATAGATGTTGTTTGGGAGTACTGCTTCTCCGGATGTGTTTGCACGAGATGTCGATGTAGATGTCGATGTAGAATGGAAATGCCGGATGCCCCGGAGCGTGATATTGTACTGGATTCGAGAAATGAGTCGAGTACTTCAACTATGCCGTCAAAGATGTAGATGTGGATGAGTGAATGCCAATGCAAATACCATCTATCGAGCAATGGCTGTAGTTCGGTGATATTTCGGTATTGGATCTGCTTGGTAGAAAGCCAGGAGATTGCAGCAAGAATATAGGATGAGAATGGCTCGTATTCAGTCCAGCTGAGTAGAGATGACCAGACGAGAAAAAGATGAGGAAGTGCACAGAAAATTAGGCGAGAGGTAAGTGGTTAGCTTAAGTTCTAGATCGGATCTAAGCTATGTAACCCGGATGTGGACTGTCATGATGAGTGAACCCAGGCCACGAATGGAACCATGGCTATTGATTGGACTGACGTCAAAGAAATCCTTTAATTCTCTACCACTTTATTCCCCGAGCTTACTATTGGGACCATGCAGAGGGCTGCATCTAACCCCATCCGTCGGCCAATAGGTTACATCTGACACCGCGAGCCAGGTCGTATTTGGACCGGCGCGAACTTTTCCGCACTATTTTTGAAAGGCATTAGGCATCTCAGTTAATGGTGCTGCTTGGCAAGCGCTTTGATGGGGCTGTCAATGGAATGGAAAATGGCCTTGTGTCTTGGCCGACAAAGGCAGGCCAACAAGCATGACTGGTAACATCAGAAAATCGCAGGCGCGTATTGTTTCAACGGGTTCAACAAGATCCTAAATAAGGTCTGCAGAAACCTATCAAACCATCCAATGGGCAAACTTTAAAAATAGAGAGCCCAGTTTGAAACCCACGCCCTGAAAGGCTGAGACGAACTCCGCCTAGTGCCGGGCTCCATCAGATTTGCTCCAAAGGAGCTCTTTTCCGAGCCTGCAGATCAGCGATTGGATCTCTACCTGTCAGACTTGCCGCCAGGATCCCGGGATAGCCTGCCGTGTATTAGCGCCCAACTGCGAAGTTGCAGCACGGGATTTTAACCTGGAAAAGATCGTAATGATCGGATGATCGGCTGATCTCTGATCGATGATCTCACCGGAATCGAAGATGCAAACGGAAAAGGCGAACAGCTGAGATCCGCGGAATGATCACGTGAGCAACGGCCAGCCCCGGGATGCCTGAGGAAGCAACTGTATGCAACAGCTCCGGATTGGATGTTTTCAAGTTGCATACACACTCGTGGACTGGACCTAAACACACAAACAAACCGTCCACTTACTCCGCACACAACATAATCCAACCAGCAATTCCCTCCTCACCCGAAAATTGAATTTGAAACTGAAACTGAAATCAAAACTGAAATGCCAACCGAAATCCCAATGGCAACACCAGCCCGCGCAAGCACCCTCCTCGCAAACCTAAGCAGCGTCACCGCTCGAATCAGCGCGGCAAGCAGCAAATCCGCCAATGCCAGCAAAAAGCCCCGCCTGGTAGCCGTCAGCAAGCTCAAACCGGCCTCGGACGCGCTGGCCCTGCACCAAGCACCGGCGCCCAACTCGCAAGCGCACTTCGGCGAAAACTATATCCAAGAGCTCCTTGAGAAATCACGCCTCCTACCCCCGACCATCAAATGGCACTTCATCGGTGGGCTGCAGAGCAACAAGTGCGTGACGCTTGCGCGGGACGTGCGGGGTTTATGGGCGGTTGAGAGTGTTGATTCGGAGAAGAAGGCGAGTTTGTTGGATAAGGGGTGGGGGGCGAGGGATTTGGAGGCTGTGGGCGGGCGGCATGAGTATGTTGATGGGGATGGGGAGGGGGGTGAGGATGGTAGGCTGCGGGTTTATGTGCAGGTGAATACCTCTGGGGAGGAGAATAAGGCTGGGGTTGAGCCGGTGGCGGCGGCGGAGTTGTGTCGCTTTATTCGGGAGAAGTGTGCTCGGTTGAGGTTGATGGGGGTCATGACTATTGGGGCGATTGCGAGGTCGAGGGAGACGACGGCCGAGAATGAGAATGAGGATTTTGTTTGTTTGCGCGAGACGAGGGATCGGATTGTCTCGGAGCTTGGGTTGACTGGGAGTGAGGCGGAGTTGGAGCTTAGTATGGGCATGAGTTCGGATTTCGAGGGCGCTATTGCTTTGGGGAGTGATCAGGTTAGGGTTGGGACTACGATCTTTGGGGATCGGCCGCCTAAGGCTGAGGCTAGGGTTGTTTGAGGTTGCTGTTGGGGGTTTATGAGATATGATTTTATTTTCTTGTTTGTTGCATGATATCGAGGGTCATTAAATGCATAGGTATGAAGGCTTTGTTTCTGTACGGTTTACTTGATCCGGTGGGATTGATAAGGGATGGAGTATACAAGAAGAACGAGATCCAATGAAGAACGCTCGCTGGTATTTGACCGGTGAATCCAATTAGAGATATACATGAATAGCTCAAACTCAGCCAGCCATAGATGAAAATGCATTAGTCGAACTCACTCCCTCTTATGCCCTGCGCCAACCTCTGTTCCATCTGTCTCACCAGTGACTGTGGGACCTGCTCCTGAGTAGCACGGACCGTGACACGATACATCTGAGAAAGAGTTAGCAAGATGGTCTACTTGAGACAAGGAAGGACAAGGGAATTTAATACATACCGACTTCTCATAGTTGGGCTCCAGCCGCAGCAGACAACCTGTCTTACCACCCTCGAATTGGTAGACCGAACATCCGACAATATTGTGAGGGTTTGGATCGACTCCGTCCAAGATCTTGAACGAGAAGCCTTCGACAACCCGGCGAGTGAAGGCCTCGTTGACAGACTTGTTCTTGCCGTTCAGACCAAAGGTCTTCTGGGACTCTAGCGGGGCGCCGCCAATCTGGCGCCAGCGCTTGAAGAATTCTTCGGCTGACAGTGCTGACGATTCCATGTAACGATGCATCAGAACTGGCAGTTGGAGTGTGTACGCTTGCAGTGCACCGGCTAGGTATGAAATACGGATTGTAGGCGCAGCCGTGAATGGACCGTGTGCAATACAGAACAGAGTCAGCTGTGTCTGCCCAGAAGCTGCCACTGTTGGCTCGGGCAGGTTCTTGGTGTCGACCTTCAGATTGGGAGAGGCAGGGTTGTCGACAGTGGTCGTGAGAGACCCTATAGGGTATGTGGACTTGTTTGAGATGTAGAGTTTCACTACACCCATGGGACCACGGTACTCTGACCGCAGTCCGACCTGGATCTGGGCATCTTCGAAGAGAACACCCTCGCCGGAAAAGAACAGACGGTTGTAGCCAATGTCCCAATCGGGGGTTAGATGAGCGGCACTGGCCATATTTGGTGCAGGGCCCGAAGGACCACTGAGATCCAGGCCTGCCAGGTCGCTTGACAATGAACTTGCACCAGTCGGTGTGGTGGGAGCACTACCAGACCCGGTGCGTGTGCCATGGACGATAGTTGTGAAGGTGCGTTTAAGACCGGTGTTCTGCGCCAGGAGCATTTCCTGTTTGTCGGCATTGGCATCCTTACCGCCGATAACCCAAGCCTTCCTTTCACTAGCACCGGCTGTCTTCTGATGCAGCCGAGAGAGTAGAATGGAAGCTCGCTCAGAGAAGGGAGGCATCTCATCGCAGACTGTTCGGAGCAGATCATCTGTAGGAAGAGTCGCCAGCGACAGGTATTCAAATGCTCGCTGTTGCAATTCAGAATCAGGCGAGTGACTATACAGGCGGAAGATTTGCAAAAGCTGAGGTTTGATCTCAGGGAACAGGTTCACAAACTTGACAAAAGACGACAGGATCATGGCCCGCGCATTGTCAGAGCTGGAGAACATCTTGGCCTGTAGAGCCATGAACTGTTCAATGGGGCTTGAGCCTGCATTTTCGGCGATGAGATGGCCGAACTCGCCCAAGACGTAGCAGCCAATCTTTACCAGACTTTCGTGGCAATCGCTCTTCATATAGTTGAGGAGAGTGTGTGCAGCGTAGGCTTGTAATTCTTCGTTGTTGGTCACAATTTGAATCACTCGTTGCCACACTTCGTCGTTGACATGTTCACCTGCCAGTGAAAGCAGCTTCAATGTCATATCGATGTACCACTGGGCATCGGAGGCGTATTTCTCGGTAAGAATGGCCACCTTCAATACCATTTCCTCTCGAATAGCGTAGTCTGCAGTCTGCAAGTATCGCAAGAGTTCATTGACAATCGGGCCGGCATTGGTGGTATCACACATGCTGTACAACAGATCCAATCCTTTACGCCGGACACTGATATCACGGTCTCGCAGTGAGCCCAAGATAATGTTCTGATGCTTCTTAATCGGGTCAAGTGTTTCAGCTCGAGCAGCAAAGTGACTCAAAGCGTCCAGACCAAGGTATCGAACGTTGGTCTCGCGAGACTGAATGTATTTGCCCAGACGGGAGGAGATTTGCAACATAAGGTTGTGCTCGGAGTCGAGATGAATGAGGAGGTTGATGGCTTCGAAGAGAATTGCATTCTGAGCATTGTTCTGCTGGACATTCTTGGGTGTTTCCATTGCAGCTTGCATCATCTGAGATAGAGACTCTCGAATGATCTGGCGAACGTGACTGTCCTCTGTTATAATGGGTTAGAAACCGATCAACATTAATAATTCGGCTGGTCTTACCTGATGGAGGATAGTACTGCAACAGGCGCAGGAACTTGACCTGAATCCATGGGCATGGAACCCGGTAGTAGAGGTAATCCGGGGCAATGTCATTATCAACCACAATTCTCTTCAATCGTTGGGCAGCCTTGACATAACAGCCCTTGTATTCCTCCGGCATATCCTGTGCCAACGCCATAACCAAAGAGGTGACCGAGAGAGTAACACCCATATCAGGATCATCCATAATGGAGATGATTCTCTCAGCCCATTCATTCCGCACAATACCGGGATACTTGCGGTACAACCGGAGCAACGTTAAAGCAGCCTTCTTCTTAACAAAGGCCTTGGAAGTCCTGCAAAAAAAAAAAAAAAAAAAGACAGTCAACAACAAATCCAACCAAATCTCAAACCATAGACACTCACGGCGAAATCAAAAGCCTGTGGACCTCAGACCCAAGCGCCTCTCCCAACTCCTTTCCACCAACATTAGCAACAGCATGCAAAGCCAAGCAGTTATTCAATTCATGGTGATCCAGCAGATCCTTCCGAATACTGTTAACAACAAGATGAAGCAGCTCATGCTCCTCATGCAAGAACAACGTAACAGCCAAATACCCAATCTGCTTCTCCGAGTACTTAGTCGAGGAAATCAGATTCACCGCCTCGAGATGACCGAAATCAACATCATAGCCCTGGATGTAGACATAGAGCAATTTGCAGACGTATTTCTTCTTCTGGTAGCCGTTCAAATTGCCCGACTTGAATTTCTGTCGGATATTGGCCAGCTCCTTGTTCACGCGCTTTTCTTCGAGTTCGCGCGCTCGGGCATTGCGCAGGTCCGCGATGAACTGGACCAGTCCTCGCATCGACGACATGTTTGCGATTGCGATTGAGATTGCAGTTGTGTTTGGGTTTGTGTTTCTTGTAGCTATTAGACCGTCTCTCGGTAGGGATAGGTACACGAGTTCGACCGTGTTCAGACGGTATGGCGGGGTTCAAAATTGAGGGTCGCCCTCGCATGCCACTGCCACGCGAGATTATCGGTTATCACCTCAGGGGGTTCGCGATCGGAGGCTGTACGTCATACAACCATGTCCCGTTTATGAAGGCAGTTCGGCTAATGGGCATTGGCCATGCAGGTGATTTGGGAGGGAATCAGGCGGGCTCTCGTTGGAGCTGCGTGGGAAACAGGGGGTTGAGTATATGGGGAAGGTTCCTGGGATGCTGGTCAGCCACTGGGACGCGGGACATCGGATTTGGGGATCACGTACAAGACAACCAGACTAATGACGCCAGGAGAAAACGGCAGAGCTGCAGAGGTGTTGAGTCCATCCCCATAAACTTGTCTTTCCTGGGTCACTTCCGCTGTCGATCAGCCAGGGTTCCGCTGTGGCGGTGTCTTCGGAACAATGTTTGGGCGGTGGCTGTGCGATATACTTTATTATCTTTTACTTCAAGTTGGATGTGAGGTTATAAGTAAAGTCAAGTTAGCAAGATAGTTATGACCTATTGCAGCCTATCTCTATTCATCTGAAGAAGCATGCTGCATAAGCACATTCCGATTTCAATCCCACCCAGAACCCTCGAAAAAGCAATTTCATCTCCAAGTCCTACACTACAATCCTACAATCCTACGATCCCTACACATACTATACTCTCTCTACATCTACCAAAAGATTCAAAAAAAAAGGCCAATAATAAAAAAATTAATCTGATTCATATCTCATTCATAACAAACCCAAAGCAAACCACAAACGGTATGTATGCCCAAGCCCAAACTCCACCTAACCCGCCAAAGCAGAGAAAGGAAATGCAACTCGACAGAGCAAAGAAAGGCACCCGATGGATGACTTCACCCAAATCAATTCAGGTCATCTAAGAGCGGGTAGTGAAGTCAACCTCAAGGGCGGACTCAATACCAGCGGCCTTCTCGCAAGTGCAGGAAGCTATAAGAGGAATGTTAGAAACTCTGTTTTCATATATCCATATCCATATCCATATTATGATGGTAGGACTTAGGAGGGGAAGGACAAAACATACCCTGAGGACGGCTACCACAGGCACAAGTCTCGCCGGAGATGGCTGAGTTCTCGCTGGTGGAGCGCTCGCAGGTGCACTGGCCAGCGGGGCGGGCGCCTATTCGTCAATGTTAGTTTCTCGGTCTCTGCAGGGTCATTTATAGAGTACAGTAGAGTACTATAGGGTTGCTTAAGGTGAGGTGGATGACTTACGGCATGAGCAGCGGGGACCGGAGACGGCGTTCTCGGAGGATGCCTTGTTGCAGCTGCAGTGGAGGGCGCTCTGCTGGCCGCAGGAGCACTTGGCTTGAGCGGCGCAGACGCAGTTGCCGTCCTGGGTGGTCTTGCAGCAAGTAGTGGCGGGGTGGACCATGTTGGCGGTTTTGATAGATTGGTGGAGTGGTGGCTTGGAGAAGTTGATGAAGTGGAATTGAGAGGGATAGAGTTGAAGACTGCGGAAGATCTGAGGCTTTGAGATGATGAGAAAGGAAAAAGAAGATCCGTCCTGCTGCTCTTTTATTTATACTTGGCTGGGACTTGCTGGATGCGTCACTGTCGCGATGATGATTGGCAATGTGTGGACGCTGATTGGTCGAGATGGGTGGAGTCACGTGGTCATGGATGGTCTTTCGGGAGCTGCTGGTTGGCTGCTCGTCCAGGATATCAAATGCTTGCCACTTGAGTGGCCAGAGACGGAGTGGCCTGACGGTGGATGGGTTCAGGCAAGAGTAGATGATTACTTTTGTCTGAGCTCTGATTTGATGAGGCGGATATGGATGACCCAGGCTGGTTTTGGTGCTGGTGTTGGTTTTGGTTTTGGCTTTGTGACTCGTACTCGGACTCGGACTCTGGTGCTTTTGCCAGGTTTATGCAAGCAAGGGAACTATGATTTAGGTGCGTCGGGAGCTCTGACCACAACGAGCTAAGATTCTAAGCTAATAACCACTCGGAAATTGCATTTCATTTGTCTTGTCATCTGTCATTTGCCACGAGATAGGGTGTTGGAATAGGGGGATAGGGGGGAGTGAACAGGTGGTCAATTGATTTTTTTTTTTCTCTTTCAATCTCCCTCATCTAGTCACTAGTCTCGGTGGTGTCAGGCAAGCTTTGTAGTAAGTTAATATCGGGAAATGATCAGGGTTATACTCCATGGACTCCACCCAATCATACCATACTCAACAACCCCAATAGTACAGTAACGTTAATAGTGGAACCACAAAATTGACATATATGAGAATCCCCCCAAAATAATAAAAAATAAAAATAAAAGAAAGGTAATGATGCAGTGAAAGCAGATAATGATAGTATAAACACACGGAACAGAAGAACCCCCAAAAGTAAAACCCGTATACCAAAGCCAGAAACGCTGGGAAAATGATTAATGATTAAAAGCACGCTGATATAGATCAAGGATCCTTGGTTAACCCAGCTAACCAGTTAACCGGAACATGGAGGTGGAGATGGAGATGGAGATGGCGAGACATGACAGGAGTGTAATGCAGTCGATGTCGATGTTGAAAAATGTGGTGGATGATTGGAAAAAAAAGGAAATAGTGCGAGAGAATAGAGTGAGGGACCAGCAGACAGGGCTGGCGGCCATTTTTTGAGCTCGTAACACCTGTTGCTTCCCTCACTGCTGAATATAGTTAGGGTAGTTGTAAGAGGAGTTGCCGAATTTGTTTCTCAGCGAATCCAGAGTCGGCGTTTGCATCTGATCATGTCCAGGGCCAGACTCGGACGGGAAAGAGGTCGGAAGGCTCATATTTGGGGTGTTGGCTTGTGTGTAGGGAATGCCCGAGGATGTCTCGTATGGGTAGGATCGGTACTCCTGGGGAGCTGAGACTGGGATGTTTTGCATGGTGGACATTGGCCGTCCTTGTGATGGTAGCTGGGAGCCCATGCCCAGCTGGTAATTTTGCGGCTGTGAGCCTATTTCAAAGGGTCTTGTTAGTATTGCTTCTCGTGCTGGACGGGCGTTCCTGGCGGAGAACTTACCGAGATTGTTCATGTCGTATGTCATAGGTGCTCCCTGTGAATCAGTCGGAGACACCGAACCTTCGAAAGTTTGGTGCTGGTCATAAGATGTAGTCATGCCAGGGTGTCGTGGCATGGAATATTCTATGGGACGTCTCATATAAGGCAGACCGGGCTGATTTGTCTGAGGTCCTGCAAATCGGTTGGGCATCTGATATGCGTAAGGAGAAGGATGGGCTGAAGCGTCGGAGAGGCTGCTTGATCTGGTGGCTTGGTAATCGGTGCGAATGGTTCTATGTAAATCGTTCATGGAGGCAGAAGCTGCAGGACGGAACATCATGTTCGACTGTGCCAGACCATCGCTTCGTCCAGCGGAGGACATGTAGGTTCCTGCGGTCGACGCCGAGCTGAGAGGCGAAACGAGGTACTCTTCGTCATTTGGTCGCGGGAAGCATTCAGTACGCAGTGTTCTCAAGGCCCCGAAATCCGGATTGGGGGCCGCGTAGCCTTGTGGAGATGCTACTGGCGTGACACCCGTTGATTTGCCTTCAAAAGGTGTGCGAAGGACTTTGGTGGTATCGAAGTCGTCAGGGAGGGCCCGGGATTTAAGCATTCTCTCGCGATCATTCGTGGTCAGACGCTTGAGCTTTGCTCGTCTGCAGATGTGTCACGTTAACAACGAGCCGAGTAGGAGAACTTCTAGTGCAAATCCTACCTATTCTGAAACCAGACTTGGACTTGACGAGGAGTCAACCCAGGAATCTCCCTCGAAAGACGCTCTCGATGAGCAGCATCTGGGTGTGCCTGGCGAGTGAACTCGCTCATCAGGAACCGTGTTTGGTTATGTGTTAAACTAAGTCCTGGTCAGCCCTCGGATCTGGGTAACTTGATCTCCAAAGTCTCCTACCGGAACCGCTTCATCTTCTTCTTCTCCAAGGACGGCGATCTGTTATTGTCGTCGCTCCCCATCATATCCTTATCATCATCAGGACTAATCGTCTCCTCTCGGTCGTGATCTTCCGGGTGATCATGTCCAAACGAAGAACCAGCCGTCTCCCCAACATGTCCGGGCCCGACCAGGGGCTGAGCAGACGAAAAGGGGTGCTGGTTGATGCTGGGAATCTCCAGCTTGACCCGCGGTAGCATGTCCTGTTTCGCGGCTTCTAGTCTGTGGTTGACCTTATCTCGTGAGATTTCTCCCGCGTACACCGGACCAGACATGCCCATAGACTGTGACGGGGTATTCAAGGCATTCTCAGCCTTGAAGCCAGCCGGTTGCATCTCTGCAGGTCGTCCAGAAACAAAAGACGCCGTACTGGGAACACCGGGCTCCTTCTCCCTCAGAGAATAATGGGGGGAGATCATCCTTCCTAGAGAGAGTCTCTCACTGTTCCGGGACAGATGAGATGAGACTGCAGACAGAGGCGAAGGAACTGGCGTAGATAAGGCAGGCAACCAAAGGCAAGGACCGCCGACTGACATGATAAAATGGACTCCTTGACCACGAAGATTTTCCAGGATCTCAAGGCAAAGGATCAGCACTTCGGAGAAAACCTGGGTAATCAAAAAAAGGTACTAATAACGGCCCTTAGATGAGACTGGTGGGTCTGATCGAGATACCGGGGCGCTTGCGTAAAGAAAGAGTTTCTTCAATTAAACAGGATAAAGGGTGATGCGTGTTCCAGACTATACTTCCGGAGAAGAGAAATAGAAAGAGAGAGAGAGAAATAGAGAGAGAGAGAGAGAGAGAAAGAGAAAGAGAGGGAGAGAGGGGGATGATGGGCGCCAACTGATGTGTGTCAGAAGAACCGGTGTGTGCAGCCAGTCCAGAAGAGAAAGAAAAGGCCAGGGATTTTGAAGTTGAGATTCAAAGAAGCAGCATCCAGGAGAAGTAGTACCTGGAAAGGCGAAAGGTTGGGAGATATCCCAAACGTGAGGAGGCAAAATCCAAGGCTCAATAGCCAAGCGAGGACAAGGGCGGAGGTAGTGGAAATAGGTGTCGGGATAGGATATTAAACGGACGCCCGCTATGCCCCCAGGGTCCACAAGTATAGTCACAGGGCCCGGGAAACGACCAGTATGCAGAATACCGGCTTTCTTTCCTATGGCGATATAGCCAGTATGCTTAGAGCGTAGACAGATAGAACTAGGTCGATCCCCAACGGTCGTCACGATCCAGAGCCACAAGGGTCACAAAAACAGGGAAATGCACCAGGTACAACTACCCAAGGATCATTGAAAGAGTGGGGAAAAAAAGTGAAAGGCAAAGAGAAAGAGAGAGAGAGAAGAGAGTACATGTGTTAAGAGAGACAGATGCGATCAACCCGATCTATTTACTGAAGATCCCACACCGAACGGTCAATAGCGCGGTCACCGTATCAAACACTAGTTACAGATGTGTAAAGAAATGGTACATAAAACAGCTAGTAGTATAACTAAAAGGATCGTCTTCGGAGAATTAACTCATAGCCTCAAATCCAATACCCATAGTCGATCTAAAGGCTTTTTCTAGAAGCTTAGTGACGAAAAAAAAGAAAAAAGGTCGAAAAAGAAAAAGAAGGTGATTAAAAGGATCAAATGATACCAAGTACGGGGTAAGACTGGAGTCATACCCAAGAGTCAGAGCCCACCTCTCTCCATAAAAGCCACGGCCGAATCTCCCAGGACGCATGGATCTGTGGCAAATCGTCTCTGCCCCGAGCTGAAGCGGCCTGGAAACATCCGCAATGGTAGCTTAGACAAGTCTAGAAGGGGGACAAAAAGTATGGGTCCAGCGGAGTTCGACGGCGAGGAGAGTGAGAAACAGCCTCCTTTATATAGTTATTCACATCTCTACTGCCGGCATGATTACATGGATTGCCGCAAAGTATCAAAGTATCGAAGTATAAGGAATTGGATCTCCCGGATCTAGAGAAAAGAGCCCAAAAGAAAGAAAAAAGAAAAAGAAAAAGAAAAAGAAAAAAGAAGAAAAAGAAAAAAAGGACCACCATCCAAACAGCCGAACAAGACTTGCATGGGTCATCGACCAACCGTAGCGTCAAGACCCTTGCTCGGCCGGAACTCGCAGGCCATGTGGGAAGTATGTGGCGTTCTGGCTCCATAAGCGGCAGCCTAAGCCGGACCCTCGTTATCGATCCAGAGATGACCAGCCACTCAGCATGCTGCCCGCCACACTCCATCGTGAATGGGTAAAGGAAGAGGTCAAGTGGAGTTACCGAATTGCAATTCAAAACAAAAAGAAAAAAGAAAAAAGAAAAAAGTAAAAAAAAGGAAAATTGCATTGTTGCATGAGTGAGAGAGAGCCTCATTGGCGAATGTCCTGAAACGGGTCCAAGTTCCAGTTCCATCTTAGTACAAGTAGGTGGAGAGAGAGAGAGGGGGGGGGCCGAAGTATACAGTATACAGTACTCCGTACATTGCCCTGGACTCCGTTTCTAGGGCTAACTGATCTTGTTCACCCTTGACTCAACCATAGTCCCAGGCGAAAAAGAAACCATGCAAAAGAAGACAACGGCGACGGGAAAGACCACCGGGCGACCCATGCGCAACAGGGGAAAATCATCCGTTAAACCCGTTAGAGAGGGGCAATGGCAAAGGTTGACCATGGCTCGGTAGATGTCTCCTGAAATCTCCACCTGAAACAATTCGGGTCGCAGGGGAAATGAGAAAATAGACGAACGAGAGTGGAATCGGATGTACCGTGGATATTCGCCTTTGCTCCCCAAGACTCCGGCTTTTCTTTTTTGGGGATATATTTCTTGTGTGATCGTCCATCCCATCATACCATCATACCATACCACTGATACCAGGGATACCAGGGATACCAGCAATACCAGTGGAGTGATCTCATGGTTCGTGCTTCGTATATCGTATAAATCGTGTGTGGAGAGCAGCAGCCTTGATGGGTCTCGGAGGAGAAAACTCGGAACCGTTGGACTTCGATCCCGAATCAGCGTCCACAGAGCGCATCGCTACGGCCGAAGCGGTGACGATCGCTTCATCATCTCGTTTCCCTGCCTTGGGTTGTCTGCCAGGTTCTTCATTTTCCTTTCCTGGAATATGGTCAAAACTCTGGTCTGGGAAATGAGATCACGTCAAAACAGACCGCCACGCGGAACTATCCGCTTCCAGCACAGTCCAGAGAGAGTCCAGACAGTCCAGACAGCTCAGATACCACGTCTGGGGAAAGGGCAGATCGAGAATCGAAAAGGTAACTTTAATTTCCTCTGGTGCTGACACGTTTGGGTGACGCAAGCCGATCTCTTGGCTTTTTGGGGTCCTTGTTTTTGTTTTGTTGTTTTTTTTTTTTTTTTTTTAAAAATGAGACTGTATTTCGAACCTTTGATATGTGTGAAGTAGCCCTAGAGGCGTTCGATGGCAGACTCAATTGCGGCAAAATGGGCCGGTGCTAAGTAGGACAGGAAACTCAACTCGGGTTAGATAAGTGAAGCATTGGATCTTGTTAGTTCGTATTCGACGCCATCATAGAGCCGTATTGCTATTGCTATGGCTATTACTTGGGCTTGTTGTTTCTGCGTGTGCTAGTGCTTGTGCTTGTGCTTGTAGATAGCTTTGTCCAGTCAGATTCTTCCCCTCAGCGGGTCAAACCCTACATCCATGGACCTACGAATGGACCAGCAACCGACCTGGCTAAGAATTCAGTGTCAGTTGTCTTTCCATGGTTAATATCTGCCCGAATCCGGAACATCTTGCGAAATCAGCACTCTTCCCCGGTGGACCATTTTCCAGTGAGTACTGTACAGTAACTTGCCCAATGTACTCCGTACTCCGTAGCTTTCTAAGACATGCCAGATCGAACAGATAAAATCCCAATTCCTCCAGCGGGCTCCACCGTGGAGACTAAACTCAACGCTTGTGTCTGATTGTGAAGTAGCATGTGCTTTTGTAGACCTTTAGTGTCTGGTAGTGTCTGTAGTCGCTGCACTGTCTACCGTTCCTGAGGCTGTCTGCGTCTGCATGTACAGTAACTTCCAGGCCCGAGCATCAAACTCCAAACTCCCATCGACCCAATTTCTCCAGCTGCAGACTGCCTCACTGATGCGCAGGATCCTTTCTGCCGAAATTTACCCCCAGCCCAGCCCAGGAGGGGGGTCCAAATTATGAGCCATGTGTCCACTTCCGGAACTAACGGGCTTCGATGGATTTTTCTAAACTTCCTAAACTCGTGGGCTCCTGTTTTGTCTCTCTATTTTTCAGGTCTAGTGTTGTTTTTTTGTCTTTCCACCATTTTAGTTTTTTTTTTTATCTTAGTTCTTTTTTAATTATTTTTCGGTATTTTCTACTTACAGTATGGGGGGAAGGGGGTTTGTTTTTCTGTTTCTTTTCCGCCAGGCACCGACTTTACTCGAACACCGAAGCCACTAAATCTTGCTTAGCCTGCTAAGTGAAACATGGCTGTGACGGTACCGGCGGCCCAACCATGCCACTGGCAATTCCTCCGGAGATGGAATATTCTGGATGGACATCTATCAACCCGGAATTATTGGATGGGGGTGAACACGGTGGCTCTCTAGTGATACTACATCATGCAGGAACCTTTCCCAGGAAATTCATTTCTATTAGAGTTGCCGATCAGCTAAAGAATCTTGGTCTCCACGTAGCTAATTCTTCCAGATGTGGTCTTTGGTCTCTTTGGCCCCCAAAATCCAGCGTCTTGGGTACGGGTAAACAGGCGGAAGTACAGGTACAGGTACTGTATGAAGATTCATTCTTTCTGCTAGTGGCCGGGGTTCCGGCCTAAGATGCCCACTTTTCTCTTTCCCCCGTTGGCCCCACGGAAATGTCGGACTCGGATCGAAAGATGCCGCCGTGCCGCCGGGCATCTGATGTTCGGTTTTGATCAGTTTCTGCCCCGGTATTCGTATTCAAAATAGGGGGTATTGGGATGGCGAGGACCTTGCCAAAAGAAAAAAAAAAGGGGCTCTCTTGAGTCTTTCAATGCATCCGGTGAGTATTGGGGACCAGAATAAACGGTCAGGTTGCATTGGCGTCCCGAGAGAATCTGATATTCGAATTCGGTAAATGAACGTGCAGATCGATCCCAGGCGGTAAATGAAGCTGATGGCATGGACAATGCAGGTGCACGGATGTGGTAATGTCAGTTCCAAGGTCCTGCAGCACACCGTGATATCGATGCATGAGATCCTGCAAGTTGCCTGGATAATTTGGGTGTGGCTGATCACGGCGTTGTGGCGCCAGGCGTAGCCCATTGGGGGATTTTGTCCGAGCAGAGGTCAAAGCCATGAAGGCGCCGTGTAGGGTACCAGTCCAACAAATATCTCCATTAAGCCACACGCTCGCTTTAGGTGGCAGGGTCCTCTTTCGAGGCGCTAGAGGCGGCAAGTGCATCTTGGTTGTGTACAACGCTTGGGTCCTGCTCTGCTTCGCTGATGACGTCTTGATTCTCAGCGGAGGTGTCTTGAGCTCCATTCGTGTCCTGGGGCATTTCCTTGGCCCTGTCAGATTGTTCGTTGGGAATTAAGTTCTCGTTCTCAGTGGACGCATCTTGGGCCCCATCCAAGCCTTGAAGAGAAGCCTTGGCATTATCAGACCGCTCGTCACGAGTACTGGGTTCATTCGTCTCTTCACCGTGCTGTGGAGTACCTTCGGCTGCAGGGCTTCCCAAGGCTTTAATATTATTTCCATCTGCAATCTTGTCGAATACAGCAAGTTTGCCTTTGGCAGAGAGACGAAGAATCCGCCATGATTTGCTGGCCTTGGAGTTGACGGCAATCTCTTTATCTTCATCGGTCATGGCCATTTCAAGGTCCAATTCATCGTCCATGATACCCTTCAAGTAAGAGTCTGCGGTAGGAACATTGTATCGACCAGCCTCTTTGAGACGTTCAATGTTGGCCAGGGACTCGCTATCGGCAAGGAACTTGAGGTCAAAAGATCCCATCGGGGAGGGACGAAGACGTTTGTTGGCATATGCTTTGATGGCATGCTCGCGGGACTTCTTGTATTCCCCCACAGAGATGGCGGGTCTTTCAATCAATGGACATCCTTCAGCTTTCCACCGCACCCAATTCTTGTCTCGAGACAGCACAGTGTTCACCATGCGGTAGTAGAACATGCCACCGGGACCTTGCTGCAGATATCCTTCGATGTTCTTTCTCATATTAATTGCCCATTTGGTATCCTCTTCGTTAAGGGTAAATCCATAGAGAACCGATTTATTTGTCGCATCGGCCAGGCGCGATTTGGACTTGGTTGTGAGAGAAAGGACAAAGTCGAGCAGGATGAGAGCTTGGACGAGAACATGGCGTCTGAACGCAGTGTCACTGACTTCAAGATCAAACAGATCCCGGCTGGTGAGATATTTCGGGTTAAAGCTGCTGGCGACTTCAGCATCATCCACAATGCGCTTGCGCTTGTTTGACTTGCGTGCATCTTCCGAAGCTCGCGCGGCGCTCTGATTTTCGGTTTCCGTTTTAATGTTTTTGAAGGCAGATAGCGTCGCTTCCAGTCCAGCTTTGAAGGACGCAAGCCGTTCAGAGTCGAACACTTTGCTTGGTGCCGAGAAATAAGCCTGAAGGCTCCAGAAGATGGGGTAGAGGGCATCCAAATCGACTTCCTCCTTCTTGTTTGACTTTTTCTCATTTCCACCAGAAACAACAACCTTGGGGATTCTAGCTGCTGGTTCAGAAGGGCTTTCAGTCTGGCCCATATCTGCGTCTCCGGGCGTCGCAGCCTCAGTCTCATCGGTCATCGTTGTGTCTTGCGAAGGGGCCTCCATGGAGTGCTTCGAGATATCGTCGAAGGTAGTGACATTTTCAGAGTGGAATTCGCCTCGAAGGTTGACTGAGCTTTTATCTCCAAGCGGGAAACTTTGGAAGAGGTAGATGAACACCCGGCCACAAAACACGGTATCTTCTGCGCGTGAAAGCCGACGAAGAAGTTCGTTACAGGATCGTAGGATAATCAAGCTTTTCTGTTTGAAGTGTTTCTTTGCGGAGTTAGCTTTGCGATTGGACAAAGGGATATGGCATTGCGCACCTTGGTATTCCTCTCTCTTCTGGACTCCAAGTAGTCAAAGACTTTGCGGCAACCATCAATTGTTTGACTGTCCAATAGCTCCTCAATGAGCCAGAAGATCAGACCAGGTTCGCATTGTTCTGCGGGATGTTAGCCGTGTGAAGGGTGCAGACCGGAGGAGGGTGGCTGACCATGATCGGAGAAAATTGAAACAATATCGAGAAGGTTCCAGATATGGATGAAAGTAGGATCGTTGATAGGAGTAGAGGCCTGGTGTAAATGCCAAAATTAGATATATCCATAGAGCGCGAGCTAGATTGACATACCAAGAGGCGATAGAACTTCTCGCGGAACGCGATTTCCACAGCCGCGGGCTTGGTTTGCGGATTCAAGTGTTTGATAGCTTCTTCATCCTCAGGCGAGGGTTTCCAGATCGCCTCGCCCAGGTGAGCTTCAGTCAATGGAGGTTCGATCTGCTTGTCGAGCTTGACCTGCGCGGCGCGGTCCAAGAGACTGTCCACCAGTCTTTTGTAGACCTGGACACCGGCTATATCCGCATTCTCCATCTTCTCAAACGGCAGAAGAAGAGCAGATAAATGGTTGCAAAGTGGTGAAAGGGGGAGAAACAGAAAGTCAGATCGGAGTGAAGATTGGGCGGGCGGAGTGAAGCGCGGAGACCAAAGCCAAGACTTTTCGAAAAAGCTCCCCCAGCTTCAACTCTGATGTTCCCGACGTGCGCCAATCCACCCCACGTCACCTAAATAACCCCAATCAACCAGGTCAGGGGACTATTGACTTCTGCGATGGCGCAGAGTCTCGATACCAGGCCAACAGTGGTGGACTTCCGCGACGATAGCCCGTGGGTACAGCTGGCCAAGGCCCACTGGTCCAACGTGAAAGTCCGCAAGGCCAAACCAGATGTCATCAAGAAGCAATTGTACGATCCTTTGGAGGCAGAGGGCTTCAACAGTCGCACGCTCTTGATTCTGGAAAATCTGAATGTTCTTGAGAAGTACGATTCCCATTTGATCTCGTGAATGCCGCAGGGTTACTAACTGGCTGGTTGCTAGGTACTTGTGGCCGACCTACACTGAGGATGCTTCGAATCACCATGTCCTATTGATCGCCTTGATTGTCAGTGTCAAGCATCGCGAGCATTTGCCAATATGGGGTGAGTCAATGCGACTACAGTCAAGTCTTCCAGCACAGCTAACCAGTGCAGATATCTTCTCCGACCGTGCCGACGATTTCTCGAATCTTTTCCACCGAATCCTGTCAATGAGCATTGATCACTCTCTTCCGACTCGCTCTAGACTCGCCATCATATCTTTTGTTATCAGTGCTTTCCAGTCCCTCGAGAATGTCCTTATTAGGAAAGAATGTGCTCCTCTGGTTTCTATCGCGATCTGGCACAATTTGGCTAGCGATGAGACAAGAGACCGCATCATCGCCAAGGCACCTACCTTGAAAAAGGCATGGAGGGCCTCCGGGAAGCGCTACGACGCTGGAGATGAAGCTACCAAAGCTAAGATGCGCTTTGAGCGCTCATGGCTGTACACCATGCTTCTAGATTTCTTACAAAGGTTGAATGGTCCTGAAAAGGAACAGACCGAGAATCTCTTGTACTGCGAACGCTTTCTTGAGCTCTTAGTCGACCTTGAAAGTCAGCTTCCCACACGGCGATATGCGAATACACTCTTGAAGGATCTCAATCTTTTGTCGACCATTCGCCTTTCTCAACTATACCGCGCACCTGAAAACGCTCTCTTCCGCGATTTCCATAGCCTTCTGAAGCACTTTGTCGAATTTGCGATTGACGATTACTCTGGCGAGGCCCTCTCTCCGCGGGGAGTTTACGATTTGCATTGCCAGGAATTAGCACAATTGCAAAGGACCTCTATGAAGTTCTTCAAAGACAAACTCACTATTCTAGCACTTTCCAACCTCGGATCAATCGAGCAGCGCTCTGACTTGGAGGGACAGCTCTCGTCTCTGGATGAAGCAGAACTCCAGAGTCTGTGCAATCACCTTGGATTCCGCACAAGCTATCCAAAATCCGCGAATATCAACCCAGACCGTCATTTCTACCTGGAAGTATTGGGCTCTTACTATGAGCGTAAATTACCATTCCAGGAGGCAGTCGAAAAGATGAGCCCACTGCCTACGGAGGAAAATCTATACGATCCGGCACTGTTGAGGAATGAGACCTACGATGGATCAAGGCCTTTGGCTATTCCAAAGTTGAACCTTCAGTACCTGAGTCTGGGAGACTTCCTATGGCGCTCGTTCTTGCTGTACCGCTCGGAAGCATTTTTCCAAATTCGCAAAGACATGGAGTCTGTGGTTAAACGTATGCAGCCAAAGGCATCCCGTGATGGAACCTTGAACTTTGAGGGCTTTTCTCGAATGGCTATCCCAATCTCCAAGCCTGCTATTATTGACGTCGCACCTCCAAAAGTTGGCGCAACAAACCCGGCGTTTGTTCGTGCAGAGATTGCTATTGAGGTAGGAAGACTTGCAGACAGCGTGAGGAAAGAATGGGACTCACTTCGTCCCGACGATGTTGTGTACCTGTTAGCCGTTCAGAACAGCCCTACTCGACTCGAAGAGAATGGATCTGATACCCCTCGGATGATCCATTTAAGAACGGCCGAAATTGTTCAAGTGCTCGACGAACAAGGCCGCGCACTGCGTCAGCAATCTGGTCAGCCCAATGGTCACCAATCTCGACCCCGTATCAGGAAACTGATTGTTCACTTGGATGCTGCTGCATTCAAGGCTGACAAGGATCAACAAGCCCACGGCAAACCTGATATTTACCCTATGATCAACGTGGTTGCCCGGAGAAAGGGCAGAGAGAATAACTTCAAGTCAATTCTTCAAACAATGCAAAAACTTATTGTGTCTGATATGACACTTCCCTCTTGGCTCCAGGACATCTTCTTGGGCTATGGCGACCCGGCTGGTGCGAAGTACACGCAGCTTCCAAACAAACTCCAGACTGTGGACTTCCGAGATACTCTCTTAGACTGGAGTCATCTGGTTGAAAGCTTCCCCGGAATTGAACCCTCGGCCGCTGAGAACTCGAGCTTCGGCCCACCATACGTTCTTGAGTATGTTGATCAGCAGCCAGCGGCGGAACCCCCCGCACCCAAAAAGCGACGCCGCGAGCAAGCCCAGGAGGCAGAATTGGCTCCCAGTGCTATGCGCGTTTCTACATACAAGCCGCCCAACCCTGGTCCTTACCCTGTGGATGCACCTAAGCTGAACCAAGTGCGATTTACTCCTGCTCAAGTTGAAGCGATTGCATCTGGAACTCAGCCGGGATTGACCGTGATCGTGGGTCCTCCTGGTACTGGAAAGACTGATGTTACGACACAAATCATCAACAATATTTACCAGAATTTCCCCAATGAGCGAACATTGCTCATCGCGCATAGCAACCAGGCTCTCAATCAGCTCTTCCAGAAGATTGTCGCTCTTGACATTGATGAGCGCCATTTGTTGCGTCTGGGCCACGGCGAGGAAGAGCTAGACACCGAGTCCAACTACAGCAAACATGGACGTGTTGAATCTTTCCTTGACAACCGCAATTATTATCTTTCAGAAGTGATGCGCTTGGCTGCATCGCTTGGGGTTGAGGGTGCTCATGGGAACTCTTGTGAGACTGCAGGATATTTCAACACAGTCTACATTCAACCAACGTGGGCCAAGTTCTGGGATCGAGCCAACTCTGAAGAGGTATCGACCGAGGACATTGTTGCCTCATTCCCATTCCAGTCATACTTTGCAAATGCTCCCCAGCCTCTCTTTGAAGCAGGAGCTGCGAAGGAAGCGATCGTTGACACTGCTTCGGGTTGTCAACGTCACATTGCTCGGATCTTCTCCGAGCTAGAGGATATCCGACCATTTGAGATTTTGAGACAACCTCGCGACAAGGCAAACTATCTATTGATCAAGGAGGCTCGCGTTGTTGCAATGACTTCCACACATGCAGCCATGCGTCGGCAAGAAATCGCCGATCTAGGCTTCCATTATGACAACGTGGTTATGGAAGAAGCCGCGCAGATTACTGAAGTCGAAAGTTTCATCCCCAACGCTCTGCAGAATATGAAGAACGGCGAACTTCCCCTTAAGCGTGTTGTTCTCTGCGGTGATCATTATCAGAACTCCCCCGTCATCCAGAATATGGCATTCCGTCAATACGCCCACTTTGAGCAGAGTCTCTTCTTGCGACTGGCCCGCCTGGGCGTGCCTGTCATCAATCTCGACAAGCAAGGCCGTGCACGATCGAGTATTGCAGAGCTCTTCCGCTGGCGGTATAAGGAACTTGGTGATCTCCCAGTTGTCGAGGCTGGTGAGTATCAGCAGGCGAATGCTGGTTTCCAGTTCGACTACCAATTCATCAATGTCCCCGACTATCAAGGATCTGGAGAGCGTGAGCCAACTCCTCATTTCATCCAGAACCTCGGTGAAGCGGAGTACGCCGTGGCCTTGTATCAGTACATGCGCCTGCTTGGCTACCCTGCTTCCAAGATCTCGATCTTGGCGACGTATGCTGGGCAGACCGCTCTGATCCGTGATGTTTTGAGTCACCGCTGCGGCAAGAATCCCATGTTTGGAATGCCCAGGATTGTTACCACGGTAGATCGGTACCAAGGAGAGCAGAATGATTGTAAGTTTCCCTTGCCGGTATGTGCCACAGACAGTCATCCTAACTTATATTCTAGACGTCATCCTCTCTCTCACTCGTACCCGCAGTGTTGGATACCTGCGCGATGTGCGTCGTCTGACTGTCGCCCTATCCCGTGCTCGTTTGGGTCTTTACATCCTCGGCCGCCGAGAGGTGTTTGAGTCTTGCTATGAGCTCAAACCAGCCTTTGATCTTCTTCTACAGCGTCCTGATAAGCTCATGCTGGCACCTGGTGAGATGTTCCCAACCACCCGGGCTGCTGATACCTCTGTTGAAGGTACTCCGATGGAAAACGTTGAGCATCTTGGTCAGTATGTGTTCGAAATGACTCAGGCTAAGGTGAAGGCCATGGGTGACGGTGATATCACTATGGATACAGTGCCTGAGGGCGAGGAAGGCCTTTTGGATGAAGATGAGGCTATGGGTGTTGAAGACGACCATGCGGATGAGGACTTTGTATGATCTAGATTTTGCAAATTTAATGACCGCATTCTTCTTTCCCGAATTTTGGAATTGTGATCTCGATGCAGTCAACGCGTAAAAGGCGAAATTGGCCAGCAGGAGCTGTGCAATAACTGGGTCATTTGCTATCTAAAAGAGGTATAAAATAGATGCACTATGGGCAAGTCTCTGCATGGCAGAATGTCCCATCGTGATTGTGTATTCGTCTATTCCTTGGTGTTGTTCATCTCCTCGACAATGTTCAAGGGGTCCTTCCATGCCAGTGTCACATATCTAAAAGCGTTAGCAGTTGAGTTATGACATCAGAGCAGTGGATGCATACTTGGTGTGACTTCCACGAGCAACAATGTGTCCGTTCAGGTTGGTGAATTTAATATTGGTGAAGGCAAGCGTCTTGCCAACTGCATCGAATATTTCAGTCAGGGTTAAGTCTTTGACCAAACCAAAGAATTCTAGAAACAAGATACATACACTTGTCACAGGTCACCTCCTAATCTCGGTCATTAGCACTGTAGAGACTGAGAGGAATTGAGGATAGACATACTGCAAATATCTTGTCACCGACCTTACCACCCGAGTTGAGATATGTCACTGAAGTAATGTTTGCATTAGGTAGTAGTTCAATATATGACTTTGGTTTTATACACTCACCGTTCAGATCGGTAGATACTCCAGTCGAAAACAGGCCACGGGAAGCCACGGCCAACGAACCACCAAGGTCCACTGTTGTACAAGTAAGCATTTAATCAGAATGATCGTGAAACTTATTAGGATGAAGATACCCATGCTAGCAATTGTGCCTCCATGGAGAATGTTCAGGCGGTTCTATGGGATATAGATATTAGATACGGGTCAAATATAGCATCGGATTGATCAAACGCGGCCCCAGCTTCTTGTATAGCTCAATCTGTAGGATTTGTCTTTATGAACTTACGGTATGCTCTTTCTGGATATCGAGCTCAAAGTTGACAATTCCAGGACGGGCAGCAGTGACACGGAGCTATATCCAATCATTGATTAGTTGTATGCGGTCACATGAAAGCCAACTCTACTCACATTGTTGAGGAGACTTCAAGCAAGCATTAGCATAAATCATAGGTTTCTGTTCTCATTATTGACGCATATCCACGTACCGAGGCTCCAGGCCCGAAGTAGCCCGAAAGGACTCCCAGACCTAAGAGGAGAGTAAAGTGAGTTAGTAACAAATCCTCCCAAGTCAAAAGACTTTTCAGAAAATGGACAAGCTTACTGAGCGAACAAATTTCAAAGAAGCCATTTTGCAAAGGTTTAGGGAAAAGACAAGAGCGACATTCTACTATCATCCCCGGAACTGCCATTTGTGGCCGCTTCGGTCACCGTACTAGCGTCATTTCCTCCACAGCTGTTTTCTGTCTTTCGTTACTTCAGGTGTCTCTCATCATGGCCAGCGCGACATCCCGTCCCCTTGAGTACCTGGAGGGTCTCTCCGGGACGACATTCTATAAGTTGTACAAGCAGCCATCCACAGCTCTCGCGATATTTCGGCGCATGCTGCCAGATCTGGGTATGAGCTCATTAACGTGATTGCGAATGATACACTAATGTTCATGTAGCAAAATGCTTTGTGATGGCACTCCTATATTTGAAAGACCCTCTTCCGACTGCCGATTTGGAAATCTGGGTCAACACAGAGAGCAAGAAGTGAGCGCCTTATCCGACGAAGTGGGCTCCAGACACTGACGATTTCTCAAGACAGCGGGATAATGCGCTGTCAATCTTAGGTCGACTGCATATTCTTTCTACGACGCGCACTGGCGATAATGTCCGAGCTTACATGCTCACCGATCCATTCGCTTCTTCGCTCCGACAAGCTCTCATGGGCGCGGAGGATTCGCAATCTTTTGGTGTTTTCTCTCAGGGCCCTGGGGAAACACAGACCTCGATCGCCGATCTAGACGAGTACGCCCGGCGACAATGGGAAGGTGTTATGGGATACATGGTTGGAACGAGTGCATTTGGCGGACAGCGAGACATGGTCAATCTGAGCAAGGGCGTCAAGCAGCTTCTCCAAGCTGGACATCTGGTCGAGATACGAGGAAGCCGCGTCGACATCACCAAGGATGGTTTCGGATTTGTCCTACAGGATGTCAACACGCAAGTCTGGCACATCCTGATTCTGTACGTCCAAAGCGCCGAGGCCATCGGCATGGACAGTGTCGAGGTTCTCTCGTTCCTATTCCTGCTTAGCAGCTTGGAACTTGGTGCCTCTTATGAGAAGAAGCACTTGACCCCAAATCAGCTCCGCACCCTGACCGACCTGGCCGATTTTGGTATTGTCTACCAGGAAGACCCCGACGCACCGTGTTTCTATCCCACACGCCTCGCAACCACCCTCACATCTGACTCCAGTGCACTGAGCAATCCTGTTACTGGATCACTCACCGGACCGGCTGGTCAGTCAGGTGGCTCGGGCTCAGGATTTATCATCATCGAGACTAACTACCGACTCTATGCCTACACCTCCTCGCCCCTCCAAATCTCTCTCATCTCCCTCTTCACAAATCTCAAATACCGCTTCCCAAATCTGGTTACAGGAAAAATTACCAGACAGTCCGTCCGCCGAGCCATTGAGATGGGAATCACCGCCGATCAAATCATATCCTATCTATTAACGCACGCCCACCCACAGCTACGCAAGCATAATTCTAATTCCAAGGGGCTCCAGGCATCTGTTCTCCCGCCCACGGTCACAGATCAAATCCGACTCTGGCAACTAGAGCGAGATCGTCTCCGGGCCACAGCTGGCTTCCTTTTCAAAGACTTCACCAGTCTGGCGGAGTATTCGGCGCCTTGTCAGTATGCCGCGGAAATTGGCGTGTTAGTTTGGAAGTCTGAAAAGAAACGAATGTTCTTTGTCACTCGGCATGAACAGGTTGCAGCATTCTTGCGAAGCCAAAAGGGAGGCGGCAAGTGATGCGCTACAGGCGAAAAGCTGCGCATATTGAATTTGGCGAAGAAAAACACAAGATGAAGATTTCTGGGCGTTGTGGATTTGGAAGCATGTTACGAATTAACGAATCTCATGTCCTCACCAGGTCGTGATACCAAAATTGTACAATAAATGAGTATAATCAAGACTAAAGAGAAGAAAGATGTCCTGTCCCGATAGATCAAGCAATAATATTAACAGCAATATTAACATCAACATCAACATGCCATACGATCTCTCTATGATTTATCCCCAATCTTCTTCCTACAACAAACCCACTCCCCATCCAACCCCCCTCCTCCGATAACTAACAAACGTCTCCCCAGAAACATCATCCGGCAAAATAACCCTAACATCAGAAACTCTCATCGCACCCGGCACCTTGGGCAAACACAAATCATCAGGCCTAGGAAGAAACCCCCCACCCACACGGTCAACCCTCCCATCATCAGCATACAAACCCCCCTCCTCAACAGCAATGATCTCTTCAAGCACATCCGCCAGAAGAAGCCCATTCCAAACCCCCTCCCGATGCGGCGCCGCACGCAGCGTCCGCACAGCCTGCCGCCGAATTCGCGGCACGCGGCACTTCAACGCTGTGTAATATACAGGCGGAATGTAGCCTGTTTCAACGGTGAAGCTGGAGCCGCCGCAGTCCGGGGTTTGGAGAAGGAGCGATATGTCTTTTGTTCCTTCGAGGATTTCTAGTAGGGAGGTTTCGATCATGGTGTGCATGTTGTTGGGGGTTAGGGTGAAGTCTTTGAAGAGGGTTTTTAGGTCGTCGGAATGCGCGATTAGGGCCGAGAGGTGCGTTTCGTGGATATTACTTGTTGTCCATGTTTTCCAGAGGTCGAGGAAGCAGGCTAGTATTGTTATGAAGTGTTCTGTGTAGGAGTCGTAGATTGTTTCGGCTTCGGGTTCTGGTGTTAGGCTTACTGAGGCCATTATTGTTGCCATTTCGTGGTAGACTCGTAGGAGGAGATAGCCGGTTTTGTCTTTCGCGCTGGCTTTTGTGTTGTCTAGACGGGATAGAGTTGATGTATATGCTTTGCGCCAGAGAGTTAGGTCGGTTAAGATTTGGGTTTGTATTTTGACTGTTTCTTTCGTTTCGGTTGGTGAGTCTGGTGTTTGGAGGTCGTGATGGTATCTTTTGAGGCAGTGGACTCTATTTAAGAGATCGTCCAGGGTGCGTCTCGCTTGTATGAGAGAGCTGAATATGTAGGGGATTGTCGTCGTCTGAGGATCTTGCGTTACAACACACATATATGAAGGGACGTGGCCGAACATGGCTGATTGGATGGCTAATCGGGAGTAGGCGTCGATCAAGGCGTTGTACGCGAAATCTCCCTCTGTGCAGAGGAAGGTTGGAGCCATCGTAGATCGTGGACCCGATCCAGAGACATCGGAAAGCAGCTTCATGCCATATCGGAGATGTGCACTTCCCACCTGATATTGGCCTCGGAGGTATTCCAGCGTGACGAACAGCATACAAGTGATCAGCGCCACGCGGAGCGAATGGCTGTCATCGACATTGTTACTGCGCAGGTACTGAATCGCCTTATTGTACTGCTGCAGCGTGAACCGCTCTTCCTTGAGCTTGTTTACAAGAAGCCCCTCCTCGTCATACTGCGCGAACCGATGAGCAGACGACAGGGCAATGACAGCATGGCGCACAGCGGGTTCCTGCGCACTAGCTTGGAATATCAGTGTTTCCCAAAAGTCCGAAGCAAAGAGACCAGTGAACTTCTTGGCCGTTCGTTTGATCAGCCAGTCAAAACAGACATTCTCTTCGTCGCTGAGACTGCCAATCGGCACTGGGGTGCAGTAGACCGAAAGAGCCCGGTTGGTCTGTGGCTGCGTGTAAGGAGTGCCACCACCTCCCCATATTCCATAGCCATCGCAGACTCGACTGGTTGATACACAGCGTCGGCAGGCCGGTCGGCCTTCATCGCATTTCACACGGCGTATTCTTGATCCGTTTAGCCCGCGCGACTTATGTGGAGTGTTGGAGTGAGGCTTACTTGCAGGTCTTGCAGCCTGTCTTGACCTTTCTCTTACGAGTCAGTGGGGTTTCTGTGTACATGTCTGGATACAGGGAGTCCTGATGTTCTCGGCAATAAAGTCGAGGATATCGGGGTTAACGTTAACGGCGAAGCTATTGGGCAGCTCGCATTTTAGGGCTTTCCATTGGCCAGGGATGTATAAGTCTCCACCTTCTATCCATCTTCCGTAGTTCAGACTTGTTTTCTATTCCTTTCGAGCATCGCATGAACACCGGATGAATCATTTGGAAGATCGGAGTTAAGAGGAATGAGTCTATCCGTGAGTTGCTATATAAGGACTGATCCCTCAGTACTTGATCTTCATCTTCATCACAAGCAAACATTGTCCTGCAACTAAGTTACCGCCTATTCAAACATGTCTCTTCCCACTCGATCCCTCGGCCGCAACGGCCCTCAAGTCCCAGCAATTGGTCTGGGACTCATGAGTCTCGGTGATATTTACGGACCCGCCGGTACACTCGAGGAAAAGGTCGCATTTCTTGAACACGCCCATGCAATCGGTGCCAGATTCTGGGATACCGCCGATGCATACTTTGGCAGCGAAGATGCTGTCGGCGCATGGATTAGAAAGTCGGGTAATCGCGACGATATCTTCCTGGCGACCAAGTTCGCTCTGCGTTTCAGCGCAACGGAGCTGTTGATCCGTTCCGATCCGGAGTATGTCAAGGCTGCCTGTGAGAAGAGCTTGAACAGACTTGGTGTTGAATCCATTGACCTTTACTATTGTCACCGCGTTGATGACGTGACGCCTATTGAGAAGACTGTCGAGGCTATGGTTGAGTTGAAAGAGTATGTCGCAGTATCAATACTATTAATCACGATCAGAAATTCGACTGACACCCTTCTAGCCAAGGCAAAATCAAATATCTCGGACTATCTGAATGCTCTGCTTCAACTATTCGTCGTGCACATGCCATCCATCCGATCACTGCGTATCAGGTGGAATACAGTCCGTTTGCATTGGATATCGAGTCATCAACCACAGATATCCTGAACACCTGCCGCGAACTTGGTATCGCGGTCATCGCCTATAGTCCCGTGGGTCGCGGTATTCTGACCGGACAGATCCAATCGCTCTCCGATATCCCCGAAACTGACTTCCGTCGCATGCTTCCCAAGTACAGCGAGGAGAACTTCCCGAAGATCTTGGAACTAGTGCAGGGACTCAAGGCTATTGCTAGTAATCATGGAAGCACTTCCGCTCAGGTGGCTATTGCATGGCTTCTTGCTCAGGGCTCTGATATTATTCCAATTCCTGGAACCAAGTCGACCAAAAACCTTGACGAGAATACCCGTGCTGTTTCTCTAGATTTGTCGGAGAAGGAGCTACAGGAGATTCGAGATTTGATTGACCGAACGGAGATTCCTGGAGCGCGTTATCCTGCCACGTGAGTTTGACCGGTCATGATGAAGTGGATCTATTCTGATGAACTATAGGATGATGAACAGTGTTTTCGGAGACACTCCAGCGCTTTAGGGGCTCAGGGATTCTTGCAATCTACTATCCTGCACGCAGTATAGTGTCGCCTCTTGGTGTATTAGTACTAGTCTGATGTCATATCTCCATTTAGTGCGTGTATGTCAGAATCAAAGCCAATAGCAGAGCAGAGCAAATAGGGGCCATTTGAGCATTTCAACCATTGCAGTCCAGGCAGTGCTATATTAAGCTCAATCAAGCAGTATCTCTAAAAGACTCTGTTCATAGTCATCAGATCGATCTCGATCTGAACAGGCTTAGCCCCTGGATACTTAACCTTCCAACAGCCAAATGACATACAGACATGATATCACCCTGAAAATTTTTAGGGCATCGTCATCGGTGGCCACTCAAATTCCCGTGACAGGAACCGCTTTCTACCATAAGCTGTGAAATGATTATTTACTCATCACAACTCGTTTACGATACTCCATAAATCCAATCTATTGATTTACCTCAGCCTCGTGGCAGCCATAGTAAGCCTGTCGCTGTTGAAATATTGTATTCAACGCTAATGCAGATCATAGGATGACCCGCCGTTCGGGTGGGGATCAAAGCCCGAGGACCTCGAGTACGAAGATGACTGGGAGGCAGAGGATAGTTTCGGACAAGATATATGTGAACAGATGAATCTTGGGAGAGGCCGTCCGATTATGTGACATTGCACCGAGCATGCCTACCTTTTTGAAGCCGGCGGAAAGTTCTACTTCTGGTATTGCGTTGGTCTCGATGTCTACGAAATCACATCTCCGAAAACCCTGGATGAGATTATCAAGACTATGAAGGAAAAGGGAGATGGGGCCGTGAAGACCAAGAAGCTTTTATGATCACGGAAGGGTGTTGTGAAAAATACACCCCAAATTGATAAAAACCCACCCCTCGCTATATAATACCTCTCTATAGAATAATCGATACATAGCATTAGTGCTGGATTTAGAACCAAGAAAGCCATTTCATTTTACATGCAGTTTCATCGCATTTATCTTGGACACCCAAGGTACATGCTTTAAGTAGGGAATCCCTAGGAAACTCAGGTACCCTGGGTACATATTGACCCTACACCCTTGGCACAAATCAATTTCATTGCGGGCTGCTAGGCGAGGATTGATGATTGATCTGTTTTATTGAAATGCTAGAAATTCGATGCATCTTCTAGGTGAAATACAGTATGAGATAATATGAAATAAAATCTAATACTGAAAATGCGCTAATCCTCACATTAACGTTCTACATCCACTAACGTTATTACAGGGTGTGCTTCGAACATAACCCAAACAGAGCCTCTGTTTATAGTTATCAGATCGATCTCGATCTCCATAAGCTTAACCCCTGAGAGTTGAACAGCCAAATGACCAGACATGACATCAAGACGGCAAGTGGGTCCCAGGAACGACTCACACACTCCGATTGAACGAGAGCAAACAACTAAACTAATAACTATTGCACTTGGTCCACTTGGCATCCCTTGGGGCGCAGAAAACCAGCCTCCAATTATTACAGGGGAAAACCCCGCGCCGAAAAAAAAAAGGCGCATGTGTGTCTTTCTCGAAAATCTGGATCTTCATATATCATTATTGTCATATTCAGTACCATTATCGGTTTACTGTATGTGTCTGCACCGTGGGATATGTCATGTCCTCCAGCAGTGACTCCAGTCCAGGCAACTGGATTACAGGCAGCTACACCGGCAACAGTATCGGCGTCCGCATCACCATCGCAACCTTTGTTGGCGTCGCCTGGTACAATGTCATCGAGTTGATTGTCCTGATCTTCCTGACCTTCAAACGCTATGAAGGTCCCTACTTCTGGAGCATGCTAGTCGCCAGCGTAGGCATCCTGCCGTACTCGGTCGGCTACTTGATCAAATTTTTCGGTCTCACCACGGCGACGTGGCTGCCTATCACGCTCTTGACGGTCGGCTGGTGGACGATGGTCACCGGCCAGTCCTTTGTGCTGTATTCGCGACTGCATCTGGTCATCCAGAATACGCGCGTCCTGCGCTGGGTGAAGTGGATGATCATCACCAATATTTTCTTGCTGCATGTGCCGACGACGGTGCTTACTTTCGCGGCCAACTTTTCCAATTCGCGCACTTCTGTCGATGGCTATGATGTGATGGAGAAATTGCAGTTGACGGGCTTCTGCGTGCAGGAGGTGATTATCTCCGCTATGTACATGTGGGAGACGAATCGCATGTTGCGCATGAACCAGGATCATATCAGTCGCAAGACCATCATGCAGCTGCTTGCGGTTAATGTCTCTTGTATCCTGATGGATATCGCACTGATGGCGATTGAGTTTATGAACTTCTATATCTACCAGACGACTCTCAAGGCTACGCTGTACAGTATCAAGCTGAAGCTTGAGATTGCTGTTTTGGGTAAACTGGTCAACATTGCCCACCAGCATATGTGGCGGTCTTCGTCGCTGAATGGTGCTGGTAACTACCCTTCTTTTGTCGACCCGAGTCGCGCCCTGGGCGATTTTCAACATGCAGACTCGCTAGCTACGGATTCTATGGCTACAAGTTCAGGTTGGAAGGGACATACGTCTGGAACTGATGCTATGGAGACCGACATCCGATGATTTGAAAGATGTTTTCGATTTGACCATCTACCATGTCCACCAAGGGCGGACGCCTTTTACTCCCTCTCTCTCTTCCTGCGTCTTGCAGAACCATCACTCTTAGCGAGATGATCGACACCACAATACCACTGTCCGCCCACGAATTCGGGCGTCTTTCGGGCAAAATCCGACCCTGGCGATTACTTGTCGATCCGCCCCGTCTCCACCGTTGGAATCCACACCGACGAGTCAACATGAAGCGGGCGTGAAACACCCCGCCCTGAACCTGGCCACCGCTTGATCTTTCAGAATAGAAACAGAAAAGACCGAGATGGAGTGACGTGGCTCTAGCCCAGCCAGAGCCCTGGTCTCCTTCCGAGCCAGACCGGGTCTGCAGTATGTATATAATATCTCTTCGCGAAGAGCACGAGAGCACGATGTCACGAGCCCATGTCAACCACCTATATATATACAAATACAGTACATAGCGCATATTAATTATTTGATTAACACATCTGCAAGAAATACTGTAGGGCCCAGAACCCGAACTGACACTAGTCCAGTCGGGATGGTGATCTAGTCGGGATCTCGATAGGCATTGGAAATCGGCATGTGCCATGCAAGAACAACATGATCTCCGTAAACGGAGACATCTAGCCCTGATAACGTCATGACACCAGATCCAAGCGAGAAAAAAAAAATCCCCCAGAAATTAAGAGGGAAAAAAAGTCGAAAGCCCCCCCAAAAAAACCGGCAGGCCGATCCGATGCCATGCGCGAACAACCGGGCCGGTGAGACATGAGGGGCATAAGCACATAAACTCGCGGTGAACTATACAAGAACATCAGAATAGAAGAAGATGAGAAAAAAGAAAAAGGGTATATTGTATTCTGTCTGTATATATGTGTATATTGTATAATTCAATCCGCTTCAGCCTTCTCATGCAAATAAAGCCGTCCCTCGGTATTGACAAAGCCGCCAATACCAAACGCGGGGATAATGCGACACATGCGCAGCAATGACGCACCAATCCAGTCTCGACTGACTCGGCTCACGCGTTCTTTTGTGGGCATCACCTGTGGGCGGTTATACAGGTCTAGGCCAAGGAGGTGGATTGGTGTGCTGATGAGCTGGATTGAGGCTGGGATTGCGAGTTGCGCAATCAGGATCTTGAGGTATTCTTGGGAGGCGACTGAGTCGGGGATGGAGGCTGAGACCATGGCTGGTAGGCTGAAGGAGCCGAAGATTGTGAGCCCATCTCGGAGGAGGAAGGCTGAGTATGTTGCTAGTGGGATGCGGGTGCGGCCGATTGAGCGGACGGTTGGGGGGATTGGGTTTGGTTTGGCGGAGGTTTTCTGAGTTGTGGATGAGGCTGTTGGTGTTGGTGTTGATGTAGGTGTAGGTGTAGGTGCGGTCTTGGGTTGGCCGAATAATTGGGCGAATTTCACGTCCTTCCAAATGCCCACGGACGAGTTGACTATGAAGGTTGAGGCAAAGGTTGTCATGCCTGCAATGGCGTGGTCGATATGCGGGTACCACTTGCCCAAGATAGTCTCGGAGGCATTGGCTGTTGCGAACGTTGCTGTATAGAGAGACCAGACGAGGAGACTGGGGCGAGATGTTAAGAAGGTTGCGGGCTGTGTAATAGAGAACCAGAGGTGTCGACGGAATGCTGGAAAGAGTGGCTGGTTGTGGAATGATTTCTCGACGACGAGTCTGGACATGTGAGTGACTGGACGTGATGCGTATAGTTCGGGAGATTTACCTGTCAAAGATCATCACCGCCGGGGTAATCAGCGTTGCTGAGCCTGCAGCAACGAGCACATCGGCCGCCAGAAGCTCGGCCATGCGGCTTCGAGTGCGGTGGATGCCAAATGGCAATGCCTGGTCTTGGTGTTGGAGGTTCTGCGTCATGGTGGATATAATGCGTTCAAGACAACGCTATCATGCTATTCGTGACCGTCTGGCAGTCTGGATTCGTGATGTAGAGACAGAACAATCGTTGCGCAGTATGTATATGCTTGAAAGATACTATCTCCATTAGAAAGGACATCGCGGGGCAGACCAGATTGTGAGACTTACTGTGGATCAATGGAGAGATTGAGGGATCAACGCTGGTGAAAAAGGAGGGAATAACGAGGAAGATGAGAGGGAGAGGGTGAAATAGTTGAGGAAACCAAGCCCCTCAGATATAACCCCCCGTATAATGTAATGCCAACATCTTATCGAGCACTTCAACATTTATAGATCGCCCGCGCAAGACCAGCACATCGGCGAACCGAGCCAATCATACCCGAGACCGGGCCGGCCACCGGTGCTGCGTCCTGAGCCCTAATTGGCAGAGTCGCCGCACAATGATCGCCCGTAGTCGATGTAATCCAGGGACAATTCATTCTAGAAGTTCGTGTTCTGTTTGAACGCGTACGGTTGCCCTAAGGGGAATGATGTATGGTTCTCCCCGCATTCCCCCGACTGTATGACAGAATTTCTCTACGCGAGTTGTCTGCTCCCTACACTGGATTCCTGTGACTCTTCGATTTCGCCGACTTCTGGGGGTCACCTTCTGGGTGCCACCTTCTGGGGTGTGGGGTTACGTTTCGCTTTCGAGTTTAGGCAGTTAAAGGAGATAGGGTTCGAATCTGCAATCCCTGTATGCCCAACCGATTAACGAGTCGATGAAAGCTTCGCTCCAGCTTTCTCACCAATAAGGGAGCACGCTGCAATCTATACAGTATTCCCTGTTAAATGTCAAATACTATGCATTTTACCTTAGTCAGAGAAACCACATAACAATGACTCAGACTTGTGTTGTTGGCTCATACACCGCTGTTGTTGTAATAATCATGATTCAATCGGATCAATCAAAGGGGGTTCTTGCGTTGACTTGTTCATTGACCTAGTATAGATGTTTGGGAGGGGCACAAAGGCTTGGTGTCGCCTACTGCATCTCCGTAGCTCCAGTATGGCCAACTTTACTATGATTTATCGGTCGTTTTTTATCTTGATTTGGTTGGAAGTGTATGTTGATTTACATAGCGTGGGGGAGTGACTGACCAAGAGAACAAATAAATGGCGAATATAAGCATTGCTTACTTACAGAAGGCTAAGAGATGTGACGCCCCGCGTTTTCTACTGCCGGGCACATTAGCCATATGAAATAATGAAGCTAGATTGCGTGCTGAGCTCCATTCATGTTAACTTTATTGCTGTCTCCGCACACATGGACGAGTTTGATTGGAATGAACTACCACAAAAAAATAGATCTAACCTGCTGTCTGAGTCTGGGGCAAAGAATGTTCCCGAGAAAAAAGAAATTTGACAAAAAAAGAACAGGCCCGAGCCGCGGATTGAACGCGGGACCTCGCGCATATAAGCTTAGGTGTTTGAATACCCTAAGCGCGAATCATACCACTAGACCACCCGGGCTGTTATTGAAATTTTGATCAATGTTAGCCATAACAAGCCAGCATACTTTAATCCATTTATCCTAGAGGGCAATCTGCATAGTTTTGCCCTTCAAGGTAAAAAAAGACCTAGCAATTACTCGGAATCTATCTAGAGGAATGATTTACATCTTCTTATCGTATTTTTTTGGGTATAGCCCATAATAGTGTCCTGTTGGAAGCGATTTTTGCAGGTATCTACGGAATGGACAAACCCATTGCCTATAGATGGAAAATTGTTCACACAGGTATTGTCCGTAATATACCGAGACCTGGTCGAAGAGAAACCATGGTAGCTAGACACATTGGGTTCACTATGAGGCGAGAGGTGTGTGTTGGGTGAAGATATCTAATCCAGTTTATCGCACACTCCACTGACATATATCTGCCAGCCACTTGTGTAAACTCGGGGTTGTTTCAGCTGTATAAGTAAGGCAAACTGTTGAAATCCCAGATAAGCGATCAATAGACCATGTATAACCAATACGAAAGAGTTAAAACTCGCTGTAAGCTCCCAGCCAAAAGAACACTGAAAAGTTCAACCCAGGCTTCTGGCAGTGAAGTCCCTGAGCCCAAAAGGGTCGTCACCTAACCTAGCAATCATGTTTTCGATCATACAACCGAGGCACTTCCCTCCCTTTTTCCATTCATAGTATTTGACGGCTAGCACAGAGAATTTTCGTCTCACAGTACTTGGAATATCTATGGGAGTAGCTCTATCAAATACTACTGACTCTCAAGAAACCCTGCCATGAACTAATGTGTTAAGTGTGATATGATCCTCATAAGACCAACAACCAAAGCCACCAGTTCTGTACCGCAGAATATCCTCGGGCTCTCTTAAAAAGACCAGAAAGCAAGTGACTGATCCAGGTATATAAGTTGGCAGAAATTATGGATGTGCTCATCACGTAGGGCACAGATCACAGCATATTGGCGCTCCAATTGAGTCCAAAGTGCGTCCTGGAATGTGAGTACAAAACTTGAGCCGTCTTCCACACAACAGCCCGGGTGGTCTAGTGGTATGATTCGCGCTTAGGGTATTCAAACACCTAAGCTTATATGCGCGAGGTCCCGCGTTCAATCCGCGGCTCGGGCCTGTTCTTTTTTTGCATTTTTTGACTATGAAAGTGTCGATGTTGACTCCAGATGAAGTGGAAGAATGGATTATCCGGTGCTCTAGCGAAGGTGGGCTGGGAGCATTCGATCTGATTGGCTCGTTGTGGCTGGCCCACTCTCTTTTCCTCACACTAATCGCTTACTAGCGTCTTGGCAGGTGTACCATAGAGACTTGGTGGACTGTACAGTATTCATACGCCTATATCCCGGATGAACGTGGAGTCTACATCTGACTGGTTTCTGTGAGAGCTACTGTACAATAGGACTACATTATTGGACAATTTCATTGAACTTAAACCAAGTTCGTAGAAGTTATCTCAACTTGTCTATATTATACGCCGATGAGGTATAAAGCACACGTTTACACAATGAGATGAACCAAAAACAGACTGAATACAAAGCCAATGCGCTGTATAGGAATAGTCACTTACTATTGACTACTTATGACTGTATCTTAGGAGAGATCTTATGCAAGTGGTGCCCAAATTCCAAGCTTCAGGGGAAGGATATCCAACCTAACTTGTAGTTAGATGTTGTTATCTGAGTTAGATTATTTTCGACTTTGTGGTAATTATTACTATAGTAGTAGACTGGCTTCTTAATTTCTGCTGGTGGGATCAAGTCCAGAACCCAAACATGTGCATTCGGAGATTGGTTAAACAGGCGGTCTTCATCCGAGTTGGAGTCTTTGCTCGTGTGTAGTATGACAAAAGCTCCCGGGGCTATATCTGACGAAGATATGAACTATCTAGATCATATATCATGGATCTCTTTCTACAATCATGCCCCCAAAGAAGCGTGATATCAACCCTGTGCATGTACATACAGTAAACGGTCGACGCCTGACCCCGACATCCTAGGTACCATGGATCTATCATGCCCCAAACAAAGCACGTTGATATTCAATACCACGAGGATAATCGTGACATAGACACAGGAGCGAATGACCACACTTCCATACACCTAGTTAATGTTATACATGTAGGTCATGGATTCAGTGTCTCTGTACACTATTGGCTGAGAGGGTATTACCTGATCTACTGGTGGATCGGATTTCTTTTGGGGCGCTCTAATGAATGACGGTTTACTGCTGTTCACATTTACAGTAAAAATAATAAAAACAACCTCTCTTTCCTCTTCGATTGCTATAAATTGATTTTCATTCGAAATGAGGTAAAAAGAACAAAAAAAGAAACAGGCCCGAGCCGCGGATTGAACGCGGGACCTCGCGCATATAAGCTTAGGTGTTTAAATACCCTAAGCGCGAATCATACCACTAGACCACCCGGGCTGTTATTGAAAGTTTATGTGAGCTTTAACACTATGAGCTAACTAGCATTGTGGTACCTTTTCGGCAGATCTATACAAAGGAAGTACTGTGTCTGTCACTTATAAATAGTGAGAAAATTGAGAGTTCAATCTATCTCATCGTAAATGCTTGAAAATGTAATAATGATTTCAGCGTAGATTAAATGGCTTTTTTTTTCCGCTTCCGTCCCCTTGGTCTTTGTGTTCGTTATTGACCGCAGATAATACGATTATCTTGACTGAAACCTGGCCCAAGTATACTGTGTGCTGTGTGCTACGTATGGGGTGTGCTGTTGTATGATTCACGTGTAGACAGTGATGATTGAAAAGAAAATGCCGCTGCTAACAGTCTGGATACGAGAGATATATAAAGTGCCTCTCACAACATGCCAACTTACGCCTAGATCCGCACCCACAGAACAAATCCCCATCTGATTAAATAATGAGAAACATATTAATATATCTATGCCCATAGATAGGCAAAGAGATGACAAAGACCAGACATTACCCGTGGACACCCCAACTAGTTCATCGCTGACATAGCAAAGGAAGTATACAAAAACCGGTCTCACGCGAGGCGAGGCAGCTCACAGCTTATCTAGATCAGAGAGAGTGACCAATCATGAAGCGTAGTCATGCTTTGGTCCAATTGTATTTGGTAGAATCTTAGGTAACCGATATGTATTATGGAACATGGGAACAAAAGGTGTTTTGTTAAAAAAAAATAGGTGAGGATCGCAATCAAGTAGAAGCAGTATAGTCCTAGGCTCATAATGCCAAAGACTGCGACTCTTTTCATACAACAGCCCGGGTGGTCTAGTGGTATGATTCGCGCTTAGGGTATTTAAACACCTAAGCTTAAATGCGCGAGGTCCCGCGTTCAATCCGCGGCTCGGGCCTGTTATCTTTTTTGTTTTGTCAGTATTTTTTCTGACTGCGTACCGCCTAGATATATCTAATTCAGTTGCTTATTTGTTTTGTTTTGTTTTGTTTTTCTTTTCAATTGAAGAGCGGCTTGTCCCCGTACTCAATTTTTAGATAGCATAAAGTAGGTAGCTAGTATCTATGAATCTAATTGTATCACTCTGCCCAACGCAATTATTTGCAGTGTCGATCAACCAGCTTAGAAATTCAGTAGACCATGAAAACCCTTAAATCATATTCACACACTACGTACCAGCCAGCAAATGCTGAACCGACTAAGCATTAGAGCCACAACATAACGTTATTGGAACCTTTGCCTATACAGTAGTGTTTACGGGTCGATCCAATCAAAGTAGGAACCCGAGCAAACAAATGCAAGAACAACAGGTAAAACATAGCATACCCAACCAAATAAGGAGGTGGTATCAGATAGCATATCATACCCATGAATGTTTGCCATCACCAAATTATGATGTATCAACTATGATCGACTTCAACGTGTTTGCGCCCACGCGTCGGGTCCACGAGGGAAATCACCCCGTTGTCATTCTATTATCGCTCCGTCTTCTGCACCAACCTTTCACAAAACCAGCGCAACGATCCTGAGATTGACCATCATGCCTATCATGGAAGAAGAACTCGAGACCACACCACTCAGTCGATCCATCAACGATTTGTCTGAGACGAGGCTGCGCGCGGTTCTCAAATCCATTTGCGCGCAAAATGACGAGGCCCGCAAGGAAGCCGAGAGCCAATTGCTAGTGGCAACCACCGATAGCGGTGAAAGCACAGAGAGCAAAAAGAGACAGAGATCGCGTTATGCCTTTTGTGAAACCTGCAAGGAGGAATTCGATGTGACGACCAATACTGATGAATCTTGTCGGTGTCATCCGGGTATATTTGCATAAAGAGAGGATATCGTGTTCAACTGTGTTCAATAAGCTAATCGAGAAATAGAAAAATGCGAGCCCACCGAAGAGCTCTACGTCGACAATGACTTCGCCGCGGATGAGTTTGGAGTGGACAACGATGACAACCGCGCGGAGTTCCCAGAGTGGTTCAGGTTTGATTGCTGCGGTGGAAATCTGCGAGATGACCCGGGATGCGAACTTGACTACCATAAAGAACGGTCGCCCCTTAAAAGTTCATTGAAAAGGGCAAGAGGCTTTTAAGTTGGGCCCTATCCCCCGAGAAGCAAGATGTAAGTTAGAGAGGCTAGACTTTCAGGGGAATCGATTCATCTGGAGCACGATTTCATAGGTTGTCCGAGGTAGCCCTACATAAAGAGAATACCGGGTTAGGAGTCACTTGGAAAAGAAAGCTAAGCATGTACATGGTTTTCCTAAGCCCGTTGCTCCACCTAGGTCAGGGTTTACACCATCTAGACGGTTCTGAATTCACAAATGATATGTTTCACTTTGCATAGCTCTTAAGAACCCAGACGTCTGACTTAAAGTGTATGTGTTGAGTACACATAGCATTGATATACTATACTGACGATAGAATAAAATATTCTCCGGTAAGACAAGTATCCATAAAAGAGTACCTTGAAGGAAATAGCGGCCGATCAACTATTTGCCCAACAGATTAACCGGTACCAAATTGCGTACGTGTGGACCCAACCCAACGTCCAGACAGGCAGCAGAATTCCATATACCCCTTATGCCTGCACAAAACGTCAAATAGCCTGAATGTGATTCGCTCAATCCCAAACCACACCCCAAAGCTTGTTCCCAGTTCAGCCCTGTAGGGCTGAAAGTGGGTTTCCATCGGTCGAAATACTCCCGCCAGCCTGACTGCTTCCCCTTAGACCCATAATAATGGAAATGAGCAGGATATTAGTCAATGGGAATCGAATCCCAAGTGAAATACGTGGTCGGAGTTTCCTCCACGTCCTGTCTTCAGTCCCAGTACTGAAATGTTGATTGTGTTGTATTTTCATGCATTGTCAATACACCATGAAGACATCAAGACGGTATTGCTCAGTTTTTCAAAGCGGGAGCTTTAGCTTGATATGTGCGGCCTTTTGCTTTGGGTTATCCGGGATGTCGAGAGGTGAGTTTTGGCCTTGCTGATGCTATCAAGCAGCGTGCTAAGAATTAGGACTCGATGAGGGTCTTATCTCAACGACTGTCGCTCAGGAATCTTTTCTTCGTGAATTCGGCCTCCAGGCTAGTTACCTCGACTCGTCTCAGCAAGCCAATCGTCTCTCCAATATCACGTCCATGGTTCATATTGGGAGTATCCCTGGAGCAATTATTGCTTTTTTTCTATGTGAACGGATTGGTCTGTTATGGTCAATGCGACAGCTTTGCTTGTTATGGATGGCCGGTGTGATAGTTGTGATTACCGCTTCTGGGAGTCTGGGACAGGTGTACGCTGGCCGATGTATAATGGGACTTGGAATTGGACAGGCTGGTGTTGTGGCACCTACATACCTCGCGGAAATCGCACCTGCCCATGCTCGAGGTATGCTTGTCAGTATGTTTGCTATGTCTGAATATGTTGGGATCATGATTGGGGTAAGTTCATTCCGGTCTGTTGTCGGCGTTGCTAATTTACTTAGTATTTCTCTGCTTGGGGAGCTTCGTTGCATATTTCAAATAGTAGCGCTAAACAGTGGATTATCCCTCAGAGTATACAGATAATTGCCGCAGGACTTCTGTTTCTATCGTCCTTTCTATGCGAAGAGAGTCCTCGCTACTTGTGCAAGATCGGGAATTGGCAAAAAGCAAAGAAAGCCTTGGGAAGCTTGTGGAGTCTTCCTGCATTACATCCTGATGTCATGAATGTGATTGAAGAGATTCATCGTGATCTTGAGACGGACCAGAATCAAATTATGAAACACTCCTGGCTTAGAGCGATCAAAGAATTGTTGACCGTCAAGTCGAATCAACAGAGACTGCTTTTCGTGCTCTCAGCGCAGGTTCTTGCCCAGTGGTCTGGAGCAAACTCCATAACAAGTACGTGGATTATGTTCTCTTTTCTTTCATGTAATGATTCTCACATCATACAGCATATGCACCCGAGTTATTTTCTCTCTTCGGCATAAATGGCCAGTCAGAGAAATTGTTCATAACGGCAGTTTTTGGCGCAGTCAAATTCATTGCATCACTTTTATGCGCTGTGCTTTTGATCGACCACGTTGGTCGTAAGCGATCATTGATTTCTGGGATTATCATGCAACAGATTGCGATGCTATATGTTGCAATCTATCTTACCGTCGAACCATCTTCCTCCAGTGACGAGTCGGGATCTGTTAAAAGAGCAGCTATTGCGGCAATCGTCTTCATCTATTTTGTGGGGATTGGTTGGGCAATGGGTTGGAATTCAATCCAGTATATTATCAATGCTGAGGTTTTCCCATTGCGTGTTCGATCTACTGGGTCAAGCTTGTTGATGTGTTTTCACTATGCCAATCGTTATGGTATTTCCAAGGTGTGTTTGGTAATCTGAATTATGTAGTGACTGATTGCTAATGGTATAAAGGCTGTTCCGTCCATGTTACTTGAAAATGCGCTACAGCCCAAAGGCACATTTTGGTTCTTTTCGGTGACGACTTTCTTTGGATTATTGTGGACATGGCTTTTGCTTCCCGAGACCGCTGGTCGGAGCTTGGAGGAAGCGAATGTATTGTTCTCTAGTAGATAGCTCCCATATACCGATGAACTGGTCTAGATTAACATTAAATAGTATAATCGGCTTTAATTTAGATAAAAAAGGTCCTCCATCTCCCCAATCTTCAAACTAACCCCCCACACATCATTTACAATCATAAGGAAAGACGAAAAAAAGTAGTTAACCCACGCTCTAGCAGTAAGTAGCAGTGGCATTCACAGTGTGGATGACACCGGCATCAATCAGACGCTCATAGGACCAGTAGTCACGCTGAGTACCCTGACCATCAACAGCAGCGCTGCTGTTATGCTTAATGTTCCAGAACGAGCCACCCTGGGCATACAAGTTCCAAGCATAGCGCTGAGTGTTGAAGAGGTTCTCGCGGTTGGCGTAGGTGTTGCTGTACAGAGTCTGCAGAGCCCATTCACCAATGAAGACAGGGAACTTGCCATCACCACCGACGACGGAGGCTTGACCACAGATGGCACCGTTGGCCCACTGGGAGTAGACGCCTGATGCGGCAAAGTAGTAGACGTGGGTGTCGATGACAATGTTGGTGCCGGTAGGGAAGTAGGGGGACCAGTGCTCCTCGCCGAGGAAGCAGTCCTGGAGCATCACTGGAATGCGCTTGTCGATACGGGCAACGCGGGCAAGGACTCCCTGTGTGTACTTGACGATCCAGTTGGTTCCGTTGGTGGTCAGGGTCTCCGGGGAGGCAAAGGCAGCGGGGTTGTCGGAGGCCTCGTTGATAGGAGCGATGGTGAAGGCCCAGGGGTAGCCGGTTTCGACGAACCATTCGAGGACTTGCTCGACGGCCTTGAAGGAGTAGGCCAGGTTCGTGGTATTGTAGAACCAGCCGTCGTTGCCGGACTTCTCGCCAATATCGAGGCTGTTGACACCGCCGGGAAGGGAGTGGAGGCCGACAATCACGCGCATGTTGTACTTCTCGATGGCGTACAGGGAGATAGTCTTGAGGTAGTCCTTTTGGTTACCGTGGTACAAACTAGAGCCGGGGACCTTGATCCAGGCGGCGTAGGTGGTGGGAATACGCAGAGTGTTGACACCTATGTAATGATAAGGTTAGTGGAGCTGATTCTACATGTAGAACTGGGGGCAATATCTTACCAACAGCAGCAATCTTGTCGATATCATCGGTGGTAATGTATGTGGCGTAGCGCTCCTCGAGAACAGGGCCACACTGAGAGCCAAGAGTCTCACAGAAGCTCCACTCATCAACAGCATCGGGAGCATATTGGTCCCACCAGTACTGATCAAAGACCTCCTCCTGCTCAAGCCAGCCGCCGAGGTTGACACCGTTGGCCTTGTAGGTAGTCCAGTCGGTGAACTCGCCAGCGGAAGGAGTAGAAGTGACAGAAGCGACAGTGGTGGTGTAAGTCTTAAGGGTCTTGCTACCATGGAAAGAGGCGGAGGCCACAATAGTGCGAACAGCGGTGTTTGAGGTGGTAGCAGTGTACAAGTTGGTGTTGATACCAGAACCAACAGCAGAGCCGCCAGCGACAGGGGCAACGTTAACAGCGGTAGCGGTAGTTGGGTTGCTGAATTAGGTTGTATTAGTTGTGGACCTAAAAGATAAGATCATATAGTATCGACTTACGAGTTGTGGGCATTGGTCTTATTGCCAGCGTTGCCGTTATCATTGGAGTTGCCGTTACCGTTGGCGTTGCTGTTGCCATTGCCGTTGCTGGCATGACCGGCAGTCTTGGTACCAACCTGAGTGACAACGGTGCGCTCAGCCTCGGTGGCAGTGGCAACAGAGCCAGTCTGCTCGCTTCCAGCAGCGGCAGTGATGGTGGCAGTGGAAACAGTCTTGGTGATAGTCGAAGTAGCAGTAGCGAAAACGGTAGTGTGCAGGTGAGTAGGGGCATTAGTGCAGTCAATAAGAATGGTATTGTCAATAGTGACGACGGCATCCTCCTTCAACTCGACATCCACGACAACAGGGTATTCAACGATGTTAACGGAAAGATGCAGGACCTCTCCGGTGAACACGCTGTTAGCGCAGGTTTCCTGGGAGGATCTGGCTTGGATGACGCCAGCAGACGCAGCCCCAAAGGAGGCTGCAGCTGCAGCGAGGTTTTGAAGACGCATGATGCGTGTGTAGTAGGTAACGAATGACTAGTGTGGGAGTATAAATGAAAGAAAGAGTCAGACTAGAGAACGAGTGTAAACCGCCAGCCTAGCTCTCAAAAAAAGATGGGATTTTATTGTTATTTATACCAGTGGAACACTGCCCGATTCAAGTGAAATCGGTGGATGGCCTCAGGAAAATTGAGACCGAGGCAGGTCACCCGGGGTTTGACGATAACCTTCAATCCAGGCCGAAGAGGACCCGGATCTATTCCCAAAGAGGTAGATAGCAAGACATTCCACGGATCGAATGAGCTGCCAACGCCGGCGAAGTTATGTCTAGTCGGCTCGAAATCCGAATTCGGGGAAGGCTGGCGCGAAAATAGTCATGGCTGTGTGCTGCAGCTTCGAAGTGCATGAACCCTACCTTCTTAGTGCAGCCACAAGACTGTATGGTAGTCCCATGTCGTCGGTAATCTCAAGTCAACAGCCCAATGAAAGACTACAGAAGCAGGATGCGGTATCTTGATTTCAATATTGCATATAATCGTACAAGCGGGCCCACAAGGTTGACGATGGTATCACTTGAATGTGGCGTTCTAAAATATCTTGGAAGGCTTGTCTTAAAGCACACAGAGAACCCGTTAGCTGTCAAGACCATCTCCAGGCAGCGACACACCACGTTTTCGACTAGGACTTGGGCTCCACTCTGTTCGGCTCTTCCATTAAATTCAAATAGAAACCTGGCTGATACACTAGTCCATGCTGGAGACAGCTATGGTATCTGGATGTGTCTATGGAGATACCTAAGTATCATCTGGCATGCTTTGAGTAATGATTGCATCCCTGTTTCCAACAACAAACATGAATCAGTTTCAATTTAGAACCAGGGAAGTCAAATCCCAACTCGACACCCACGTCCAAGTCTGGACTTCAACAACAGCCGAACCCATGGATCAGGGAACTGCCCCTGGCCTAGTGGACCCACTGTCGCTCGATCTGGAAACGCCCTGTACAGTTTCTTCACTTCGAGTCCGGGTTATCCGGCAGCCCGGCAGGAAAACAAGGCAGCAAAGACGTTGGTTCTGGGCTTTCGAAGCTAGCGCCAATGAAGATCCAGATGATTCGTTCAGAGCCAGCGGCGCCACAATCGCGCAAGATAAATTGGAAAATGACCCGAGAGACTGGATACTATGAAGGGGCGAAGAGCTTTGCGGGAATTGTTGGAACTGTCTTAGGATGACAAATTAATCACTGTTTTTGAATAGATACCTTCTCCTGATGCTCTCGTACCCGTACACGCCGATACTTGGGTCTTGTACTCCGTGCTCCATAACCAGTGGAAAGAATGGAAAGATTTAGTCTCGGATGGAATAGGAAGAGAAAATAGCCAGAGAAGGCTAGGGGAAGTTCAATATTCTTACTTGTTCTATAATGCACATAGGACCGAGTCCACTACCTGTCAAGTCTTCCTACCACATGGTCAAATGTCGATCACAGGACCCTTTCAAAATATGTGGATTGGAAGGGAGAGGGAAGGGGAGACTACAGGTAGAGCATGCAAATCAGCTCTTTGAAAAGGAGTCGATCAGCGAGAAGCTAAAGATCGACAGGCTTTATTTCAAAACAGGATGCTTAAAATCCTATCTGGTTCAGCTGGACTTGGAGCCGTCGCTCATTTGTTTTGAGATGAGCCAATCGATTGACTCCATCGATGATCTTTTATGAAGGACTGGAATGGTTTGTAATAATTCATACATTATGTATCAGTTGAGCATAAATCGTAAGTTACCCGTGGAGTTGAAAGGCTTGAAAGAACCTTGGAACAATCCTCAAGGCTGACCAATTTCGGGAAGTCAACTGTTTGGAACTGTTGTTGTTAAGCCAAATTTGGACTCTAACCATCTAACCATCTTACCAGATTACTAACCCTCGCCTCTTCGCTTTTCCCTACTTCCAAGATATTCAAATGTTATACAATTAAAGTCCGACCTATCTCCGCGCTTAGATAAGTCGCCTGGAAGCTTCTCCGCATTAGTCACATGGCGATAATCGATTGTAGATTGTGCCAGGGCATTCGAGCATTCGAGCCTCACCTACTGTATACCTCGCAAGTCCAACATCCCACTTCCAAATCCCCAAGCCCAAACCCAATTCTCCAAATTCCCAGCCATGTCCCCCATAACCGCATCAAAAGGGCGCAACCCCTCCCCAAAAGATGAATCCTACACGCAAATGGCAGACACAGACCTCGAATCCATCGGCCGCCACTGCCAATATGAATACTGCGGCCAACTAGACTTCCTCCCCTTCCGCTGCGAATCCTGCCACAGCACCTACTGCCTCGACCACCGCTCCGAAACCGCGCACAAATGCCCCCGCGAAGGCGAATGGGCCCGTCGCCGCAACGGATCAAATAACCAAGAAAACCGCTCCGCCCCCGAAAAACCAACAATCCACAACTCGGACCAGTGCTACCACGTCCAGTGCAAGACTCTCATCAACACCCTCAAAGACCCCGCCGTCCGCTGCCCCCAATGTAACTACCAATACTGTCTCAAGCACCGCTTGCGCGAGGAACACGATTGCGCCAAGATTACCCCGCTGGGCGCCAGGCAGGGTAATGTCGCTACCGCAAACGATACTATCAAGTCCATGTTTGCCCGCGTGAAGACTTGGGGCCGGGATAAGCACCAGGCCGCTGCGGCTGGCTCGCTTTTGCCCAAGGCGAAGCCTAAGCCTAATAGTCCTGCTGCGCGCGCGGTTGCGCTTAATGCGCTGAAGCGCTCAGCCAAGGGCGATGCGTCTGTTCCCGTGGACAAGAGACTCTATGTGCATGTTGTTGGGACGGCGGAGACGCAGGCGGCTGAGCCGCCCGCTGGGGATTTCTTTTTCGATACAAGGTGGAAGGTTGGTCGGGTTTTGGATGATGCGGCGAAGAAGCTAAGGGTTGAGAATTTGAATAATCGGGTTGGGGGGGAGGATACGAAATTGCGCATATTCCATGTTGAGTCGGGGGATTTCTTGGAGTTCTCCGAGTCTTTCGGTGCTGGGAAGGTTAAGCAGAGTGACACTATTGTGCTGCTGCGTGGTGCTGGGGCTGTTCTGGGGAGTTCGTGATATGTGTTGGAGCATTTTCTCTTCTTGCTTTTTTTTTTTCCCCTTCTTGCTATTTCGGAGCATATACATAGCTTGATACACCCTGGAGCATATTTGCATGTGATACGATGCGTCTTGGAGGTTTCTTGAAATATAATTTACTAATTAGCTTATATGAGGATGTACATACTATACTCGGAGTTGTATCATCGACGTAATGTTTAGCCTTGTCTATGGACATTGAAATAAATGGTATCATACAAATATCGTAACTCGGATTGTATCGCGAAGACACCTATAAACATTAAACGCTCATCTTCATCTTGATGATCTTGTGAGGCTTGTAACCAATGACTTCAAACTCGTCCTCCTTCCACCCATCGACAACCGCGCTTCCACGGTCATCACGCTTGATGCGCAGCTCGGGGAATTCCGTGGGTTCCCGGGTAAGCTGCTCATTGAGCGCATCGACGTGATCAAGGTAGACATGAGCGTCACCCATAGTGTGAATGAGGGTGCCCGGGTGGAGATCGGCAGCGTGAGCAAGGATGTGAGTGAGAAGAGCATAAGAGGCGATGTTGAAGGGTACACCGAGACCCATATCACAGGATCTCTGGTAGAGCACACAAGAGAGTGTTCCCTTCTCTGTTGGGCGGCCAGTCTTCTCATCGAGCTTCATACCAGAAGGGAAGGAGACGTAGAATTGGGCAAACATGTGGCATGGTGGTAGAGCCATCTTTTTCAGATCCGCGGGATTCCAGGCACTCATAATGATACGGCGATCAAAGGGGTTGTTAATGAGCTTGTTCACGACATCCTTGAGCTGATCGACGCCCTGTCCAGTGTAGTCGGTTTTGGCATCGACGTACTGGGCACCAAAGTGCCGCCATTGGAATCCGTAGACAGGACCCAGGTCGCCTTCCTCGCGGTGGCCGAGACCAACCTTATCCAAGAACTCGCGGCTTCCATTTCCGTCCCAAATTTTGATGCCGGCTTCGGAGAGAGGAAGCGACGATGTGCAGCCAGAAATAAACCAGAGGAGTTCCGCCAGCACGGCACGCAGGAACACTCGCTTTGTGGTGAGAAGGGGCAGGACGGGGATCGGATCGCCGCCTTCTGGATTGGGCTTGGAAAGAGAGAAGCGGAGTTGAGGTGGTGCAAAGATGGATTGTGTGCCAGTACCTGTGCGGTCGGGTCGGTGCTCGCCCTGAGAAAGGATGTCACGAATCAGATTGAGGTATTGGTGCTCTTCGTGCGCAGGGTCGTGTGGCGGCGAGGGTGCCGGAGTTTGCGCTGTTTGGTCCTGAGTCATGGTGAAGTTTTGTGATCCGAGTCAATTTCTGAGACCTTCTGCCTTGACCTGGGTTGATTTAGAGTCTTGAGTCTGCTTGTCTGTTGAGAAGAGGAGATTGGATCCACGGATCGCGTCGACGCGACACGTGGTCACGTGCAGCCCATCATTTGCGATGGAAATTCAATGCTTCAAGTAGGCCATTGATGGGATTGGTCGATTCTCTAATGTAGCAATCATGAACTTGTCCGGGGTACCGATTTGCTTTGTAAGTATTTAAACGGTCTACCAACACAGTTGTTACACACGTATATGATCCTTTCCGCAGATTAAGAAACGGCCACCAAGATGTATACAACACTGTTTGTACAACACGATGTGATCCTAACAATCTCGAGATAATCAGGCAAACTGACAAATCAGAAGCAAAGATACAATCTTGGTTTTTTTGAAGTGTATCCAGTGCCTTTTATGAGAAGACAGGGACAGAAGAAACATGGATTGCTGGCGTGCTCTGGAAGCTATAGCCCTAGAGATCTATATGGACATTACACCTTCAGCATGAACTTCCACATTACACATTACACATGACCTCACACTGTTTCTGCTACTCCAGACTTCTGACCCCAAAGCAAGCGAGATAACGGAATTTACTCCGCTCCAAGCAGATAAGATTCTCCACTCCGACAAGGGCCGAACTCAAGTTTGAGCAAGTCAGAGTGTTGCAGCGCATTCCGATTCCGAGATAGCTTCAGCCTTCCTATTGGGGAATAATGGCTTCTGTGCGGGGAATCTGAGCTGTACTTTTTCTCCTCTTCTCTGATCCCAGACCGCCATACCTTTCTCCATCTCCATCTCCATCTTCATCTACTTCAATCCAAGCTACAACATGAGTCTCCAACAATGGGAGCAAAAGGCTCAGAAGGGCAGGGAGATTCTGCAGAATTCTATTCCAAAGCAATGGCTTCTCCCTGCCGATAGATTGCCGCCTGTTTCCCAAAAGAGCGTGGTTGATTTCCCCAAGGAGAGTGGGCTGCTGAGCGAGCGGGAGCTGAGAATTACCGATATGTCGGCTACAGCACTAGTCGAGGAGATGGGCAAGGGGAGTTTGACTGCGGAAGAGGTGGTGGTTGCGTTTTTGAAACGATCCGTGCTGGGTCATCAATTGGTGAGAGAGTGGAAATCCGCTTCTATTTGCTTCAGGGCTAAGATATGACTTGCAGCTTAACTTTGCCACGGAGTTTATGGCTGACGAAGCAATTGCCCGGGCTAAAGAACTTGACGAGTTCTATCAACGTACAGGGAAATTAGTCGGGCCTCTTGTAGGTGATCTGAGTGAACAGATAACAAGTCAGGACCTAATTACTTAACAGCACGGTGTTCCGATCAGTGTAAAGGAGCACTTGGCTTTCAAAAATCGGACGTGCAATACAGGTTATGTTGCTTGGTTAGTTTATTCAGGGTTCATGGTTGCTGCGAAGTCACTGACTGGAAACAGGGTCGACAAGGTCATGACAGAAGATGCCCTTCTTATCCAACTACTCGCCAAAGCCGGTGCAGTTTTCCACGTTCGAACTAACCAGCCGCAATCGTTGATGGTACGCCCATACCCAAGCTTCATTTCACAGTAGCTAACTACTGTGTATCATAGCATTTGTGCTGCAGCAATAACATCACCGGCACAACTGTCAACCCATACAACCGCACTCTAACGCCAGGCGGATCATCCGGCGGCGAAGGCGCTTCAATGGGCTTCCGCTGTGCCCCGCTAGGTATCGGGACTGATATTGGCGGATCAATTCGCTGCCCGGCGGCATTTTGCGGTGCCTATGGTTTCCGTCCCTCCACGCTTCGCAACCCTGGAACGGGAATCAATGTCGCCTCGGCGGGGCAGGAGACTATTCGCGGTGTGGTTGGGCCTATGGCGAGTCGATCGATTGAAGATCTGGAATTGTTCCAACGAGCTGTGTTGGAACAGGAGCCTTGGGATGATGAGACGTCTTTAATGCCCTTGCCGTGGAAAACGATCGCTCCAACTCGGAATATCACGGTTGCTATTATGTGGGATGATGGGTATGTTAGATATCAACCCTGTCTCTCACCAAAAGTGGCTAATCAATTTCTCAGATGGGTTCGACCACATCCGCCTATCACGCGCGCTCTCAGACACGCCAAGGAGAAGCTGGCAGCTGCGGGTGTGAAAGTGGTGGATTGGGAGCCATATAAGCATAAGCACGGCTGGGAAGTCATTGTAAGCGGCGAGTTTCCTTTGCAAAATGGAGTTACTAATATTGTTTAAAGTCTGCCCTTTATTACCCGGACGCGGGCGCCAAACAGCGCGAGCTCATGCGCGAATCGGGAGAACCAGCACGCCCTCTTACAGACTGGGCTTTGTCCTATAGTCGTCCCTCGCCTCTTTCCCATGCCGAGCTTTGGGCGCTGCAAGAACAGCGAGAAATCTTCAAGGATGAATACAATGCTCTTCTCAAACGTCGCGGTGTAGACTTTATTCTATCCCCGACATATCCTGCTGCTGCCGCCGTTATGGGCGAGTCTCAGTATTGGAATTACACTGCTATCTGGAACTTGGCGGACTTACCCTCTGCTGTGTTCCCATCCGGGCTGACTGTTGACCCTAAGTTGGATATGCTGGATGAGAAGTATGTTCCTCGTGATGAAGTTGATGAGAGGGAGTGGTTGAAGTATCAAGGCCCAGAGCGGTATGAGGGTGCCCCGGTAGGACTGCAGGTTGCCGGAAGACATAACAAGGATGAGGAGACTTTGATGGCGGCCAAGGTTATTGAGGAGATTATAAAGGACGAGAAGAAGGATTCGAAGCTCTAAGGCTGCTTCCTTAGATGAAATATCTATGTTTTTGAATTCATGGTATCTAACTAGGCAGGGAAGAACAGCAACAGTCTATGTCTATGCAGTCTCACTCCTCAATTCCTGCAAACTCTTAACCTGACTACCATCCTCATTGAAGTTCTTCTCATCCAACCACTTCTCAAGCGCACTCTTCAAAGTCGTATCCCAATCATCCTTCAACATGGAAAACCATGCAGTATCTCGACTCCTGCCCTTCACAATCATATGCTGGCGAAAAGTCCCCTCGTAAGTGAATCCCAAACGCGAAGCAGCCCGGTGCGACGGGCCATTCAATGCGTTTAATTTCCACTCCAGTCGCCTATAACCAAGTTCATGGAATGCATATTGAGCAATAAGATAGACAGCCTCTGTAGCACCGGTCGTCCGCTGAAGAGCAGATGAGTACATGACATTCCCGACTTCAATGCAAAAGTGATCCGGCACGATTCGCATCAATGATAGATAACCGATTGCCTTTCCGAATGTTGGAAGGGCCTTTCGCTTGTCGATTACTGCAAAGAAGAATGGATCGATGGAGGCTGACTTTGTGGCAATACTGTCTTTGAATTTGTCTGCGTCGCCGTATGGTCCGTCGAACATGTAGTCCCAGAGTGGTGCATTGGGGGTTGATTCATCGCCGCCGGTGAGGGCGAAGAGGTCATTTGCATGTTTGAGGTCAAGTTTCTCCAGGGAAATGGTTCGGCCTGGGATTGTTTTGCTCGATGGCAGTAGGGCCGGAGCGAATGAGACTAAGGGTCCTTTGGGGCGAAGCGCTGCCATGTTTGGAATTGAATTGTTTCCGGTTCAGTTTCAGATTTAGATTGTGATTCTATTCTGTCGAAGATGAGAACAAATGTCCGGTTTTAATTGTTGATAATCATTGTTTCGGGCTCTCACCCATGACTCATGTCGATGTGATTTGATGAGAAGACCGAGATCCCGTGATAACATGAGTTTCCCGAAATAATTTGATTGGCTGCATCCCCGAACTATATCGTTGACCTATTAAGACATGGGAGAACACTTGAGATTATGAGTAAGATGTAACATTAGTTCGGTATTGTGGGTTCAATATCATCGGGAAACGCAGATGCACCCCAATCCAGCGCAAATGCTAAGCAGAACGATCAATTTCCCTCGGAATCGTGTATCGTGAGTCATGAACAACACCATCTTCCTTCATTTTCAGAAAAGGCCTGTCTTGCCTCTCTTTTTGTACAGCAAATACCATAGGCCAATGACTTGGAATGCTCCAAAACACATGGTTATCCCGCTGAACAGTTGAATTCCAAGATAATTCAAATCAGCACTACCATTGGAGCCAATTGAAGCAAGCGCACCTGCTATCGGTGGGCCTAGCAGTGTGGCAAAGCTGCTCAAGCTTTGTGCCATCCCAAGCCATGTCCCTAGTTTCTTTGGATCGGGACAGACATGAGAGAAGACACTTGGTGGAAGTGGGATCAGAGCGCCAGAGATACCACCTAACTTTTGATTTAGTGAACTGTCAGGGTAAAGATTGATATGCATTTCTTACCATAGAAAGAAGCAAATAGAATGAATTTGACAAGGCTGTTTGCACTTATCCAGGTAATGCACAGCATACCGGATAGAACACCACATGAGATCCAAGAGATCATTGAACCATAGTGATGAGCAAAGATGGTCAAAACAACACGCCCGATGATCGAGCATGCCTGGGATATCATTAATATATTAGATGCCAACGTTCGTGACGTTCCCAGCTTGGTTTCGGCATAAGTTGGAATGTAATAATAAGGCGTGATATATCCGAGGTAAAGAAAAAAGTTGGCGACAGTGAAACTCCAGAAAGAAATGTCCTTGAATGCTTGCGTATCCAGTAGGCTTCTGCGCTGAGTTCTCTCAGGCCTCTTTGTATTTCTTTCCGGTACAAGAAGCAGGACAGCCGCTGCCGAGAAAAGCGCAAGCATGACGAAGCCCATGCAACGAACAGTCCAAGGGAATCCCACTTTGGATATGAGTTGATTGAACATGACGGTGTATATTATGCCCCCAGCAGGAGCACCACTCGTTGATACGCCCAACGCAACAGCGCGTCTGGTCGTGAATGATCGACTAACCAATGCAATACTGGGCACATATAGCAGCCCGAATCCAAGGCCCATGCATACCCCCTGACTCAGAAATATCGCATAGTATTGGTCTGCAAGACTGAGGACCATAATTCCAAGAACACCCAACGAACTTCCGATGAATATCATTTCTTTGTAGTAACCGAGGTCGAACAGCGGGCCAGACAGTAAGCCACCGACAATGAGAAGCCATGATTGAACTGTACCAATCCATGCTATGTCCGATGCGGTGGATGACTGAATATATTCAAGTGTATAAAAGCTTTGGAAGGACCCAAAGGCAAAACTCAGGCCCCTGTTTGGAATTAGCGACGGAGTAGGATTGCAGAAGTGTTGACTCACCAGACGTTGAACAATATGAAAAATGCGCCTAGAACTTGAAGACATCCTCGTAGGACACTTTTTGTGGAAGTGCTGGATGCTTCAGACTGACCTTCATTTTCCGTAATAGGCACTAAATCTGTAACTTCCGCAGTAGCAGGCACTGTCTGTGTTGACTTTTCCGAGAACATGGCCCAGGATCTCGTATCATAGATGAGAATCGAATTCTTCGAAAATGGGCATACATTTTCGAATCAACTTAGACTTGATTCAAGCCCCTCTATCATATTAGTAATTCAAAAGATGCTAGTTCTGGACCTCGGGGTAGAACTGGGGGTTGTGCCTCGGAGAATACACCGGACCTATGAGCTGGGTTCGTCTGCCACTTTGGCCTTTCCCTGTTACTCTCTCCCCTCTTGATCCGAGTTATCCGATCACGCCTATGGACGTCTTTGTTAGATGATTCATGATACCTTGGAAGTTCTGTAAATTGCTCACTAAACATAATCTGAGTGACGGGCTTCCCCGCATTCTCTGCTTAGCCGAAGGGTTCAAGATACTCTCTTTCTGTCCTCAAATACAGGATCAACGTAGACCAAATATGTCGGCTTCTGGATAACACTCATGTGTCTTCTTGCTCATGGGCAGAAATTATAATAATAACCTCCAATAACGGTGCTCAAGGTCGGACCGACCGTCAGCTGCATCGTCTAATTCCGGGGTTGTGGACAAACACGGAGCCATGATATCTTCTTCATGGAGCCTGAATAGTAGGATGCAATTCAATCCAAGGAAAACCCTCAACCTAGAGGAATTGCGCAGTCAAAAATCAGCTAGTATCAGGTGACTCGTAAACTGTGTTTTACCCCAAGTGGGTTGGTTATACGTGTATATTCGGATTCTAGCTTGGCGACTTCATTGCTATTTGTTGCACCCATACAGTATGTTTTTTAATGTATTTCCAGTCTACTGTACCGTTGACACGCGCCAAAAATATCACCTTGGCGCTTAATCGTCTTGGCGATGATATAAACAGAATTCGCATCTCCGCCAATCCCAACCATCTACTAACCGCCTCAATCCCCCCAATCCCCTAAATCAGATCTAAATTTACAATGCATCTCTCTATCAAATCGTCTCAGATTCCAGCCCCAATCTGTACCACCAAGACCAAACTAGAATTATGATTTCCCCCTGATCTCAAACCGTTTCTTAAAGCCCATAACGTTATTATCCCATACTCCATCAATCCATTCCCAACGCGAAGAAATGCCCAAAACAACCTTCAATATCCTGCAAATATCAACGTTACTCGTCACAATATTCAAAACAACCACGGCAACCCCAAAATGCTACCTAACAAGCGGTAAAGAAGCAGACTCAAGCTTCCAACCCTGTTTCCCCTCCCAAGAAAACAGCCCCTGCTGCTCCCTCGCAAAGAGCAACGAAACCCCAAACGATATCTGTCTCTCTGGTGGAGTATGCTACATCCAAGATCCAAATTTCCGCGGTCTGTTACGCCAAGGTGCTTGTACGGACTCGACGTGGAAGAGTGGACAGTGTCCTGGTCTTGCGAATGATGGTAAGATACTATGCTGTTCTTCACGCAATGGACTACAGACGGGTCTTTTTTGGCTTGCGTGATAACGACCTAACATCTGCTCCGCTAAAAATAGTCTCCGACGCAACCCTCTACGTAATCCCCTGCCCGATCCAAGGCCGCGGTTTCTGGTGCGGAAGCGTCAATGGCTCTGATTGCTGTGACAATGCGGTGAGATTGGATATGGGACAGATGATCAATGTGACTGTTACGTCTATTTCGGATTCCGTTTCGTCGTCCGTTTCGGGGTCGGATACTGTGTCTGCTGGGTCGGTGTCGACTGCGTCCGTTTCGTCGGCTACTACTTCCACTGCTAATTCGGCGTCAAATTCTTCCCTCAATGCAAGTGCCAAAAATGATGATACTGCTGGCGCTCATTCGGCTGATGACACATGTCCCTCTGGTTCAACATGTCCGGCATCACATACAGTTGCGATAAGTGCGGGACTAGGTGGTGGACTAGGCGCATGTCTCCTTGTGGCGATCTTGACAATTGTCTTTCAGAGGCGAATGTATAGGAGGAATTTGAGGCAGAAGGAGGCTATGATTGATGAGATTGCCAAGGCTAGCGAGCAGCAGCATCTTGTTTATCCTGTTTACTCTGAGAGGGAGAAGGTGTTTCCTGCTGAGTTGGGTCCTCGCGCTACGAGGGTTCATGAAGTCGATGGAAATCGATTGAATGAGATATGAGTGGCTCTGGAGTTATGTTCTGCGACTTCTAGGTCATATTCTTTGTATATACTTGAGTTTGTGAACGATACGGGGTTTCTGCCAGGCATGTTAGCGTCTTGTATGAAATGAAAAGGGCAGCAGGTGTTTTTGAAGATTTACTTAATAGAAGAAGTCTCTTACATATTCCTTGATAAAATCTGCGCAACCAGGATGCTGGATACAAGTTATAGTATCGAATATTATCATCAAATGCATGATTGAATTCCAAAGAAACAGCATAAGTACATCCATCAACATACATGTCCACATATCTCAATTCGAGAGAGAAAAAGCAAGATCATAAGAATATTTCCATCATAAAAAAACACACACAAAATTAAACACCTGATATCTCAAAAGCAAAACTCCAAAAAAAAACACAGTGGAAAGATTAAAGGGGAGAAACAAAAGAGAAACGTTTAGTTCAAGAGAAGATAGAGCAGAGGGGGTTGTCATCCTCTATTTTCGCCAGAACATAGCTTTTCCAGCTACACGGCCGGCAGACCAGCGCGCTTCGTTGAAACGATCCTTCAAAGTCGCACCACCGCCGTAGCGGACAGGGCGAGAGGATGAAGAGCCTGACTCGGTTGATTTGCCGACGCTACTGCCTCCGAAGGAGCTAGGAGCGAAGTTGGTCATATTGCCAGCGTCGAATTTGGTTTTTCCTTCGACGATCTTGTGGATCACGTTTAGGATTGCGTAGGCGGTTGAACCAATGGCACGGATAGCGGCGAGGACGGCGACAGACCACAGGATGATGGCGAGATAGATGTTTGTACCACCTGCATCAACTCCGTAGACTTCAGAGACTGCCATTCCCAGGATCACGTTTGCTACCATCCAGATCGAGACCATGTAGGTACGGACAGCGCGGTAGTAATCTTCTTGGAGTTGGGAGTCGGACGGTGGGGGCTCGGGGACTTCGAGACGATCGCGGAGGTTGCGCAGCGCTGCGTCGTAGCCGCTGTCGATGTCAAGTTGCTCCGAGGGCATTTCCAGGAGGACGGTTGAGCCGTTGATCACCTTGGCGGCACCCAGATCGGTGTTGATCACGTTGTCTCCCTTTGTTCCCCAGGTCACATCGTGCGTGTTACAGAATGCGTAAACCTGCAGTGTGCAGATGTAACTCGGCATCATGAGGAAGTATTGGATCGACGAGGTAAACATGTGCCAGGGATCCAGGTAGAGGAAGGAGCTGTAGAAGTACAGACCAACGGTTGACAGCATGGACAAGACGATGTTGGTCATGAGACTGTCGCTCACGTCCATGTCGCTATTTCCTACACCAGCGCGTGCAAGCAATTCTTTGACCACCAAGTACAGAGCACAGAACACCGTGTAGAACATGATGACGGCGTAAACAATGATACCGGAAAGGTACAAGTTTTTGGCACTGTCATGCGTTAGTAGAATCTCCGGATTCTTCATAGAAACTGACTTACCCTTGTGGTCGGTTTCCTAACGAGATAATGAATTGCAAACACATGACCAAGATACAAGCATAACGCAGGACGATGAAAATGTATTTTCCCATGTTATGACCGAACGGATCAAGCTTCTTATCAGTCAAGGAGCCGGCAATGAAGTAGAACGCGAGATAGAAGTTGGCCTAGACAGGTTAGTCGACGTGCAGCAAAACAATTGAATCACTAGAGTACTCACAAGACCAAAGTAAGTGAACAAGAGATTAAGGAACTGATAGAAGAACTCGATATGAAGCAGGATTTTTCGAGGAATAGTGTGATCTGTCTTCCAGATTTGCTTCGCATTGAAGATCGAGTAGACAGCAGCGAAGAAAGCGCCGTTCAGCCAGCGACGACGTTGTGAGATAAACTCAGGTACCGTATCAGGCACATCAGTTTCTCCAACCGCGTTCTTGACGAACTTCAGCACCCATCTTTCTTCTCGCTTAGCCACCAACTCCCAGCAAAGAATACGATCCTCGGCCAGGTACATGTTGGCCGTGAAGACGTCTGCATCTTGACCATGTAGCGTCTCACCTTTGAAATATTGATTCAACGGACCATGGCCGTCTGCATCGTTTTGCAGGGCAAAGAACCGGTAAGCACTTAGCGCACCGGGCAAGACAGTAATGTAACCAAACACTGATTCCAAAGGTTTATCCAGAATGTTGGACATTTTGTACTCAAAGTTCTGACTTGCCACGAGAGGATTAAGCAGACCAAGGTAGTTCTTACCCTTGGCAGCCTTGATCTCACCGGCTGCACCAGCAACATTCGAGTCCTGATCGAAAGCCTTCCACAAATGGTAGAGGGCTGTTTGCTCAGGCCGCGTACCGACATCGAGCAGAATACAGATATTCGGTTGGAGAGCACGACCAAAGGCGTTGAAGAACCATCTGTGGGAGTTCAACTTTTTTTTGTTGTGTTCCTTCAAACAGAAGATGACCTGACAAGGTACAATACCCTTCTCGGCACCCTTGAACTTGAGGTCAGAGTCAAGCGACACCTGGGTGGTGTACTCGTACACGTGAGCCTGGACCTCCTTTTGGTTGACAATGTTCTTCGCAATACCCTCCTGGTACACGCCAAGTGCGGCCAAGGCATTGAGAGTACGAGGATGGACCTTTTTACGTCCATCAGCGACGATACAAACAACGATCTTTTTCCAGCCATCACGACCCCAAGTACGAGACTTGGTTCTGGAGCAGAAGTGACTGATATTTTGCATGATACCGTGCATCGTGCGGGTGAAACCAATCTCATCTTCGTTATACATGGTGACACAAATGAACAGCTCTGTTTCACGGGTGGTCGTTCCAATCTGTTGACGGAGCTTATATCCTCTGTTTGTGAAGTCATCGGGGTCAGATGTCACAGCGGTATAGCGCATATGAGTGAACTCGCGCTCGTCTCTGCGAGGAAGGAAACTGTGCAGAATTGTGGGGATCTTGCACTCCAAGATCAGCTCGCCGTTGACAAGCTGAACCTCCTTCTTGACGACTTGTTTAGATCTGACACCTCGACGACCTTGCTTTTCCGGTGCTGGGCCGTAGTGCATGTTGGGATCAATAGAACCAGACTCGGCGTCCTCATCATCGTCAAGGTCCACCTTCTGCATTGCGTCCTTCTCATCCCCCAAAAAGGTCGACTCGCTCATAAAGGACCGCACACTACCGCGTGAATTGTGGTGAATCGTACGACCATCGCCACCGAATGGGTCATCTCCGTCCAGTCCATCACCAATATCAATGCTCGTGTCGACAGCACTTGACTTTGGCCCAGAGAATAGAGGAGCGGGGGGCAATGGCCGACGAGGGCTACCGCCGTATCTAGAGCTGGGTGTACCCGGCCGCGGGCTGCCATTCAGATCGGCGCGTTCATAGCCAACACTCGACACAGATGGCGGTCGAATATGGGACGGACTCCATGGGCGAATGGGAGATCCTGTGCGTGGGGGAATAGACGGGTAGACGGAAGTATCTGCTAAGCTCGCTGTTGGTAGGTTGGAACCAGTTGTCATGGTTGATGGTCGACGCGACGGTGAGGACGCAGTTGGAACTTGATAGTATCGATCGTAGCCTGGATCTTCTTCGGTCCTATATGGGCGTGTCCTCACGTTAGACCTTGGTCTTGTTGGAAACGCCATTATGCCTGAGACGGCAATAATTTGGCTTGTAGGGAGGGTATGGGGTGGAGTGGGGGATGTAATGGAATAATGCAATCATGTACAATGTTTACGCGAAGTGCTTCCAACGCGACAAGCTCAGCGGCCCTGTCCAATGACAGCATTCAAGCAGCCATTGCACTGGCACCAAGCTTTCTCCCAGCCCCGTCACGTCAAGGAAGGAGCTTCGGTTGGAAGGGCATGTTCCGCGGTAGCGAGGGAAACCACTGGTATGTAGCGATGGTATAGGGTTTCATGGATAGAATAGCACTGAGTACATACGGAGTATAATCATAATGCGGATCATATGTAGAAGGCGAAGCGGCCCTGGGACTAGTAAAATCATCGGCGCCATCGCCGCTGGTTGGCAACAAACGCATGGTCGCGCCACGGGAGGGATGGCTCGGAGAGTCGTGATCGGACAAAAAGGAAGCCGTCTCTTGGTCCAGGTATGCTGGCGGCTCCTCGCCGTAATTGGACGGAGGGTGGCGGCTCATGGTGAACGTGGAATGTGTTCCAACTCAGATCATAGTATTCTGAATCAGCTCGCGCAATGATAGTCAGGTCTTTCAAGACAGAGCCAGAGTCAGAACTGTCAAGCTCAATAATTTCAAGAATACCTCGAATCGAAGAAGAGATGTAAAGAGGAGAACAGTGCGGAGTCAATAAATCGAGAAACAAGTCCAGCCCGGTTCGTCCGCAGCTTGCATCAACAAGGTGGAGGTGGATGAGGTTGTCAGGGCAACGGGAAGTCGCGTTTTCGAGGAGTTCAGTTCTGCACGGGGGCGCCAGGCTGCAAGCAATAATTTGGCTTTACTAATTTTATTATCTTGATTTCGTTTATTTCATTTATTGCAATTGTTTGATAATTCGACACTTAAGCACAATTCAATATCAACATTCAAACACATATCAAGTGGGTCCATTTTCATACATTAGTGCATTGGCTTCATAAAACACAACTCCATTGCAACGAATGTCCGTATTCAAAATCATTTCATACCTCACCTTATCAGATGCCAGGTTACTCAGTTCCTGGCATCACATGTCATACTAGGAACAGTAGACATACTAGTCTCAACCTTTGGCGACGTTCAAACCTGGTCATTAAGCAGAGGAGCTCTCTCGCGGTCAGTCGACTCGGGGTGTGCGACACGACGGAAGAGGCTGTCACGACCAGTGTACTTCGTTGTGGAGATGTAGATTGAGACAACCAGGAACACCGCAAACACAACAAAGGCGAAGATCCACTGCAGGGCGATGATCTTGACAGCAACTTGACGTAAAGCCAGAGCTAGAGGGATATATGTATTAGCAAGTGACCCACTACATATTCGAGAATGGAACATTGACAGGATGGGGGTTATGCAAGGGGCATAAAAGGGCAATACGCACACAGCGACAAGATACTGAGACAATATCCAAGGATGTAGTCTTCCCGCAGGACAATATCAAACAATCCCACAATGAGGATCACCCAGATGAAAATGTTGGCGACGATCCTTCCGGGGAGGTTGTGGCTATGCACGGCCACAGCACCATTCCAGAACAACGCGGTCAATGTCCAGGCATAAGGTCCTGCAACAGCTGGGAGGTGGACGAAGGCTGGCAGACCACGATGACGCCAGTAGGTAATCCACTGGTTGAGGAAGTGGAAGATGAGGACGACCTCAGCACCCCAGAAGTAATTACGGGTCCAGAGGAGGATCCAGACGAACAGGAAGACGTTGTTCAGGATAAAGTGGGTGGCGACGTTGGCGGCAGCTGTGACTAGCACATTGTTCTTGGAGAAGAGGTGGTAGACATAGCTTAGCTGCGATAGGAGAAGCAGGATCCTGTATGCTGTTAGTATGAGAAATTTCAATTACTTCGACATATACAGCGTGACATATGATGTGGGTGGAGTGTGACAGTTATCCAGGTGGGGGGGATTGTCAACCTACCAGTAAATCCCAGTCAAAGTAGTGTTCTGACTGAACGGAGTGTTGTGCTTATTAGCCTGTTTCCAGATCTTCTTGCTCTTCTTGACATCGTCCGGCGAGTGCAAAGAGTAGTAAATGCCAACTACCACGACCAAAACCCAGCTAAGGGGTACGAGGACGCGGTAGGTATTCAGCGAGCTGGCGCTGTGGGTCTCGCGTCTAGCGAAGGGATTGAAGGAAGCCATGGTGAATATAGCCAAAATGAAGCTATGGAAGGAAAAGTCAAAGTAGGAGAGGGGCTACATATAGCATTTGGGGATCCCCAGGTCTGGTGACCTGCAGACCAATGGCACCATTGCGCAGAAATCCTGTATGCGGCAATTAGGCAATTAGGTCAAGTTGGATGATGTCATCTATCCGGGGTCTTTTATAACATACAGTTTGTATGTTGTACTGTCTAGAACTATGAGCTATCTAGAACTTTACTGAATATACCGAATTCGATGGCCTCTGAATTAAGAGCCCAAAAGTGAAGCATAGAACGATCCGGGAGTCCCAAGGTCCCTGAACCTGAAGTGCAAGTCAGTCCCCGCACGGTCTACGAAGATCAGCCTGGACTTGGTAAAAATCAGCCTTGGAACACAACTTAGTAGTGTAATGTCAGCCAAACAAAAGGGATAAGACAAGGATGTCTAAACTGGGAAGTGTTTCAACCCTAAACTACAATTGGTGTGACACTGACTTGCCTATTCGAGAATTGCGGGGCACCAACCTTATGTCGGCGATCAGAGCAACTATAAGGTTCTCGACAAGATTCTCTATTCTCTTTACGGTAATTGTAATTGTATATATGTTGCATTGGGTATCAATGAATATATGTAGCCAACAAAAAAAGAGAACTCTACAGACCCCGCGCCACTTTGACTTCTTCCAGAAGTCGCTGGTGAATCGAAGCAGGCGCAACAACCATACCATAACACCCAGCCAAAGTCCGACCCTGCGAACAATCTACAGCCCGCCCTTCCAAATCAGAGACCACGCAGCCCAACTCCTGCACAATAAGCATGCCACCTGCGTGATCCCAGATCTTGGACCGGTACTCCTTACTCAATGGCACCTTGATGAAAGCATTACACCCACCCTGCACTGCAATAGCCACATAACGCATCTGCGCCGACCACAGGTCAACCGGGCTTGGCCACGGAGCGCCCAGTCCAGCTGCGACGCGAGCGTGAAGCTCCAGGTTCTGCGTTGTGGCGGCCTTTGTATCGATGAAGTGAACCGCCGAGGTATCTGTGATCTGGGGGATCTGTTCGAGCGGTCTGGAGGGGAGGAGGGCGCCTGGGCCCATTGGCTGGATAGTTGCGCCTTGGCCGACTACTGCGGCAAGGAGTTGTCCGTGACCATCACGGTCGATGAGGGTCTCCGAGACGAGCCCTGATGCTCGTAGGTTCGGGCAGCCTAGCACGCCGATCTTTTGCTGGCCGTTCTCTACTAGCGAGAGGCAGACGGCATATTGCTCTCCTCGGATGAAGGTTGCTGTGCCATCCACCGGATCCAGGGTCCAGGTTCGACTGGTGGGGGTGCAGTTGCCCTTTGCGCCGAGATCGATTAGGTCGAGGAGTTCCTCGCGGGTTTGCGGGGTGTGAAGGAGGGCCTCGCTAGCTTCGTGGTCAAGGTGGGTTTCGGTTGCTAGTTCCCAGGTTCGTTCGAGGAGGACTTGGTTCTCGCGGAGGGCTGTTGCGTCCTCTTCACCGACAATCTCGTCATTTGGGAAGACATGGTGGATTGCCGCAATGATTGAGGCTTGTGCGGCGAAATCGGCGATTGTTACTGGCGAGGCATCGCTTTTGTCTAGGGCGCCTTTGTCGACCGCCGAGAGGAGTTTCCTGGTGATGAGGGCCGCCCGTTGCACTGCTAGGCTGGCCAGTTGGAGTTCCTGGGCGTAGGGGGTGGCCATTGTAGGAGATGGAGCCGACTTGGTCGTTCAGGTTTAGGAGGGAGCAGTATAATAGACCTCCCGGGGGATTGGCCTGTTTGGAAGTGAAAAATTGCAGTAAAATAAATCAAGATCAATGAGATAGTGGGATACATTTTCCCACAGGATCGTCGGAGATCATCACGTGAGGTGAATCACCAAGGTAATCTGTCTACGTCATATCTGGATGGGCCCGCTGGACTCGAGATTAACACTATGGAGTGGATACGTAAACCTGAAATTACTTGCCCCAATGAGCGATTATGTTTGAGAAGTTACATGGGATGTGGTAGAAGATAAGTCATGAACATCAATTGATAATGGGTATTAGCCCGAGGAAGCCGGAAAAGTGCTTAGGGGGTCTAGAAATGCGAGCTCCAGCTCAAAAGGTATATCGCAGAACGCCGAACCAACATATCAACACAGACAAAAGAGCAAAATCAGAATGGAGCAAAAGCCAATTCGTAAGCAAAGGCCAAGCTCATCTTTGCGTGCTGCAGCATATGATCAAAGCTGAGATACTCAATCTTGTCTTCGGTAGTGTGGATCTTCTTGTCGGAGTTCTCGAACTGAGACTCAATCACGAATGCCGAAGGATATCCATAGCGACTGGCAGAGGCATGATCAGAGCAAGCATAACCGCACTTGGTCTCGACGTAGGGGACATCGCAGTAAGTAGTGATGACCTCCTTGATGAAGGAAGTGAGGCCTGGGTCGACATAGTCGATAATGACACCGACCGACTCTGGCGCACCAGCATCAAGAGTTCCCTGAACATAGCCCGTCATGTCCTGTTGGAGCATGGCCTTGACGTTGCGCGATTCCTTCTTATACTGAGCATAGACAGCCTGGGAACCCAGTAGACCACCTTCTTCCGCAGAGTACCAATGGAACTCGACGGTGTTGTGGGCCTTGCCTTGAGCGATAGCCTCCGACCGCAGCAGGGCGCGAAGTGCTTCGAGAATGGTAACGGTTCCACTGCCATCGTCATCGGCGCCAGGTGCAGCCAGAATGGATGGAAGGAACAGGTTGATGCTGTCCTGGTGGGAGCCCAACACGACAGTGTTGTTCGTCTCGCCGGGGATGCGGGCAATAATGCTGAATTGGCCCCAAGGGTGAGAGAAGCGCTCAACGGTGGCGCCGTGGTCGCTGGCCCCGGATTCGTGGATCGCAGCGGTCACCTGGTCGAACAGCCATGTTGCAGACTCGATACCAGTCTGGGACTTGTAGTAACGGGTGTGGAACGAGGTGAAGTGCTCCAAGTTGCTACGCATATTCTTCTTGTCGAGAGTCTTAGAAAGAGGGTGAATGGCATCCGAGTGCTTCATCTCCTCGGGATAGTGAACAATGCGCGACGTGTGCAAGGCTCCGTAGGAGCCTGATTGCCATTCATCGGTGACATCGATAAAATTGACACCATCCTAATTCAACATTAGCCATGGTCAGATTGAAGCAGAGAGCTTTGACATACCAGTTTAAGGGACCATTTCTCCTCTTCCGTCACCCAGCGGGTCTGGTATGGGGCCAGTTCGATCAAAGACTTAGACTGTGGGTTCTGGACGATCGAAGGTGCCAAAGGCTGTTGCTCGGGGTTAACCAATGCCAGCGCGGTCGCAGTTGCGCTCAGCGCAAGAGGAGTGAAAAACTTCATAATGGATGTAATACTAGGATAATTGAGAAAGAAAAAAGCGGACGGGGAGAAGGGTTTTAAAGCTTTCGGAGCTAGGACGGGATCGAGAATGGGGGGCGGTCTCACGCGCCTTGTTACCCTTTAGGCGCCAAGTTCTGGACCCCGCGCTAGGCTGTCGGGGGTTATTCTTAGCAATTTGTTACCCGGTCTACCCGACTATCTGTTGTGTTTCGCGACCTGAAACGATGACCCTGAACCCATCGTGATGGTTATTTCCAGTCATATCAGTGTTGATTCTGTGTGCCAGGCGATCTGGGGGTGGAGAATGCCATCTCCACTATGACTATCACATGAGTCACCGGATATGACCTGGCAATTCAGGCTGCACAGGCAATTCACTAGTGCCATCCAGGGCCGTCCAGGACCGTACCTAGGGACTGTCCACTGCATCAGTCACTTATAAAGCAATCCCGAGGTCCACTCGACTCCACCTTTTGTCAACCTTGGGAGTCTCAGCCTCTATCCCAATCAGGAAAGCAGGGCTAGGGCTATCTAGGGCTACTTTCCACCAATCACAGGCCTGATTTTGCCCCGTGCTCTCCCTGCGAACGATTGGGTCAAACGGCCTTATCTCTGGCCTTATCCTCCCTCTCGTCCCCTCTATCTGCTTCTCTATCTCTCTCTATCTCCTCAACCCCAAAGTCCCATCATGGCTATTCACCCGCGACTTCGCCCTGAGGGCTCTGCGACCCTATCGCCCCAGCAAGCTCTGGCCATCTCCGCGTGGACGGAGCAACATGCAGTGGCGTCCCTGCAGGATATGACCCTCTCGGACTCCCCTGCAGACCGAACCCCTTCCACACCGACCCCGACGCGCTCATCGCTACGCGGTGCCACCGTGTCGCTGTCAATCCCGCTCGACGACGAAGCCGCTCCCGCTACCCAGACCGAGTCCCGTGCCCCGCGGGTCAGCTTCAGGCGCCGGGAGCCGTTGCAGCGTGATATCGGCAAGCGACGGGAAGCTCTTCTGAAGGGTAAAGATGGGAGCCGCCGGAGACAGCGCTGGGAAAACGGTATGTTTCATCTGCACGAGCCGGGTTGGCGTGGATGACTCGGTCATTCTCGCGTGTTGGCACGTGAATCTGCATGCTGACCGGGTATCAAGATCGTCTGTTGCACAACCCCTGGGCCGAGCCCCCGTCTTCCAAGGACTGGGATATCCAGCCTACATATACTCGGCATGACCCCATGCCTTACTACCTTGCGCCGCTGTGGGACGTTCACTACTCTCATAAAGTAGATCATCAGTCCGCTATGAAGGCAGCCAAGGGAGCTGAGAAGCATCCTATCCCCAAGGAACTCCGGTTGAAGTTGAAGCATGCGCGTGCCGCACGTGGGATGCTTCAAGATCTAGAGGAAGAGATTCGTCTTTTCATCCGTAAGTGGAACGAGAAGCAGGTCCTGTTGCAGAACGAAGGCTTGCAAGATGCCCCGGACTCGGCCAGTGATTCGGAAGATGAAATCGTCTTTGTTGGACGAAATGGCCAGATGCACGACGCGCCTGAGCGGAAGGAGAAACTCCGTCAACTGCGGGAAGAGATGACTTCTCACAGCGAACGCGATGGTGAGAAGATGGTTTATGAGAGTCCGGTCGATGAACGGGCGGCTGGATTTGGGTGAGTTTTCCTTTCGCCCTTTTAGGGTCTGTTCTTTACTGACTGGATCAGTCGTTGGTTGGTTCACTCGATCGCTTCCTACTATGGGTTGCATACCTGGTCAATCACAGTAGGAGACCGGCGAGAAGCCTATGTTGGCTTCCGACCTCCGGTCCCGGGAAGCCGAGCTGGGCTCGTCTCTCAGCCAGCTTGCAGCACCGAGGCCCTGGTTAAGCCAGGGGAGGAACTGCCCCAGCCTCTCTATGCGCAGATCTAAGCTGTCATTCTTGTTTCCATGTTGGACATGTTTCATTGCGGGGTCACTTTATCCAGGGTAACGTTGGACATAATATTGCAGCATTCCGACCAGGCCTGTTGAGTTTCTGGCTGGTCATTTAGTTTTCATTGGACATATTTTCTCGGTCGCAACTCAGGTTGGCCAGAGATTATCTCTCGTAGCCAAGTGTATGCCCAAAGCAGCGGTCGGTTGGGCAGCTTGATCGTAGGTGGAGGCTTAGTCGGCAAGCCTTGTTCGATACGAAATCTCGCAGAGGTCGTAAGCTCCGGTCGCTGATCTTGTCGTCATGTCAGGACGCGCTAGAATTCTCCGAACCTTCATCAGATAACCTAAAATGAAGGCTGTCGCCTCTCGGTTTCATGTGTAAATGAGACTCTGCCCTGCTCCACCCGGAACGGACCGCACACAGGCCCACGGTTTGCCATGACGTCCCGACGATGCCTTTCAAAGTATTTGAGCATCTGAATTCCAATTCCAATTCCAATGCAGAATGCAGATTCTGGGTTCATGTACAGTACAGTAGCATTCAGAATCAGAATTCACGCTTGGACGAGGCCTGAACCCTGACATAATGAAACTCGTGTCCAGACTTCGTTCTATGCAGGTGCCCGAGATCTCACTGGCCCGGAGGGGGATCATAGAGGGGGAGGAAGAACGAATTATCAGTTGACACTGGAGACACATCACACAGCCTCGGGGGCTTTCTATAGGCTCTATAGGTATGATTTGTAGTGAGGCTGGCACTTTGTTATCGTTACCGGTGAGCTCTGGCACTCTTATTGGTGTCAACGCAAGAGGGGGGTTTCATGGCCCATAGTCAAAGATTGATCGGGTACTCAAATGACGAGTAGACATTTCCCCCCTACCTTTTGCCTTGTTTTTTTGAACTATTCTCCTATATCTTCCTCTTCTTTCCAATCGGGAACTTTTATCCCCCCCCCTGTTCTGTTCCCTTTCATCATATGATCCCTTTCGAATCTTCCGTGGATTGCGGATACCTCAATTTCCCTTCATGCCAGAGCGCCCATCTCTCTCCTCCCCACACGTCATGGGAATCTGACATTTGAACGCGCAAAACTCTGAACTCGTTTCACAAAAAGAATCCGGGGGTGTTGCATGTACCTTCATCTGACCACCCTCCGGCTTATTTACGGCTGACTTACACCTTATATCCGACTCATCCCTTCTCCACCAGTTCCTTGCTTTCGGTTCACTGTGGATCAGTGATAACTACTACAGATTATATCCTTTTTTTCCCCCTCCCTCTCAAAATGGGCTCTTATAAATCATGTCAAGATCGCCCTGGTGGCGGCAGTTCCAGTTCAACGGATAGCTCGACATCCAAAAGTACTGCGGCTACAGCTTTGAGTGACCGCCTCAGCACAAAACACCAAGAAAGAACTGTAGTATATGAAGAACGAGCTCCGAGACCCAGAGACTCCGTCTCCACATGTGCTTCATCGGCTGGTTCAGCCACTGATCTCTCGCATGAAGAACCACGATATGAAGTCCACGAGCGGGAAGAGTTCTTCCCTCTTGACGCTATCCCTTCGACCCCATCTTCTTTCGCGCCTTTGTTCCCGTCGTCAAGGCGGCTGCTGATCCGCCATGATGATGCCACTATCGACGGTAATATGAACCTGCGCGTCGATACCCCCGTCCACCTCAGGGATGGCTCACAGCGCGATGTCATCCTCTTCCATCTGCGCATGTATGATCTCTTCGCAAGGAAGTTCTCCTTTCGTCGCTACTGCCGTGACTCCGGGCGGGAGGTATGTCACTCGGCAAGGAGGGAAGCCTCCTCGGGACACGATAAACGTCCGGCGTTCCGTCGGTCGTGGAGTACCGTCTTTGCCAGTCTGCGGCCAGGCTCAAGTAGCAATGGTGCACCGTCGACAAGTACAACGACTGCACATGGAGATCTTAAACGACAAGATTCGGACTTTGGGCCTTGCCACGTTCTCAAGAGCGCCTGTCACGAACCAGGTGTGAGCGACGATGTAGAAGCGGAAAAGGCACCAGGTACTGATGTCGAGAGGCCGACACTGGTGGATACTATTCTTCTGGAGTTCTCCAATTATGCGCATGTCGAATTGAAGAGGAAGGGCCCTGGCCTGAACAAGAAGTACGAGTATGAGTATTGGTCCACTAAGTATCAGTGGCGACGCGAGTTCCGCAAAGAGGGTGATCTACACGAGGTGTCGTATTTCCTGGTTGACACGCGCACTTCCAAGACCATTGCCCATCTGGTCCCGGACACTCTGGCGCCTCTCGATGCGGTCGAGGAGGAGAGCAAGGGGGGTTGGGTCCCGCCGTCATCATTGTGGATCAGTGATCCTGCGGTTTATGAGAGGATGCCTGACATGGCCGAGTAAGTCCACGTCTGTGATGGCTTTTGCCTTGGAGCTTCCCCTCTTTTATTTTTATCTTTCTTTTCTTTTTCTTGCCTCGTTGTTTTTTTGTCTTGTTGTTCTCTGAGGCTGATGGGTTCCAGTGTGATTGTGGCTACAGGTATTGTGGCGCTAGTTGACGATTGCATTCGTCGTCGCTGGCATCAAGAGCGCCGGCCTTCGTGGATGCTTCCCGCTCAGCACTTGTCGAAGAGCTTAGAGCGCATGGGCCCTCGGCGCCTGATCGGTCAAGTACTTCAGCGACGAGGATCTGCCTAAGCGACCAGGGGCTTGAGGCCTAGATGGCTCATCAACCGTGGTTGAGATGTATGAGCTGTTTCTGTCCTGCATCAAGCGGGATGAAGACTTGGATTTGACGACCTAATGACTTGATGTGGTTTAATGTCTTATTCTAGCTTAGCTTTCGGGACTGCCTTGCTTGCTTTTGCCCTTTGGCCCTTTTATGGCTATTTTTTTTTTCTTCTATTATTCCCCCCTTCCCCCTTTTGATTTTGACTTTTATATTTCTATTTTACCGTCTTCTCATCCGGTTGGCTTCCTGTCCTGTCGGCAGAATGTACATCGGGACTTGGGCCCAAGTCCGGGCGATCCTCTAATCCGAATCTGACTGGGGAACTGGAAGGGGCAGGCTATGGCGGTTCCATATTGCATCTGGATTTGGAGCAGGGGGGGTTTCATCACATCTTGCATTGCATTGTTCTTTATCAGCTTGCGTGTATATGAGCACATCTCTCGTGCGTTGCTATGCTGGCGTTGCATATCGAGTACTAGTTCAAGCCTGACCTCTTCGCTTCAGTGTCGATGCGTACTTATGTAGGCATGAACCATGGTTCACCGTGGGGTTTTATAGTACATACATATATTCGACTGGCTCTCGGCGCTTCCAAGTATCAGATCCCACCCTTTCCCCCCACCCCTCAAACAGGGGAAACGCCAAACTAGCGCCGTGGTGAACAAAAAGAATCCCCAAAAAAAGCACACACATTGATTGCGATCGATTGGCTCTGAATGAATCTTTTCAACTTTAGCGCCAGTGCCTAAAGACCCTTGCTGGCCTTGCTGCCTTAACCAAGAAAGAAAGACAGAAAAAACAGCCAATGCCAGACGCCGTTGGGGTTTATTCGGCTATTCTTGGCTAATTAGCGCCTGCGAGTGCTTAAATTGTGCGGGGCCCGTTGAGCAGAAGAACAGCCCTGAAGTGCCTAGTCCTCTGTCGAACATCGACGTGTTACGTGCATAGAGCCGCATTGCTGAGAACCATGGTTGCGATTGACTCTCTGCATGAATGCCCAACTCGCTTTGCCAAAGGGAGGCGAGACCCCGTTCGCTCCGGGATGGCTTGACGGAGAGATTCAGTGACCGTCCATGATTGGTAATGGGGACTGATACCCCTAGGGTATGATCATCATGACTTATTGTGATGTTCTTCTTCTCTAGATATCCGGGCTAGCGTGACGTTCTTCGTACCTTTGTCGATGCGCGACACGTTTTGACGTCTCCGACAATCCTTGCGTCATTCCAATATACTTCTGACTTCTGGTGGCCGAGACAGTGTTCATGCTCATGCAGGGCGGCCTGGTTGATTTGGTTCAAGAACCTCGGAGGGGGAATGTGAACGACCAAATGTCTATGATGAGCTGGCAGTACGGCCCAACGGAGTAAATACTCGGGCATCGTCATCGAGAATAAAAGATGCACTAATTTAGCTCCGCTTTTTGGGCAGAGATTCAACCCCTCATGCATAGTCCAGGGTTTCCAGAAGGTGTTCCGCCGATTCGGTTGGAACTAATCTCAAGTTGGAGCTCTAGGGCTTATATGTTCCGCTACAGAAATGACTGATGATACAACGAGACCGAAAAAAAAGAAAAGAAAAGAGACAAGGAAAAAAAAAAAAAAAAGGAAATATCAACGTGGGGTTCTCTGAGTTGTTCACTTTTTTATCCAATCCGCATCCAATTTTCTCAAAGCTGTCTGTCTTCTTTTACGTTTCTTTTTTTTTTTCTTCCTTTTTCCCCTTCTCTGAAGTCTTTGAGAGAAAACCCTTTGCTGTATCTTTGGAAATGGGAGACAGGTAGTCTGTTACTAGTAGCCGTTACTGTGATGTCTAGCGTTTCTTCAAGGGCTTTTTAGTCGGCGTGCGCCGGGCCGTTCCAGCTTGCAGCCTCAAATGATCCGCATGTTCTTCCCATTGCCTACCTTCACTGGTGGATAAGGGAGGGGGGGATTTAGTTGACGCTTTGCCATGTCCACATCGACATGCATAAGCCCGCCCCGTTAGGTTTGACGGTTAGGCTGCTGTTTGTCTCCAGGGGGGGGAATCGTCCAAAATTAAAGGGAAAAAAAGGAAAAATGAAGGAAAAAAAAAAAAAAAAAAAAAAGAGAGAAAACAGCATGCGAGAACGGCCCTTTTGGCATTGAAGATATGGCCCACTGTGTATATGACTCCCCGCTCCCCATGATGCTCCTTGATGGACATTTAAAAAGACCTCGACAGCTTCCAATCAGGTCCAATCGAGATTGATCTCTTCTTCCTTTATATCTTGGTGGGAAGTGCTTTGGCCCTCTTCTCTTCTTCTATATCTGTCGCATTTATTTTCGACACATCTTCCCCTCAATCCCACTTCATACCTCAAGACCTCACGGCCTCATTGTCTCAGTGCCTCAATTGCAACTATCTCAGTCTTCTCTATTGGTCAACATGTCATTCACCGGGACTCAAGGGGCTAGCATTAGCAGTCGGCCGAGCTGGCAAGATCAGCTCAATGGTAAGCATTCAGCCCTCCAACGGCCTGTCCCAGATCCTCAACCTCAATCCCACAAGTGATGCTTGTCTATATGAACCTGAGCTAACTGAACTTTACCAGCCTACTGTACCAGTACTAAGCGGACTCCTCCTGTCTTCAACATCGTCTCCGATCGGCGAGGTACTTACCCGATACTTTGCCCCTCTTCCTCTTCCCACCGTCGTTTCCTTCGGGATGCGTATTATTTTTTGAATCTCATACCTGTCTACTCAATCAGCTTGTCTGACCTGTGCCCTGTCTCCGTGTGTGTGTCTCGGCATTGCAGGAAGGGTGTGGAGTCTTGCAGAATGAGAGAGAATTCCCCCCTCTATTCCCCCCCCCTCCCATTCACTTGTACACCGACTTTTAGTTCCTGGTTTGACTGATGCTAACTCGCCTTGGAAAATACAGGAGGCCGTACTGCTTGGTCTAGTACTGTCACCGTCCAGGGAATCGTGACTCCTATTGCGGCCCGCTACTGGTATGACGGGCAATTCGTCAACAATGCGAAAGAGGACGCCGCCGAGGTTGCCCTGAAGACATTGAGCCAACAACCTAGGACTTCAACTGTCTATCCAGGCCAGCTCTATACCCAGCAATCGACCGGCTTTGGTCGTGGTGCTGGTGGATTCTGAGTGAACCCTCGATTTCCTTACACGTCTTGGGTGGCTTTCTCTTCTTTTCTTGTGTTTTTAACAAATTTCTTCTTTTTTGTTCCTGGATCCCTGTTTTATTGGATAGATGTGTCTCTCTCTGTGTGTGTGTTGATTTGATTTCAATTGCTGCTAGCAGCTGTGGCCGCTCGCCCTGGGCGCGGGATCCACAGTCCTTACAAAACATACCCTTGTTGTTGCTTTTCTCACTTGCGTTTTGCGCTGCAGAAAAAAAAACTCTTCTCACCGCACCCCAACCCGGCCTCCCTTTCCCACGTCGACGTCCGTTTTCTCCGAAGTTCGCTGGAAAGCGTGCATCATCCGGCCGACGACTATCCTAGCCGTTCCCGGTTTCTGCAGGATTTTGCCCACAGTTCGTGATCATCTGCCATACAAGGTCTGCCAGACACATGATGATCAGGTTTTTTTATCAACACCATTTGCGAAATCCTTGACAGATGACGGGTTCCAATGCAGGTCACTACCTTGTTTCGCACTTGTGAAACCTCGAACCCGTCCGCTGTGATACCCACCCAATACGAGATTCCGTCGGCCCAGGTACGGTGTGGTATCTAGGGGTTTGGGCTTTGTGTGTGACCGGTGCTTGACGTAATTCGCCAATACGGCCTGGGACTACGATTCCCTTGAGACATACCTTTTGCCGACAGATTATTAGTTTCTGCTCCCCGTTTGAAGGGGATCAGACAGGGCGCTGGTGCTTTTGTTTGTGTTCGGGATTCTGGATTTGCCTTGAGACAAAAAGCGAACAGGATATGCTTTGTTGTTCTCATTGGTGAAGGGCCACGTCAAGTGACTATGAGTCTGCTCTTTGGGGGTCGATTTGTCTATTGCATGAATGTATCATACCTGATGCACCTGCTACTGTGTGGCTCAGATAACAACCGTTGGGTTCTCGACTACAAGTCCAGATTGGCAACCGCAAGGAATATAATCCTTGTCTGTCTTGTTGGCTGCGCACCCCTGGAGCCGCACAGATGTTTCTCGGTTTTTGCTAACACGAAAAGCCACTTGTCCAGATCTCAAGTCTAGCACATAGCATAGGCGGCTTGGACAAGAGAACAAAGGTCACGAAGTAACTACTGGAACAAGGCAGGACATGGACTTCCGTTTCTGGGTGCTTTGCCTAGATCTTGGACTTGTTCATTCTTTGTCCGCTTATTTGCTTTGATTTCTATTTTTTTTTACTTTTTTCCATCTGATCTAGTTATACGCTTTTGACAGGAGTTTTCTTTGGTCTGTTTCTTTACTTTAGTCTATTACGCTGCTGGGTTTGGGCAATTTGGACGCGCATCTGGATTCGGGTTATATTATATTGGTATCATACATGGATGGTACCGGACTTGGGAGTGTTCTGGCTGATCTCGGCTTCTATCAGATTGGTCTCTTTTCTCTTTGTTACTATAGGACTACAGAATATCGACAGGACTTGTTCACAGTGGTCTTCTCCTTTGATGGGTTTAGGATAACTCATTCGTTGGGACTAAAACGCTCCATCGTCCCAATTAGGATATTGTAACGCGGTTTGGAAAGTCTGTCGAGAGTTGCGGGTTTCTTTGCCGCATTGGCCTCCCGGCAGCTGAAATTGCATATGCGCGGGTGGCATAGCGTTGCCATGTGTCGAGCCAAACGCTAATCTCCGATACATATCCATGTTGGGCAGCATTTTAACGGGAAATTTGCCAATCTTCAATTTGAACCGAACTAACATTGGGATAAATAGGGGGGTCTGGAGACATTCGAAGTATAACATGATGTTGAGTTGTTTTTAACTCACCTTGGAACCGTGGATTGCTCTGAACTCTAATCCTTAGCGAACCCTAACTCCCCTTCCTGAGGCTTCAACGGGTTTCTCGACTTGGTACTTGTTTCGACATGCAATGTAAAATATCCTATCGCTTTCTAAATTATGAATGCTGAAATATTATCAATCTTTACAAATACAAAGATCATCAGGGCCTTGACTGATCGTCAGTGCTCTTGCTGGATCTAGCGCCCGTACCATAATAACCCGCTGATCCACCACCCAATCTAGGCATCCATGACACTCAGCCCTGTTCGGGCGGTGGCTATGTCGCCCATCATTTACGAGCCCACAAGTCAAATCACTATATAAAAGAAGATAACTTTGTTGCGAATTAGGCATACACCTAACATCCCATCTTCGTGGGGGTCAAATGTGCACTATATAATTGGAGACAAAGGTCCTACGCTTAGTGACCTCCACATATCCTCAAACATTTGATTTCCAGTCTCGATCAGAGAATTTCACAATTGATACCTCAGAACCAAGATCCTCCCTCAAGAAGCTCTGACCTCGCCCAAAATAAAACCATGTGTTTCGGTTTATCGAGTAAGGGTCAATATGACTCTCCGCCCCCTCGCCGAGTACCCTATGGCAATGAGCCCTATGGTCGCTACAGATACAATAAAGACCACGAGAAATATTTAAAGAAACAAAAGAAGCGCCGCTCCAATAATGCTGCTATTGCTGCATGCGCGGGAGCGGGAGCGGCGAGTGCATGTGGAGGCGGTGGTGGATGCTAGATGTGAAGAACGCCAACCAGATGATAATTATGGTCCAATCCTGCAATGATCAGCTATCTTCGGCTAGTTCTGGTCATTGTGAGCTATATAAATTGGTCGGGAATATTCGGGTAGCATGTATAGTAGCAACATCCAAGCCTTGCATAATCCCTACATGAGAAATTATCCATTCCCATGCACCAAGTGGATGTTCTTCATTCGTCATGGATATTTTAACTAAGTTGGTTTCTATTTCTTCATTAATCGGATGTAGCCTGGGCTTCCCACATTCGGTTCTACTTCCTGGAAGCCAAGAACGATTCTTTCCACATGTCGATCTCCCCTCTGCACGTCTCCCCACTCATTGAATCAGTATGCAAATTTAGTTCCATCCCTGGCTCCATCTCCACGGCGATTTCTCCAGCCATAATATATCCTTAATAGGATACAGCCGGCTGTAACGAACAACAGCAACGCAGCATTTGTCCAGTGGCCAGTTGGATACCCTTTCTTTGCCTCGTCGCTTTTGTAAATCCAGACTCCGACAATTTGGCCCGGTGCACCGAATGACACATTCAGTGCGATTGCAAGTCCTGCGCCTGCGGTTGAGCGGAGGTTAGAGGAGAGCCAGCCTAGTAGCGGTGGAATACATGCAAAGGAGCCACTGGCTGCAACGATGAGACATCCATAGCGACTCTAATATTGGATCAGTTTCATTTTGGGGGTGTGTCTGGATTTAGTGCCCTAGTTTTCTTACCTGGTAAGAGCTAGCAGGCAAAACTGCAGATGCCAGAAAGCCCATTGCTCCAATGAATGAGAAAACAGCTGAATGAAGACCGCGGCTATCAATAACATGTTAGTTCAGTTGTTATCTCATTTTGATCGAAAAGACATACCTATTGAAATGGTCCGCGGACCAAGCCACAGCAACAGTCACAACGTAGGCAACTGCATACGGAGGCACAGTCATCAACTGAGAACGGAGATTGGAGTACCCCAATCCCGAAGTAATAGCTGGGGTGAAAAGCGAGAGACTCGAGAATGGGGTAGATATACCAAAGTACACCGCATAATGAGCATACAATCTCCAATCGGTCAGTGTGCCCTTGGCATCCTCCCATGACATGGCATGAGCAGAGCCTTTTGATCCCTCCTTGGCCAAACGGCTCTCTGCAAGCTCCTTCTCCTCGCTAGACAGCCATTTTGCAGTCTCGGGATAATCTGGCAGAAAGAACCAAACCAGAACGGCAGAAGCGCATGACGGTGCCCCCTCGATAATGAATAGCCACCTCCAAGCGGAAAGACCATGGGCACCATTCATATGGCCCACTCCAAATGCGATAGCTCCGCCAAATGCTCCGGCCAAGGTTGCCGAGGCAAGAATCAGGGCTACACGGATCGATCGCTCAGAATTGCGGTACCAAAATGTTAAGTAGTAGACGAACCCGGGAAATAGACCGGCTTCCATGGCTCCCAGTAGAAATCGTAGTCCGGTTACTTGTGCATAATTATGCACGCCTCCGAGACCCATGGTTGTTGCACCCCATGAGAGCATGAGAAAGGCAATCCAACGCTATTTCAGGTTAGTCCGGCCGAAATCCACTCGATGCCATGCTAGAATAGATGCACATACGCTTGGTTTGAGCTTCTTCAGAAAGTAATTTGAGGGTACTTCGAACAGTGCATATGCAATGAGAAAAACCATCAATGCGATTCTTTGCAAGTTAGCGGTCTGCCTCGCATTCTATCATTGACACACACTCACGTAAATTGATACGAGGTCATATTCGTTTCCGTGAGAAGGTCATTGCCAGTATTCGAATTGAGGATTTTGGCGTTTCCTAACAACCTTAGCTTTGAATTGGCTTTTCAAACTCTAGGCATACCGATGTTTGACCGATCAAGATAGCAAAGTAAATAAATACCAGCACACAAAGGGATGATCCGCAGATCTTGTTTCCAGACCAGCGCCTTTTCTCGGGCTTCTAGGACAGGGTCAAGAGCTTCAGGGCTCGCATCCTATATCGGGGTTAGTCTGCATGAACACGTCAAAATCCCGTACCAGGAACAAGGGGTAAATGAAGAGAAGAGACCTCTGAGGCATATTCCACATCTGGGATATACTTTTCTGCCACCATATTGACTGGACTGCTAAGCTCACAAAAGAGTGACAGAAGTAGGAAAATCCCAGGGGGGTTTGAGAGTCCCGCTTGTTTGCTTTTTTTTGGATTCTTTCCATTATTGGCTCGAGTGAACGGCCTCGGATCCCCGCACTAACTGACTCGGCATTCCTCCGATTTTGGGTCAATTATAGTTGGGCATCGGATTCAATACTTTCCGATCTGCTTCTAACGATGTTCGAAATGCTTGAATTGCTTGACTAGGTGATTTTTTTCTAGAAGGGCTCAATTGGGTGTTTCGAAGATATCGGGGTTCCCCGGATCTCCACACTGGAGTTGAGGGTCTGGGGTTGGCGCCCTTGGGTGTACTGTGCGGCAATCGAACAACTGTACACAGTTCCAACTAAGAATCGACCGATATTAAGCCCAATTGAGGTGAAGTATATATCAGAGAGCGCTACTACGTTACATTTAAGCCAACAGGATTCATCTGGTGAGTCCTGACACCCGAGTCATAACTTAGCTCTAAAACCGCACGTTACAATTCTGTTTAGACTGAAATGGAACATACAATGACTGGAAATTACCGTGTTTAAAGACATAATTTAACTCAAGAGAATCTTATAACTTTTCAAACCTCAACTGAAAAACCAGAGCCGCAGGCAATGCAAACCAGACAAACACCTTATCAGATAAAATGTCCGCGTCGCAAACATCCCACCCCCACTGTCTGCTCCATGCTATGCTACCGACTGGCCAGATCTCCTAGACCCTCACGCACAGCTCTATCTGTGTCCATTGCAGCCATGTCCACTACCACTGAGCCCACCCGGAAGGCTATGCCCTCCGCACTGACCTTTGACCGTCACGCCAAATGCTCAGTACGTTCCTTCTTATTCTCCGTTACATGGGCATAGATCTAATTCGTCAAATAATTTCCATAGACTACCAAAGCCCGTGCCAGTACCCTCCACCTTCCCCATGGCTCGGTTCCATTGCCAATCTTCATGCCTGTCGCGACACAGGCATCGCTCAAGGGCCTGACATACGACCAGCTGCGCGATACAGGATGCATGCTTTGCTTAAATAATACATACCATCTGGGCTTGAAACCGGGTCAGGCAGTGCTAGACTCGGTCGGGGGAGCTCACAAGTTGCAAGGCTGGGATCGCAATCTCTTGACTGATAGTGGAGGGTGAGATATCATATGCCTCAGCATGAAGTTACTTCTTACTAACCGGGCTATATTAAATTAGCTTTCAAATGGTGTCCCTGCTGAAGCTGGCAACGGTGACAGAGGAAGGAGTGCGATTCCTCAGTCCTCACGACGGCTCGCCGATGTAGGTTCTTTGCTTGATTCTAGCACTGGACAAATTTACTAACTTCTCAACAGGTTGCTTACCCCTGAACACTCAATCTCTCTCCAGAACTCCATCGGTTCAGATATTATCATGCAACTAGACGATGTTATCGCCACAACTTCTCCAGATCATGCTCGCATCAAGGAAGCCATGGAGCGCTCTGTGCGATGGTTAGATCGCTGCATCGAAGAACATAAGTATCCGGAAAGACAAAATCTATTCTGTATTATCCAGGGTGGTCTGGATCTTGAGTTGCGGAAACAGTGTTGCGAGGAAATGGTCGCTCGAGATACTCCTGGAATTGCTATCGGAGGTCTATCCGGTGGTGAGGCCAAGGAGGAGTTCTGCAAAGTGTCCGTCCACCTTCTTCAACATATTGCTATCAACGAGCTGACCCGATCACAGAGTGGATACTTGCACAGGACTACTGCCAGAAAATAAGCCTAGATACGTTATGGGCGTGGTATGTGTCTCTGATACTCGCTCTTTGGTTTCATTACTAACATAATGATTTTAGGGATACCCTGAAGATATTGTCGTCGCAGTGGCTCTAGGTGCCGACATGTTTGACTGTGTTTGGCCGACACGTACTGCGGTAGGTTTATCGAAAGTTCTCTTGTATTCGTACTGATTTCGACTAGCGTTTCGGTGATGCGATCGTCTCTTCTGGTACGATCAATTTGCGTCGCAAAATCTTCGAAGAAGACTTTAGACCGATCGAGGAAGGTTGCACTTGTACCTCTTGTCGTCCAGTTGAACAAGGAGGTCTCGGCCTCACCCGAGCATATATGCACCATATTACCGCCAAAGAGACAGTCGGTGCTCATCTGTATGTTTTGATTCATCCTATTATGATGTGGTCTTTGCTAACATTCTCAGTTTGACGATCCACAACGTTCACTTCATGCTTACCATGATGGGAGCTATCCGACAGGCCATCATAGAAGACAAATACCCAGCATACCTTCGCAAGTTCTTCTCAGACATCTACGGAGGGGATAAGTCCAAGTACCCCGAGTGGGCGATCGGCGCCCTGCGTGGTGTTGGGGTGGACTTATTGGCAGACTCATAACTGCGTTATCACTGCCCTACAAACGATAAAAAGCTCGATCATGAGCTGACGATATCTTATTTTTATGTTTATTTTTATTTTCTTACATGGACAATGACTGCATTCCAGCGCTGTTATTTGCATCCTCTTCGAGGCAACCTTAAAACTTGAATCTAAAAGAATTGAAAAAAATCCATTTTTACGTTTGATCTATTGTGAAATGTGTTATACTTCTGAAGGGTTGGTTGGGTGCTCTTAATTGCGACAGTGTTGTGATAACAGTTTTGGCTTATATATTCAAGATACGATACTTTCTCCATCAACCAGCCAAGTGGTCGAGCAGCAACTCGGTCATTCAATCTTCCTTGGTCTAGTGGTGATGATTTCCGCTTGTCATTAATACCGATAAGCGCGGGAGACCGGGGTTCGATTCCCCGAGGGAGAGTTTCTTTTTGCACATCGATCAAAATCCCGGGTTCTTCTTGGGATTAGTTTGATGTTTGTGCTGCTGATTTTATTTCTTTTTTCATGTGTCTAATCAATATACGTAGGAGGAATTCACAGGATTAGCATGGGACTAAATATACTACTGGGTCAGGCATCTATCTGGCCGATGCAGCAACTACTTTAAGATGAGTCCCAGATAGAAAATATATATATATGAGGGAGACAGACCAAAGGAGATAATATATAATTGAAGCATCAAAGGTAGCCCTCAGAAATGTATCTGCAACTTCCAGTGCTCAGATAAAGGGCAGAATGACGGAGCTAGGATATTCCTCGCTACAATGGATAACATGTCTGCCCCGATTGAGCTCATGCTCTGGTCTGGGCTTCGAAAACGATTTATACTCCGCAATACTGGGATACTGACCCCCAACCTATGGAAAAAGTTAGTGCATTCAATACGTTGAACTGTGGGTGATGGTTGAATTACCCGCACGCTGATGGATTCGCCCTCGTCAAAGTCCATGCCCATTGCCCAGATTCCGATCTCCAGCTTCACAACTGTACCGGGCGCCACCTTGTCTTGCCGCGTATGAGGGTGGAAAGGAAATTGAGGATGAATACTCCTAGAGGAATCAATCTCCCGATGTGAGGCCCGCAAGATACCTACGGACCCCAAATGGAGATTCAGGCTCGCCTGTTCTGCTTCTGGAATCTCGTCGATCGACTTGACCGGTGTTGCGTGGGATGGGAAGTTGAGGTGCATCAAGTCTTTACCATTCTTGTCCTTCTTACGCAAGATCACGAAGACAGTGAAATCGTCGCGGTCCTCGCAGGACATGTAAAGCACAGCTTTGGGCAGACCAATCAGTCGGCTTGCCCTTTCGAATGTGTAGTTGAATTCGCCAACACTACAGCGGTCCTCGGAGTCATACGAGACCTTTTGATAGGTCGAAGGTGCACTTTCCGTGAGACTCTTGTTGTCTCCAAAGAAAAAGTGTCGGTATTCCGTGTTGGGAGCTGGGAAATCGTCAAGAACAATGTCGTCGATCGCCTCACGATCTCCAAACTGCAGTGCCGACCATCGAACTTTGGGTGTTTCCTCCCAGTTGTTATCTTTGCCTTTCAGATATCGGTCAAAGAAGAGTCCTAGCTCGTGCATGGATTCTGGTATGCTATACAACTCATACCACTCTTGCTTGCTACCCCATTGAATCCATTTGTTCGAATGAGGGACCTCCAAATACCCCCGGACAGAGCCCATAGTGTGAATGGAGCTAACATCTGATCCTCGGATGAAGACTGGACAGGTCACTCGAGACATGTCAACTCGCTTGTCTTCCCAGAAGGGGCTTGATACAGGTGAGCGACGATACATTTCTTCGAAATCCTCAAGACCTGAAGTCTCCGGACCTCGCACAATAGCCTTGGCAATCAAGTCAAAGTTGCTCATGGAGAACCAACCTCCACGGCAGAATTGCTCGCGGAAAATATCCCCTGACCCTTCCCAGGGCGCAATGGCCTTCAAGGATGGAGGTTGCTGGGCCGCAATAAACCACTGTGAGATTGCAAGTGCAGAATTGCCGGCCATGCCAACACTTCCATTACACCAATCCATCTTCGCGAGAGCTTCCACCACATCGTATCCATCCTCAGCATCCTGTGTACCCATCACGCAAATCTGACCGTCGCTATGGCCTGCACCGCGGGTGTCGACGCTGATAATTGCGTATCCGCGAGCGCACCAGTGCTCGGGATCAAGGCCTTCGAATTTCTCCAGGCCACTAAGATCGGATCGTGGGACGCAGCAGTTCCAAACGCACATTGGAAGCATATCGAGGGCACTGTACTTCTTCCCGTAAAATGACCAGCTTAGCACCGCTGGGATCTTTTCGGTTGCATTGACTGGTCGATAGACATCCGCATACAGGCGGACTCCGTCTCGCATAACAATTTCAACATCGTGGTCAATCTGGATATCTGACTTCAGGGGCTTTGCGTTGAAGCCATTCCAACCGGCGGGTAGAACTTCGGATTGACCGCATTGACACTCTTTATATCCATTCTCGCCGGCTTTGGGCTGAGAGATACGCTTGTAGGCCGATTGAACAGGAGGAGGCATGGTAAGATGGAATTGATTCAGGTCAAGGTCAAGGACAAGGACACACAAGATGAGGAAATAAGAATGAAGTAAGAATAAAGTCAGAGTAATGTAAGAATTGACTGTGAAGAATAGCAGAGATGAAGTATATGAGAGAGACACATAAAGTATTGATGTCTTGACAAATTATAGCTTCATCGTGCTCCATTCGCATCTTCTCCGACATATTTCCCCCACCACTATTCCCCGCTTGCCGATTTGCAGATCAAAGAGTCCGGGGAAGTGGAGATTACACAAAATCAAAGAAAAGAGAAGAGAGAAGAGGACTTCAGTATTGAAGATCGGACATCCTCCGTCGATGCCGAGTGGGGGGTGGGTGGGGGAAAACGAGTCCAGGGCGATTTGACTCCGTAAAGAGCATCAAGCCGAATGCTATTTATCTCGCCGAAAGTCGAAGTATGGGATTCTAGATCCCCTTAAAAGCCATTCAATTCAAAGTCTAGACTATATCAAACATGTCAGCAACCGAGACCGAAGCTACAGCTTTTCAGCAAAGCCTGAACAATGACCTGGTTACGTTCACCCCGCGGCACTACGATGACTGGCGCGACGAGTTCCATGAGAATGGATGTGTCGTTATCAAAAATGTCATCAGCCCCGAGCGCGCCGAGCATTATCGCGAGAAGCAGATTCAGTGGCTGAAGAACTTCGACCTTGGCTTTGATGAAAATGATGAAAGTACTTGGACGGCGGATCATTTGCCGATTAGCTTCAAGGGAGGGTAGGTATCCCTGATAGTATACAGGGAATCAACTAATGAATTGATAGCATGTATTTTGCCTACGGTTCTCCCCACGAGAAGATGGCCTGGGAGGCGCGAACCGAGCCTAAGGTGATGGAGATCTTTGAAAAGCTCTGGGAAACCAACGAGTTGATCTCTTCATTTGACGGGATGAACATTTCTTTGCCCCGACGCAAGGATCTTAACTGGAGTCCCTGGCCGCACTGTGACCAGAACCAAAACCGCAAAGGGTATGCTGATTGCCCCTTTGATGCCTAAGCTATACAGGCTAATGTCCTATAGTATGCAAGCTGTGCAGGGCTTACTCAACTATGCCCCAAATGGTCCAAATGACGGTGGTCTCATGTTGATGAAGGGCTCATCGAAGCTTTTCGATGAGTTTTTCAAGCACAAGCGTGAGTCATTCGACCACGAGGATGCACCACCCCCCGAGCTTGAGTTTATGGACCTGTTCCTGTTCAGTGAGAAGGACGTCAAATGGTTTGAAGAGCACGGTTGTGAGCTGATCAAGGTCAACATGGAGCCTGGTGACTTTGTACTCTGGGATTCGCGCACTATGCACTACGCTCGCTTGCCAGAAGGCAACCAGATTCGCCATGTTCAGTACATTTGCATGACACCGAGACGATTTGCAACCCCCGAAGTGCTGGAGCTGAAGAAACAGTGCTTTGAGGCTTACACTGGCACAACTCACTGGCCACACTGGTAAGTTGATATCTCCATGGAACAGTATACGGACTAGTCTAACATGATTGGTACAGCAACATTCGTCCTACCAAGGAGAAGCCGATGCGTGACGGCAAAGTGTGTCCCAAAGATCGAGCTGAGCCATTCGAAAAGCCAGACATGACGGATACGGTGCTCAAGTTGGCTGGTGTGAAAGCCTATTAGGTCGGGAAAGGTGTACTCAGCTTCATATAGCAAACAGAATGAACATTACTATCATTTTGAAAACATTGTTTTTTACCAATGGAATAGACGACAGTTCGTTGACCAAAGACCAAGCGACTCGAGAGACTATAATCGCATGTGTACCCTGATGCTTAGATATGCAGCTCACGGTTTGAACAGCATTCTACGAATGATTCAGTAATTAGTATGTAGCTAACTATAAGTTGTAAACTATGGCTTCCCTACACATAGTAGATCAGAATAGAAACACTCTTTTCTTCCATTCCAAACCCCCTATGTGCTATTCGTGCCTATAGTCCTACTACCCCTAATGGCTGACTTGTTCGCAGCAGACAGGCAGAGTCAGGTCTCCCTATAAGATATCCTCTTCAACTTCACAGCCATTGACAAAATTCATCACAGGTGGCCCACATAACACCCAAGATCTACCGAGTGGGGGAAACACCTCGCCCACTCGGCCGTATTCCGCGAAAACTAACAGGCCAACCTCCACTTCGCAACTCCAAAGTCTGGGGAAAGCGGGGAAATATGGACCAAAATAGACTCAGTTTGGCAGTTTTCACAGAATCTAGCGCGATCCCATACATGAAGTCACTGACAAGTTGTGATAATCTCGCCTCCTTGGGCCCAGTGGGGGATCTAGAGTTGAGGGTGGACCCGATGGCCATGCCTTTGGTCTAAAAATGAGCCTAATCTATTCAGAGAGTGACAGGGGCTATAAATCTTGAGCGACTCCCCGTTCTCTTCAAAACATTCAGCCCAACGCCAACGATACTGGTCCAGACCGGTCGTATTTCCTCTCCTGGATCATATCATTGATCTCTTCATTATGGATCCCGACAAAGCTACCGATCAGCATATTGAGGTGATGGAAGATGCTTCAGAGAAGAAAGCTCCTAGAGAGAGAGTGGATGTCATGGGCACTGTGAAATTGACAGAGGACACAATTGTCTACATTCCCGCTCCAACTAGTGACCCTCGAGGTGTCTGCAGCATTATTACTGGTCAGTTTCATTTGCTAATTGTTTCCATAGATCCTTTGAATATGTCTCGATGGCAGAAGTTTGTAATTATCATTGTGTTGTCGACCTGTAAGTGAAAAGCTGATGATACTACCTGGTATAACTTCAGTCAAATTGAATTGACACATTTTCGGTAATGAAACAGTCTCTACATTGGGTGTCTCAATGGTCTCTGGATTTGGAGGCTTGATTACCTTCTATATCCCCGAATACAGTGCTGCAGGAAAAGACTATGCAGACATTTCTGCCCTAATGACCTATCCCACTCTCTTCATGTGAGACTCCGAACATCCAAGAGTCTAATATCTAGGCTAGAAGTCGTGGTCCTGACACATGCCCGAAATAGGGGAATTGGAAATCTTGTTGGAATGCCTCTTGCTATTGCTGTTGGTCGTCGTATAGTGTTGTTGGTCTCTACGGTGATACTAGTTGTCGGTGCTGTTCTCTGTGCTACGGCTACATCATACAACTGGCATCTGGCGGCTCGAATGATACTTGGACTATCGGCAGGACAAAGTGAAGCTTTGGTTCCCATGATAACACAGGTAAGCAGTTCTTTGAGCCTGGTGGTCATTGATTCACAACGAATGCTCTATCTAGGAAGTCTTCTTCTTACATGAAAGAAGCAAGTATCTCATGGTGCAACAGGCAGTTCAGGTTATGCTGTCTACCATTTATTCTCTTTTTGCCAGTCCCATTGGTGGAGCTATAACACCGCAAGGCTGGTACGGACTTGGGGCAGGGCTCGCGGGTCTTCAATGCTTTGTGGCATTCTTTTTCCTACCAGAGACCAAGTATACTCGAGAGTTATCCGCATATCAGGAACCTACGAGTACCTCTGAAGATGATTTGGAATCAAGCAAGTCTGGCAAAGCAGGAATTCTTCTTTGCAAAGAGAAGCCTCCTATCGACTATGTGAACTTTGAGAGACGGTCTTGGAAATCTGATTTGAGACTTTGGATCGGAGAGCCTGAATGGTATAAGGCAGTGGAAGTGCTCAAGGTTCTTCATCCCCATTTAAGATCCAGTCATGATAGCTCAAACTGACTGAATTATTTCTTAGCAAACTTGCGAATTGCTGTTTTTCCCAAATGTCCTCTGGGCTCTGTGTCTCAACGGCCTCACCATTGGCACGAACATTGCCATGGCCACAACCTACGGAAACATCCTCACGGCTGCCCCATACAACTGGCCAGATACAAGTACTAGCTACGTTAGTTGTGGACAAATAATTGTTGCACTCATTGCCCTGCCTCTATTAGGCACAGGGTCGGACAGATTGGTCCGTTGGCGCGCAGAACGCAATGGTGGGATTCACGAACCAGAGACTCGAATCTTGCCCTTGATCTTGCCAATAATCATTGGAACAATCACTTCCGTTCTCTACGGACAGGGCGCCCAGCACCCAGAGAAATATCATTGGTTTATTTATGTGTGGTCCATTGCGGCATACTATTTTGCATTCGTGGGAGCGAACATCGTGGCTATCACGTACTTACTTGATAGCTACCCTGCGCGTGCTGGCCCAATGTTGATTATCATCTGCGCTTTTAGAGGGTTTATCTCCTTTGGCACGAGCTATGGAACTACGCCGTTTGTGGAGAGTCACGGATACGATGGCGCATTTGGTACTTTCGGTGCCCTTACAGCTGTTTTGGGATTACTTGGTTTACCAGTTTACATTTGGGGGAAGGATATTCGTCAATTCACTGGCAGATTTGCGAAAAGTAAGACGGATTGAGCCTTAGTTCACTTACTGCGATACTCGAAATTAGTTGGGAGTTTTGAGATCTGATGAATACACCACAACGCTAGGTGACGGTAAATTGAGCGCCGAAAACGGCTACCTTCGACGCCATTTTAAGCGTTCTTTTTACCAGATTCTTAGTCATTGCAATATCACGTGACTAACATCTACTCGCTATCGTCATCTAGTCACTGAGTGCTTAGAGAGCGCTCCCTAAACACTCATAGTTGCTTAGGGATTAGCTTACCCTTCACTTAGAGTATTCACTATTGACTATCAGGGACGTCATAATGTTCTACCTACTAGGATTATAGCCGCTATTTATAAAAATAGAAAGGTCCTTCTGTTTAATACTAAACCCTCCCCCTAATCCAAGCCTTCTATTCTAATATTTAAAGAGCCCTCCCCTGTCAAGTCATAGAACTTCTTAGAGCGCTTCACCTAAGACTTATAAGTATATCATCAATTTCTAATCCCTAGGTCTTCTAGATCTTAGTCATTATAGGTTTCTTTCTCTTATCTTCTTTTTTTACTATCCTTTACTTTTCTCACTACCTCCTACCTACTCTGATTTATAATATACCTATTATTAATACTACTAGGAGTGGAAAGAAGCTAGCTTATAGCCCTAAGTATTACCGGCGACGTCGTTAATAGCTTAAGAAAGGCATTATATAAAAACGATATACTATATTAATAAAGAATAATATTAATAAAATCAAAAAAAGATAGATTAGGTTATAAAGTATCTAATCTCTTATCCTTCTAAAACTAATCTAAATAGGCACTATAAATATTTAGAGTAAGATCCTCTCTAATTTCTTATTATAGTATACAAGGGAGACGTTATAGTTTCTCTCGAGTGAATTCTTAATAACTCTAAGATTAAGAAGTTTAGTAGTTTATATAAGAGCTAGAGGTAATAGTGCTAGCTCTACCGTAAAACTATAGGGAGAAATCTTTATACTAAGAGTTATTAGGATATCAATAATATAAGTCATTTTTATTTCTTCTATTACTCACTTTCTAATTAAAATCTAATAGTATATAAAGGAGTATCTAGTTATAAGTTATAATCTCGATATATCTATTAGCGAGAAGCCTATAATAGACGTTGATAATTTATATATCGTTCTCTACCACTATTAGATAAGAGATATAACCCCCTATCCCGATAGTCGTTAAATAATTTAACTCACTTTCCTCCTTCTAGTATTAGTATATACCGGTAGTCGACTAGGAGCGCTAGTTTATATTAACTAAAACGAGCGGACTAATATCTTATATTTCTTCGGTAGTATAGATAAAATTAAGGGACACGACGAATATTAGGACCTTAGAGAAGATAATCTAAAAAAACTTTACTACTGTTAGATTAGTTTGATTTCACTCCTGAACCCTAGAGGTATTCGTGACTATCTTATAATAGAAATTGATTTAAAGTATACTAAGGGTTATTATACTAAACCAAAGAGGTCAGTGATTATAAGGCTCTATTTTACGCTAAGCTAATTTATCTAATAGAAAAATCTTCCTAATGTCTAAAGTCAAACAACCTTTCTTCGATATAGTTGTCCTTATACTTATAATAGCAATTCTTAACGACGCATTTTTAGCAAATATTTATTCTATCGAGGATATATTCGTGGCTCGTGTCTCCCTACCACGTCGTTCCGTTAGACTAAAATTCAAGAAAGACAAACTTAATATACTAATTTGCCGCTAGCCAGACTCATATTATTCCGGAATAACTACTCACCCTATGAAACCACTTAGGTATTACACATACCTCCATTATTTACAGCGGCTAAGCTTGGCCGTCGGGATAATTAGAGCAATAAGACCTTACGACCTTCGGCGCGGTACTAGCGAGGCAGTTAACAGTGAGTTTAAAGCTGTTAGTTATCGTGGTTCTTCTAGGACTAATATACAGAATTTTTTCAGAAACCGCATCCCTCCCATTGCTACAACAAGTAATAGGAGTCGGTCTTATAATTCTAGGAACCATCCCGGTCGTGTTTCTCCCCGAGACACTTGAAGACGCAAAAGCGAAGCGATCAATTCCAACAGACACAGAACAGGCCACCGAAAATGAGCGACTAGAGCAGCAACGTGTCAAGAAAGAAGTGCTTCAAGAGTTTACTTGACAGGTCCGTGAATTTATCGAGTCGACCCGGTTCATTTGGTCAGATTCCAATGTGTGTATTATGGTTATTGTATTTTTTGTCACGATTATAGGCCGGCAATCCACAAACCTACTTCTGCAGTATGTGTCAAAGAAATTTGACTGGAGCATTGCTCGCGTATGTTCGTCATTCTCATTTGAGTGACCTGAAACTAACAATACCATAGTCGAGTCTTTTAATCTCGCTGCGAGGGATAGTCTCTCTTTTGACCTACTCAATCTTAATGCCAGGCCTATCCGGCTTTGCTATCAGATACCTAAATCTCTATGGGAAATATAGAGACCATGAAATGAGCAAGTGGAGCGGTATCCTCTCAATCATCGGTTTCGCAGCCATCTTCCTCGCCCCGAAACCAGCCATCTTAGTTGGCGGCCAGATTATCCTGTCAATTGGCTCATCATTCCTGGTAACTACTCGCAGTCTGGCCACAGCACTTGTACTACCCGACCATGTCGGCACTTTGTATTCTGTCATTGCCATCGCACAGTCGGTCGGTATGCTTGTCGCAGGTCCACTGTTCGCCAATCTCTTTCGGCTGGGCATGCATCTCGGAAATGCCTGGATGGGACTGCCGTTTTTACAGGCATCACTCTTCTTCGTCATGGCTGTCGCTGCCATCTGGCAAATTCGGCTTGGACCGCCGGCTCGGGGAAATAACGACAAGGAGCAGGAACCTCTTTTATCGGCCTAGTGCTGATATTTGTCCATTCATTTCCTCGGCCAACATCCAAGCGCCTCAACACGAGTTTGTGATGGTTAGAAGCCCACTATGCCCTGTGGCGGGGAGCTCCATCCCGTGGATTTAACCCAGTGATGAGCAGTCATGGCCATTTTTGTTTATGGGTTTGCATCACCTGATGCACCATCTATGTCGCCCTCAGTAGCTAGCTCTCTCTTCTCTCCAACCAATCAATAACTCAACCAGAGTCACTACTGATATCATTACATTAGACATTGATCCCTACTCTCGTGCGTAGTGCAATCAGCATCCTGTCTGAAGAATTTTGGCACTTCAGGGTCATCCAATTCCACAGAATTCTCACAATTCTCCTATATGAAAGCTAAACAAAGTTTGATTTAATGATAAGACGCGAATGGATCAATTTGTTAGCGGCTGGACATCATCTTACAATCTCGATTGCTAGATATGAAACTGGAAGTTCCACAAAGCGATGCATTATATGGGGTATGTTGTACGTATAGTCTTGCTTTATGTTGCTATGATTTAGGCTGTCCGCTGAGCCTGATGTTTAGCTTCCACGGCCTGTTATATTGCATGAAGCCTTATGATGCTGATGAAATTTCCAACTTGTTAAAAGTTACGATGTAAGGTGGGGAATGATGACGACCGGGAATGTACAATATAGATAACTTTTGAATGAGTTACCGAGTTGTTTAAGTCTGGAGATTCTCATTTGTATGTGAATCTCCTTATAGACTGTAAATATTTGCCTTAAGATAGTCCTAATTTAGTTTCCCAGATAATGAAACATCGTGGTAGCCGTCATGCCTCATTCATGGCATAAAGCATGGCCGGCGGCCACAAATCTCAACACAACTTACTTCCATGTTGAAGAGAATATATCATTGGTGGTCTCAAGCGCCTTCTTCAGACGAGGATCGGAGGGAAATATCTGCAGAAAAACCCCAAGATCATATATTGAGATCAACCTGCGAATCTGCTCCTGTGCTTGTTTCCTGAAGTGAACCTTCTGGCTCTGCAGTACCAACAGAGCATTATCTTTCATCCTATCGTCGGGAGCCTGCTGCGAAATGTATCAGCCTATGTTTTAGGTAAAGGTGACCTTGTGAAACAGAAAGGGGAAGATTTACACATTCATCATCGTCAAGCGGGGAATAAATGCCGTCCTGGTTGCCAACCAATACTATTTCCGGCGTGTGCGACATCGCAGCTGACACTAGATTTGATGTTTCTTGTTCAGATGGCGGTTCTTTTCTCTGTCCAGAACCACCCGTCGCTAGTCCCGCAAGAGTCAAGTCGAGCTCTAACAGTCCATTCGTGCCCTGCAAACGCCAACGTTAGTTATTTCTTTCCTACAAAACAGTGTACATATGGACGTCAGAAACGAGCGAACCTGGGTTTCTGGATACAAAAACATTTCAGGGGGATTAGAGAAACTTGGCTTATCATTATTCAGGCCCGAGTGCTCGAGGTATTGTTGGGGTGTATACAGTTCCCCTGGAATGGTATTGAGCGTCGAGCTTTGGTGTGAGAAGAAATGAGAGTTCAGGGGCCCTGGAATCAAGGACGGTACGGCAGTTTCTGTCCACGTCTCGGTGGCAGCAATCTCGCCATAATGACCAATGTGATCACCCGGGGAATAGTTCAAAACTGGTGGAGAGCTGTCGTCCTGATGTTGAATTGCCGGGGAATGTTTCTGTTTCTTACTCCGCTCCCCTAGATATTTCATTTAGTTTTCAAACTAATCGTAGCATGCATATTACATACGAAACTTTTGTTGCGCCATGCGATTTTGGAGTCTTCTTCGTGTGTGATAGTCCATGATTGTAACCATAATGGCTCACTCACTGTATGGCCCAAAGAAGAGGGTGCATGTAACACCGATATCGCTGCGGTCTGCGAGTGATTTATCAGTACCTAGGTATCTTGTTTGCTTCCTGGTCCAGAGACTTGCAGGAGACCTATAATTAAAGTAACCTTGACTTTGCCGTACTAAGCCTTTGATGGCGCTAGACAGGCTATGTGACAGTACTCTATTGGACGGAATGATCTAGCCGATCGCACCTTATCACACACAGACCAAAAGTAGGGACGGCCCGCCATCCAGCCCAATCAAAGCGCCATATAGGGGTAAAAGGTACTTCTTAGAACGAGGCCAATAGCTCGTTTGTAGTTGCTTCTAACAAGACTAGAGCCTGAGCCCGCTATCTCACCCCCTGCATTTGTTTAAGAACCCCTTAATGAATTGCTTCATTAGTGCCGGTCTAACCGCGGGTCTCTTTTCGGTGCCGCTTCAGCCATATTTTGTGACAGGATAAGGAACGATAGAACTGGCATGAAAGCATGTGGCGAAGGATGGAATTTTTTTTGACCTTCCTCGAGCTTCATGTTTTCTTCCTTTCCCTCTTGCTGTCCTCAGTTTAGTTTCCCCTGTACAAATGCACTTCTTCACCAGGACTCCGCTCCAATCACATTTGTAAAAAGGGTGTGGCACTAATTCGACGCAAGGAAATGCACAAGATGAATAGCTGTTAAGGCTACGGTAGTGGACATTAATTCGTGAAGTGCTAAGTTGATCCTTCCAATGATGTTGCAGTGCTAAGGCAGGGCTTAGCGAAGGTCGTTGGCCACATCCATGACCGCTGGCACTATCGGTCTTGTTTCACTGTCCAATCGGAGTTCCGGTTGGATTTCCCCAAGATATGACATTTAATGCTGAGGTCCGGCTCCGAGGTCCGATGCCGAGGCCCCTGGACCCCCATTCTCCACTGCAGCAAAAGCAATATAGTACCTCCCCTCTTTTATATCCTCAAACCCTCGACTGTGTCTTATCAGTATCGCGTCACCGGATTATAGCCAGGCTTCTATCCTTACTCCGTTCCAACAAATCCGGTCAGTGAAAATGGCAACACCTCGTCGAAATGGACAGCTGCCATCATGCGAGCCTTGCCGAAAGTCCAAATTACGATGCGACCATCAAAGTCCCATCTGTGGTCGATGTCTCTGTCATGGCCAGGCCGAACGCTGCTTCTACCATCCCGCTCCACTAACTCAGCCGCGCGCACGTGCCTTCAGGGTGGTCTCCCGGAGATCCACGAGGCAACAACGCCCGGACAATCAATTGGTTTTTCGAGTGGATCAAATGATCTCCAGCACACCCACGCCTAGCCCACAGTCAGACTTGCCACCGGTTACAGATGTGGGGAATACGTTACGCGATCAGCATATCGCGCAATGGACTGCAAAGGAGAAACAGACTCTGGGACCTGGAATTCTAGGGTTGGTCTCCCCCAAGATATTTTCAGGGAGTATGAAGACACCCTGCGTGTTGAAGGACCAGGCAGTCTGCCAGCAGTGACAGTACCAACAGCTACATATCCACTAAGCAACTCCAATCAGGTGCTGCTAGGAGTTCAGATTCTATCACACTTGCAAAAGATCCGTTGGTTCCATGAGATCATTGAATTAAAGAATAAGATATCCCCAGGATGGTTTCTAGGCCCTCCCTTGACTCGCGCCTTGTGCAATTCCATGGAGCAAATGTATGATTGCGCAGTCCGCAACTCTCAGGATACGCATGCATCGCTAGCCACCTTGTCCCGTCAAATATTTGTCAACACATCCGAAGATATCCAGACACATTCAACAATGAAGTTTTCTGAGTATTTCGATTCAATAACGGCGAGATGGGAGACAGTTGGACTTGTCTTCGCCCTATTAGGGACAGCATTATTCCATACACCCGATGATGACCCGATCTTCACGCATCGCAACCCCTGGAAGCTTGAAAAGAGCCAACTCAGAAATATCGCCACCGCTGTTAGTGAGATTTGCTGCCAATTATGCAGTAGTGCTAGAACGACTAGCGATCCCTTTTGCTGGTTTACGACCCAGCAAATAGTTCTCTTAAGTTCGATGTTTGGCGATAGCGGTAATCACCCTTTGATATTACCCTTTAGAAAAGAGAGGAAATAACTAGCTAAAACTTGATTAGATTATAGGGTCTGGCAAAAGCTCGGAGATCTATCTACCATCGTATACGCATTCGGCTTACATCAATCCGATGAAGACATCGAAGAAGACTTTCCGTTCTTCTTAGTGGAGATACGAAAGCGAGTCATGGTGTGCGCATACGCAATTGATAAGGAGCTAGCGACCTCCTTAGGGCGTCCTCCACGGATATGCTCTCGATACTGTAGTATTCTGCCTCCCCTAGATATAAGTTACGAGACGATAGTCCTCTCACGAAGCGAAGGAGAGAGGGCACTACAGAATCTCGACGCGAATGGTTGGAACACCGAAGGAAATCTGACCGTTGGCGTCAGGCTTCGTATCGTGCTACTAACGAGCTTATTGCGAGAAAGTATCCTAGAGTTGTCTTTGAGTCCTACAACTCAGCATATTCCAGCCAAAGTTGAGTTCGTGTCTCATAGAGTTCAAATTATGTTGATATCAGGGACTGACCGCAAGGAACTATATAGAAGGTTGATTCAAGAATCCCGTAAAATGCAGCAAGACCTTCCCTCATTTATGCACTGGTCTCCCCAGGATGCTGCAGCGGGTGCTTACAACTCTACACGAGACGAGGGCCGCGCCTTCGCTCACATGGAGTTTACGTACCAGGAGTTTCTTCTGCATCGTATCTTGCTAAAGCGCCTTGGGATAAACTCACAAGGTCTTAGTGAAATCTCCCTGGAAATAGTGACCACGCTATTAGACATTATTGCTATGCAGACCCGGTCTGCTCACTTGGTGGCGAATATGTCGTGGGATGTAAGATTGCTCTACCCCCCTCAATACTGATATAGGGCCTCTCTTATAACATAAATTCTCTCCAGTTATGCTACATTGGTCTTCCTGCTGCAGGCATCCTGACTTCGAACCTGCTCTCGGGGCAAAGCTCTCAGATATCGAATTCATCACCAGCGCCGTTACCTGCCAAATTTCGTTCACTTACTATCCAAAAGCTCATTCTTTTTGTCTCCCATCTGACCTCGCTGGTGCGTCCACATGAAGGGAGTTATAAAGTTGCTCAACAAGGGGCGAGATTCATTCGTCGGGTGCTCGATCGAATTCTTTCCCCCGAATATCCCCAATCGGCTCCCTTGACTCCAGATATTGATTTATGTAAAGATTGGTACGACGGTTGTGATTTGGACGGTAATTTTGATTTCATGGCGTGGTTTGACAATATCCACTGGACTCAGGACCCTTTGTTTAATTTCACCTGACTTTACACAACAACCATCTTCAGTCCAGTATATACCATCTCTGAGCAAGATCTGATCTTGTTCAAAAGATGGGTATTGAAACGCACATCAGAATTAGGCTTCCTACAACAACAGCAACAAGGCACTTCTTTTACGGAACAGAACCCTCGACCGCTTTCGAGGTTTCATCTTCTCTTTCAATGAATTGTTTTTTATATGTACTGTAGTGGGGGAAATAGCGACGGAAAGAAAGCGCGAGAGCTGTGAGGTCGAGCTAGCACAATAAGCGATCTTGATGAAATATGCTCATTGAGCACGTTTATGCGAGAAGCCCCTGTGTTGTAAAAACTCTTTCAAGTCTTTAAAGAGACTAATTATTACCTAAAATATAGTATGCTTCAAGAAGAAGTGATTATAGACCACAATTGTTGAGATATCAAGTTGTAATTTATCACTTTTACTATGTGTTTTGGGCTGCACAGCTGGTTTACATGTGCAGCTCGCTTACCGAATACGTTAGTTACTCGTGCCTCATTTCTCATGTTTTGGAATGGAGATCTCAGCTAGATTGATTCAGGGGGTATACGCTCTTTTGGCCCTTATGCTCTTTATTTAATATATCCTGCTGTTCCATTATTTCACAACGCTGCTGAGTGTACGACTCCTTGTCTATCTCGACCCGTCTGCCTGTCAGACTGCCATCGAGCATCTCCCTCTTCAGTACCCTAAGATTTTCGACCGAGAAAGCAAATTAGAAACAACTCATCGCGTCAGCTAAAGCAAGATAGCAAGAAATATTTAGTTCAATATGCATTCATAAGGCTATATGAACTTCAACAGCACCAACAACCTCGCAGTACCGACATCAAATCCGCCTTCATGTGCTCAGGTATCAACAGTGCTGCTTCAAAACCCTTCGAAAACTCTGATCATCATCCATGTTCGCTCAAAACATGTCACAATCAAAGTTTCCTGCTTAACTGTGTGCTCATTTACCTAGTTACAAAGGTTAGCACGTTCTTGGGTCAAGGAGTTGAGTAGATATACTGACTGATTTCCCAGGCCTCATCGGCTTCGGCGCGCTTGTTGATGTTCCATGCTTCATCGGCTTCGGCGCGCTTGTTGATATTCCAGGCCTCATCGGCTTCGGCGCGCTTGTTGATGTTCCATGCTTCATCGGCTTCGGCGCGCTTGTTGATGTTCCATGCTTCATCGGCTTCGGCGCGCTTGTTGATATTCCAGGCCTCATCGGCTTCGGCGCGCTTGTTGATGTTCCATGCTTCATCGGCTTCGGCGCGCTTGTTGATGTTCCATGCTTCATCGGCTTCGGCGCGCTTGTTGATGTTCCAGGCCTCATCGGCTTCGGCGCGCTTGTTGATGTTCCATGCTTCATCGGCTTCGGCGCGCTTGTTGATGTTCCATGCTTCATCGGCTTCGGCGCGCTTGTTGATGTTCCATGCTTCATCGGCTTCGGCGCGCTTGTTGATATTCCAGGCCTCATCGGCCTCGGCGCGCTTGTTGATGTTCCAGGCCTCATCGGCTTCCCCACGAGAGTGTACAACGAGCGCCTGTGCTCCAATAGCCCAAGCACAGGCGATGTAGATAGTGCTGGCAAGATGCATCTTAGGGAGTGATCTTGATTCAAAATCAGGCTAGCGAAGGACCTCAGGAGATGAAGCTGATATGTTGAAACAAGATGTTTGTCAAAGCTGATGTGTGGATGTAACAAATGGGCAAAATTGCCAGCTTTTATATTTCTCTCTCTGGCCCTTTTTCCCAGCACTGTATTATTATTAAAATCGTGAACACCAAGAAAAGGCAGGTGATGACAAGATGTTCATGGTGTAGATTTCCAGTATCTCGCGCCAGGGTCTACCCTCTCATGGACTCGATCCAGACACCGAGCTTAGATGCATATTTAGGCTATTGCGCATACCCATTTCGTGCTTCTATGCATGCTTACTTTCTCACTTCTTATTCGCCCATACAATGTGGGGCTTTAGACAAGTGTCATTGATGTACCAATCACCTTAGCTGAAATTGCTCAGTCACATGTAGCCTTTGCTCTGCTAGCCCAAAGCCCGCTGTCCCCTGTCTATAGCATATGCCAGCGAGTGTATTATGCCTTTCCCTGCACGTAAGCTTACGAATAGCATTCCATTGGCCTGATCAGAGCCCCGCTCCTATATTATCCACCAGTATGATTGTTATGGCCATGAGATTAATGACAATCCTAACAACTTTTGGATTACATTTTTGATATATTCACTTCTTATATCATTGAATAGAAGTCAAGCTGCCAGCACCACTCGACCTAGGCCTCAATGGAGAAGTATTCGAGTCTGAATCCTGAGGATAATGCCTCCGTGGAATCTTTGCTTCACGGCGGAGATGAAACTCCCTTCAAAGACGATGGCTTAGACAGCTTCCCTTTCAAGCACCGCGATGGTTCCTGGCTCCAGCGACACAAAATCGCTATCTGCGTGAACGCTCTCTTATTATCGCTGAACGTGATATTTGGTTTGGTGTTTTACACCTGGCTTAATCTTCAATACTCCCATTACCCATTTTTCGAAGAGAGTGGGTGTTCATGAGAGGGAAGTCGTGACTTTATCTAACACAGAGCTAACACCTCCCCAACAGCGCCTGCTCGCGATGTTATCAGATATGAGGGGCAACAATTAGATTTGCTACCTGTGTATCTGCCCAATGGAACCTTGAATCCTGAAAAACAAGGACACTTCAACGGAAAACCGACACCCCAGCTTGCCGAAGATTGGAAGAGCATCATGCAACGTACGGACGCTGTCAATCCTTTGATGACCTCTCGAGAAGCCCAGCTCCGCTGACTGTCTCTGTAGACCAGAATATTCGTCTTCAGAGAGATGAACTTGGCCCATTCGCCCATGATGACAGCGTCATCCAACTTGCCGATGGATCTGGTTATTTTGCTACGTTAGCGGTATTTCATGGGCTGCATTGCCTGAAGAGATTCCATCACTACATTCATCGGGATTCTTACTACCCTAACATGACTGAAGAAGATGACGCGCGCCTTTTGTACCATACTGGTGAGTGAGGCTGGAGAAGCTAAACCCCAGTATTTTTCTCAAGGAGTTGATGCTTACCGATTCAAACTTAGAACACTGTGTTGATTGGTTGAGGCAATATGTACAATGCAACGCCGATACTACAGTCATCCCCTTTTACTGGGGAGTTGGGTAAGATATTATCACAGGCCAGCCTATGGCGGCGATGCTAATATTTGAAATAAGACAAAAACACCCTTTGGCCGTTGATAAAGCAAAACATCAATGTGTCAAGTGGGAACCCCTCGAGCACTGGATGGCAGAACATTCTTTCGACGCCTTCGAGCAAGGTCTACTCGTGCATCCTATTTACGGTAAGAATACATGAGGCATTACCCTGGGTGCTTAAAATGCTAATTCCCTGCTTTAGGCGACCCTTATACCGGAGAGAAGGCGGACACGATTGGAATCGCTTTAGGTGATCATACTCTGGAGGTCGGGAATGGTGGACATTCTCACTAGACTACCCAAAACTATCGTTCGAGAAATCTTTGAATCTAAGATATCGGACACTGATAACTCTGTTGAGATTTATGAGACAAGTCAACGTAGTTCAAAAGCGAGCCGGCCATCCCAGCGAGCCGCCTCCCTAGACCTGGCTGTGACCCTTTGGTGACTCTTTGGTAACCCTGAGGGTCCATAAACAAGACAAATAGGTAAAAAGCATCACTTTTCGCGTGATTCTTTTGCTCCAGATTGATTAGTGTCTAAAATAACTGACGGGTTGTCCTAAATAGTTAAGGCACTGTATATGCGGCTTGCTGTCGGTCGTAATGGGAGACCCTCAAGGAACCGCAGAGAGTCAGAGTCAGGCCCAGGGTCGTAGAGGTCTGACCTTCCCCTCATAAGGGGCGGGCGGAGGGTCACAGCCAGGTCTAGCCAAAACGAATTTCTTATCGTGTCGTCAAGTTGATACTTTCTGCCCACTCTCAGAGATCTAGTAAAGAGGACTTTTTTTTTCTTTTGTCAAGAAACTCCCACTCGTCTATTTGCTTTTGTAAGTCGTGTCATCACGACTCCCAACACTTCTGTCTTTCTATGGCCGAGTAAATGCTGAGCTGTTGGCGCATAATAAAGCCTTATGCCAGTGGTGAAAATTGTTGGCCATATCTAAAACGGTCTGACAAGAAGCACTATGTAGATACTCAATTCCACCAAAGCACCCTACTCCAAATTGTTCATCAAATGCACGCTGCTTTAAGCGAAGTAAATCCGGAATTTGCCATTTCTGGCTGCGGAGTACATCAAATCTATTCCATTCTTCTCTTCATCGCGTGAAAGTTATTCTTGAAAAAGAAACAATGGACTGACTTGCCGGCTTTCTGATCGAACTAAAAAGGTCACTCTTCCGGCATAGTGCTTATCTGCGATTATCTGCATGTGCATGCAGTGGACATCCACTAGGATGATTCGGGTTTAATGCTTACAGATTTCTCCTGCAGTCAGTTGCTTGGGTATATCATACCTTTTTTTTAAAAATAAAAAGATACAGACACCGGGCCTAGGGAAGTAGTATCTCTTCATCCGAGAGAGTGCTATAAGCTTACGGTTTATTTGAAGGCTCGCCATCAGTAAAAGCTTGCTCATACCCCCTTATCTCGAGCTGACTTAAGATCTCACAATTGCAAGGGTAGTCCCTTAGATCCACTAGGGCGCTACTGTGTCTGTTTGGAAAGAGGGTGGGTCCATGCTTTGCCATATTGCATACACAGAGCTGCTAGCCAAAGTACTCACCTCGTCACTTTATCAGTAGTGATGAATTGACCTGCACGACGTCCCTTCCCAGTACGTTATTCTGCTCAAGATTCCAAGCCTGATCCCAGCGAAAGAGAAGCAGGCCTAGGTGAGTGTGCCACAGAAGCTTTGAGCAGTGAGAACCCTTAAGAACGACGCATTATCGCGCTGATTGCTGATTGCCACTAAATTCAGAACTCTTGCACAAAACCAAGGTGTTTTTTGTTTGTTTGTTTTTGGCTTCGAAAGCTTGCTTGCTGTTGCCCTTGATAATAGTCTATCCTTGGGACAGAACTTGATGTAATCACAGCGATCCAATCGCCTTCTTGCGGTTATAGACACGTTATACCCCGTACCATTCCAGATGGACTTGATGGAGATGCCTTTTCTTCCTAAGGGCAGACCTCCCTCTGCCAACATCATTCGTGACGAAGAATGTATCAAACCCACCGATCAACTGCCGCTGTACCATTCCGACCGACGCCACAGCCGATGCTTGAGTGCCGCAACCCGAATTACAACAGTTCTCCTAGCTTCTTGGGGATTTATGTCCATCTGCCTTCAAGTTTTTCACCTGATTGGACTGCCTTCACCCAAACCCGACGTATACAGACCCGAAACCCTGGGGCCTACAATGAACCTGTGTGACTGTGGGAGCAGCGTCCAAGAAGCCCTTTCTAGGCAATGTGTGTACGATTCACTGGCTACAGCTTGGCTGCCCCCTCACTGCCGGGACGACGAACTGACGGCAGAGTTCGACCGATCGGGTCCGAACTCCGATGGGTCCTGGCCCTACTATGCAGATGCAAACGGGACCACCCCGATTGGAAAGGTACAGGTTGCACTTCTTGGAGACAGCAAAGGTAGCTTCTGGAGCCTGAGAGACTGGCATATTGCACACTGCATGTTCTACTGGGAAAAGTATATACGAATGAGGGAAACGGGGGTGGTAATGGAACGGAGGTTCGATAGTGTCGCTCATGCGCGGCATTGCAGGCGGCTGGTTATGAACCCGACGATGTTTCACAAACAGCTTTTGGAGGTGCCCGTGATGATGAGTTCAGGAATTAATGAAGTCGAAGATGGACATGAGCACGAACATCATCACGAGCAAGGGCAGACTTCGTAAGGATTAGGAGGCTGAAAATTTTCTATAATTTTTTCTCTGATTTCACCGCGCGGTGAGAATTAATATTCATGCGGACTTCGTGGGGAAATAATCCTCTATATAATGCGTGCCTTTTTCCGAACTCCTTGATCATTATGTACATAGCTGTATATGGTAGAAGGGCCGCTGTGAATATCGACATCGCCACCTTCTCTGACACAATCATGCTGTGAACCTCCCGATTCAGTGTGCATAGTACATACAAGAAATCTCGGAGAAGACATAGTCGCTGAATATAGGCCTTGACAAAACCTGCAAACAGGAAAGGTGCTATGTAAACCTCAACCCGCGATCTATTGGCGAGGTCTAGACTCAAAAGACCTTATCTTAGGCAAAGTCATTACATCGATAAAAGTATTTGATCGCAATAAAGAGGGTATGCATCTTTCGGAGTTCAACAACAGATATTTCCTAAATAGGCAACTGATTGCGGTTGCTCCGAGTCAGTCCTAGAGGTAGCTATCTATCTTGGTATTTATAATTCGGCGCTGTATCCCATGGAATCAAGTAATCTTCCTCGAATGCAATCAAATTTACTCAGACACACAACATACCTCGCAAAGTATTAATGGCAACCAGCTTGTGCTTGTCCGACAATCGCCTCGGCCCTCGCGTCAGCATCGGTTGTCGTGCCTTTGACTTTACGCTCTTATTTGAAGACATATTTTTCACATCTCTGCCAGCCGCGGTTTTTTTAATACTTTTACCCATACGGCTTTGGGTTCTTCGGCACGAACCGGTCAAAATCACCTCATACAGATTAGCGATCTGCAAGCTAGTAAAGGTCCCTTCTTATATCTTCCCCGACTATGGCTAATCTCAAGCAGTGCCTTATTGCCGTGTTATTTGTTCTCCAGGTTCTGTTTGCGGCTTTTCAAGTCCGGAAATCGGCCCTTCATACCCAGGCTTCCTTGCTAGCAGTCATACTCAACATCATAGCAACATTTGCAGCGTCATACGCCTCCTTCGTAGAGGACCAGCGATCTGTGAGACCCTCAGATCTCCTCGTCCTCTATTTCTCGGCGTCTTGCATTTGCAGACTGCCTCAGCTATTGACACTATGGCAAATCCCATCCGTTGAAGTTTGTCGATATCTCTCGCTAGCCAGTTTCCTTTTGACGGTGGCGGTTGTAGCCCTTGAGTCCGTTCCAAAAATCAATATTCTGAACTCTCACCACTATAGCATTACCGATGAAGGAAAAGTCGGGTTTTGGAGCCGATGCTTCTTTATCTGGGTACTGCCATTCCTCCAGAAAGGGTATAAAGAAGCTCTCGAGGTCGAGAATGTTCCAGAAATTGACACGAATCTTCAAGGAAAATGCTCTGGCGGTAAACTCCGACAGTCTTGGGACTTTGCAAGCCAAAACGGTCATTATCGCTTAGTCAAAGCTGTGTTTTGTGCATACGGATGGGCTTACGTCTCCGCGATCCCCCCACGCCTGGCCTGCAGTTGCTTTACCTTTGCGCAGCCTTTTCTCATTACAGCAACTCTGAAATATATTGGAGACTCATCAGCGTCGGAGCCTAAGTTTTACGGAACTGGACTCATAGGAGCGTATATTCTAGTATATCTGGGGTTGGCGGTAGGTATGCATTGAGCACTGCGAATATAGCATGTCTCGCTAACGGTTGCAAAAAGATCTCCAAAGCCGTATACTGGCGCCAGACATACCGTTTACTCACCATGATGCGATCTGGTCTTATATCTATGATCTATGACCAGACTATCGAGATGTCTGCGGCTGATTTGACTGATTCCGCAGCTATTACATTGATGGGTACCGATATTGAACGGATAGTGGCTAACTTGAAAAACTTGCATGAGGCATGGGCGTCTATCATAGAGGTGGGGATCGCGATTTGGTTATTAGAGCGCGAGATCGGGGTTGCCTGCTTTATACCTCTTGTCATCTCACTGGGTAACAATTCCCTCATCTGATTTTGACAGATAGATCGGTCCAAGAGAAATTGCTAAGAAGCTTTATCTACAGGATCCGTGGCAGTAATGGTCCCAGTGTCAAGCCTATCTGGAAAGGCGCAAAAACAATGGATCGAGCGAGTACAAAAGCGACTGGAAGTGACAGCAAACACGTTAGGCAGTATGAAGGCTGTACAAATGCTCGGGCTTGGCGATGTCATTTTACCTCTAGTGTCACGTCTGCGTGAAATCGAAGTGAAAACTTCCGTCACATTCCGGAAGTTGTTGATATGGCAGGTTGCGCTCTGTGAGTACCCGAAACGCATGAGAGGGCCACTTGGACATGAACTGACGTTGAATTCAGCCAACGTGCCTGTTGTCTTCGCTCCCTTCGCTACGTTCACAATCTACGCAATAATATCTGTTGTACGACACGATGGGTCAATTCTCTCTGCTCAGGCATTCACATCCCTCGCTTTGATTTCTCTTCTCACAAATCCCCTACTCATATTTTGCCAAGTCATGCCCGCACTCTGGCAGGCTATCGCTTGCTTTGACCGGATTGAAGCATATTGTGCGAAATGCACCTCTTCGTCCGCAAAATACGAAGATGAGACTCAGCCTGTCCCGTCATCTGAAAAGTTCTGTCCATTTTTGATCTCATTCCAAGATGCAAACATAGCATGGTCCTCGGACAAAGATCCCGTGCTTCGCCATTTGAATCTCAATATTCATCAGGGCATTACGATGATCGTCGGTCCTGTTGGATGTGGGAAGTCAACTCTGGTTGAGAGCATCCTCAGTCAGCACATGGTTAAAGATGGTTCCAGAACAGCCTCATTCTCAAGAGCGGCCTATTGTCCACAGATCCCGTGGATCACGAATGATACCATCCGGACCAATATCATCGGATTCCTGGAATTTGACCAAGCATGGTATAACTTCACATGCGAGGCGTGTGGCCTGCAACAGGACCTCGGGGCTCTTGTGGAAGGTGACATGCATCTAGCTGGAAGTGGCGGCATCTCACTTAGTGGAGGCCAAAAGCAACGAATTGTGAGTCATTCCGCATAACATACAACTATCTTTGCACGTACTGATGAGTCCTCTCTTCTTATCTCTAGGCGCTAGCCCGGGCAGTCTACTCTAGGCTTGACGTTGTGATCCTGGACAATGTGTTCAGCGGGCTCGACTCAACGAGTATTGCTTTCATCTCGAACCGGCTTTTAGGCAAAGACGGCCACTTTAAAAAAGCGGGGATATCGGTTATTCTCGCTATGAGTACAGGTATGTCTTGAGATGCCCTAAGGGCGGGTAATCCCTGTTGCAACGCGATCAAGGACCAGCTCTAAGAGAACTTATAGATCAGTTGCTACTGCATGCAGATGAAATTGTGATTATGGACGAGAGAAAGATCACAGCTTCGGGGTCATACAGTGAGATACAATCTAGGAAACCAGGGATTGTCTCAATGGTTCAGAAGCCAGTGGCGAATCCTCCCCTTGAGACGGTTGAGAAGTCAAACTTCCGCCTCACGGTTGTCGAAAACAAAGATCACACCAGCAATTCTGTGCAAACAGTCGACGATAAAAAGGCCATGCGTGTTAAATGGAACGGAAATTGGCCCGTGTACACATACTACTTTCGAAGCGCAGGATACGGAATTTTGGTCTCCTTTGTGGCCTTCACTATTATTGAAGCGTTCTGCTCCAGCTTTCAAAGTCTGTCTAGTTTGAGTCATATTGGTTAGAAGAAAGAAAATCTAACTTCTTCTAGCATTATGGATTCAATGGTGGGTTGAGGCAAATGAAGAGCAGCCTAACAAGCAGCTGGGGATGTATCTCGGTGTTTACGGATTGATATTTGGGTTGGCATTTCTGAGTCTCGTAACTGGCTGCTGGTATGTGTCTTAGATGCGATTTGTTTTCAGAGCTGACCGGAGATCGCAGGTTGCTTTTTGTTCCAGCCCTTAACAATACTTCGCTGAATTTGCATTCCGATCTTCTCAAAACAGCGCTTAGGTGAGTTATCATAGTCCAACATCCATATATTGTCATACTTATATTTACTACCGCAGGGCATCGATTAGCTTCTACCAAAGTGTGGACATTGGTTCAATAACGAATAGGTATTGTTAATTTCTCAATCTTCTGCCTCCGTTGTTTCTGATACATCTGAGACAGGTTCAGTCAAGATTTGGAACTTATTGATATGATGCTACCGATATATGCTGTGAACTGCGTGACTAGTATTAACCCTTCCCCGATATCAAGATGCTGGGGCTCACTCACTCGGCAGATGTCGTTTATGTTTTTATCAACATTATCATCATCTGTGCCATTGGTAGATACCTGGCAGCCTCGATCCCACTCTTGGGTGTGGTTCTATTCTTCATTCAGTCATATTATCTGCGCACATCCCGACAGGTCCGATTGCTAGACATTGAGGCCAAAGCACCTCTCTACACCCACTTTCTCGAGACTATCCACGGCATATCAAGTATCCGAGCCTTCAATTGGGGGCACCAGCTGCGAGAGAAAAGCCACTCCCTATTGAACCGATCGCAGCGACCGGTATACATGCTTTACAGTATCCAGCAATGGCTGATTCTGGTTTTGGATTTGACTGTTGGGGCAATTGCAGTCATTCTGATCGCCATGGTCACATCCCTGAAAGATTTATTCAATGCAGCATCCATTGGGGTTGCACTCAACATTTTACTGACACTAAATCAAACCTTGGCAAATGCTCTCAAGATGTGGACCATGACTGAAACCTCTATCGGGGCCGTCACGCGCGTCCAGCGCTTTATAGAAGATACCCCCTCGGAAGAACGCGGTGTGGCATCTTCAATTGCTCCTCAACTGCCGCATGACTGGCCTTGCCATGGTGAGGTAAAGTTCACAGACGTGACCGCTGGATATGAGTATGTATCATCTCGCTTTTGTGGGGGGCTATCTTTGTTATATGTACAAAAGCTAAGCCAGGCAGCCATTCAACTATTCCGATCCTTAAAAGTCTTACCATGACCATCAAGCCGGGGGAGAAAATCGCCATTTGCGGACCATCCGGTAGTGGAAAAACATCACTTATTATGGCGATGCTCCAGATGCTTGATCTTCAGTCCGGACGGATCGAAATAGACGGCAGGAACCTCGCCGAGATCCCGAGAAGCACAATCCGCTCGCGCATCAACGTTGTCCCCCAAGACCCATTTTTTATGCCAGGAACCCTCCGCTTCAATCTCGATCCTCGGCAGTGCGTGATCGATGCGGAACTGGTCCGTGCCATTGAGAAGGTGGGCCTCTGGGATCAAGTTCGCGCCAAACGGGGCTTGGACATGGAGTTCTCTACTGAGGACTGGTCGGTCGGACAGAGGCAATTGCTTGCCTTGTCTCGGGCCCTTGTGAAGAAAAGTTCTCTGTTGATCTTGGATGAGGCTACAAGCAGGTATGTGCTAATATAGTTCTATTAAAATATGGATCTCTGGGTTTTCATTGAGGTAGAAACTAATGATTTTCTTGTGTCAGCGTCGATTGGGAAACGGAGGCGATCATGCAGGACATTATTGAGAAGGAATTCTCTCAGCAAACTATCATATCGGTGGTACATCGGCATCGTTTTATTCATTGGTTCGACCGGGTGATTTTGCTCAAGCATGGGGAACTTGTGGAGTGCGATAAAGCTGAAGTGTTGCTGCAGAGGGATTCGGACTTAGCTTTCCAAGAGCCGTCTACTAGTAGATGATCTTTGGTTTACAAGATCCCTTACTCAGACTATGTATCTATCAATGGTATTTACTGGCAGCAAGCAAGCTCTGGAGACAGGTCTCTGTTTTTCGTTAGACAAGGATCAAGTTGAATTAACAATGAGCAAATCGGTAAGGTCTCGTATGGAGAATATGGCTGATCATCAAGTAGCTATCTGAATGCAAATCTTTCTTCTCTCTGCTCTTCCCAAATTCAAAGGGTTGCTTCTCAGTAAGATCTTCCGAGTAGACCCTATCCAAAATGGGTCTAGTGGCAATCTTCGTTGTTTCCGGCCGAAGATAAGCTATGAGTATTTCATTATGGCGTGTTCTAATACGAGATGTCTGCCAACCCTGGCTTAGAGAAAGCGGGGCATCCGAGAGTCTATACAAACGGAATGTTCGCCGGCTCTGCGACCACTGGGTTTGTGAAATCATTGGGGCAGAGTGGTCCGATGGCAAGTGTATAGTCGCCCGATATTTCCGCGCGCGCAATCAAATCACTGACTTCTGAGCATAATCGGGTCGTCGAGCCCAGCCATCTAATTTATTGAATTCAAATAACAAGCTTAGTAGTATAAGATTATCTTTCCATTCCTAGGCTATTTCTGTACCGGGATCCTCCTGGACTTCACCTATATCGGTGGGCACGGTCGGAAATATACTTTATACAGTCCTTTACCAGACGAGGGCCTAGTTCCGGAAGCCTACGCTTTGTTTTAGTAGCATTCGACTACTTTTTCCGCCGTAGAATCCGTATATTGTCCTCCGCGAGTTGAGCACCAACCTCGGTAAGAGCGAGCCTACCCGCCAAAATCCCAGAAAGACTATCTCGCACCTTCGGAGAAATTGTAGTATCGTTTTAGATATATTTTATTAACTCAGTGCTCGCTTTTCTCGGTTTTTGTACTATCGCTAGCGGTAAATTTGGTAGTGAATTTAATAGTGGTATGTTACGGACATACCAGGCACCAATCAGTATGGGGCCGCAACTTGTTGATGGGCGGTCATGAACCAGTCGATCAACCGACCCATCTGGATCACGTGATAAACAATCAGAGAGATACGATTGGACGAACAAGGCAGGGGCCTTTTTCGGCCCTTGATTTACCATCACCCAGAATACAGAATTAGTTCTAGCTACATGCAAAACCGAGACTGAAATGTGTTTTAATATGATACAAAATAAGTAACTCTTTAGAATGTAACAGATGTGCACGAAACAACAAAACAGGCTTTCGTCACCAGGCCCTTTTCACAGTTCTGCTAACCACAGCAAGTTAATTCCTCACACAACGTTCCACAAATAACTTGACATCGTGGACTGGGCTTGCCGGCATCTCGAGGAAGATCTGTGTCAGTGTCATCAGAAAGTTCGGGCTGGAGAGTGACCGAATGAATTCCATAGGCGTGGAAACACTCATTGATTACGCGGGCGATGCGCATGAAGTCTTCCACGGAGTTTTCAGAAACAACAACATGAACAGATGCGAGGGTCTTTTGTTGATTCAGTCGCCAAATATGAAGTTCATGAATTGAATGGACTCCAGGGATCTAAGAATGGTCAGTATGTGAACATTGGACACAAATCAGAGAGATGCTGTTTACCCTTTCCAGGTCGTGGGTCACATCTCCCATGTCGACGCCCGTGGGAACACACTCGAGCAGGATCAAACCAGCTTGGCGCACTTGATGGTGTCAGTTTGGGCTTGAAATGGCCATGCGTAGAGGGCAAAGCTTACTGATTGGCATTGACGACAGAAGAATCAATATGGCGATGAACATACTCACTCCTGGGTCGGCATAGAAACGGCCAGGATGGGGTGCTGCGAGCCAGATAATAAGACCAGCAGCCATTACACCAAGATTATTGATTGCATCGCCAATGACATGAACAAATACTCCCATCATACCCAGATCACCGTGGTCGTGACCGTGACCGTGACCGTGTCCATGATTATGAGTTGTGGTAGATTGACAGAACTTCTCAAAGCTAAGGTGCTTGTGGTCATAATGCTAGCAATTGTGAGCTTTACCTCGATTGAACTTTCAGGTAGAAAAGCTTACTTTGGAGCTAGAATCCTGGCAATGCTCACTGACGTGAGAAGGTGCCTCAACTGTAGACGATGGGCCGTTATCATGACCATGGCCGTGTTCTGAATCCATGTCAGCCGAGTCAATGTATGACTATGAAGTGAGGACATACCGTGAAGAATGAATGCACTGATTATGTTCAACCCTAGCCCGACACATCCAACAATGAACATCATTTTGGGGTTTTGGACATCTGAGTGCAAGGTTAGATATGCTGAGATGAAACTTAGTCCTTGAATAACTTACGTTGGAGAGCAATGAAACGCTCAATAGATTGTAAGAATATACTGATACCTAGCCCGAAAAGAAGGACACCATTAAAGAAGGCACCCAGTAGCTGAGCACGCTGCCAACCAAAGGAAAGCTCCTTGGGCGAATCGGTACATTCCGATTTCTGAGTATGGAGCTACTGTCAGAAGACCGAATATATTCAGAAGTGTTAATGATACTCACCTTCAAGGCAACAAGGGCAATGATGAAGCTAACCAGATCATTCAGCTACAAGAGAAGTCAGCCAAAAGAACACAATCTGAATGTACTAAGCCAAGGGTCCGCTTACATAGTGGAAAGCATCAGCAATGAGAGCAATTGAATGGGTATAAAATCCCACTACCCAAGTCAGTGATGGCCAAGTTTTGACAAGAAGGGCAAGTAATACGAACATGAGATCTCAGCAAGAAAAAAGCAAGTTGAGATGCCAATGACAACTGTCAGACGCCTCGAACGCGACAGATGCAAAGCCATAGTTCTTAGATCAAACGAATGAGAGATATAAAGAGCCGAGCCTGGGAAAAAATACTGGAAAAATGATCCGGTTGAAGCCAGTCATGTGGTGATGTATCAGATGCAGGGGGGGAAAGGAAAGGACTGGAGTCCAGCTATTTACGGAAGAGGCGTTCTCACAGATGTCTATTACTGCCTTGCATGCGAATGCTGCCCAGCCTCAGTTGAGAAAGCAATGGTACGATGTTGCCGTGTAACTTTGAAGTCTCCGGCCGCTGGGAAATATGTGGGAAGTATGTGCGAAGTATGCAGAGAGCCTGAGCGTTATTTGACACGGTAAACGACATTTAGTGGTTTAGTGGATTATGGATTGGAGTTAGCTTGCTGATCCATACAATAATGAGAGCTTGCCTCAAGGTGGTTGGGTTGTTTGGAACATTGGGTTAGGACACCATGTTCAGGCGCGACGGGGTCCTGGACTTCCCCAGCCCTACCCTCATTCTTGCATAAGAATGCAGGTTCCAATGTTCTACAGAATACAAGTGCCCAGCACATTCAAGAATATTTCGACCTAGTTATACAATTTCGTGATCACATTTGCTTCGTTTTGGAATATAGGACGCGTGTCAAGGTTAGGCGGCGATTTGATCCGAAAGTCCATCCAACTCACGCGCCCAGTTTCTGTGTCTGGAAACATGCCAAATAAACTGCTCAGCGAGTCCCTTGGCATCGGGTCCAATCTTGCCAACTTTCAGTAAGGAAGCTGCATCTCCGTGTCCCGTCACGACACCATATGACTCCTTGAGGGAGGTGCCACTCTGAGCAACCTCGACTTCTGGGAGATTGATCTGGCGCTGGATGAATGGTACAGCGTCATTGGCACCGGCAATGGCTTTGAGATGGGCGAATGATTCGGAAATCCAGTGCTTGGCGACACCGTTCTTTGACAACGCCTGGACATGTTTTCCACCAGGGACAAACACGGCATCGAAAAGAGTGGATCGCATTCCTGTGAAGAAATGATCGGGTACAACTGTCTGCCCCGACTCCGAAGTGACACCCTGGCGCTGAGCACCAATGGTGAAGACGAATGCATTCTGGGCTTGAAGGGCTTCCTTCATGGTGATGTACTGGTTGAAGTCGAAGCCATCGGCTATAAGGATAGCAATACGACGCGTCGCAATGGTAGGTTTCTCTGGCATATATTCCAGCTGACTTAATCCCTTGGACTTGAGACCCTTGTTTTCTTTGGAGGCTTGAGTTGGGGTATCACCGCCAACATTGGTGGCGACAGTCTGAGCAAGCTCCAAGCTGATTGCTGCAAGACGCTCGGTCATGCGCTTATAAACAACCGGATCGTCGCAGTGATCCAGCTCAAATGAAAAGGCCTTGGCAACATGCATCTTTTCAATTTCCGACAACGAATTGTAGAACAGTTGGGCTTGGTTGAAGTGTTCTTTAAACTTTTCCGACAGAGCGCGCTGTTTGATACCCTGTTGCTTCTCCGGGAAACTGGTGAAGCCGCCTTGCTCTGGAGCAGCGGGCGGATTGGTCTCAAATCGATTAGGCCAGTAGTTGACAGTGCCCTTGGTGATGCGATGCTTCATAGCCCCATCACGGTTCACCAAGTTCATATACGGGCAGACTGGACGGTTGATAGGTAATTCCTGCCAGTTAGGGCCCAGACGTGAGATCTGTGTATCAAAGTAAGAGAAGTTTCGGCCCTGAAGAAGGGGGTCGTTGGAGAAGTCAATGCCAGGGACGATATGGCTAGTACAGAATGCAACCTGCTCTGTCTGGGGGAAAAATTCGTCGACATTACGGTTCAATTCCATCTCTCCAATGTAACGGATAGGAACCAATTCCTCAGGCCAGATCTTTGTAGCATCAAGAGGATCAAACTCGAATTCATCGGCCTTCTCGTCGGGGATGACCTGAATACCAAATTTCCAGCGAGGAAATTGGCCTGCATCAATAGCGTCCATCAGGTCCTTGCGATGGAAGTCGGGATCTTGACCATTGATCTTAAGTGCCTCATCCCAGACAAGAGAGTGAACACCCAGCTCAGGGGTGAAATGGAATTTGACAAGGTGACGCTTGCCCTCCTTGTTAACCAAAGAGTAGGTGTTTACGCCAAAGCCCTGCATCATCCGGTATGAGCGAGGAATAGATCGATCAGACATAATCTGTATTAGTGTCAGTCACCACTCAGCCTAAATCAGACAAATATGAAATACTCACCCATTGATTCATATGCGTCACCTCGGGATGCAGATACTGGAAATCCCAGAAATTGTTATGAGCACTCTGACCTTGCGGTACTTCATTGTGCGGCTCTGGCTTCACGGCGTGGATCACATCAGGGAATTTGATCGCATCTTGAATGAAGAATACAGGGATGTTGTTGCCAACAATATCCCAGTTGCCCTCGGAAGTATACATCTTAACGGCGAACCCGCGCACGTCACGGACAGTGTCTGCACTTCCTTTGCTACCCTGCACCGTCGAGAAACGCAGGAAAAGAGGTGTTGTCCGACTAGTGTCTGTCAAAACACCTGCAGAGGTCACATCTTCTGCACTCTCGTAAAGCTTGAATGTGCCGAATGCACCCGTTCCCCGGGCGTGCACGACTCGCTCTGGAATGCGTTCATGGTCAAATCGCATGATCTGGTTATGAGATTAGCTGCTAAACATAGATTCCGGACTTTTAGGCTGTCTACCTTTTCACGGGCAATCTGATCCTCTAGAAGCGAAGGGCCGGTCTTCTTCTCATCAGCTACGCGGAGCCAGTGGTCAGGGTCCGAGATCTTGATGCCATAGTCGGTAGTCATATGTTGCTTGGAATTAAGATCGACAGTGTCTTTCTCCAGATCAGCAAGCTTGCCATCTGCAGTCTTGGAAGTTGCATTATTCGCCATGTTGGTTGGTATAGTAGTAGTACCCTAAAATCTTGGTGAAGGACGAAATGTATGCGAATAGCAAGAGAAATTTCAATTATTTCGCCATTGGCATCTTATGTAGAAGAACCAGAACTAAGCAAGGAAGTCAATGTGCTACGTCAATGATGTAATCCACCCAATCACTGATACATGGAATCAAATCATCTCAATTACTCAGTTCGATTGTTCTCGATCGGGCGCAGCCAGGGCAGCAAGAGTGACCACCACAACTGTGAATGATCCAATTATGACTGAATCTCAATGGCCGAGGTAGTACATTTCCAGAATGCCGGGCCAAAAACCTGTCGAGAGAGCTTGAGGCAGGAAATATTGCGAATCTCATGTCTGTGATTTGTGGGCGACTTTCCTGCAATCCACTGCGGAGGCAGCATCCGGATAGTTTGATTCTCCCTTGGTTCCGAGTCGATCATGCTGTCCGTTAAGTTCTATTGAGTACAGTACAGCACTCGGTTGACTGATACCGGTTGCAGAGATGACGTGGAAACTTGTCGGTGTTGGATGTTGAGCTAACTGACGTCATCTGATATCAAGTCGGACCTCCGAGGCTTATGCGCTATCTAACTTCAACGTTGCAACAATTCTATATACACCACGAATTGAATCGCTGTTAATACAAAAGGTCTACATGTTATCTTCACTCCAGTGACTGCGGGTCTTCAACCATGCCTCGCGCTCCTCTTTGCTCTGCTCCGGGCTCATACCAACTCCCATTCCACGCTCCACCCACTCCTTACTCCCCATTTCTGACAGACGCGAGAGCGCACGTGCAAATGCGAACCGTTCCTCGTCTCCACTAAAGATGGATGTCTTCTTCAGTGTATCCATTGACATGCCCAGGTCGTCCATTAGGCTACGCATGGCGTCCGAGAGATCGGAATGGTCACCGTCCTTCTTCACGGTATCATTGACCTCAGATGCCGATATGAAAAGGTTTGCAAGAGGTGCTTCCGAGGTGAGAACCAGTTTGGCCTGTTGTTTTGTAAGTAAAGGTATTAGAGATACTGCAATTTCCAGAAGGCACATACCCTGCTTTCATAAACAGCATCGATAAAGGTAATAAAGCGTCTAGCCAAGTCTCGTGATTTGTGGTCCATGGATGGCACTTCCGTGACAATGAATGCATCGTAATGGCGGACCAACTCGAGATAATCAGCTGCACCAGTGGCTGTGCCGATGAGTTGCTGGAATGTAAAGAACGCAGCCTTGCCACTAGCCTGGGGCACCTTGATCTCACGTCCCCAGACAACTTGAGAGTCGGCATGAGGGGGGTCGTTGATGGGGTCGCCCAAGAACTCGAACCATTTCTGGGCGTGGCGCCCAGCATCCTCGCCGAGGGGGTGATAGTAGACAGCAGCTGGAGGACGGGGGATCTTTCGGTAGTCTGTTGGAGAATTGAGGTTGATAACACTCAAATCGTTCTTGAGGAGGTTGATACATGGAATAAAGGACTCCCGCTGAATGCCGTTTTTGTACAAATCATCGGGGTGTCGGTTTGATGTGGTGACAAGAACAATTCCGTGGGACATGAGAATCTCTAACAGTCTGTCATCCGTCAGTGGAAGCTAATATCCCAATTTTATGGAACATACCTTCTCAGAATCATGGCATCAGCCACATCTGTACACTGGAACTCATCGAAGCAAAGCACGCTTGCCATCTCTGCAATATCCGCTGCAACCATGGGCAATGCATCGAAATCATTTCCATACTGCATCTTCACCACATGCATGCGCTTATGTACATCTTGCATAAAGTTATGGAAATGAATACGAGTCTTGTCCTTGATATTGGGAGGCAGCGTGTCGAAGAATAGATCCATCAACATAGTCTTGCCGCATCCAACATCGCCATACATGTACAGTCCCTTGGGGAGGTTTTCAGGGATAATGGATTTCGTGGCCTTTTTGGAACCACCGAATAGCGATCCGAAGAACGAAGACTTTTGTTGAGGATCCAAGGACTGGGGGTCGGGATGGACAACCTTGGGCGGGTGGTACTCTGTTAACGCTTCGAACAAATCTTGGAGACCCTGAATGATGCCTGTTCATGAATGGAGTATATGTCAGTTTTGTACTATGGATAATTGCCAGGTTCGGTATAACGCCTCCAAACTTGTATGCACTTACCTCTCTGGTACTCATCATCCCGCAACCGACCCTCCTCCACTCGCACATTATATTCCGCCAGCGGTCCATCCTTTGGCGCAACCGAAGTCTTTTCGCCTCCCGCAGTTCCATCTGTGACAGTCGCAAACCCGCGCGCATTCTGAGAGGGACCAGCCAGCTGGAAACGCCGGGCTCTAGCAGAGGGTAGACAGCCAGGCAAAGTGCGACTCGGGTTCGGCGTAGCAAGTGTTCTGCGCTCGGTGGCATACGATCTCTCACGAGCCGCACCCCGCAACCTTGCAGGGCGCACTCTCCGCGGCGTCCGGAGCGCACCTGGGAAACATTCTGAACAAAGCTTTGCTGATGGTCGGCTCATTTGTACTGCTTTTGGTATGGCCACCGAAGCTCCGGGAAAGAGGTCAAGGTCGGGCTTATCGCGGAAAGTTGCGCTGCGAAGGCGTTAGCCGAGGTATTGCAGGGTGGAATTGCTTTCTTCCGGGCAGCGGTTATTCATACGCACTAAATAAGAAGCTCAAAGTAACAAGACACCCAGTTACAGCTGTACAAATAGTCCTGCGACTGTTGAAATGAGAATCCGAGTCTTGAGTGGAAAACCCGCAGTGTTCTCCGTACCTGTCGAAAAAGAAGCGGCCGAAACTCGGACCGAGTCACGTGATGCCTTTACTGAGTAATATAGGGACCCGATCGCTAAGTTTTTCCTTTGTATTGGCATAGAAAGTGCTATAGAGTATAAATGCAATGCTAGTAAATGCTGAATAGCACCCCAATATGTGCATGAGCAAGAAGACATATGTACACGCAGAAGCAAACAGACCGGGGTATGGTCCGTAAACAACAGAGGATATAGATCAGATGAGAAACCAAAGCACAATAAAAGAACAGGAGCAAATCAAACAGAGAGCAGAGCCCACAAGGTGGTAGTGAACATGGTAAACAGACAATGAAGACCAAGAGAGATTGGAAAAAGAAGAAAGAAAAGCATGCCGTACATCTCGCATCAGATTCGTGACGTTGCAATCATGTCCTCGTGGACAAAGTGAAATCACTCAAGGACAAAACAGTCCGGTATGGGTTAAGAAAAAAAATGAAGTGAATAAAACCACGCAATCGAATAAAACGCCAATACACCATAGTCATTGCAAACATTAACAGGCGAAATACCCCGGTGGAACCAATAAGTCTAACGTTGACCACAACACCAGAAAGGACCGAATTGCTTTTTATGCGATGTTGACAAAGAGCGTCAACTTGGTATTCCGCTGCATGGCACTTTCAAGATCTTGGTCGGTGTGGAGGTCAACGTAAGAACCAGTTGATTCATCGCGGTACTGCACAATAATCTCTTCCTGGATCTTCAACCGATCCGAGAGCTTGTCCTTGAGGTGTTGCATGCTCACACCAGCTGGAATTCGAATGGCAATCAAGTCATCCTGGAAGAACACCTTGACTTTCATGGCATTGTTAATCGATGTGCCAGAGGCTTGAGTGAGGGAGCTGGGTTGGCGGTTCATGGGTGGTTGGCCATTAGCATAGGCCGCAGGGGCTTGTGCGCGTTGCTGAGATGAGCGATCCGTCGAAGCATTCATTTGCTGCTGCGAAGACTGGCGCGACACACTTTGAGAGGGATCCACGCCGCCAGATTGTTGAGATGCACCCGAGTACCGGGCATCTTCTCCGAAAGCACTCGGATCAATCTCGAAATCCCCTTCACGGGGAGCGAAGAGTTCCCGGACAAGCGGACAGCGGGAGATATGCGGAGGCATCGACAGGAGTTTCTTGATATATTCATCGAGGTTCTGTCGACGGCCGTTGGAGATGGCATCGGTCACATGAGTGACAGGACCGGGCATGAAGGGGAGAGTTCGTGCACGACCACGGTTGCCAGCTTCGTCTTCAAAGTGAGTCAATAGAGCAATTTGGAAGTCGTAAAAGTCGTGGTAGTAACGCGACAACTCCCAGCAGCGTCCATCCTCCATCTTTGCCTCGATGATGTACCAATATTTGTCGTTGTCGAAACAATAGCGGGGAATATAGGCGGATACGGGAACTAGGAGGGGATAGCCTTGTTGCTGTGGCATCGATGCCTGCGAGATGGTTCCCTTGCTGGCATTGCGCTGGTGGTATTCCTATTTCAGGCGTTAGCAGAAGCAAGACAACATGCGACTTATGGGAGGTTGCGACGAACATAGTTGTTGCCATTTTGACTCATCTGGCTCTGGTGGCCCATGGACATTTTGTCCATGCCCGAGGTGACCCCCATCATGCTGCCGCCATGACCGGATTCGATCTTGCCTAGCGTGATACTGCTGTTCTTATATTCCGCCGTCATTTTCTTCCATTCCTCGACCTTGGGGACCCCGGCGCGTCGCACCGCGTCCAAGGGATCGGTCACAGCCTGACCACTCTGCATGTCGCGCAACTCGATGAAGGAGACGGGGATGAGACCGGGGCCACCCAGGCGACCAATAGGTTTGGCGACAAACCACTCCGGGTTGGATTGGGCGATGACAATAATGGCCTCGCCGGCCTTTGCGTCCAATTCATCGGGTCGCTCAGCCTGGAAGTCGTACTGGACAATGCCATAGACCATAGCGCCCTGGCCCTTGAGAGCAGACATTCTGAAAGCGCCGTTTTTGGTGGTGGCGGAATCGGTGCGGTCGGAGAAAGAGTCGTCCTGGGGCAAGTCGGCGGAACCCCCACTATTCCTCTCGTTTTTGCCGATAACCTCAAAAAAGGAGACGGGCACGAGCCCCCTCGCACTGGGGATCAACGGATTACACGCTTCGTACCAATCTGAGTCGTCCTCCCTGCTTATAACGTGAAAGAAATCCCCCTTGCTGAATGCCAATTCCTGAGTTGTTCCCTCGGGTTGGTAGTCGTAGAGGGCTTTGATGACCTAGACAAGTCAGCCACCGCCAAGCAGTCCTGGGGGGGGAATTTCTGGACTCGGGGAGACACTCACTTTCTTCGGAGGCAGAATCGCAATCGCAGACTTGGGAGTAATGGAGATATGGTGATGTTTGGGATCTTTCTCCCCTTTCAAGGATCGCCTAATGGCCTATTCGAAACCGGATTAATATAAAACCAGGTTCATGTTGCGGGGAGTCCTACCTTCATGATGGATGTGGAAGGGAAGATTCAAAACCAGACCTTTCTGACTATATCCTCTCTCTCTTTCTCTATCTCTAGGGGATTGTGGTCCTCACCAGGCCCGTTCTCTCTTATGAATGGCTAGAGAGTCTTTGAAAAGGATATGACGACAAACCTATATTTGGCTAAAGAAAGGAAAGTGTACTGGTTGGGCAGACAAGGGCGGCTAACGGTAATCAAATCACACCCCCCGTGGACACACTCTTAATGTCCACGTACCTTTCTTCCTTTTTTCCTTTTTTTTTTTTTTTCCCACAGGGGGGAAAAGCCCTTGCCTCCACTTGAGCCCCGTGGTTTAACTGTTTCTGGACCGTGGATGTGACTTGGTCTCTTTCTTTCCCCAAGATCACTAGAAAGGCCTAGAATGTTGTCTGTGCGATTGTGGGTAACAGCAAATTAGAATCAAATTAGAGTGAAAAGAAATATTTAAATTAGTTACGGGGAATGCACGGTGACAGGAGGACACTGTGATACCTAAATAAAGAATAAAGTATTGTACAGCCCTGAAGAAAAGAAAGAGAAAAAGGGCAAAAAAAGGTCGATCATAACCCAGAGGATCATCATGTCCGAAGACCATGGGTGCAAGGGTTGGTCTTTGGTCCACAGTGATATGCAGACAATCATGTGATTGCACCTTAGATCGCTCGAGTTGGGACAAACCAGCTCCGAGCCTTGGGCGCCCCCCACGTGGCAAATCTCCATAGAAGCCTCATGGAAGCCCAATGAAATAGAGTATAGAGTATATAGTTATGAGGAAAGAGTATAGTATAGGAAAATGGACTTGATTGTATCGAGGCAACTCTCGTGTTTAATCTGGTCAATGCATATGTCGGTCAAGTCGCCAAAATATTGGACTGTGACTATCGCAAACATAGAAAATGGAAAAAAAACTCCAGGACGCAAGTGGGTATTAGTATCATGGTCGAGTGGCAACACTAGATGAGATCCGGGGTGATGAGGCAAGAATTCGGCAAATAGAAATGCAAGGCTGGATGAAGAACGGATTCGAAGGGAACTCCTGTCGCCGAGAAAGAAAAATGGTTCGTTGTCTCCGATGGGTTATGGCCTTGGTTGAAATTCCATGGGAGGAACAGGGTTAGATTTGACCCTTGATATCGACCACGCGATAGGCAGCTGCCTTGGCATTTTCGAACAGCAAGCCTGCTTTGCCTGTCAACAGCCGTACTTCGCCATTTTTCTCTTCCAACAGCTCCGCAGACGCATTATTGAGGACAAAATGTGCCGTCTGCTCATCGGATTCAAATCCAAGTTCTTCGGTAATGAAGCGAATGTTGACATCGGGTTTGTACCTACAAAGAGTCAGTATGTTGAGGCAAACAGAAGAGGAGGGGGATGAAGGGAACCACTGACGCTCTGCAAATAGCGCATAAAGCGCTCAACCGCTCACGTTCCACAAACATGTCCATGAGGTATGCCCCCATATTCGGCGTGTCAAGATAAAGCTGGAAGAAGCGATGGTAGTTCCCGAGTGCAAGGGCAGAGCGGACATCTAGAGCATGCTTGACAGCCAGGTCTTTCTTATCTTCTGCTGTGACATCGGCTAGTGCATCGTTCATTGCCGTCCAGTTCCGGGTGTAAATGAAATAGAGGATACGATACGCCTTGAACTCTGTGGGGTGTCCTCCCAGCTGCTGTGCATATAACACTCGTAGCTGGGTTTGGCACTGGTTGTACTCACCAAGATCCCCCTTCTCCAAGGCGATGCGCGCATGGATTTCATAGACAGAGACGGTGAACTCATTGCGAATGTGTTGGACCGTTAGATCCTGACGTAGAGACTTGAACTGGTCGCAAATGTACCCGTAATTGCCGTCGTGTTTCCACTTTTTCTTCAGTAGATCCAAGGCACTCTTCAGCACTGATAGGGGACGGACAGTGTCTGGGTTGGGAGCAGAAGTCAATCTGAAGTAGTTCTTCTCCAGGGTTTGGCATCGTCCGACAACGGGTCCTTGGTCGGCGTCGGTTCGTCCCGGGGGTTCGGTAGGGGAGGAAGGAGAGTTTCCGTTGATGCTCAGTCCCTCAAAACGCCTCCTTCGCATTTCCAAATTAGCTTTGGACTTACTAGACTGGTCCAGTGTCATTTTCTGTTTTTTCTCTGTAGTAGGGTGAGTAACGCGGTCTTCAAAACGGTTGTTATTAGCTTTTCTCCACGGCGGAGATCCATTCTGTAGTTGGTGTGGGTCGGTCGACTTCCTCTTGCGTGCCGCATCTCCGGGAGAAGATGGCTGTGACGCCCAGTTCGAGGAAGCCGGGTTGGCCAGAATTTTATTGCGTTCATTCTGTACCATGACCTGTGGCAAGGGGAGCCGCTCCCAATCGATCGTGTGCAGCTTCTCGTTCTTAGCTGCCTCAGTGATCACATGCTTTAATTTTTCCTGCATTTCAGGAATGGTCACGCTAGCAATCTGATTCTCGGGGGCGAAACACCGTTGCACATAGGAGCGAACAGGTGGCGGGAATTCAACTCGCTTGCGATCTTCTGCGCTCGGTTCTGGCGTATTGAGCTGGGAGGTAGGATATCCGTTTGCTGGGGCGTTGGCTTTGTTATGGGAAAGACTACGACGTGCTTGGACTGGGGTATAAGCAGGTGTCGCTAGGAAAATGTCAGCGGTTTGCCCGAGAGGTCGGAACGGGTTGCTTCCACTTACCAGCAGTAGAGAACGCGGGAGGTCTAGGCATCGAGGCGGAGGCCGTAGAACGCCAAGGTGGGGCACTGGAGTTCATTCCGGTACTTGAAGAAAGAAAAATGCAAATGGTGAAAAAAGCAAGGGACTGAACGAGATCAAAGGCAAAAGAAATGAAAAAAGAGAATAAAGCTACGAGGGGGAGGGAGTTTGACTCGAGGGACGGATGTATAAATTTTCCTAGACCGTCGTGGTATTGGATTCTGAGATGAAAGAATGGTAATCCTGAGAGGAGGTCTCAAGTTGATGAAGTGCTTTCGACGGTGAAGGCACTCGCTTACTCTTCGGAATTTTATTTCTCCGCCGATCCCTTTATCGCCTTATCGCGATCTCCATACTCCCCCGTCACGTCGCTGCATTATCTCCATGGGGATCTCCTCAAACTGGTCCTAGATGTTCTTCAAGGCGCTGGACCTGACCACTGCGCTCAGGCCTTTGTTGCTACCTGATGAGACTTTACTCTTTGTGCAGGATGCAGTGGGGTTGTATGAAGGGTAAGTAGCTCATGATCATGTTGATGCGGGGTGCTAATTGGAGACAGGAAATACAAGATACTGAACTACCAGAATGGACACGCCTATCTCACATCGCATAGAGTCTGCTATGTTGCTACGGAGGATCCTCGAAAGTATTCCGTGGCTATCGACCTAAAAGAAATCGATCGAGTTGAATACCAGGTACAGGAGCTATGCTCAAGCTTCGACTCCTAAGTTGCTGACAGATTTCTGATGTCTAGGCTAGCTTCCTCAAGTCCTCTCCAAAGATTACCATACATCCTAAACCGCAGAAGCACAAGACTGATCCGTCCAGAAGCGCAACTGCCAGTCCTGCTGTATTTCAACAATCTGCCCTCCTTTCAACACAATCACCATCTACACTTCCACAGTCAACCGTTCCCCAAAGCTCTCCTTTGAAATTGGTCAATGCCACTTGGATTTGTCCAATTTGCTCATTCTCCAATCCAGTTCCGTCCAACTTTGACCCGGCAACCGCGAGCGCTGCTACGCATCTACCCCCCTGTCTGGCATGTGGGATTAAACCACCATTTACAACCGTACTCAAAGCAGCCATCAGTGCTGCTACAAACCAGGAGTCTCATTTACCTTCAATTGCTTCGTCAGCCAATTCATATAGTATACCCCAACCAGACTCGGTGACGTCGCCTGGGCACCGAGGATCTGTGTCCTGTCCACGATGTACCTTTGTGAATCACCCATCTCTCACCGAGTGTGAAATATGTGGAGCTCCTCTGAAATCTGCGGGATCTTCGGTCAATACTAACCGAGTGGACTCGCCTGCGCCAATATTTGAGCAGTCGCATATTGCAAATACAGAAGTCAGCGAAAGCATCAAGCTTTCTTTCCGCGCAGGAGGCGAAAAAACATTCCATGAAAGACTAAAGGGAGCTTTGGTTCAAAGGAAGTGGCTTCTTCAAAATGCACCTCCTGTGCCACCACCATCCCAGGCCACATCCTCGCCGGGCTTGCAATCTGGCGCCGCAGCTGCTGCGGAGATCTCTCTACCAACCACACAGCGGTTTTCGGGAGTTGGTATTGCAGGACTGGAGCGTCGTGGACTGGAGGCTCGAAAGAAAAATGAGTTGGTGATCGGGAATTCCTTTGAAGATCTTGGAGCCTTGATGGCTTCTGCGAAGCAGATTGTGGCACTGGCTGAAACTTTGGCACGAGAGTCAGGCATGACCTCCAGCGAGGGCTCCGCAGAGACCAGTGCGGTACTATCTGAATCGGCAGCTGCTTTAGGGATGGTGACGACAAAAGATATGCTCAGTTCTGGATCAGAAAGTCTTTATCTATCCGAATTGGCGCGCGATCTGGCTGAATATTTAACAGATGATAGAAAAGGCATCTTGCAGCGCGAAGGTGGAATCATGAGTCTTATCGATCTTTGGGCAGTATTCAACCGCTCTCGTAATGGGGTCGAGCTGGCTAGTCCTTCTGATTTCCAGAAGGCCGCGGAGCTATGGGAGAAGCTCAAACTGCCTGTTCGCTTACGGCGCTTCAAAAGCGGCCTTCTGGTAGTGCAACGGTATGACTGGAGTGACGAGAAAACAATCGAGAAGATTTTGGACTGGATGGAAGAGCTACGATGCATTCCTCCCGAAGATGTTGCTCCTTGGGACTGGTCGCTATTTGGACGACCTATAACTGCACAAGAAACCGCGCATCGATTCAAGTGGAGTGTCGGAGTGGCTTCCGAAGAACTGGAAATGGCTGAAGACCGGGGGATACTTTGTCGGGAGGAGGGAATTGAGGGTCTACGCTTCTGGCGAAACTGCCTGTCAAGCCCGATCTCTGACGATATCTCTCGTCTTGTCATTTGAGGCAATGTATCCCCATAAATGTATATATCAAGTTTCATACCTAGATCTACCCCATAACGATGCCAGGGGAATGTATATATTGATGAGGACACGAATCCATAGGAAGAATGTGCCTCTGGTACATCAAATAGAGGCCCGAGGATAGTTATTTTAACCAAGCCCAACATAGTCTACATAGTCCATACAGTCCACGGAGCTGGAGTAAATAGGAGGCGGTGACCAAAAATGCTGACTGGACTCTGACGTCAATTTGTGAACTTGGGTATCCCTGACTTCCTTTCCTTAGGTTTTGTCCTGGCCTTCCTCGAAATTCGCTTCAACTCTCTTTGAGAAACCCTGATCGAAGAGACAAGCAATCGTGATCGCTGTACCCATAGTGGAGTCGATCGATCGGACCCTCACCAAGCCCCGTGTGGGGGGCTCATACTGTTTTCCAGCTGATCCATCATGATTTCCTCAGCCGCAATGTCAAGCAGAATATCAGGCGCTCGAGTCCTGCACCCGGCATTCTCACAATGGGTGCTCCCCCATATATCCCAGAATCGAAACATATGGCAATGTGCACGCATCGGTCAGAGTGAGAAGGCAGACCGCATTTCAAGAAACATTGACCGCAATCATCGATATCCTCTGTTCATACACCAAAAGGAAGGAGATTGGAGCCACAGACCTCCTACTATTAATCCCAAGCCTTCAACTTGGAGGTGTGGAGTCTGGCGCTATCGTTCAGGTCCCTCCGATCCCTCCCCCAGCCGGAAAAAGAACACGTGGGATTCCGAGCGAGAGCAATTGCACAATCAGGTGAAGTCAATGAGAAAGCATATTGTAACAGAGCCATACGACTTTTTTTCCTGGCGAAGATTGGACCCGTTCTTCAAGCTTCGCAAACCCGATACTTCTTTCAACAGCTGTCTCCAGTTTCTTATGCACACCGACAAGCCCAATCACACTAAACCCGTGGATCCAAAACAGAAAAAGAAAAGAAGCTACTCAAATCATGATAGACTTCAGTACGATCCCATCAGTGGGCGGATGGCGCCTATGCCTCCTGTTGCATCGGAATTGAAAAACACGCAATCTGGCAGCTCACATCAAGTCGGAGACTGCCTTCCTAGCCATGAGATAAAGGAAAACATTGTCTCTAATGCGGAATTACTTAAGGATGAGCAATCCCAACCGAGAAATGCCAAGTCACAGACTGAAGCTCCGCCAAACTCACATTTGATTGTTGAATGCCCCCAAGGCAGCGATCTCGAGGCCAAGTTCATCTCTGATCCTGCTAGTCGCTTAGTCGAAACACTTCAATCTGGCTTAGAGCACCAAGACTCATATGGTTCAGTATGTACTACTGACCGCCCACCGGAAAATGAAATGAACGCAAAATTCTCTTCTAAAATAACCAATCCAAATCATCAGACCAGCAACACTAGCCACCAGGAAACTACCTCATTCACACAATCAGACTCTCACGCAAGCCTTGAGTGTTCTCCTGGTGTTGAGATAGAAGCACAAGTCTCGCCTGAGCTGGCTAGTCAGGACAGTTCTGGGCCGAAAGCCCAGGTCACCGTTGATTGTACACCCGAAAGCGAATTGGATGCAAAATCCATGTCCAACCCAGGGGTAAATATTGACGAGAAATTAGATTCTGCAACACCAGTCGAGCTGAATAGCTCTAATCAGGCTGATCCTTCCATCGAATATGCACCTGGAAGTAAAGTGGAAGCAAATATCATTCCCGATACGGCAAAGGCTGAGGGCTATTTGGTGACTGAAGATTTGGGCACATTGCAAGCCAGTGATATTAGTGCTCAATGTTCTTCTGAGGCGAAGACACAATCCGCATCCTCTTTGGATTTTGAGGCTTCCAAGGAACGTGAAAGCAACTTGATTTTCCAAAAAGAGGAGCTGGCCACCGAAGATGAAAGGCCAACATCATCGGGTCACTCCTCTGTTGAATTCCATATTCTTGCTTACGATGCATCAAAATCTCGAATAATAACAACTGAAGCAAGCTCGTTCTTTGGAATCAACGAAAGTGCTCAATTAAGTGAAATTTTGTCACGACTGCATCATCCTGCCAAATTCTTACCTCATTTCGAGAAGATGCAGCAAGATGGTTATGAAATTGCAACCGGAGGAGGAAACATACTTGTTTTCCGAAAGATCCATAATGCCTCGAGTCTGGATACTTCAAATAGCACATGCCAGGCAAAGCCTAAAGATCCTCAGTCTCTAAGCAACAGCCGAGCTGAGTCTTTCAAGGTGAGTTGACATGAATATCTCCATTCAGACGGTTCTCTAACAGAACCGCCAGCCACTCTTAGAATCGAGCCATGAAGGCGACTCGACAACAAATCCCAAATCCTTCTTTCGCAAAGCGGGCCGCAGAATGCTCGTCGGAGGCACGATCACCGCAGCAACTTGCTATGCTATCGGGGTCGTGACAGAGTTCTTCCGCACTGGGGGGAAAGATGGCCGTGGAATTGATGGCTTCACTACATTCGAGTCGGATCGGCGCCTTTATGACTGAACCACAACGGTAGGCTTTTACCAAAATATTCATCTATTCTCATGCCATGGACTATCATTTAAATTTCTCCTCTCTTGTCCAGTGATTTCCCTACGTTGTTTCTCGACTCTATATTCACACTGAATCAAATGAAACCCTCCCATCAATTGTCTCTATCAAACTTAGGACAGGTGGCTTTCGGGTAATATTCTGATTACTTTCTTACTAGTTTCAAGTTATCATACATACAGAAATTCAAATCACCAGGACTGTAGCATAGTAAAGCTCGCAGACCATGACCTAGGGCTCAACTCGTCATGTCATTTGCATTGGCGTCCTCCTTCGTCTTACTAGCATTCACCCTCTGATGATCAGACCAGTTCCACTCCCAGGACTCCCTATTTGCATCCGACTCGCTCAGCCTGTTAACGCGATCTCTCCCAGAGCTCCTCAAATATTCCCTTCGCCGAGAGGCCTCCCGGGCATCTGCGGTGCGAATAATCTCCTCGAGCCGGAGGTCTGCCTCTTGCTCAGCAAACATCTGCTGCTCAAACTGTAATTCGGTCACCAGCCGGGCAGTTCGCTCTGCATCACTTTCGACAGGAAGATTCTTTCGACTATGGCCAGAGTTCTGCTTCCAGGGATTCCATTCGAAGATTTCTTGTATGCCACCGCAACGAGCTTCGCCGCTGAACAGGTAGAGCTCCAATGCGGCAAGGGCCTGGACTGCTTCTGTGAAGTCTTTTTGGTTCCAGAGGTCATACTCGCGGGTTCCAAGGACACGGAAAGTGCGGACCTCGAGTTCGTTGTCCAGGGTGATGAGTTTGGCTTCTTCCAGGTGTTGGCGGAGTCTCTCGATGTTCTCGGCTGCATAAAAACGGTTGCTCTGAGATCGTGAACGGTTGGTAGTTCCTATGGTGTTGCTCCCATGTTCTGGGACATTTTCCGTGTATTCAATATGATATGTCTGTGTAGTGTTCGGGTCTGTGTAAGAAGCTGCAGGACTGGAAGTGTGTTCCTGGGCTGTAAAGCCAGATAGAGAGACTTCTGGCAATGGTAGCTCGCGCTGGCACCAAAGACTTGATGTCTTCTGACCTGGGAAGAATGCTCTCAAGACGTGAAGTTTTGAGCCATGTAGACCCACTAGGAAAGCCTCCTGATCTGGAAGCTTATCCCCCGGAGTGCGAAGAGGTCGAAGGTTTAGTAGAAGCTGACCGAGAATGAGCTTAAATTTCTCTTGGAGGCATGAGCTGAGAGTCTCCGCTTCTGTGGTCTGCCTTTTGTCAATATATACACGCGGAGTTTAGTCGTAGCAGCATACCGTTGAAATAGGAAACAAGGAGACTGTAAAGTCCTGCTGGGGGTAAAAATCAAGTGATAGAAACCCTGCAGCCCGCGGTCCATCTTTGTATTTCTCTCGATAGCCTGTCCAGTATTCAAGTGCGCGAGACACAAGACGCGGTCTGGTGAAGATTACAGTCAGCATTGTTTTGCCCTCCATGGATAACACGATTTTTGTCTTAGCAGTACTCACTTTGGGTAAAAGATAACATCCTCCTTGCAAGTTGGTCGTGAGATATCCAGCATATCGCCGATCTCATGCAGAAGCGAATAGATAACATGGGCTTGTACCCTGGGGTTTTTGGTGCCCACTTCATAGTCGAACAACTCACAACCACCTTTCCACAGTCCTTTGCTAAATTGTGGGGCCTGGGCAAGTGTCTTGAACAATCCACGATAGCGCATATCGACTGGTGACCACTCATTTAAGTCGACATCTCGTCCATCTTCGGTGTTATCACGGAAGATCCAGGCCTTGTGTTGAGTGACAGCTGTCGTATGCTTATTAGCCAGGTACATGCAAATGGCACTAACTTGATCCCCGAGGCACTATAGATGGTTTTTGGTATGCCATGTATGCCATATAGCAATCGATGAACACGCAGCACATGCTCGTGGGAATTTGGGTGCCGGGCCATCAAGATGTGAAATGGGGAAGGGGATATTCATCACATGGATCATCAGGCGGACTTACAGTGTTCCTGAGCTTGAGCCAGAAAGCGTTGTGGGATCAATTCCTCCATGGGTTTGTTGAGAAAGAACTTGGCAGTGAGGCCATGAACCTTGACTTCATGAGGGCCAGAAGTTGCAGGTGTGTCATCGGGATCCTCGGACTGAGGCAGGGTACTGGGCTCGCTTTGGATCTCCATATTGATTATGAAGCACCGTTTCAGATTGTTGGGAGATGCTTCTTTCGTCCGCTGGAGAGATTCAGATTGCAGGTCTGGGCTGGTGGCAGTCAAGACAGTCGATGGAAGCCGAGGCTGCTGGGAGTGGGGGAAAAGTTGGGGGAGAATTCTGGGAAATCAATGGTCAAGTCAAGCTGTGATTGAGTAAAATCATCAATGTGAGTGAGCGTTGGAGCTCGAACAGGCCTTTCTCCGTGTTTCCTCGCCTCGCAATGGCGCAATGGCCTTGTTCAGCTATTGTTATTTGTCTTGTTAAGTCCATATCAATAGATCAATGAGCTGGGCGTATATGTCACCAATATATCTACGGGATTCTATGAATTGCCTAGCTAACTACATCGGTAGCCTGTTGCATTGTGCAAGTTCTCATATATTAGCCTTCATACTACCGTCACAGGTGATTTGGCATTTCTATTTAATTTTGCATATCTATTCAGCTGGCCAATCCATTATCGCAAATTTTGAAGCGATTCCAAAGGTTTGATATGAATTCAAAGAGTTGCTAGTACGTGGATGAGAGAAATGCAAATTCGTTGGACACATGGACCAGTGAATAAGGAAATGAGACACTTACAAGTCTACCGGATCAATGGCTTTGTATCTTCGTCAACAGTCCTTCTTAACAAAGACTATACCTTCGCTTTTCCAATAATATGCCCCAGGGCCATATTCAGCAATGGCAGTCAATAGTGGGGCAGATGTTATAAATCCCCGCAGATTACGGGATTTCGACTGAACAACTTCAACTACCATGTCGGCAACACGTATTCCTGTTCGCACCGAGAGAGCGCCTCTTCCACCCCCATTCCTCTCACAGGGTCTCATAGTCGGCGACGTGGTCTACTGCTCTGGACAAGTGGGGACAGACGCCACCGGTAAGATGGTGGAGGGCAGCATCCAGAACCGAACCGTTAGTCCACACGACCTATTCGATGTGACTTTACAGTACTGACAGGCACAGCGACAAATCTTACAAAACCTCAATGCTGTCCTTGAGGCTGGAGGATCCAACCTTCATAACGCCATCAAAGTCAACATCTTCCTGACAGACATGGCGGATTTCTCAGCAGTCAACGAAGTCTACGCTGAGTTCTTTGTGGACCCCAAGCCAGTAAGCCCACAACTGCCCTGAACTGCCTAAAATCATGTGGATGCTCACCATCATACTGTAGGTACGTACTTGCGTCTGCGTCAAGTCCCTCCCACTAGGAACAGATGTCGAAATTGAGTGTTCTGGACTGAAGAGTGGCAACAATCGAAGTTCTAGACTCTAAGACATGACGTGGGTACAGTACAGGACACTCCACTCCACTTGGCTGTCATCGTACGTGTGTGTCTGGCCAGAATGTTCGCAGAATTTTGAAGTGGAAGGCTAGTCACATGACTTTGGTATATCTTACATACTGTTTCAAAATATTACACCGTGTTCCCGCCCGTTACCCCTGTAATTATCGTAAAAGTCGGATTCCACAGTTACCACCTATTACCACGGGGCACCGGTGGATCCCACCGCTTTAGCGTTCAGGAACAGGCCTAGTGCCCTTGGCGGCCCGTGGTACAGATGATGAATTCCTCCTGTTCAGGAAATATCCAGTATCAATCAGGCATAAGGTCTATAGCCATGTGGAAGCCATGAAGGACGGAGAGGCTCGTGAGTAGAACCCAAAATTCTAACAAAGAAACCCCTGTGGCGGAGCCCGAAGGGCTGCCTATATTTAACCGCTCACATAAGCTTTGATGTTTGTTTTGCTTTGTTCCTGCGTGGAAGGCGCCAACTACTGTAGTAGACATGCAGCAGCCACCGTTGTCATTGCACGTGAACATGTATTCAGTGCAATTTTCAGGAATGCTGAGCATCGCAGAAATGACGACAAAATGAGGGGGAATCAACTCGCATTAAGTATCAACATTCCGATCGGCGCACGTGGCGCATTTAGTCAATGTCCATCTGAAGTGGATGGAAGTCGTATGGAATACGAAGACTATGGTATATAACGTTACCTCTATCCATATGCATGGAGACATGCTAAATCCTCTAAATAAAGTGAGTACAAATGACCCAAGTCTTCATGACTTTGATACTGTGCCGTAGAATAGCATCCAATCCTGCGTATTCCGAACCCGACAATTTCTTAGGGGTCAATTCTTAGCGAAGAGATTCTCGTTGATCATGCCAAAAGAGGCCAAGGCCTAAGCCACTAATGTTAGAAGTGGTAACGTGAGCCGGAGGTAATACTTGTACGCTCGGGGGGGCTGTGAGGCCACGCACTTATTACCACACACATCTATTCGCTTGTCAACTTCGTTTTCTTTTCTACTCTGGGCAGGCATAAGAGGATAATGGTTGAAACTAGGTAATTTAGCAAGGAAATTGGAATAAAACATGACATGTATCATTTGCAGCTTACACTAATTGAATAGACTGCTTCAATCCAGAGAGCCTTCTCAATTAACCCAATAGCAACTACTGTTACAGATCTTGAAAAGTGCGTGTCTATAAACCCCGTACCTGACACCATGCGCCAATACCCAATTTCCCGTAAATTACTCTCCCCCCCCCCCATTCTCTTCCCCCCTAATGGGATCCTTCTTCTCACGACTTCATTCACTTTATTCACTCCTTTCTTTCTTTCCCCCTGTATTTTGTTTGCCGACTTAGCTCTGGCTTCGAGACCTGGAGCCAATCCGCTCCCCTTGCATCGGTCGCCCCCGTTTTTTCCCTTTGATCGCCCTGTTCTACCTTAAGGTCGTCCGTTCGCTCCTTACAGCTTCTTCAAGCCCACACTCGCTCTTCAACCCTCGGGTCGATTATATCGCCCCTTCCATTCGTTTACACACTTGTCTTAGCTGGTTGCCTAGGCGTCGACGTTCCTCTATTACCGCGAAGCTTTGATCCTGTTGCAAACTCGGGATTTCAAGACCATATACCTCTTGTCACACTCCTGATATTACATGAGGTGTTTACAGACGGGATTCATCTGATATTCACTTGCACTAACATTGGACGCGCTCTGTGTTAGCACGTGGATATTATCACAATATGCGTCCCGACGCCATTTCTCTTCTTGCGGCTTTCCTCGCTGTGGGAGGTCTTGAGGTGGTGGCTGCCCAGAATGCTGCCGACGCGCACGTGGAACGACCGCGTTGGTATTTCCCTCGTGAGGTGAAGCGAACGATCCGCAACAACCGCAACTTCAACCCCGACCCAGAATCCCTCATCGACAGCGTTTTCGAGAACCTTGTAACCCAAGGCTCTACCGCTCAGCCCGAGATTACTCCTACACCAGAACCCTCGTCCACACCAGCCGCGGTTCAGTCTCAAAAGGGAGAGGAAGTTGTCGTCGTTACCATCTCTGTCGACCCCAAGAACCCTGAGATTACCCACCGGATTACCGGCACAACAACAATTGGTGGTGAGCCAACTGCGACTACAACTACAACCACCAAGAAGACCGATGGAGCAAGCTCAGATAACGTCGTTCAAAAGAGTTCCGAGGTTTCCCCTAGTGTCGACACAACGAGCCAGCAGAAGGCTGCCACCGAGTCCTCGGTTACCACGACCTCTCCATCGACTGCAGCTTCCTCTAACGGTGGTGTTATTGGCGCAGTAGGCTCAGGTCTGTCTTCACTCGGAGATGACCTTGGCCTCGGTGCTTCAACTACCACCTCCGCTGCTGTGATCCCGGCTGCTACTACCGATTCATCGGTCCAGGCCTCTACTACACCCTCTACCACCGCTACTACCACCGCTGAATCTTCTTCCAACGGCGGTATCGTTGGTGCGGTTGGCTCTGGTCTGTCTTCTCTTGGAGATGACCTTGGCCTGGGTGTCTCGACCAGCAGCTCTACTTCTGCAACCCCGGTCGTCACTGCCTCTACCACGGCCTCTCCATCGACTGCAGCTTCATCCAACGGCGGCATCATCGGTGCAGTAGGCTCTGGTCTGTCTTCGCTCGGAGATGATCTCGGCCTGGGTGCTTCAACCAGCATCTCTGCTTCTGCAACCCCGGTTGCCAATGCCTCTACCACGGCCTCGCCATCGACTGCAGCTTCATCTAACGGTGGCATCATCGGTGCGGTTGGCTCTGGTCTGTCTTCGCTCGGAGATGATCTCGGCCTAGGTGCTTCAACCAGTATCTCCGCTTCTGCAACCCCGGTTACTAATGCCTCTACCCTGGCCTCTCCTTCGAGTGCAGCTTCATCCAACGGTGGCATCATCGGTGCAGTTGGCTCTGGTCTGTCTTCACTTGGGGATGACCTTGGTCTTGGTGCCTCGACCAGCATGCTCGCTTCTGCAACTCCCAGTGCCAGCAGCCCCAAGGAAAGCTCGACCACAAGCTCAGGAACTGACCTCATTGGTATGCTACTGGGTGACAACTCTTCCAGTAACAACACCATTGCCACTGCATCTACCTCTAGTATGCTGCCTACAATCCCAGTCAGTGTCCCGGCCTCTACCACTGCCTCAGTCTCGGCTTCGACCACTCCTACCTCCTCTGGCGATTTCATTGGTGGTGTTGTGTCCGGTGTGGATTCTCTGCTCGGTATCACCCCCACAGGAACCGGTAGCACTGCCTTGATCCCGACTGCCTCGATGCCCGCCGGCAGTCTTTTGCCAACTAAGTCGACTGCCCTCATTCCTGGATTCGGTACCACTACCAGTGGAGGTGTGCCAACCCCGACCAACTCCATTGGATCGATTCCCGTTCCGCACTCGCCTGGCGTGGACTCTACCTCTGAGTCTGCTACTGCTTCTGTCCCTGGCAGTGGCACCACCAGCGGTTTCGTTCCTGGCAGCGGCTCCAACGAGACCCCCAAGGTTCCAACACCGACTTCACACCCTGCCTCCACTCCTCTTCCTCAGACGACCGAGGTGAGCACGACCCAGACCGCAGTGGAGCCCCAGACCACCTCAACCGAGACTCCCTTGCCATCCACCTCCAACGATAATGACTGGATGCCATCCACCATTCTGATCATGCCTACCGTCGCGACAACCCACACTACAACTTCTGGTCAGACCGACAAGCCCCAAGCAACTTCCCTCCCTGGATCCATCACACCATCGAACGAGGTTACCGAGGCTCCATCTGACTCGACTCTGCTCCAGTTGGGTTTCAACGGCCAGCTGCCGTGGTCTTTCGTGGCAACAACTCCTCTATCGTCGTCCCAGATCTTCAACTATACCCCGCAGGCCATCGGTTACGCTTTGCCTACTCTCGCTGGCAAGGACTATCCCGTCATGTTCTCACTGGAGCCTTACTATAACTGGCAAGCTACCGGTTACAACGCCACTCTGGCTATTTTCTACTTCCCTCGTGATAAGGTTGAGGCATTGAGAGCTCTGAAAGTCAACCCCAACTCTGCTCTCTACAACCAGGCTAGTGAATCTATCCAGTCATTGATGAGCATGGTTGACCCCACTATCCCCCTGGAATTCTCTGGCAACTACCCTTCCAGCAGCGGCGGATCGAATTCTGGAAACACCGACGGCGGCAATGATGGTGGCAGCGACGGTGGCAGCAACAGCAACAACAACAACAGTGATGGATCCGCTAGCAGCTCCAAGACGAAGGCCAGCTCCGTTGGAATTGGTGTCGGCGTCGTGGCCGGTGCCGCCGCTTATGGTGCTGGTATGTTCTGGGTTGCTCGTCGTTACCGCAAGAGAAAGCAGCTGCACCAGCGCTCTAGCTCTACCGTTGAGCAGATGAGCCAGGGTGCTTCCGCAGCCGGCTCAGTTTTCGCAGCTGGTGGCCGCACATCCCCCAGCCAGAACAGCCGTGGTACTGCTCGCTCTCAAATGATCAGTGCCCCTGTTATGGCCGAAAACTCCTTGGGATGGAACTAGGTGTCTCGCTACAATCCAGCGTACAGACTGCCTCTCCCATCACACCCCTCCCTTCTGGGCCTACGACGACAAATTTATACAGGGTATCAGACCTTGAAAGACAACGTTCTTCACGGAAACTGTTCCTTCCGATGCGCTTATGCTTGCCCCTTCCCCGATAGAGGCAGGGACCCGAGAGACTGCACAAAACTTCCTTTCACTGTCAGATTTACATGTCACATATCACGTATATCTTCTTTCTGTGCAATTTTTGATCGGCCAATTTCTTTCTTCATTTGATACTCCGAGCGACGATTGGTCGTCGCTGCGTGTGTCCTTTTCTTCATTTCTTGAATTATTCCCCCTTACGTTCACCAAATACCTTTTTTTTCCTTTTTTCCTTTTCAAAGGCAGGTGACAATCGAATATGAGATGAAATTTTTCCTCTCAACCTTTGGCTCATGTCTCTACTCGGAAGCTTTTATGATTTATTGGTCACTTTGTCTTTGGACTTGCACATTAATATTGGTTTTGGGTTCGTGGGTTCCTCTGAAGAACGTGGTGCTCTCCCCCATTTCTCTCTCTCTCTCTCTCTTTTTATCTCTCGATTCATCCCTGTCTCTCTGTTGTAACATGTTGTTTTGTTTGAGTTTGTTTTGTGACTTGTACAGATGTATGGATTTGTCGAGTGTATGGTGGTCTTCTCTAGATCGGAGACTGAATAGGATGAGTAAATCTCCTTTTCAACATTGATCCTTTCATTGTAGGCTCAAATAGTGTAGGTTTATTTGTTTATATTACTTGTTTCCAGCCCTTGCAGACTAACAATCCATCATTTTGAACTATTCATCGGGCTATTGGCTGTATGTTTCAGTCCTTTTGACACCACGCTGGGAGCTATCAATGATTGCATTACAGCTTTTTCTATAGAGTTATGTCTAGGACAATTCTTATCATTGAAACAAGGAAATCAGATTGATTGCTAGCTATACGTTGATCAAAAGGCCCCTTGTTAACAAAGGGTATCAAATATGTTCAAAATTCACCGTTTTGTGCTTAATAGCCAAACGTGCCAACTTGTCCAGGTCAGAGTCAGAGAGATGCTCAGTGGCATCATGTTTCCGAATCACCAGGCTCTGGCCGTATTGGTGCTCAAAATCCACTTCAACGTCCCATTTAAACAGCGGCGAGCGTTCTCGGAAGAAATATGGCTGCCCTTTCCTCTTCACAAGGTCATATTTCTGTCTATGTGAGGACTTATGGGCTGTGATGAAGGTTCCATCCGTCCTCACTGCAATGCTGCAGTGCCAGGGACTCATGGAGAAGGAGTCTATTTGGGGGATCAAGGGAAAGGATAGCTTCACCTGTCCCGATGAGGGATGTATAGAGAGGCGCACTGAATCTGGATAAACCTGGCGCAATAGCTCTGCGTATTCCTAGTCTAATGTGAATGACTGAACCACTTCAGATTCAAAGTACACGTACCACTCCACGAACAATCATAGCCTTTGCTATAATTTTGACCCTCTTCTTATATTGTTTTGGTCCGAGACAGTCTTTGGTGACTGGACTAAATTTGAGATCGGTCTTCATGAACTTGTCGTATCCTGTGTCAAGGTTAGCTTGCATGGATCTGCTATGGAATCTTACTCACCATTATATGTCTGAAGATAGTCTTTGTTGTCTTTCAAAAACACGTCCACATCAAAGCCAAGTCTTCCGTACCTCCGATGAAGCTCTGCTCGTGATATATCAGAGAGTGTCACGTATTCGGATTTGGAGATTTTCTCGCGGTGATAAAGGCCCAGTAAATTCATGATCCGATTGAATTGGATACATCCAAATCCCTTTCGAGTGGCAATCTCTCGCAATTGATTGCCATATTCCCAAACTTCTTCATCAGAGATCCCAGTCAAATCTAAGTCTCTGGTTAGCCATCTTCTTGTGAGCTAGGCATCATCATACCATTATAGCAGAGTCCGTCAGTGACAATGACCACAACTGCACCAGGCGGATATACAGCTTTGATATCTTGACACAGATTCACCAGCCTCGCCAAACCAAGCTCTTCCCCCAGATCCGGCAAGGCGCCTAGCACCTTATCCATGCGGTTGATGCTTTTCATTGGGAAAGCAGGTATAACCAGGGGTATTGTTTTGTTTTTGGTGATATGCATCTGTACGAGCGGCATGAAAGATGATCGACCGAGCCACTCTCCTGTGACTGTTGTTTGTCCATGGTAGCCGTATCTTTCGACAATGTCCATCACCTCTTCTGCCTTCCATTGTGCGGAAACAGGACATATCACTGGTGTACTCGCCCGAGACAGTGCATCATCTGTCTTTGGAGGCAGTGGGTTGGGTCTTGGAAGAAAAAAGACTCGGGCTTTGGGGACCAGATCTAAATGTGTAGTATGTGCTCTGACTATCTTTGTTGTGAGCATGTTGGTCTTCCAGGGCCGTGTTCAAGAGTGAGATGAGGTATAGTCATGTTCAGAGTCAACGAGATCGGACTGGGAGACTTCAATTCTGGACATTCTCGTCCGATCAAGACACGTGCTTTATACCCTCTCCCTTCATTTCTCGGGCTCTCTCTCGCGTTTCCGTATCCAAACATTGAGATATGTCCATGTATGAGGCCTTGGCTACTCTAGTATGCCCCGATTAGTCTACTCCAGTACCTGGACCGTACGGTTTCAACAGCAGTCGCTCATCTCACTATATTATCGCCTGTTGTATGGTGTACTCATCCCTTTATGGACAAGAATGGCAGGGCCCCCAAACCTGGCTTTTCTATTACTCAGCAGTTGAAAAAGGACAAGCTTTCCAAACATATCTCAATACAAACTATAAGTATGATGTTGAGAGTGTATATAATTGGTCATTGCTGTCTCGTGCTCTGCGTGACGAGTATAGCTTCACTTCACAGGAAGTAAGAAGCCGCTCGCTCTCGCTCCCAGCGGTATTCCATTCGTCGAGAAGTCTGTTTCCCAATCTCTACACCACCATAATGAGCAGAAATGAATTCCAACATGACATCGATACCAGCAGTGATTCCGGCGGAGGTCCAAATCTCAGTTCCAGGATGCAAGGCATTGATTGATGCATCCATCGGCACCGTATCTCGAACCCATCGTTTATCGCGCTGCCATTCTACCTGGGGCGTCTGTTCAACCACATCGTCAAATCGAGCAGAGTTTGTGGTTGCTCGACGGTTGTCTAGTAGCCCAGTCTGTGCGAGAATGTGGCTCCCGGTACAAATAGTGATAACACTATGACGAACATAGGGCGCGACAGCGGTGATAAAGTCCCGAACTTGCTGTGTATTGGAGGCTTTGTCAGACTTGCCGTATATTCGGTCAAGTCGCGTCCCCAGGCCTCCTGGGATAATCAGCACATCGATAGGCTTGATGTCAGAGTTGGTGACATTCTCCTTCAGGGCAGAGACCACTTCTGCAAAGGTGTGATGTGGCACCATATGTTGATTACAGGCCTGCAGGTCGGGCTTAGAGAGATCAAAATGCCAGTTGGCGCCAGGGGGTGGCACTGGTTTCACCGAGACTGGGTCTAATGTTTCGGCTGATACAGTCAAGGAGATGTCTGCGGTGTCTGTGTAGGTTGTGCGGATGTTGAGAATGTCCAGCGGACCTGCTACGTCCAGCAGCTGGAATCCAGGGAATAATGGAATGTGGTAATGAAGAGGCCTGGTATTAGCTGCCATTTTGAGCACTTGGTCAAGGATAAGTGTGAAAGGAAAAAAAACGCGAGAACGAACACATTCCAGGGGAAAAGTTAGGAGAGGATGGAAGGTATGGGCAGTGGCTAGTGATAAGGGGCTAATACACATTGGCTGTAAGTTAGCTATTGGCCAGCGTTATACACGAGGTTTGACCTCTGACAGGTGAGATCCCATTACAAACAATGCTCCAGTCAGAATGCAAAGGCCACCGAACAGTTGCGCGTACAAGTAGTCGCCTCCCCGCAGATTGATCAGCTTTCCTGCGAGGTAAGGGCCTGTCAGCAGTGGAATGCTATTGATCGTGGTAATCATCCCAACCCGCGTTCCACAATGCTCTGGGTCTTTCGATCCAAAGTAAGCGTTGGCAGCTGGCACCTGGCTCTGAACACAGTTGACTAGTAGTCCATATATCGCGGCCCAGATGAACATGCCATAGTGCGTGTGAACTGCAATCCAAGCGAGGATCGCTATCCCGCAAGGGATGGATACTGCAATGCAGGTCCTCACTGCACCTAGCCAGCGATCTGCCAGAAATGCAGCTGCGATACGGGCTGGAACACCGACTCCGTTCATAATGATCAGAAGGACAAGCGAATCACTCGGAGTAAATTCAGCATGAACCTGGGCATATTGCCGGACCTAAATAGAACATCAGCTTTGTGACTTCACGGATGAGCCAGACTTACATAGATATAGGCAAAGTAAATTCCCTCAAAGATCAGAAACGACCCTATCGAGAAGAGGAGGTAGGACTGTTCGCGAAATGGACTAAAATCGATCCAGGGTGGAATACTCCTCGGCACAATTCTTGGCCGGGTTAACTTGACGATGACGAGGCTGTTAGCGAATATGATAGCGGCCATTATTCGGACTGTCCAAGCAAAACCAATACGGTTAAAACATTTGTACGCAATGACAGGAAAGACCATTCCTCCTGTGGCAGCACCGCAAGAAGCCAATGACACAGCCATCACTCGTTTGGTAGAGAAGTAGGTTGCATATAGCGAGATCATAGGGCTGAAGACGAGACCATGGCCAATTCCACTGAGTACGCCTTGGGCCAGCCAGAAGTGCCACAGTTGAGTCCCGAACGAGGTTGCAAGCGCACCGGCGATTTGAAAAAGACACCCAAGGGTGATACATTGACGCAGATATCCCATGTCCATAGCTCGACCCGACAAAGTCGCCAGGAAATGGACAAGAAACATCTGCATCGCTCCGATCCAGGATGCGTTGGCCGGACTAGCACCTAGACTTTTGACGTAGTATTCCTGAAAGAAGCCATACCTATCATCAATCAGCAGCTGTGAACGACCTCAACCAGGTTCGCTCACGATGTGATATAGCCCCATACATTAAACACGACCAAGTGTCCGGTCAGAACCTGAGTCCAAGCCACAAGCCCTCCATCCGGGACTCTATTATTGTCGCGCTTACGCCCTTCATTCTCGTCGGCTTCGCCATCTTCGCGAAGTTCTTGATTCTCAGGAACACACTCTGTGTAACCAAATAACGGAGAGCGCTCACTGAGAGTGTTATATGTCGGGGCAGATGTCTTATTAGAGGCATCAGCGGTAGAGTTGGAACATTCGACTCCACAGGGTGTATTCTGGGCCATCATATGAGTTGGTGTAAGGATGGAAACCCGTGACAGGGGGGAAATATGTAGGCAATATGACTGCTCAGGTAAACTCGCAGAGTCCTTGCATATGTTTCTGTAAACCATTGGCACACTTGGCGCTGTTCCCTCTCGTCATCATGAAGTTCGAATATGCACCAGATGAAGTGCCTTCAAAGGTCGTCAATGTTCTGAAACGGTTTTCTTTGCATCAGAGTAAACATGGCCAAGAAGTTGGGAAGGTGTTCGATTCTGTGACGGACAAGTTGAAGGTTGATATAGCAGCCAACCAACCAATTACTATGGTTCTGCCTGCATTTCCTTGGAAAAATCCCAACCAGGACAAAGTACTGGGTGATGGAGCTGACTTGGGAGACGAATTGGGTCTGGCTAGGTTGAATCACCTGTGCGAGGAGATATCAACAGTCTATCCCTATGGTGCCCGTCTGATCCTCATCTGTGACGGGCCTGTGTATAACGGTATGTGAGGTCTTGAATGATCGAATGTGACTGACAGTCCAGACTTGGTTGGTGTTCCTGTCAGTGATTATTACGACTATGGCATTCAGCTGCGAGACATAGCCCATGACAACCGCTTTTCTTCGATCCATTTCATACGGCTGATGGATCTGTTGGGACTGGGCGATGGCGAGAAGGTCTCCAAGAGTGATTACCTGCGTCTCGTTCCCATCTGCCGCGAGAGGCTGATGTCAGCCCCCTTCTTTGATCCCACATTCGATATAGACAAGGAGCTGAAGATCAATCCGGATACAAAGACAACCTATGAGAGCTACTTGAGTCGGATCTCGGAGGATTTGAAATGGGCCAAGGGGTTGGATCCTGCTGTGGTATCTGATCCAGTGCTATACGCGACGGAGGTGTCTAAGATGGCCAAGACCATGATCAATCGACTTATTGTAAGTTGACGCCGTTGTGTCTTACCTGGAAAACTAACACTGTCATGGTAAATGTCAGGCATACGAGGCTGTCATTAGCGCCACACTTGGGAAACATGTTCGATTGTCAATTCATCCTTCTGTAGGACGAAACAAGATTTCTATTCCGCTATTATGCCAAGGAGACCTGTTTGGTGATATGCCTTGGCACGCCAGTGTCGCGGTACTGTCGAATGGGGAAATTGTGACAGGGCATGCCCGAGAGTTTCGCAAGCTATATGAGGTGGTCATGAAGTATGATAGACCGTACTACTTTCGAGAGCGGTCCCCGATCTACGAGTGGTCTGCAGATGTGATATTCCAACACGATTACGCTGGGCTGATCGTAAAGAATCCTCACCAGAGACCTCAAGTGCTTGGACGGGACGATCGCTTAAAGCTGGCTCGTTTGATCGTTTCTCAGAAAAAGTCGGTCCGGGTGGAAGGGTTTGAGGCACCAAATGATGCATGATCTAGTTCGGGCCCAAAGAAGAGTTTCAGTCAAGATTTTCTCATGGGACAGTGAGGGGAGTTAGAATGCATGTGATTGTGATCAGAAGTATGGACGGAAATAAATGAATTAGCAACACCGGTGGATATCAGTAAGGTAGGAAATAAGAGAGGCGACAGTGGTATGTACAAAATATGGCAAGGAGAGAGAGATGCCAATGAGCGAGGCATCGAAATAGAAAATATTCTAAAGATGAATGTCAGGATGTTTCAATCATCTCACTCCTTCTTTTTCTTCGAATCTGTTTCAGACTGCCCGAACCAGTTGGTAAGTGATGTAAGTGCACCACTGCTGCTTTCCTCGGTCTGGCGACGAAGCTCGCGCGATCGTTCCCGCTCAGCCTTGTATTCGTCCCATGAGATATTTGCCGCCGCTACTGCGCGACTTTCTTCTTCCTCTCGCGGTGGAAGACTGCGACCTGGCAGTGGGCGAACAGCAGCTTCGCCGCCGTATGCACGAAGACCAGTACGGAAGGCCCATTCGACTGCTTCGTCCACAGGGTGATCGAAAATATATGGGAGGAACGGAACAACGGCGAGACCAAGCTACAAGAAACATGGTTAGAGCTAATCTGTGACCAAGAAAATGAGAGCAACATACCCCAATAGGGGTCCAGGTACGGATGAATGCCACCTTGACATTTTTCACCATACGCCCCGAGTACCTAACCACACTATGGATAGTGAAGGCCGGCAATCCCATGCTCGCGATGCTCTGGAACACCGCGCGCTTTGTCATCACCATACGATAATCTTCCGCAAGTGGGATTTCGAGGGTGGGCCAGTTAGACGACGCGTCTTTGGAGTCGGGGTGCTGATTTCCAATTGTTATGTTACCAGTTGCCATGCCCTTGATGATTTGATCATGCGAGATCTCGCTGGCATCCTTGTACGCCTCGCCGGCGGGAGTCAGAGCCTTTCGATTGCGCAAATATGCCTTGTAGCCTTCATGACCGACATCGCCCAATAGATAGGCCCAGGAAATACCATATGCCGATCGTACAAGCCATGGATGGGCAATGGGACGGAAAGACTCGCCGATGTCCGAGGTGTAGGCAACATAACGGTGGGCGGATACCAAAATGGTGCGGATACGATTCGCGTACGCAGCATATCGGTATGGCGTGTCGGTGGAATTGACGGAGCTGTCGGAGGTAGTCATTAGTATTTGAATTTGCGTTGCGTTGATTGGAGTCGGAGTCGAAAGGTGAGTCGGAAAGTGGAACACCAGAGCCCTTGTCCTGATCACGCGACAACTTCTACCGAAACTTGAATTCTGACATACTATTGCGAATACAGATCGTCGTAGAAGTCTTCGTCTCGATCAACCAGCTGTTGCAGTTTGGCGGGCAGATTCTGACGGACTACAGGCTTATCCAACAACTCCTGCGGGGGGGACTGGGGTTCTTGCTGTCTGCCCCAGGCCATGATGAAAAGTGATTTCAGATGTAGAGAGCGTCAACGGAGGGAATCAAAACAAAAGAAGTGAGAAGAATGAAGAACACCCCGAAGGGGTCAAAGGGGGAAGAAGCGGTATAGTATTTAACAGAATCCTCAGATTAACCGCCTAGGATAGCCGAAAGCGCAGTCATAGCCGGGGTATACATACGGATCATGCAAGTCAATACCTTCACTTTGACTTCCCGAAATCTCATACAGTGATTCGGGGGATCTGTGGTAGGCCCATCGGGATGAGCCGAGAGTTACCCAAATTATGATTCCATCGAGACGAGATCTTTATACTTTGGCCATTTCCACGCCTCGCTTGAACTTCCTCTGCCAGTGACGTCTCCGGGGTTGGCAAGTCGGACGTATCCGGGTGTTGATCACATGATGGAACAGTCTGCTTATGTCATCCCGAGTCACGCAGTTCCGAGGTCAGCTGATGCTGCTAACTGCATCAGGAAAGGCGGTCTCCGTGCCGACCTCGTCGCTTGGTCCAAGCCTGAGGATTCCGTCCACATCGCCCGTTGAATCCCCAGCTGCATCCCAATTCCACACCTACACAATGGTTGTCTACTACCAGATCGCCGGCAAGAAGGTCGGCTCCCACGTCGTAAGTCTTTCCGAACTGCCCGAGAGGACCGCCGCGCACCCGCCATCCCTTTCTCCTCGTGCGGAAACTTTTGAATCATGAGAGCTGACCAGGTCACTTCTATTGTACCAGCTTGCTATGGCCACCCTTGGCACAATCTTCGCCGGTTCCTGGGCTGCTATGGGCGGTGGTGAGAAGCCCAAGACCGCCCAGGGTCCCCCAATCAACGCTTCCTCCAAGGATGAGGAGAACTTCGTCCAGTACGTGCCACGCCAATCCAAAGAACTGCCTGCGAATCTGTTCTCGGCACAAAACACAGAGTACATTACTGACTGTTTACTTACTAGGAACTTCATGAAGGAGGTTGATGGTGGCGAGAAGAAGCCCACCCAACACTAGACAACCCCTTCAATCCGGGATCAATTGATGGAGCGGTCATATAAGCAGCTCAGAAGCTTCAATTCAACTGAACTACACCTCCGTTCTTGTGCCATTCTTAGTGCGCACCGATGTATCCGCCCTTCCGTGACGTTTTTGCGACCACGATAATTTTCGGGAAGCTGCACGGACCGACTGGGAGATGTTGACGGATGAGGTTGATTTATCTGTATATAGGAGACGTGTACGCTGCATAGAAAAATTTCCTCATAAGACTTGTTTTTCGCGTCGGTTTGCGCACACCACCGAGGGGTTTCTTTTGCGGCGAATGAGAACTGGAGCTGTTGATACTCCAGCCCCATTCCACATTGGGTTCCTGGGCTAGCTGTGCCCTTGCACCTTATATGCGCGTACATATGCCTATCTGTCAAGTGTTTTCTATTTTGCAAGTCCAACACCTTGTCCAGCTAGCTTCAGAACGCCTGTAATAATCCTATATGGATAGTAGACCAGGATAGAACAAAGGTAGCGTAAACCAGACGAATGTATAACATGTAAAACCAGTTGTCTACCTCATTTTCTCGTGTAAGCCTGATACCAAAATGTACTATGGGAGTTCTTGTACCCAGCTGGACAGCTCGACTCTACGGGTATTTACTGCCTTCCGCAGTGTTTTGTCGCCCCTAGTGCCGCCGTGCAACACTTTTCACACACCATTCAACCCTTGAGTTATCATCATGAAACCCCTCCCATTCCCATTTCCTTTCAACATCGGTACAGACATTGTTCACATCCCACGTATAACTCGCCTTCTGGCACGTCCCGGAGACTATCTCACGCGCTTTACCCGCCGCATCCTATGTGAGCAAGAACAGCAGGATTTCCACAGACGTTTTGGTGATAGCCTGAAAGCACGCTCTGTCTATCATCAGCAACCTCCTCCTGTTCCATCAGATATAACGCGCTGGCTTGCCGGACGATTCGCCGCAAAAGAGGCTGCGCGCAAAGCTGCCCCAGCAGGTGCGGCCTCACTCGGGTGGAAGGACGTTATGATCCGGGTCCAAGAAGATGGAGGGCAATTTGGAAAGGGCGTGAGCCGGAGGCCAGAAATTGTCTACTTAGGAAGCAAGGAAGATGGAAGTGAAGGAAGAGTTGCCAAGTTGTCTATTTCCCATGATGGAGAATATGTGGTTGCAACAGTTCTGGCAGCAGGTTGAATGCCCACTCATTCCTGTCTATCTCATTACCGTGAATCTACTATGTGATACTTCTGTTGCCTATCTGTCTGGCACTCGACACACGCCGTGGTGACCTTGGATTGTGGCTTCAGCGCTGAGCTCACTCTTGCAAAGAGTCAACAATTGATTTCAATGCTTCGAAATCTTGTCAACACCGCATGAAGCCATATCCATCCATCACTGCTTAGGTTCGATACAATATCAGCATGTGACCTTTGGAAGATGTGACAGTCGCAAGATTGCTGCATTGCAGAGTTCTGCCCATCAACCTTGCAATAAGACTACCTAAGTATCTAGTGTCAATATACTGATATCAGCAATGCAATGTGGAAAATATATCAAGTCGCAAGCGTCCGTAGTGGAGGCGGGGGCGGAGATCCTTATCACCGGTGGAATCGGTTTCTCTGTCTTTTACTCCGTACACTCCTTCATGCCTTTCTCTCATCATAGTCATTCGGGCCAGTTTTGCCCAGGCCATGCTCAAAATTCCCTGGAAGATGTGATTCAAACTGCCATCAGCAAGAAGATGCAAGTCTTCTGCTTGACAGAGCATATGCCCCGCCATAAAGAAGATTTCTATCCTGAAGAAGTATGTATTACGCTCGTCCTCAGTTCAACGCTTGCTTATTCGTCCCCAGATCGAGTCCGGAAATACAGAGGCCAGCCATGAAATCAATGAAGCTGCCTACTGGGAAGAAGCAGTCCGGTTGCGCGAGAAATATGCCTCTGAGATTAAAATTATCATCGGATTCGAGATTGATTGGATTCGCCCTGCCTCAAAGGATCTCATTGACCGTTCGCTTTCTCGGTTTCCTTTTGAATTTTTTATCGGCTCAATTCACCACATGCATACGGTGCCGATCGACTATGACCGGCCTATGTATGAACAGGCTCGAGAGCTAGCTGGCGGTACTGACGAGCGGTTGTTCGAAGACTATTTCGATTCGCAGCTAGATATGCTGCAGCAATTAAGACCGCTTGTTGTGGGTCACTTTGACTTGATTCGTCTGAAGAGTGATGATATGGAGAGAAGTTTCACGTCATGGCCCGGTGTCTGGAGCAAGATCCTTCGGAACCTGGACTTTATTGCCTCCTACGGGGGTATGTTGGAGCTCAACTCCGCTGCTCTTCGAAAGGGAATGAGCGAACCATATCCTAAAGCTGAAATTTGCAAGGTCAGTCACTCACGATGCTCTCTGGATATACCTAACCGGTTACAGGAATTTGGCGCTCGTGGTGGTCGATTTTGTTTGTCTGATGATAGCCATGGTGTCGATCAGGTGGCCTTGAATTTCCACCGAGTATTGGAGTTTCTTGATCGCGCTGGCATTTCAACTCTGCATTATCTCCAGCTGGAGCCCACCATTGGTTCGAATGTGCCCGATGCGAGGTTCCCCCGGACGCAAATAGCAGAGATTTCAGTAGTAGACTTGGGGAAGATGGCGTTTTGGTCCTAAAGTACATATAGCTGAAGACCGATTCAGTGTGGCCAATAGTATTTAATCAAAGGGTATGAAAGAGACAGATGATACAAAACGTTCGTGTGCACTGCACGATGGGACCGCTTGATATGCAGATCAAGAACAGCGTAAATTATATAAGAATAGGCAAGGGATTGCATACCGTACAAAGCCACATCCTAATCATCTTCACTTTTCCTATTTTCCCCTTCTTTCTCTCTCTCGCTTTTCATTTGGTCGTAGAGTTCTCGGGAGATTGGTGTTTTACTCCCAAGCTTTTACTTAGCTTGAACCCCCTTTTCCTATCCTCTCCTCCCCCCACTTCACTTTCTTCCAGCTCTTCTCTCTTAAGTTATTTTGATCGAGTATTATATTTTCACCAATCGCTTAGGGTGTCCCCCCTTTTTTTCTCTGGCGCTTAAGCTTCTGCTTCCGGGGTCCCGCGCTCTCGCCCCCTCGGGTTTTGCCTCGTGTTGCCCCCCAACGTGATTCTCTGATGAGTCTCGATCCCTACACCAGCCATGTCGCAAGTTCCGCGACGAGGCAGCGATGAGAGCTCATCGACTCCGAGAAACCTTTCCTCCGCCTACCCGTCGATGAACAACGGCCTCATCCCTCGGGATTATTTAGCTCGATCCGATCGACCAGGGCCTACTCCTGGCTCACGACATATAACACCTTCCCCGTTGCATACGAGCTCTTTGCCCCAGTCGTATCGCGGTGACGGCGCTTCTTCACAGAGCCCTTTGTCGCCGGGTTCTTCCAACCCATCGCCTTCCCAGAATCGATCGCCAATCGCCCGTGTAGCTAATGCTACGTTTCCCGCCCCTCCGTCTTCTGGTCATAGCTTGTCGCAATCGCCTATAATGACAGGCCTCGAGTCGGACCAAAAGAGCGGACAACCGGATGAGAATAATGTACCGATCCCCCCCAGTGCGCCAGAGCCCGATCGTTCTGCATCCTCATCCGTCAACTCCATGCACTCGATGCCTGGCGATCGCCCTGCCCACCGTGTTATGCCCCGTACTTCATCGATCGATTCCGCGATTTCCTCTCTATCTTCCACGTCCCAGAGATCTGCCTTTGACGTGAAATCCCTGAGCCCAGCCGATATAAGTAACCTCATAAATGCCGCTGGTTCGGCCGAGGCTGTCATTGTGCACCTTCTGAAAGAAAAGCACCATGCTGCCTCCCAGAATGCGCAGCTTTGGAAACTGGTTGACAAACAAAGGACCCTCATTCTTGGTCTCAACAAGGATTTGGAACGTGCTTTCCAAGAGAAGGACAAATATAGGAAGAAACTGAAAGATATTCAGGAAGCGCCTCCGTTGCCAACTAAAAATCCGTTGGCCTCTGCGACCGTGACGGAGGAAAAATCTGCAAAGAGCGACAGACAAGATACTTCGCGACAAGCTAGCCAAACTTCTATTGTCGCACCCTCAGACGCGACGCGGAGAGACATCGAAAGTACCACTAGCCCGATATCCCCCACAGACATTCCATCCCCGGTTGATGGAAAGAGCAAATTTCCGCATCCCAGTCGTAAGCCACCACCAGCGCCCTTGAACCTTCAACAAGCAGAAACAAGAAGGGCGTTGTCGGCTTCCGACTCCGATTCTGATTACGGAGATACTCAGGAAACGAGTGAGAGTCTGGACCGCGGGAGGAGAAAAACGAGAGAGCAAGATGACTGGGACCGCGAAGCTGCGTTGCAGAAAGATATCAACGCTTATGGTAATACGACAACCGAATCAGGCGCCTCTGGTTCCAAGGATACAGCGATGTCTAGCAGCCCGGAGACAATTTCTAGAGAACACGCTACAAGGTCACCACCGAACATGGGTGATTCTAGTTCCCTGGGGTCGATTCTGGGACCGCGAGCTAACCCTGCTTCCTCCTTCAACGGGCGTTCTGCTGGTCCCATGCCGATGAGTCCCGGACTGCCAATGAGTCCGAGGCCAGAAGACCGACCCATTGGATCTCCTTTGCCTCGCATGCCACGGGACATGTCGAATTCCATGGCAGCTGGGTATCATACTCCAGGATTACCGCTGTCCCCCCGAATGGCTAATTATCCCTCCAACTTTGCCCCTGTACCCTCAGATACAAGACCCGCAGGGACCATGCCTTCAATCGATCCTACGGTCAAGATTGATAGCCCAAGGTCTGCATACTTTCAGGACAACCGCATCTATCAAGGCTTGGTATCAGATGAATATCCTGGCCTACTATTACCCCCGAATGCTCTCCCTTTGATCCAAGTCAAAGTATCATCGTCACGGCTACGACCTTCACGAAACAGCTATCTGGTGTCTCGGCCTTTGGATGAAGAGCCTGTATTCACGCTGAGTGTGATCTCTAGATCAGAGATCTCAGAACTCTGGCGAGTTGAAAAGGTCATTGGGGCTCTGCCCCCTCTGGACCAAAAAATAAGACAGAGCGTCTCGTTCGCCAGCAAATTGCCTGATAGAAGCATATTCAATGGCCATTCGCCTGCAAAGGTCGATTCTAGACGTGCTGCATTGAATGCATACTTTGAAAATCTCTTGGATACACCGATGGACGAAAAGGCAGCATTGGTTGTTTGCCAATTTCTGACAAACGATGCCATTGAACCCCGAGATGACGAGACAGCCTTATTGAAAGGCCCCGACTCTGCGAAGTCGGATATGCCCCGTGGACCCGACGGAAATCCCCAGAAGGAAGGCTATCTGACCAAGCGCGGTAAAAACTTTGGTGGTTGGAAAGCAAGATACTTTGTTCTTGATGGACCCGAACTGAGATACTTTGAGTCGCCGGGTGGTCAGCATATGGGTACGATCAAACTCCATCATGCACAGATTGGCAAGCAGTCGCCGAAATCCAGCGACCAGCAAGCGTCGAACTCAGGAGAAGATGACGACAACCAATATCGCCATGCATTCCTGATCCTGGAGCCAAAGAAGAAGGATTCGTCCGCCCTTGTCCGACATGTTCTTTGTGGCGAAAGCGATGAAGAGCGCGATGCCTGGGTAGATGCTCTGATGGAGTATGTTGAGAGTGCTTCTTCCGAGAGTGAGGGGCGTAGCAGCGTGGCCAAGGGTCAAGCTTTGTCTGAGGATCACAGCCAGTCTCAAGGGAAACAGTCACTAGCCGGAGCTGACTCTAGGTCTAAGTTTTTGAACAATGGAGGCAAGAAATCTGGGAGAGGAGTTGACAGTCCCGATCCAGACCTTGGAGGTTCTGTGCAGGGGTTCAGCTTTGATGATGCTGTGCAAGCAGAGCCACCTACAATTGGTTCTACTCTCGAACAAGCTCCTCGGTCTCCACGGATTCCAGCGGCTCTATCGACAGATTTCAGAGACATGACCATGTCCTCTCCTGATCAACCAATGCAGTCCCCAAGGCTTATATCTAGACCAACAAACGGATCAGTCATTCAAGACGTGGAAGCGTGGGGTAACAAGGCAAAAACTTCAACCAAGGAGAAGAAGCGCAGCATATGGGGCTTCCGCACCCGTTCTTCCTTTGATCTTGCCGCACAAGCTCAGGCTAGCAGCGAAACCCTGATTGCCACCGGCAATGTCCAGGCAGAGAGAAACGGACCCGTTAGACCGGTGTTCGGTATCCCTCTAGCAGAGGCTGTGCAAGATTGTGCACCGCCAGGCATCGATGTGGAACTTCCCGCGGTGGTTTATCGCTGTATTGAATATCTGCACTCCAAGGAAGCAGCCCTGGAAGAGGGAATATTCCGGTTGAGTGGCTCGAATGTAGTGATCAAAGCTTTGAAGGAACGGTTTAACACTGAAGGTGATGTTGATTTCGTATCTGGCGACCAGTATTATGATGTCCACGCCGTGGCCTCTCTCTTCAAGCAATACCTTCGAGAGCTTCCAACTACAGTGTTGACGCGAGAGCTTCATTTGGACTTCCTTCGGGTTCTTGGTATGCACCCTGTCCTTTTCGGGTATCGAATATGTACTAACTTTTCCAGAACTTGATGATCGCCAGAAGAAGGTAGCAGCCTTCAACTCTTTGGTGCATCGATTGCCGAGGCCCAATCTGGCATTGCTGCGAGCTCTATCCCAGTTTTTGCTTGAAATTGTCAACAACTCCGATGTCAACAAGATGACTGTCAGAAACGTGGGCATTGTCTTTGCCCCAACTCTCAACATTCCGGCACCCGTCTTCTCTATGTTCCTTACAGATTATGAGAGCATTTTTGGCGACGACAAAAGCTTCGCCAAGTCTACCGAGCTGACAGTTGATCACACACTTTCACCCAATGACATTCGTTCTCCTCGCCACCAGATGTTCTCGGACATTCCAACACCTTCGTACCAGCAGACCTCGTTCCGAAAAACCGAGACTGCGGACTCAGGATCCAGACCACACTATGACACAGGGTTCATCCCAATGCAACCCAGCTATGACCAACCGACGTCCCGCCCTGAACAGTATAACCAGCCCCCTGAGTCCTCAGTGCCCTATTCTTCTTTGAACGGCATGTTGGTGCCCAACTCAGATGACACTCGCTCGACGAAAACGAAACGACGCGAGAGTTCAATGCTTTATATGGACAGTCTCTGAAGTGACGAGAGCGCCAAGCCGCTTCTGCGCTATTCTCTAGCAGTCCAATCCTACCTGTCTGCAGACTCAAAAGCTGGACATGAGCTACAAGACGCTTTCATTTTCTCTTGATCTATGTCGCCTTTCTAATTCTCGGCCATTTTTAATGGTCCATACCACTCTACTTTTCTCCGGACAAATCACGACCTGCACGCGGAATGATGACTTTACCTTGGCAACCCCAGTCAAGTAAGTCGCGAGGGAATGTTTAATGATAATGGTAATCCAGACGTGGTTCGCGCCTGGGGTCGATGGCCCATCCATCTTTTTGAGTCAGCGTGGACCCGAGCAACTTTGACCGTCGTTATACCCCTTTTCTTCTTTTGCTTCTCTGCCTTATTCTTTCTTTTCTTTTTGGTTTCCAGCGCTTCTTCGATGTTGTCCATATATTCTCTGCCCTTCATTTATCTGACAAGATGGCTGCCTAGCTGTTTGCGGCCATGTGATGGGAAGCCCAGAGGGTTTGAACTATTTATCCATTCATCTATACAGTTTACATGCTTTGTGATACTCGTGACATTATACAGTGTTCTTTAGGCATATCAAATGACATAAATTCGCTTCAGAATCGCCTCGTCTGTTCCCCTCTCCAGAGACCCATGAGTTCGCCGTTTTCCCTTGCCCAGTCTCTGACGCCGTCTACCAAGGCTTTGGCCATCCCTTTGTTCTTGGACTTGCCATCAGAGGCTCCGCGGTTATGACCCAAAGCGGCAGGGTTACCACGTCCCCCAGTGACATACTCGGAACCCATGCTGGGCAACACATTTTCTCCGGCACTTAAACTGACGAAGAGGGCGAAAGGAACCAGCCAAACGCAAAGTCCGAAATATGACGCAACCTCGGAGAAAGAAGGCATTTCCTCATAATTGACCCCATACGGCTGGCGCCAGTTGTTTGAAGACGGAGGTAAGGGCTTCGAGAAATGGCGGAACCATAGCCAGTGGTTGGTGCCGACAAGAAGACACGAGAGGATGAAGAGAGGATCAGATAGTTTCACTATAGGGAACCGACGTAAATTGCTGGCGTAGACCAGATGCGAGACAATGCTCAGCAGGGATAATGACACGGGGAACCGGTCAATGATCATGAGAAGCACTTGAATCGCAATGATGCCGTAAATCAATCGAGTCAAGAGTCGGCGAGCAAGAACAGTATGCTCCTCAACCAACTCGGAGAGGTAATAGAGTCCCGAAGCTTTGAACCCAAGTCAGTCTCTATTCATGTTCCCCTGTCTTTCGCGTCCTTACCTATGGCCAGAGTAAGAAAAGCAAACCCGACCACCACCCCAAGATATCCCACCAGCGGTAGAATCCACATGGTCCAAAAAACAAGTTCAGTGAGGTAGAAGCCAAGATGGAGAGAGAAGTGCAGAAGCAAAGAGCTTCACGAATCGCTGCAATCGGAGAAACGTGGACTGTTGGTGGCCTCAGGCCCCCACTACCCAAAAAGAATTTATGATTTTCCCAACTCAACTCTCGCAACACCACCACCATGTCGCGCCCTGAGGATGTTCTGTATGCTGCTTGTTCCTAGTCTGAGTCTGGTTGGAATGCTTTAACTAACTCCGTTCAGTCCCGCTGATCTCTTTTACAATGACAACGAGTCACGAAAGTACACGACGTCGTCGCGAATTCGCAACATTCAGGCCAACATGACACACCGCGCCCTGGAACTTCTCGATCTGAAGTCTCCTTCCTTTATCCTTGACGTCGGATGTGGCTCTGGCCTGTCTGGCGAAATTTTGTCCGAGGTCTCCCCCGAAGAAGGTGGCCCGCACACATGGATTGGCATGGATATCGCTCCTAGCATGTTGGATGTGGCCCTCCAGCGTGATGTGGAAGGTGATCTGTTCCTTGCCGACATTGGTCAAGGAGTTCCTTTCCGTCCCGGATCTTTCGATGCAGCGATCAGCATCAGTGCTATCCAGTGGCTTTGCAATGCGGAAACTAGCGATGTCACCGCCGAGGGTCGCCTTCGCCGCTTTTTCGAAGGTCTTTACGCCAGCCTTCGCCGTGGTGGGCGCGCGGTCTGCCAGTTCTACCCGAAAAACGATACTCAGCGGAGTATGATTAGCGGTGCAGCAATCAAGGCTGGCTTCGGTGCGGGTATCCTCGAGGATGACCCCGGCACCAAGAGCAGCAAATTGTACCTTGTTTTGACTGTGGGTGGCGGTGGTCTGCCGGGTGACATTACCGGTGTTGTCAATGGCATGGAGGATGTGAACGTCTTGGATGCCCGACGAAAGGCGATGGAAATCGGACACGCCAGAGCCCCTCGCAAGGGAGACAAAGCTTGGATCTTGAACAAAAAGGAACAAATGGCGAAGAAGGGCAAGGTTGTCAAGGCCAGTTCCAAATACACTGGTCGGAAACGACGAATTGCATTCTGATTGACTATGACGGACCAGTGAGGCTAAAAGTGTTTTTTTTTTATTTACCGAGATCCATGACATATAGAGGCTTGGCTGAAGATAGCCTATGCGATTCAGATATACCCAATTTAATGAAGAAGTTATGATCACAAAAGAAAAAAGGTGTCTATTGCTATAACCGGGGGACGTTTCGAGCTAAATTGAAATGAAGATAATACATCAATGAGGACCACACCGGCCGATTCATGGGTTATAGAATCCACCATATTTCAGTAATCGGCAGGCAGCATCCTCAATCGTAGCAGTTGGGACAGTGAAACGCGACGGTTTCAAAAATTTACAGAGAAGCCTCCATTTTGTCCAGAACAGCACGGGTGAACTCGTGAGTGGTAGCCTGACCACCCATGTCGCGAGTCCGTGTTTGGCTAGAAAAAGAAAATCTCAGTCAGTGCTTGGATCAATCAAAAGGACCGTGGGACTCACCCTTCGCCAATGACGTCGTAGACAGCCTTGGAAATGCGGTTGGCGTGCTCATCGAGACCGAGGTGGCGCAGAAGCATGGAGCCGGAAAGGATCATGGCGCTGGGGTTGGCCTGGTCCTTGCCCTTGATATCAAGGCCGACGTGACGGCAACCGGGCTCAAAGACAGCGACGTCACGGCCCATGTTGCAACCGGGGACGAGACCAGGTCCACCAACGAGAGCAGCACCCACGTTGGACAAGATACCTCCGTACAGGTTAGGCATGACCATAACGTCGAACTGCTGGGGGCGGGAAACAGCCTGCATGGAGGCGTTGTCCACAATCATGTCGTTCACCTCCAGGGTGGGGTAGTTCTCGGCGACTTTGTGGAATGTGCTGCGGAAGAGACCGTCGGCCAGCTTCATGATGTTAGCCTTGTGAATACAGGTAACCTTCTTGCGGTTGTTGGCCAGAGCGAAGCTGAAAGCGAACTTGGCGATGCGCTCGGACTTGGCACGGGTGATGATCTTCAGGGACTCGACGACACCCTGAACGGACTGGTGCTCGAGACCGGAGTATTCACCCTCGGTGTTCTCACGAATGATGCAGAGATCGACATTCTTGTGGCGAGTCTCGTAGCCGGGGATGTTCTTGATCAAAGAGATAGAGGCGTAGATATCCAGCTCCTGACGGAGGGCGACGTTGAAGGACTGGTGGCCGGAGCGCTCGACGGGAGTGTGGAGAATACCCTTCAGACCAAGCTTGTTGCGCTTGAGAGAGGCGATGGACTCCTTGAAAAGCTCCTCGGAGTGCTTGTTGCCGGTGTCGACACCGCTAACATCGACCTGCTCCCACTCAATGGGCACATTGTCGGCCTTGAAGATGGTCTTCACCGATTCAGCGACCTCGGCACCAATTCCATCACCTAAAAACGTGTCAGCTGACGACGACACACGCGCATAATAGGGTGTATGGACGTACCGGGAATGAGAGTCACGGTGTACTTGCCGCCATACTTGGTGGGCTTGAAGATGTCCGACTGAACACTGGCGAAGGCTAGGCGCAAAGTTTAGTGACTAGAAAAGAAAGGGCAAGGACCAAATCGATTGACATACATCTGGCGGGAACGGAGCGAGCCAGAGAGGGGGCTGCGGAGGCGCGAAGCAGGGTCTAGCTGGGGTGTTAGCTAAAAGCCGGGGAGAAAAGCGGGAAAAAAAATCCGACAGAGAAAAATGAAACATACCCGAGCAGGTTGAGCCGTTCTGGAGAACATTTTCAAGGAATTGACAGTTCAAAGAGATGTGGAGAGTCAGAAGGGGGGAAGGGAAGGATCAGACAGGGAAAACGGGAAAAAAAGGCTCCGGATGGGCTCGGCATCGACTCTGGTTAGCGCCGGCCCGATCTTATCTTCCTAAACAATGAAAGCCTCCTATTGACGACCACTCTATAGCCATCCAGCTATCTTCGTCTCTTATTCACCTCCTACTTGGGCTTGAGAAGCTTCAGGTCGGGCTGACTTGGTGGACTCGAATTCAGAAACACAACAAAAGAATACCTTATTCACCGAGTGAGCTAATTACCAGCAACAAAGCATCGAACCGATCATCTGAGGCTTTTGGATCGTGTGGCGAAATGAGTCAATTGATCTGGTATACCTCGAGACGGTGGTGAATAACTCTTGTCAAAGCCGTGCTAAAGCCATGCCAAAGCCATGCATACCTCTATTCAGCGCTCGGTTGATTGAAGCTCTCAATAGAAATCCCCTTTGGTCAACAGCAACTGTGGCCTTTGAAGCCAGCAAGTATGTCTAGGTCTTTTGGATATAAAAGGCCTTGATCTGCTCAAGTTTTTGATTTTGATTCCAGACATCCTTCACAAAGCTTTCTGTCTCCATCTCGTCTCTCGCTCATCAACCCAGTTCAATTGCCTCCCAGATTCATCCAACTCGCCGAGATGAAGTTCCTCTCTGTTGCTATTGCCATGCTGGCTGCTTCCACCGTCCAGGCTGCTACTCTTCCCAAGTGGTGTGGTCACCCCGGCCAAGGCTGTTACATGATGAAGCGCGCCGCCGATGCTTCCTTCGAGGTCAAGCGCCACGCTGATGCCCTCGCTGATGCCATGGCTGGCTCTCACCCTCTCGTTCTTCAGAAGTGGTGTGGACACCCCGGACAGGGCTGTTTCAAGGCCAAGCGTGCCGCTGAGGCCGCTGACGAGGTCAAGCGCTCCGCCGATGCTCTCGCTGACGCTATGGCTGCCCTTGATGAGGAGGAGTAAGCGTATGTTACAGCCCTTCCTTCTTCTTTTCAATTTACTGACGCTTGAAAAGATTTTAATCGATTCCAACTTCGTTGATGCTGAGCGTATCGACAGTGCTCTCGATCTCCAAACGTTACTCACGACGACGGTACTATCATTTATGAAAGTTAGAATGCCAGGGCTAGCATTTAGGCATGGAATGAACTTCTATGGCAGACACTCCTTTACTCGGCTGGCCCTACTTTTCTTTGAGAATGCAATTGATTATTGGGAATTGATGGATCCATAGCACGTAACTAAGAAATATGGAAGAATTTACATCCTGTCCTAATATTCCTATGTAGACGTAATTGTAAAAGATATTTATAGGAAAATGTGTATACGACGATGGTTACAGACCCATTGATATCATATTCTTTGCAAAATTGTATTGATTCGCTCGGCGTAATTAAAAATAGATGGAGAGGAGGATAAAGCCAGACCACGTTAGAGCTTGAATAACTGATGAAACAGCACACTATTGCCCGGATTTTGCACAATAATTCTCTTGGACGTCACAGCCCTGCATATGAATTTATGGACACTATTCTACCACAGAAGTAAGCCCTCGGATTGCCCCATCATGCAGACTCTGTCTTCTTAATATGCTCCCATAGAGGGCGACGGAAGAGCCACATTGTGCTCCAAATGTCTCGCTCACAATATATTGAGATGTTTTCAATTTCTTTAAGTATAACCGGAAAACCGCCTCATTTGTTCGAATGCACCATAATTGGATTCCATCGGGCCAGAATTCGTCAACTCCCACCATTGCTGACCTTGATACACAGGGTCCTTTGAACCAGTATAAGGCTCTCCCGTGGTGGGTTCGTTCGGGATGTTGCCTGGGAGATTGTTTGAGAGCTTACTTGGGAGAGAGTGAGCAGCTCCAGTAGCGATAGTCTCATAGCCAGATATCATGTAGGGTTCGGCGTCGGGATTCCCATCTTCGCTATCATCCATGACAAAATCATGCATTGTATGATCCTGAGTATTGTTTGCGAGCTGTGAATATAATTGCCATGTCTGAATTAATCGCTCCCTCTGTTCCATGTCGGCATTCTCAAAGAGATTCAATTGACTGCGTGTCATGGTGCTTGGATCAAGACCATGATGTCTCAGAATGTCAATGCTAGACTGGATAGGAACCATCGGGGTGACTTTGTGGGCCGAGTGATGATAGTGCTGGGTGATGGAATAGGAAATTGGGGGCACTTGAGATGGTACTGTATTTTCATCTTTATTCGGGGTATGCAGTTGTGCCATAGTCATTTGTCTATCAAACAAGTCCGCGAGGTCATCTTGCATTTTCTGATCGCTTTCGGATGCAGACAGGCCACACTGTTTGTTTTCTTAGTTGGCATCTTGGAAAGGTTCAGAGCCAGAAGGCGCAAGCTACCTGTTTACAGTGGGGGTTTTCCAGAAACGCTGCGAGAGAATTGGATATATCAGATGTATGTCCACAGTGCGGGCACTGGTGTAGTATAGAAGAAGACATGAAGACGAGCTCAAAATCAGCCGAATAAGGTATAGATATGAGTCCGTGAAGACAAAGAAAGAGAGATTGGGGCGTGAAATATCAGAGGGGCAAAATATGCCCAAATAGTCGAGGATTGGGCTGCAGTTCGGGCCACTAGGGTCATTTCGATGCATTCAAATCCGGTCACAAGGTGCCCAGTCAGGATTTGTAGCTCTCTTGCACTGCAATTAGTCTCGTTGGCTCTAAGGTGAATTCTCAGGAACAAATAACCAAGCTCTAGGAAACAATTGAAGTGGTCCTAAGATTCGAGGCAGATGACGTACCCCAAGAGCATGGTATACTTTCTTTTAGCGATGTAAAGCTCAGACAGATTCTCCTGGACTGTGGGATCCAAGTTAGTACTCAAAAATCAAGCAGAAATCCATGCGTATGAGGCTTGACCAAGTGCGAAGGAGTACACATCCAAAAGATTCCGAGGTCATGTGACGAGGAGCTGGTAGGCAACCCCGTGACGCGACGGCGTCACTGCTTAGGAACTGTTATCATCAACCCCGAGCTCCCAACCTCTCCTTGTCGTTTACTTTTCCTCTGCACTATCACTGATCTCGCTTTTTGGGATTCAGACCTTACTATTACCATTCTCCTCCTCCGTGGTGACGTCCCTACTGAAGCACACCGAATCGCAGTCTCACCAAAACCATGGTCAGTGAACTTCACAGTATCCCCGGGGTGCTATTTTCCCATGAAGCTAATATGGTAACACTTTAGACGTCAATTGGCACAGGTTACGATCTCTCCAACTCGGTGTTCTCGCCAGACGGCCGGAATTTCCAGGTAACTTGGCTTCTACCTAGCTCCAAACTGAGCTGCAAACTCGTCCATCCCATACTTACCACCATAAATAGGTCGAGTATGCTGTCAAGGCAGTTGAGAATGGAGGTACCGCCGTCGGCATCAGGTGCAAGGATGGCGTGGTGCTAGCAGTGGAGAAGATCATCACCAGCAAGCTTCTAAAACCAGGAGCCAACAAGAGAATCGCGACAGTGGATCGCCATGTCGGCATTGTGAGAAACCCAGTTACCACTTTGCTCTTCGAGCATGTTTGCGTCGAGACAAGGCGTCAAAGTTGATGGGCTGTTGCTGACTATAGCTTCCTTTAGGTTTCTGCTGGACTAGTGCCCGATGGCCGTCACTTCGTTTCCAGAGCTCGAGATGAGGCTTCCTCGTGGAGAGGTGTATACAAGGGCCCCATTCCGACCTCGGCTCTTGCCAACCGCTTGGGAGGATATGTGCAGGCGTACACGCTTTACTCAAGCGTACGGCCGTTTGGTGTAACTGCGATCGTTGGTGGCTGGGATTCCGAGGCAGAACTTCCCGTTGATGGACAGGTTGGCAGTGGACCGGAATCAGGCTCTGGTGGAAAGGTCCCAGGCGCCAAGGCAGGAGGGCCTGGCCTCTACATGATCGAGCCCAGTGGATTGTATTGGGTAAGTCAAATCCCGCATCTGTGGTTAACAGAACACTAAGAGCAAACCCCAGGGCTATTACGGTGCTGCTACCGGCAAAGGACGACAGGCCGCCAAAGCCGAGCTCGAGAAATTAGACCTAACCTCTGGCAATTTGTCTCTGGCAGACGGCGTGAAGGAAGCTGCCCGCATTATCTACGTTGCCCACGAAGACAGCAAGGACAAGGACTTTGAACTGGAGATGACATGGATCAGCTCAATGGATGGTCCTACCAAGGGCCGCCACGAGGAAGTGCCCAAGGAGCTCCTTGAGGAAGCAGAGAAAGCCGCACGACGGGCCCTGGAAGGGGATGACGAGGAGGAGGAAGATAAGGCCCAAGGTGAACAGATGGAAGAGTGAACCGTGTCATAATTTATGCTGCCAAAGAATTATGTGTCTATGGAGCTGATCCTTTTTGTTTGCTACACATGAAAACAATCTGCCATCCCAAATACTGCTCCAGTAAGATACATGCCACGGCACGTACGCTAGAAGTTTATTGTTATGCGATATTTCGAGAATCCTAGAGAATCTTGCCCTCGGCCCATTCCTTCCTCTTCAAGCCCAGCTCGACAGCAGCGCTGCCCCAGTCCTCACCGTGATTGTGCATACCACTCTTGCCGAGACCAGCCCGCTCCAAGCCCTGCTCTTCGGTCAGCACCGTCAGCAAACCAAAGATGACCGGGACACCCGAGTCCAGCTGGACACGCATGAGTCCATGGCTAACAGCATCTGCGATGTATTCGAAATGCATAGTAGCACCCTTGATGAGGACTCCAATGGCAATAATCGCATCGAATGGCTTCTTCGGGGTTGCTGACGGCGCAGACCCAGACTGTTCAGTGGTGGGAGACGACAACAGATCCGTGGCACTGATGCCTTCGCCGGCGGAGTTGGCTTGAAGCTGGGAGGCAGCGTAGATCCTATGAGCAAGACGTTAGACAAATGAGAGCCATTGGGACTGCGGAGGCATGCTTAGACTCACCGTTGCACTCCCAGAGGCAACTCATAGCTGCCGGGAACTGTCTGGACGGTAATGTTGTCCTCGGTCACGCCCGCCGCCAGCAGGGATTTCTTTGCCCCCGAGACGAGTGACTCAATAATTGCAGTGTTCCACCTGGCATGGATAATAGCCACGCGCAGTCCAGAGCCTAGAATCAACTGATAATCAGTAGGGTGGCCCCAATGGCGGGGTTAGTGTCCTTCTCTCACCGTCGTGGGACTGAGCAGCACCGGGGCCTTTAATGGAAGTCATCTTGCAGTAGTTGAATATGTGGGTTGGAATAGTATATTGATAAGTGGAGGGGAATTAGGCAGGAGTTAGTGAATCAAAAGATCTCGAGGGGCGACGAAAACATCGGTCCCGCATTTGGCGGGGGCGGAATGTCGCGGTAATACGGCAGTTGGCCTAATGCGGCAGCATACAAGCTATAAGTTAACTTAACTTACATAGAACTAGATGTAATGGAGTTTACAGAACCGATCCAGAGTTGGAACAAACAAACAAAACGGAATTCCATTATTCCGAAGCTAAAACACCTAAAAATAAAAAGATGACCGGATCATGATAATCGTCTAACCTCGCCAATTGCAACATGTTTACTCGACTGTGACCGACTTGGCCAGGTTACGAGGGAAATCGACATTCAAACCCTCGCCAACAGCAAGCCAGTAGGAGATCAACTGCAATGGGATGACATTGAGCAGACCCTGGAGACAGTCCACAGTCTTGGGCACGTCAATCTTCTCGGTCTGCGCAGCCGAGAACTCGGGGTCGTCGTGGTTGCAAATAACAATAGGACGACCACCGCGAGCAATGACCTGTTGGTAGGCATTGAGGGACTTAGTGAAGAGGTTGTCGCGAGTAAGGATCATAATGATGGGAAGGTTCTCATCCACAAGTGCCAGGACACCGTGCTTCAATTCACCCGACATGACGGCCTCACAGTGGAGGTATGAGATCTCCTTAATCTTAAGCGCACCTTCAAGAGCGGTAGGGAACTGAGCACCGCGGCCCAACAGGAGCAAACTCTTCTGGTTCTTGAATTGGTTGGCGCACATATCCTTGATGGGATCGTTCAACTTCAAGATCTCCTTGAACTGCGCAGAGATTTGCCCGAGGCCCTCCATGATCTCCTCGCGGCGCTTTTGCTTGGAGGCACGGTCTTCACTCAATGACAAGGCGAACATGACCATGGCCACAAATTGAGAGGTGTAGGCCTTCGTGGAGGCCACACCGATCTCAGGACCAGCGTTGATGTGCACACCGCAGTGAGTAAGGAGGGAAATAGAAGAACCGACAACGTTAACAACACCAACAGTCAGAGCGCCACGCTCCAGACAGTAGCGAAGAGCCATCAGGGAATCAGCCGTCTCTCCTGACTGGGAGACGAACACACATGTGTCGTCACGGAAGACTGGGGCCTGACGATCGAGGAAATCGGAGGCGAGTTCGACAGCGATAGGGATCTCGGTAAGCTCCTCGAAAATACCACGCACAGCCATGCACGAGTGGTAACTGGTACCGCAAGCGATGAATATGATGCGACGGCAGCGACGGATGGTGGAGATGTATTGGCGAAGACCACCCAGGGTGACCTTCTTGTTAGCCACGTCCAGACGACCTCTCATGGTGTTGACAACGGACTCGGGCTGCTCGAAAATCTCTTTCTGCATGAAGTGGTCGAACTTGCCCTTCATGATCTCCTGAAGCTCAAGCTCGATGGTCTGGATGGCGCGAACGTTCGAAGTGCCATCGTCCTTGGTCAAACGGTGGATGTTGAGCTGACCTTCGTGGATGTGAGCAATATCGTCGTCCTCGAGGTAGAGAACCTTCTTGGTATGCTCCACAATGGCAGAGGGATCAGATGACAAGAAGAACTCTGCGGGCTGAGGGATACCATCGTCCGACAAGAACGCCCGGGACTGGGAGCGGTGCAGAAGTGACTTGTCAGGAGGGGCAAGGAGGCTCGTGGCAGACTTCTTAGCAGCCACATTCTGGGAGGCCTGCTCCGCAGAAAGGGCACCATCTTCCGAAAACTCAACATCGACGAAATCTACCTTCATCTTCTTGGATGTCTTCACACCAATCACCAGTGGGGAACCCTTACGGGCCGCAATGACCTCGTGAGGGTAGTGCACTGACTTCATCAGCAGACCAAAGGCACCTTCAAGTTCCTTGATGACCGCCTTGGCCAGGACTGTGAACTCAATATCAGGGTGTTGGTCATAAAGATACTTGGCAAGCTTGGCGATGCACTCGGTATCGGTCTCAGTCTCGAAGCGGAATCCCTTGGTCTCCAGCAGAGCCTTCAATTCCTTATAGTTGGTAATGATACCATTGTGAACGACGGAGAACTCCCAGGTGGGGTCGGAGCTATTTCACAAGAAAGAATCAGTCTCCATTTGCGGGGAGCATGGCGTTGGAATGTGGAATGCTTACCGGTGGGGGTGGCAGTTCTGGCGAGAGGGGGTTCCGTGAGTAGCCCAACGGGTGTGAGAAATACCAGCATGAGACTCGAAGGTCTTGGTCATGTCGTATTCGCTCTGTTCGATGAGTTCCTTCAACTTGGCAACCTTGCCAACTTCTTTGAAGGCACAGACTTCATTCTTCTTGTTGCCATCTACGGCCATACCAGCGGAGTCATAGCCACGGTACTCCAATCGGGAGAGACCTGTAATTGACGATGAGTTAGAAGGGGGGAAATTGACGAAAGGATCAGCTACATACCATTAAGCAGGGTATCAATGATGAATTTGCGGTCCTTCTCCACAAGGTAGTTAATGTAGCCAAAGATTCCACTAGAAAGAAAAGAACGGTGAGTAAACCAGCAGGGACAGCAGGGAGCAGACAGCACACAGCACACAGAAAGCATTAAGCAGAATGCCGAGGAAGCACATACCACATGATGAAGAGAATGAATTGAAGAGGGGATGAAAGTAGAGAGAAGCAAGGAAGGCAGGATTTGTATTTATAGAGGGGGTGGAAAAGAGGAAGGGGAGGGGCGATTATTATTAGCTCTTTCAAGCTAAGCGGAGTGCTCGGACCAACGTTTCTAGGGGAATCCGATGTCTCACTTGGCAAAACATACCCACATCCACGATCAATTATTGTTAGTTGGACATGATATTTATATCTCTTATATCTCTGGTGGTCCTGACTATTGGGCAGCGTGTTCTCGAACGTGTCATCTTTCGTCCTGTCAGTCCTGTTTAGGATTGACCTGTCCAGGAGGGTATACATCTGGGACACCTGCTATTTGGACCCTTCAGTCCCTCATTGCCACAAGAGGCAAAGTTGAAGTAAGAACCTGTAAGCTTGTTTGTTTCTGGCCTAGGGATGCTAAAATTACATACGGCACATTCCAGGAGGGAACCTTGGAAGGGGATCGGTAGTTCCACGATGCAGTTGCTATTTTTGCCGACACTCAGGGGAAAGTCGATTTATTGGTAACAAAATATCCCCACCTGGGGCTGAGTGTGGCTGTGGTGCCTGAGTGCCTGAGTGCCTGAGCGCCTTGGAGCCTTAGAGCCTTGGAGCCTTGCAGCCTGGTGGCCCAGGACACAGTACTGGTCTTTCAAGAGTAGATATGTATAAGTGGACTTATGGAAAATGTACTGATTCCTGCCCTCTACCAGCATCTTAAATCTGTCTTCATCCAGGCTCTCTTGTAAACCGGTCTTGAATCAGATAGCATAGGAGTACTTCTTCGGTACTTGTCCAACAGGCGTCAACATAGTGGTTCGTCAGGTCAAAGTGAGGTCACTCTCACTTTTTTTTTTAAAGCCGCTGAATCACGAAACCTCCTCTCAGAAGTCTATGGTATCCCTGCCATCTTCTGCTATTGAGCTTCCACACAGGACTTCAACTCCGCCTTTTTCTTACATCAGTCGCCTCTGGCTATCCCTTTGTGAAGTTGCTCCCAAGTCCCGCTGTCCCCACCATTCCACTTCCTTCCGCTCGATCGCGTCTTAGCCTCCTGCAAACTCTTGAATCGCGTCAGGCTCTCCGCAAACCTCAACTTGCGATTGCAGCTTGGGATTCTGAATCTCTCCATCCTTTCACTTCCCCACCCGGTTCTTTTTTGTTTTTCCTTTCTTTTGGTTTCTTTGTCATCTTGTCTACGTTTCGTTTACACCCGACTTCATCTCGAAACGCTACTCCTTTATAATCCCTTCCTCCCAGTCTTCCCCCCATTCTGCCGCGTCGCGACCTCGTCGGTCGCTTGTATTCGCACTAGCCAGTACACCACTGTCAAGGATGCTGCCTTTGGATTGCGCCACGGTCTCTGGCGTATAGCCAACCTCTCACCATGTCACGCGCCTCCGCCGGCTTTGCAGATTTCTTCCCAACCGCCCCATCGGTCCTTCAACAGAAACGTTTCAAAACGTCGCAAGAACGACAATTTAAACATGCCGAAGGCGAAGAACTTCCTGAAGAGATTCCCGGCTCTTTAGGGCCCGCGGGCTCAAGCGCATCAGCCACCGTCGAGACCTCGGAAGATAACAGCGAAGCTCGAAAGAATTTAGCCCTCAACGGGGTCGGCTTGATCGTCCCTGTCAATGAAAATGGGTTGGATGTGGCTGAGCTACCCGCGGCGCCTACGACAAATTCGCTCCTATCCCAAATCGACACCTTGACGCCGCTCACCAATGCCGAGTCATCACCTCCGTGCAAAGTAAGCAGTCCATCGCAGTTCAAGGTGGCCGATAAACCGCTTCCAGTCACTTCAGCACGAGCCAATCTTGAACATTGCAAACCATCCATCACTCCCATCCATACCCCTCCCACTCCCCAATCACAGACACGGCATGAATATCATGTGCGAGGCTGCAAGGCCGTGTACGATCCCGATCTGGATAAGCGAGCACTCTCTAAAGACAAACGCAAAAAGGCCGAATACGTCGATATTGTCTACGCGCCAGGTGATTATCCTTCCGACCCACGTCTTGCAATCGCCAACTATACCCGTGGATCCAGCTGCAAGCAAAAGACAAAGTACCGCCCCGCGCCTTACACTTTGAAGCCATGGCCACACGATGCGGCAAGCATAGGTCCAGGGCCTCCAGTTCAGGTCGTCGTCACAGGATTTGATCCTTTGACCCCGATTACTCCGATCAGCGCGCTTTTCTCAAGCTTTGGAGACATCGCCGAAATTCAAAATCGTACGGATCCTATCACTGGTCGATTTCTTGGGATCTGTTCCATCAAGTACAAGGATAGCGTCTCATCCCGGGGAAGTGGCCCCGTTTCGGCATCCAACGCTGCAAGGCGTGCATATCTTGAATGCAAAAAGGAACAACGAATCGGAACACGCAGGATCAGAGTCGATTTGGATCGTGATGGCAAAATCTCGGACAGAATGGCCGCCAAGGCTGTCGAATCTCAACGATCAGCCTCTAAAAGTAACAATCAAGATGCCAGCGACACGAGACAAGATACGCAAGTGAAGAAAAGTGAGCCGCCACCAACCGCACCTAAAGGTCCTTCGGGTCGGTCCTCAATTCGACCCGGGGTTGTCATTCCAGAAGGACCCAGGGCTGGTGTTCGATCTCCTGTCGTACAGTCCCTAGTTGAAGATACTGCCATTTTGAGTCAGATCAAGCGCGATCCATACATCTTCATTGCCCACTGCTATGTCCCAGTTCTTAGCACAACGGTCCCGCATCTGAGAAAGAGGCTCAGACTCTTTGGCTACAAGCACATTCGTTGTGACAAGACCGGATATTACATCATCTTTGAAAACTCACGACGAGGCGAAGAAGAAACGGAGCGATGCCATAGACAATGTCATATGCAGCCATTGTTCACATATATCATGAACATGGAGAGCCAACCTTACGGGAACCCTAACTACGAGCGAAGTCCGAGCCCTGAACGTCTGCGGGCTGATCGACGAGACAAGGCGGAAAAAGAACGGATAAGGAAGGAAGCTGATTTAGATATCGAGGAAGAGAAAAAGCAACGGGCAATCTTCTTGGATCCATGTCGGGAAGTGCTTTCAATCATTATCCGCGACCTGAGAGACAAGCTCCTTGAGGATGTCAAGTCACGCATAGCGGGCCCGGCTCTCTATGATTATCTGGAACCGGGCAAACATGCCTCTAGAAGAGAGAAGCTGGGCATTCCGGAACCCGAAGGTACCAAAAGGTCCGTATTTCGGATTGACAGTGCTCTTGGCACCCCTGACTCTCGATCTGAACTTTCCGGTGGACGAGACCCTCTTCGGTCCTCGTCAGGTCTTAATATTCTTGCTCTTCCTCGGATCCGAAAGGCACATGGTCTTGACCGTGTTGGTGCTGCTTTCTTGGACGAACGACGAAGACAGCCATCACGAAAGAAAGAAGTCCGACCTCTGTATCATCGCTTACAGCAATTACATGATGATGAAGACTCAGATGACGACCAGCGCACCCCTGTTACGAGAGACATTGACGAGCGAGAAAGTCGACCACCCAGCCGCGCAAGCTCTGCATCGTCAGAGTTTGAACAGGACAACGATTACCAGTCTGATGACTTGAGATCATTGCAAGAAAGCGAAGAGCAGGGAGCTGTAGCTGTCAACACAGATGTCGAGCGACTTCCTGATGATTTCGACGACTTGTCCCCTAGGTCTCGCAAGAGGAAACGGCTGACTGGAGAACCTGACGCACGCAAGAGGCAGCGACAGGACGATGAGCTTTTCGGGATTGACTCGGCTGGGCATACTCACACCGATATCGATCTGGATATTCCTGCTACCATTATTGAAGATTATACAGCGGTTGACAGCAAATTTAGCGGCAATGAACCGGACGATGAAGTTGCCGAATACCTCACAACCAAGGACTTCGAGCGCGATGATTTGTCTGTTGGCGAAGCCTACAAAGTGGACTCCGTCGATAAACCCAAAACAGAGATTGAATGGGGTGTCTCCAGGGATGAACCCCGTGCGACAGTTGAAGACGATGAAAACATCGTTTTGGATTTGGACGGTTGGCAGCATCTGGTGAAGGACGACGAAGACTTACGATTCTTGCGGGAAATTTTACTGGATCAGTCAGAATCCCGTATTGGAAACCTCGCCGCGTGGGGTTGGAAGCAAAAGGAGATCAAGACTCTCAACGGCCTGGAAACTGGAACTACACAAGATGCCATCAGTATTTCTGGCTATTATGTTCCAAACCTTTCTGGAGCCGCTCGAACCGAAGGACGAAAAAGGATTCTTGAGGCCGAAAAGTCCAAATACCTACCTCACCGTATCAAGGTCCAAAAGGCTCGGGAAGAGCGTGAAGCCAACGCGAAAGCAGATCCCCAGGCAGCTGCAGCAGAAGCCGCCAGAATTGCAGCTGCCAAGACCATATCCAAATCGACATCCCGGTCGACACGAGTCAACAATCGTCGACTTATTGCAGATATCAATGCACAGAAGCAAGCCCTGCCGACTTCAAGCGGCGAAGGAGATGTGCTTCGTTTCAATCAGCTCAAAAAGCGCAAGAAGCCGGTTCGCTTCGCTCGCTCTGCAATTCACAACTGGGGCTTGTATGCCGAGGAGAATATCACTGCCAATGATATGATCATTGAGTACGTCGGCGAAAAAGTCCGTCAGCAAGTTGCAGACATGAGAGAAAGGCGATACTTGAAAAGCGGTATTGGCAGCAGCTACCTCTTCCGAATTGATGAGAACACTGTGATTGATGCCACCAAAAGAGGAGGAATCGCACGTTTTATCAACCACAGTTGTACACCTAACTGCACTGCGAAAATTATCAAAGTGGACGGCAGTAAACGAATTGTGATTTATGCGCTCAGGGACATCGAACGAGGTCAGTGAACAATTGAAGATTGACCGAGGCAATTACTGATTTATAGCAGATGAGGAGCTCACCTACGATTACAAATTCGAGAGAGAATGGGACAGCGATGACCGAATTCCCTGTCTTTGTGGTTCAACAGGCTGCAAGGGATTCCTGAACTAGACGCTTCATCACCGTCTTCAGCCTTTGAGATTGTTGAAACCTATCTACCAGGTGGCGTTGAAATGGACTGGCGTTTTTCTAGGGTGGGAGCATTTGAGGTCTGCATGGGCAATCGTGATTTCGAGCTACTGCTCTCTTGTACAATATACCAATTCTAAAAGATTTTTGCCGGCATTTCCTTGGTCATATTTCATACGGTGGAAGAGTTACGCGGGAATGGTTCAGTGCACATCATTCAAGATTCAACTCGGACGTCCCTCGCCCTTTGATAGCGCTGCGCGTGGTCCCAGGGAAGAGGAAAGAACTTGCTTCCAAGCAGCTAGCTCCCAGTGTGGGGGTATCGATATGTTAAAAAGTTTTTAGTGATAGCCTCATATGTCATTTAGACTAGAGAAGATTAGCAAGTTGTCCAGGGATCTAAAGGATTATCCCCTCTCACCTAGGTGGCTCGGGAGAAGGAAGTTTGCGATTCCTTCCTTGATCATATATTCATGACCGCAGTTCCCACAGACTAACTTTCCTTCTGAGACTTGGGTTTCGAGTAACAATTTATGCAGATCTTTCAGAGTCTGCTCATTGTTGAGTGCCTCGCCCTCTGGTTTCGACTCTGGGAGACTCGGGAATCCTAACTAATATGTGTGCAAGGTCAGCCTGTGTATGTTAAAATCACAGAGTACTGGCTACCTCGTTGGCAGTGGTCCGCAAGGCATCCCAGTCGATCCGGGGAATAATGTTGCGAATGAATTCTGGTTGGAATTCCTGTTCTTGTTGCTCCAGCTCTGCATCATGAAAATGTAATGGATATGATGCTGGTGATGTCTTGCACTCCTTGACCGCGCATGTCACAAAATTGGCTGTGATTACTTTCATTGTGTTCGCTTGAGTCTTTGTATGGGTTTTCCGATATTCCACAATTCGAAAGGGTGTTCTAATGAGAGAGGGCGAGTCTAGAGCGACACCAAAAAAATTAGGTGAGGCCCCACGGCTTATCGAATATCATGTGATTGATAACGATATGGATATGAATATGGACAGGACTACGACTTCACAAAATATGCACTGCTTCATAGACCGGGGTTTGCTTTGATTTCTGGCCTATTACTTGATCTGAACATCCACCAAATCTAGGTCATCGATGTCATAATCACCAAGGCAATCATCAGGGTTCAAGGTATCCCCATCAAATTGGAGGGAGATTGTTTGATCCATGGAGATATTCTGTTTGTTTCGAAAAGCAGAGATGAGGCGCGAAATTTGAGTTTTGGCTCTAGCTTTAATTTTGAAATCATCCAGTCCAGGACTTCTCAGAACAAGTTTCATCGGTTCACCCTTGTCATCTTCCAAAGTTGGTGCCGCAGTAGATGCCTTGCCGTCATCGGACGAAGGGCTTCGATGACTGACCGGTAGAATACTATCAGCAACTGCCTCCATATGTATGCGCAGATCTGGATAATCCGTAGTGGAATCCTCGTCCATGCTTGAGGTTATGTGACTTCTCCCGGCATGTACGCCTAGACTCCTGCAGGTTGTCACGTCGAACAAGCGTCGGCCTTTCCAGGTCAAATAGATCAATGGTTGAATTTCTGGGTCAAAGTTTTGATAATTGCACCATGCCAAGCGAACTTCTCGCAATCCCTGTGACATTTTTCGGCGGACCAGTAATGGCTTGGTGTTGGTGATTTTGGATGAGATCAAGATCTGAACGGTCGGGTCATCCGATGGTTTCGGTGATAGGCCAGACTGTGTGGTTTTTGTTTCCGGGTCATTGACTTTCTTGGAGGACTCACAGGAACTGGTTTCTGAAGTCAGGGTAATTTTGGGGTCACGGACTGGTGGCGATGAGGCCGTTTCATGCTCTCTGTCTGGATAAGGATGGGAATCAACCTTCTCAGAACGCATAATATCTCCTTCGAAGGGTTGATTTCTTAATTCTTTTCCATTGTTGCTGCGATTCGACGGAGAACAGTCAAGCTGTTGCGCTTCCGTCAGCACAATTTTCTCGCCATCAGCCCCGGGAGAGATGGTCATCGTCGGATCATCAACCGTGCTCTCTTCTTGTGATTCTTGGGAAAGCCGGCACCGCTTTCTTGGCGTCGCATCGTCAGCAAACTCATCATCAGTAGCTGTGAGTTCTGGTGTTTTCGGCTTTCGGTAAGCATCTCGAGTCGCAGCAACAATATCAGAATAAGTTTGCTCGGAGCGACGGTAGAACTCATTATCGTCTCCTTCAGTCGCCTTCGTTGCCCATGAGGGTTTCTTGAAAAGAGAGCGCATTATGATTTGAGCGTATGTAGACTGAGGGTTTGGTTAAGTTCAGTCCGGGAACCAAGTACAGATGGCGTGGTCAGATGAACTGAATGAGCCGGGTGGCTATGATCTTGATCAGTTACTGTTAGTGCCTGCAAAAAAATCCCCCGACTCGATGATCTCAATCGTGTTGAGCCTGAATGTCAAGCTCTAAAGCTCTTTGGGGAAGAACCTCGGGAACTGAACCCCGCTGGCATACGCCTCACCGCCTTCCAGGTGTCTCTCACTTCCGACTCTCCACATCACTTGCGAAAAGCATCACAACTTGGTAAGTCTGTATTGATTCTCAAAATTTCATTCTGGCTAATCCCAAATGCAACTGCAGGCTATTTTACCCTAAGCAAGTTGTTGAACGTCAACCATGGAGAACGGCCCATCCTCTGAAGGGAAAGACCCCTCGGCCTTTCTCAGCGAGATTATTGGCGCGCCTGTGATTGTCAAGCTGAATTCCGGTGTGGTTTATAAAGGTATAATCTCGCCAGGCTCTTGCTCCTATTGCATACTAATATTGTTGTAGGTGAACTCCAATCGGTCGACGGCTACATGAACATTGCTCTGGAAAAAACAGAAGAATACGTCAATGGACACCTTCGACGAAACTATGGCGATGCGTTCGTGCGCGGAAACAACGGTTAGTCAATTTGCTTCCTTGGGGGCGGGTCGAGGCTTACAGGACTCCAGTGCTTTATATCTCTGCAAGTTGATATAAACTCGGTTCTGATCTTTAGCGCTTTTGCTCTATGCACATAAATCATGTCTCACATTTGATTGTTATGGGCATTTTGCTTTAGATGCAGGGAAATTTCGGTTTTTGGTTGGTGGCTTGGACAGTCTGAATGTCCAATTTCAGGCGTGGGAGCTTTATGATCATGACCATAAGGCCAGGGCTAATTCCAAGTTTTTTTTACCTCTTATTATTCTGCGAAGAGCATGTGCTTACCTTGTCTTCTGTGGCGTATGGCTCAATTTTCACCCATGTTATCTTGAGATGCATCATCCTAACAGCCAGATAATCCCTGCATAACACCCTTAACCAGGGAAATGTATGCTCTCTCACCTCCTCGTGATTCTGAACCTAAGGGATGGACAGGGATTTAGAGACATACTTCAAAGCAATATTCCATGGTGAACCATCAAAATCAATCCATTCTTCCGTTGTGTAATGTTACTCCCTCTATCTCTTTAACACTCTTGGGTATTTTCACGTTGATGTTTACACCTATGGACCCAGGAAGATATCCTTATGACAGGACAGATGAAGATGGTTTAACGTTCAGTTCGGATGTTAAGTATATAATAAACAATTTATACTCTTACAGTTCTATGTGATGTATAGGAAAGATAGACGGGGACCCTTGGGAGCGGGGTGGGTTAAGTAAGCCCCTCTACCCTCCAGGACTTTTTTTCTTTGGTCTTCTTCCAGGGCTATCTATCCACCGTCCACTCCCATAGCATTTTCGGCACGATGTTACAAGCAATCAAGTACAACAAGGGTGACCTTGAAATTCTGGACCAATTGCAACTTCCGTTCGTTCAGAAATATATCACCATTCGGACTTCCGAGGATGGGTGGCACGCCATCAAAGATATGAAGGTCCGCGGGGCACCAGCTATTGCCATAGTGGCAATGCTTGCACTCGCCTCGGAATTGACCTCTGCTATGAAAAACGACGAGCTCCCTGAACTGCCGGATAATGTACGCCAGATTATCTGTGAGAAACTTGCCTATCTGGTGACCAGTCGGCCGACTGCTGTCAACCTCAGCGACGCTGCTCGCAAGCTGGAAATCGTGGCGACAGATTGCGCCAAGGCGGCAGGCTCTCGTGGTCGCGACATTGCGGTGGCGTTCATTCAGGCAGCAGAGGATATGCTAGGAAAAGATTTGGAGGATAATCAAAGGATAGGGCACCACGGTGCAGAATGGATTGCTGCCAACGCCATTAAGCCGGGCAGTTCGGGAGTCGCAGTCCTGACTCACTGCAACACTGGGTATGATCAATATATTACTTGATCTGCGATATACTGAAGCTAATGCGGATTAACCTTAGATCTCTCGCCACCTCTGGGTATGGCACAGCACTGGGCGTCGTCCGCTCGCTGGCATCAAAGAATATCCTACGCCATGCTTATTGCACGGAAACCAGACCCTACAACCAAGGATCTCGCCTGACGGCATTTGAACTAGTCCATGATAAAATTCCAGCTACACTCATCACGGATTCCATGGCGGCTGCGTTGCTTGCTGATACCCGTGTGGATGTGGGCGCCATTGTGGTCGGAGCTGACAGGGTAGCAGCCAATGGTGATACTGCCAATAAAATAGGTACATATGCCCTGGCTGTCTTGGCCAGGCACCATGGTGTCAAGTTTTTGGTTGCAGCACCGCGCACGACCATTGATCTGGCCACGGGTTCAGGACAGGATATCATCATTGAGCAACGTCCAGCTTCCGAGGTGACAAGCATCAAAGGGCCCTGTGGGGAAGTTGAGGCTGCGGACAATATTGCGATCGAGACTGTACGAATTGCGGCGCCGGGTATCAACGTCTGGAACCCAGCATTTGATATTACTCCGTCAGGTTTGATCGATGGCATTATCACGGAGGTCGGTGTTGTAGAGAAGGGTCCCGATGGTCAGTATCATTTGGATGGACTATTTAATTCCTCTGTTTGATCATGGCTAGTGCATGAAGTCTCGTTCTCGATATTCTGGGGTTCTGTTTCGGTGGTGGCCCCCAGCGCAGCTTCTTGTCTCTCAAAGAGGGCCAGAAGCTCATCAACTTTGCCTTCGATTGTGCTGAGATTGTTTTCTAAGGCCGATGCAGTCATTTCGCCCCTGTAAGATGGGATAGTAAATATAAGAACCAATGTCAACCAGGCATCTTAACATACTTGGCGAGATCAGCAAGCGCCTGTATTGCATGTTAGCGACCTATCTGGTTGCTTAGGCGTAGGTCTTGGATGAGGGTGCGGCGGGGGAAGTGATCATCGCCACCTCTAGAGGAGATTTGTTGAAGCAAGCTCACCTGTGAAATATCGAAGTCTGAATTTGATCCAGACATGTTTGATTAGATGATATGTTAGGTGAGTAGGATGTCAAGTCACAAAACGATTGTGGAAGAATCGGGGTTGTCACCGCTCTTGTGTGGCATTTCTCCACGTCACCTACTCTTTCGGTCGGATTTGTTCCTACTAAATCTGCGTTGACCTCGTTGGTTATATAGCTTTGACATATCTTAAAAGAATAAGTTCAATAAGCAAGGTATTATGCCTATACGATTAACGTATTTATTTATAATTTAGAGGCCAGTACTACTATTTTATCTAATTTTCGAGTCCTCTTTTGAAATAGTTCGTTTCTTTCAATTTCTTTTTACTTAGGTACTAAATGTTTGAAACTTATTGATGTTTCCCTTCATTAAACGAATATGTAATCTATTATATGTTAAGGAAATTAAATTTGAAGTTGATATATTAGTGTATACCTATACTGTTACAAGAGTGGCTGGCCTCTTGCTTACTGTGAAATGGTTATTTGCAATATTGTTTGGAACGGCGAGTCCAGAGCAGCAGTCACATGGCATTGACGATAACTTTCAACGCCGCCTACTTTGATATAGAAATTTTGTGAAACATGTCAAAAATAAAGAACTTGAAGATACTGTTCAGATTTACCATCATGGATGGTTTGACGGGACTGCGCTGGTTAGTCACATGGTGGCTAGAAAAAGTGCGTACTTGATGTTGGCATCACTGCCTGACGGTAGCCATAGTAGTCTTTTTGGTTCATATCGCAACTTTCTAAGCTCTCCTAGTGGATTGTAACAATACTGTACTTATTTATGGCTATGTAAATAGTTGAGAAATATGTCTCTATTTAGGTGTTAGGTCAGTAGGAGCCAAAAAGCCGGCATCTAGGTGGGTGAAAGTGTTAGTGTAGGCAGACTTTCGCTACAGTGTGTATATTCCTTTCAGTGTTTGATTATATTAGTAAGTAATAGATCATCAAGATAAATCAAATAGATAAATAACTTAGGCTCCTAATAGAATAAGTTAGTAGAATTGATTATGTCATATATTATAAGAAAATAATAATAATAATAGGTTGATTTTTCTCTAGTTTATATAAAAACTCAATGTAAGATGTATAAGATACCAAGTCCTCAATAAATAATTAGGTTCAAGCGTTTTAAGTTCTGGTAATTATGACAAACATGAACATTCATCAATATATCGGCTAATTAGTTAAATGAACTAGTATAAATTTAAAGGCTCAAAGACTAGGCAATATAGTAGTCAACTGAGCTATTTAGGGTATAGGTAAAACGAGTAAACTCTATTATATTTATTGATTAATTATAACTCGGCTATATGTCACTATAACTTATAATTATACCTATTGTCCTATGCAAGTATTATACGTTATATTTTAATATTAATAATAAATTTAGGTGTAATAAATCAATCTAAACTTCTATCGTAGAGTTTTTTTGGTCTAAATTAATAGATATAGAGAGATATTTAAATTCTTTTTCTACTACATATAAATTATCTAGCAGATAACCTATATAATAAGAAGGGCACTTATTTCTCATAATACTATATAAAATATAGTTACCCCTCCTTAAATTTAAAACTATAATCATTTATAAGTGAGTTGTAGATTATACACGTAGATATCGGATAATGATAGTATGATAAGACTTTAGGACTTAAGGGTAGATGTCCATCCCTAAAGAGGATGTATTTAATAAAATCTAATCAATTTGTACTATGATAATATTTTAGTGACAAAGTTTTACCTGTTTATGATATAATATTTTAAATTGGCTATTATTAGTAAAATATAGGAGCATATATAGAGGCTCTTGTACGGTATAATATCAATATGTTAACAAACGTAGATTTATATTTAGTTTAAGGCGATTAATTCCTATGTAGTAACGAGATTCTTATATAGATAGATATTCTATTAGCGACTTGTCATACCACATTATGAGTATCATATTTCTTAAAAATTATCTACTCTGTTAAATAACGTATATTTATTTTAATATTTTATATTATAAATAGATATGAAAGGTTTAGAGCTATTATATATAATAGGTGATTTATCTTATAAAAAAGGATGTTCGACTATTCCATAAATAGGCAACGCTATTTAAATATGTTAGGCTTTTATCTCAGTATCATTAAGACAAATTGTTATGCTGAATCTAAGAGGGCTTCTCTCCACTCTTATTCGTATGAATATCTGTCGGCTTCAGAACCCTTAAACTCTAAAAAATTATGGAAATAGTATATAGTGGGTAAAAGGCTCTAGTAGGTGTAATTAAAGTATAAATAATTATATAAATCTTCCCGAATTTATAAAGAAAAGTCGTATAGATTAAGATAAGTTTAGCAAAACATATAAGATATAATAACGTATTATATATATATGATGTATAAATACCAGAAAGCTTGAAACCGGACAAGTTAGTACTAGGAAATAAAGTATGACTAGTAAACAGAGTAGTTAATATTGTAAATTGGATAGAAGTTTAACCATTGGATTAGAAGATAACGATATTTTAGGCATTGGATTTAGGTCTTAATATGCCCCGTAAGCTTACTGGGGTATTAGATATATTACATTACCTGAGTAGGTCCGTGTCCGGTGTCGAAGATACTAATGTTCTAATTTACACTATAATATAACTGTTTATATAATAGGAATTTATTTAGTTTGAACGTACGACTCTTAAACAATTAACATAGGCCTTATAATCTGTTTACAAGAATACGTATATAGTATGGAATAGTTATTTTATACCTAGATTAATTTCTTCAATTAAAAATAATATCCTATAATATACGCCTAAGCGAGTGGCCCGGCAATTCCAATCTATCGATTTTAATAAAATGTAATGAGAAAACCTACTTAGTCCAACTACAAAATAAATTTGCAGGCTTCTAGAACTACAATGCCTTCCTCTAATGGCATTTTAATGTATAGATCTAACCTGTTTTCGCTTCTTCTTCGTCTTATTTTTAGCCCGTTAATCGCGTACTGCACCTTCGAGAATAGCTAGTGATTAAATTATTATGTAATGTAGTGGGGGAATTGCTTACCGCATGAAGTAGCGGTCTATGGATGATTCAGCACTCATGATGTATTTAAGACCTCTCTACTCTACGTAGAACAAGACAGACACATTCTTCTCTTCAGACCATCCCTATGTGCTCTCCTTTCCTATAGCTCTACCTCTCGTTGGGTTTTGCCTATGCTCCTACTGCTATTGTCGACCCGTCTGTTTTGACCAGACTGCCATCGCGCTATCCCATTTCAATAATAGACTTTTAAAATCTGATTCGTCGTCGAATTGGGCGGACGAAGATAACTTTTTAATCGCCCTTTTAATAACTCCTAAAGCGACTAGGTATGGATATTCTATATTCCGCTATCGTATATAAAGAAGGATATATAAACCTTGTGAAGTCAACGAGGTCTAATATTATCAAAGAATTATCTATTCAAGCTAAGATTAAGTCTCTAATTAGTTAGAAGGCTATCTCGCCCCAAAGGTTCATTCACGTAAAGATGAAACGCCTACCCCATTACATTTATATCCTTCATCATAGTAGCCTACGTACGTCTTGAAGGATATTAAAGTGTTCGCTAGCTTAAGAATTTACTTATAATGATTTTTATAGTTATAATCATGCCTATGACTAAACTAGTCTTGTTAAGATTATAGATATCGTTAGGGTTAACGTCGTGCTTTATTTAGGTTTTAATTTCTAGATAAGCGAAAACTATCTAAAGGAAAAGTTTCTGTCTTCGTATTTCGCTCGCTAATAACCGTAACGCTTCGAGAATAGAAGGTAAGGAAAGGATACCTTTTACCTAATTCTATAATCTACTTTTTACCAACCGAATAAGGGGGGTGGAGAGGGTTAATCCACGCGCCGCTATTAGCAAGTCGACTATTTCTCATACGGTAGATAGCCGAGCTACTACTCTAGGTAGATCCATAGAGATAATCTATTCTTAACGCGATTTATAGAGCTATTTAGGTACCGATAAAGCGTTATACTATGTATATATTTAATTAGCACGTAACTTTATATAGAGAAGATAATATTTTAGACTTATGTCTTTATAGCACATAGGACCCTACCCTCTTCAGAGGTTCTTATAATATTTACTTCAATTGATTTTTCTTCGATATATTGAGTGAAGTATTAGATCTACTAACTTTGTTTAAACTAATTTTGTAGACTAAATCATAGTAAACTTAGACAATGCTTATCTCTATCTAGTTTATATAAACTCGAAGACTATCTTCAGATTACATACCGACAAAATTTATCACTTATAATAAATGCCTAAGTTTAACGATAATTATTAGAATTCGTATATTTTAAATTATGTACTTAGTTAATTTAATAGAGCTACTCGTGGCCCTTTTTAAAGGGTATTACTATATAATACATAGCTTCCTTATACGTCTAATACAACAACAATCCAATTGAGAATTATCTCGAATTATAATTATATCTATTATTAGAATTATTAAATAGTAAACTAGGTGTTACCAGGCTGGTCAAAGCCTGAAACGATAATATAAATCCAATTCTAAATCATCACATGCTAAAAGAAAACAATATAATAAAATACTAGTGAGTTTAAAATTAGTTGACCTAGTTTAGTATATACAACGCATCTCTACATATATATTACTTAGGCAATGTAATATAATCTATTATAATTATAAAGTTAGAGAGTATATATTACAACTGACTAGGAGAGCTTAGCAAGGCGCACACTAAGCCTAACGGCAGTCATACTCTCCCGCCATATCAAGTAGCGCAGATTATCAAGTCTATGTAACCTTAGCCACCGTGTACTATATTCAGCGCAGTCTCTCTATCAGACCATACTAGTTCTCACAATATATACTATAATTTTGATAAAGACTTTATCATAATTCTATAGCTTCCCATATAATTGATAATATATAGAGTGTATAACTACCACTTACTTACTAGAGAAGAGTTCTATAGTCTTACTAATTAG